TTCTCTGTGTTGTCTCTTTAACTCTGTGGCTCTAAAACAGTTGAAGTGTGTTTCTGCTCGATGAGGTTTCTATGAGGTGAATAAATGTTGGTTCAGTTGATCTTCAGGACGGCTGCAGCTTTAAGAACTTCTGCTTGTTGGAGTTTGAGAGTCTAAAGTTCACAGAGACGCTCCTCCTCCTGGATTGTAGACAAACTGGATCCCCCCCTCCCTCGTCTTTCACAGCTCACTTCACTCTGCACTCTCACTTCCTTGTTTCCTTCCCTTCCTTGCTCCCTCCCCCTCAGATCTACAGTCTTGGTTGGGTGTAACCTCCGTGTGCTGAGCTGATCCTGATGACTCACACATGTTGTTGAGATCAGAGCTCAGACTAGTTTGACTTCTCAGGAAATAAAACTCAGTCAGTCGTCGTCGACAGCGAGTGTTGAAATGGCGCAGAAAGGAGTTCATCTGGACCGTGAGTCTTTCTCTTGTTCCATCTGTTTGGATCTTCTGAAGGATCCGGTGACTCTCACCTGTGGACACAGCTTCTGCATGAGCTGTATTCAATCCTACTGGGATACTGAGGATGAGAAGAAGATCTACAGCTGTCCTCAGTGCAGAGAGACCTTCATACCGAGGCCTGTCCTGAAGAAAAACACCATGTTAGCAGGTTTAGTGGAGGAAGTGAAGAAGAGCGGACTCCAAGCTGCTCCTGATGGTTCCTCTGAGGCTGGACCTGAAGATGTGGTCTGTGATTTCTGCAGTGGGAGAAAACTGAAAGCTGTCATGTCCTGTCTGCGATGTCTGGCTTCTTACTGTCAGATTCACCTCCAGCCTCATTTTGAAGTTACTCCATTAAAGAAACACAAGCTGGTGGAGCCCTCCGAGAAGCTCCAGGAGAACATCTGCTCTCGTCATGATGAGGTGATGAAGATGTTCTGCCGCACTGATCAGAAGTCCATCTGTCATCTCTGCTGTTTGGACCAACACAAAGGTCACGACACAGTCTCAGCTGCAGCAGAAAGGACTGAGAGGCAGAAAGATCTGGAGGAGAGTCGAGGAAACATCCAGCAGAGAATCCAGGACAGAGAAGAAGATGTGAAGCTGCTCCAACAGGAGGTGGAGGCTATCAACGGCTCTGCTGATAAAGCTGTGGAGCACAGCCAGGAGATCTTCACCCAGCTGATCCGTCTGATGGAGAAACGCCGCTCTGAGGTGGAGCAGCAGGTCAGATCCCAGCAGGAACGTGAAGTGAGTCGAGTCAAAGAGCTTCAGGAGAAACTGGAGCAGGAGATCACTGAGCTGAAGAGGAAAGACGCTGATCTACAGAAGCTCTCCCTCACAGAGGACCACAACCAGTTTCTGCACAGCTACCCCTCACTGTCAGAACCGGGTCAACCTGCAGACTCATCCAGAATCAACATCCGTCCTCAGAGATACTTTGAGGAGGTGACAGCAGCTGTGTCAGAGCTCAGAGAGAAACTCCAGGATCTTCTGACAGAGACGTGGACAAACGTCTCACAGGCAGTGACTGAAGTGGATGTTTTACTGTCAGAACCACCAGGACCAGCAGAACCCAAGACCAGAGCTGGTTTCTTAAGATATTCACAAAGAATCACACTGGATCTAAACACAGTAAACAGACGACTGAGATTATCTGATGGAAACAGAAGAGCAACATTTACAGAAAAAGAACAGTCCTATCCTAAACATCTAGACAGATTCACTGTTTATCGTCAGGTCCTGAGTAGAGAGAGTCTGACTGGACGTTGTTACTGGGAGGTGGACTGGGAAGGGAGGGGGGTTGGTGTAGCAGTCGCATACAAGACTATCAGGAGAGATGGGAGATCAGAGGATTGTGGATTTGGAAGAAATGACAAATCCTGGAGGTTATTCTGTTCTAAAGACAGGTATAGTTTTGGTCACAACAACGTCTTCACTGATGTCTCAGGTCCTCCGTCCTCCAGAGTAGGAGTGTACCTGGATCACAGAGCAGGTATTCTGTCCTTCTACAGCGTCTCTGAAACCATGACTCTTCTCCACAGAGTCCAGACCACATTCACTGAACCTCTACATGCTGGACTGGGGTTAGGCTTGGTTTTTAGATTCTTATCTGATGGAGACTCTGCTGAGTTTATAGAAGTGAACTAAAGAGAATTTTGAGTCCATCAGACCAAAATCATGGACTGAGATCCTTGAACTCTTGAAATGTTCTGGTTTGTAAATGTTTGTGGATCAGTCTCACCAAAAACTCTGGGTTTAGTTCTTCATTTCAGCTTTTTGATTCTTTTCTAAAGATGCTGATTTGGTCGCAGCTTTAAGGACAGTGATTGTGGAGAACTTTGATTGTTTGTATTTCTCATGTTGAAAAATCTTCATACAGTTTGATATCAACAACATCAAGATGATGGTTTGTTCAAATCACCTTCAGTTGGTGCAGATGTTGAAGGTCTGAGACTTTAGAAAAAAGTGATGTCAAAATCACAGAAAAAGGACGACCTTATTTCCTGTCCCAAATCCAAGCGTCTAAAGTCTTTCCAGTCGTCCCCAAAAACTCTTCAGATGATCTGTTTCTTTCTCTGTTTGCTGAATATTTGTGTTCATGTGATCGATGGATATTTCTGTCTGCTTCTGTTGGATCAGTGTGTTTGTAAAGACATCTAGAATCAGACTTTGGACAGATCTACATGTTGTTATGAGCTTTTCAATCACTCTAATAATAATAATCACATTTATTAGTCCGACTGTTTGGATGTTTCTGACTCAGCTCAGATTGTGGTCAAGTCTCTGATTGTGGGTAAAAAAATCATAAAAATCCTCAAACTGAGTCACTGAAATCACCTCGTCTGTTTGTCTTTATTGTGTCTGTTTCTGCTGGATGTCATGTTACCGCTCCGTCTGGGTCATGGATCCATGTGGTCTTACATGTCCCAGATGTGAGTCCTGCAGCTGGATCAGGTTTTCTGTAGAGGACAAAGACAGGAGGCAGGTTGTGTGTCTTTTTGATTTGATGTAACCAGACTAGTCCTGTTGAGATCATCAATCTCTTTTTCAGGGGGGGTCCTGACCAAGAATGGCAGCAAAAAACAAACACACTCAGACTCACACAGATCCACATCAGCAACAAGAACTCAGTGTTCATATGAGAGAGTCCAGCTGATCTCTAGTCTAAGGAAAGAAGTCTGGACCACGAGAAGAAAACCGACTTAAAGGTGAAGTAGACAGGAATCCGTTAAAGAAGCATCTTTTTATTTTGTGGTGTATTTACAAAAATCTTCTAATATCAGTCAATAGTTATTAGTTATTGATGACATTTGGTAATATATCGATATCTCTGTGTTCTCTTATGTCTGTGTCGTCAACATTTGAACATTTTTGAGCGGTCCGCTCTTTCTGACTGTAAACAAAGCCGTTCTCCACCTCCTCTAACCTGATTGGTTGTGAGGCAGACGCCGCTCCCCCGTGTCGTTCAGGAGCCCAAACAAAGTTAGCGTGCTACAATATCGGACAGTAGAAACCAACCAGAAAGTTCGGAAAATTGTCTGAATCCTCCTTTGGCCAAGACTGCCGACACAAGCAAGAAAACAAAGTAAATACCGGAGACTCTGGAGGAATAACGGGCGCTTAAAACGGAGGTAGACCGGACAAGAGCTAAAAAGCCGGGTCAACATAAACGATGGGGGACGCTTGGGGATCTTGGTGACCCTGTAACCTTTCTGCTGGACAGGTAAACCGCTTTAACAAAGTAAGACAAGTGTCTGTAACAGAAGTGTTTCTTGTCAAACGGACCTGCTGTAGCGTGTTGTAGCGCCATCGCTAAACTGTCCTCCCTCGGGTCCTGGACTATGTCACTTTATCCTCGTTGTAGAAGTCCTGCAAACATTGTGTTTGCTGGTAGTCTGTTGGCATCTACAGTAGCACCAATGCTTTTGACTTTCACCTTGACTGGGCCCCATTTGTAATGATCTGAAGTATTTATCTCAAAGTCAAAGTCAGCTTTATTGTCAAGTATGCTATACGACAGCATACAGCATATATGAAATTACAGTCCTCTCTGACCCGCAGTGCAAATAAAAGACAGATGGAAAAAAAAAACAAGGTAATAAATCAACAAAATTACACTAAATACTACAATAAATATGTGATATATACAATGTGCAATATGCAGTAGACATTCTGTGGTCAAGTAAACATTCAGTGGATTGATGGATTGTTGAATAGTGCAATGTAGTGCGGGATAGTGCAATTTGAGTACAATAGAGTCTGTAACTCAGAGTCAGTGGTGGACAGAGGATGGGGGGAATGAGGGCAGAGCAGGGAGGGAGTTGAGTATCCTGACTGCCTGGTGGAAAAAACTGTCCTTGAGCCTGCTGGTTCTGGCTCTGAGACTCCGCAGTCTCCTCCCTGGCGGCAGTGAGCTGAAGAGGCTGTGAGATGGGTGGGTGGGGTCACCTGCAATCCTAGTGGCTCTGCAGGTGAGGCGGGTGTTATAAATGTCCAGTAGAGAGGGAAGAGAGACACCAATGATTCTCTCAGCTGCTCTCACAGTGCGCTGCAGGGTCTTGTGGCAGGAAACGGTGCAGGCGCCGTACCACAGGGTGATGCAGCTGGACAAGATACTCTCAATGGTGCCTCTGTAGAAGGTGGACATGATGGGGGTCGGGGCTCTTGCTCTTCTCAGTTTGCGGAGAAAGTAGAGTCGCTGATGGGCTTTTTTGGCCAGAGATGTGGTGTTGGTGTTCCAGGACAGGTCTTGGGAGAGGTGTACACCCAGGAACTTGGTGCTGCTCACCCGCTCCACTGCAATACCATCGAGAGCCTGCTCTCTCCTGAAGTCCACTACAATCTCCTTGGTCTTCTCCACATTCAAGAGGAGATTGTTGTCCTTGCACCACGCGGCCAAGCGGCTCACCTCACTCCTGTAGTATGTCTCGTCATTGTTGTTGATGAGACCCACCACAGTTGTGTCGTCCGCAAACTTGATGAGGAGGTTTGAGCTGGATGTAGGTGTGCAGTCCTGGGTCAGCAGGGTGAAGAGGAGGGGGCTCAGCACACATCCTTGGGGAGCCCCTGTGTTCAGAGTGATGGTGCTGGAGGTGTTGTTAGCTACCCGAACTGCCTGTGGTCTCCCCCGTCAGAAAATCCAGCAGCCAGTTGCACAGGGAGGTGTTGAGTCCCAGCCGGTCTAGTTTGAAGATGAGCTGCTGGGGGTTGATCGTGTTGAATGCTGAACTGAAGTCGATGAACAGCATTCTGATGTGTGGGTCTTTGCTCTCCGGGTGCGTGAGTGCTGAGTGAATGGCAACGGCGACGGCATCGTCGGTCGAGCGGTTGGACCGATATGCAAACTGGAAGGGTTCCAGGGTGGTGGAAAGGATGGACTTGATGTGGTGCATGACTAGCCGCTCGAAGCACTTCATGAGGATGGGAGTGAGTGCGACCGGGCGGTAGTCGTTGAAGCAGGAGGGAGACAACTTCTTTGGTACCGAGATGATGGTGGTGGCTTTGAGGCATGTGGGGACATCGACTCGGCTCAGTGAGATGTTGAAGATGTCAGTGAAGACGTCTGTGAGCTCCTCAGCACAGCCTCTCAGGACATGACCAGGAATGTTGTCAGGACCTGGGACTTTTCTCACATTGGTCCTCTTGAGGGACCTCCTCATGCTGTCTAGGGATAGCAACAACACCTGGGCATCGGGGGGAGGGGGGTGTTTCTGTGCTGGGGTGTCGTTGTCCACCTAGAAGCGGGCAAAGAAGTTGTTTAGTTGATTCAACAGAGAGATGGAGTTGTCACAGGTCCGCGGGGGGGCTTGTAATCCGTGATGGTCTGGATCCCCTGCCACAGGTTCCTGGTGTCTCTGCTGTCATTGAAGCGATCAGCAATCCTACTGGAGTACTGTCTCTTGGCTTGTCTGATGCCACGTGACAGATTGGCCTTGGCTGTCCTCAGGCCCTCCTCGTCCCCAGCTCTGAAGGCAGCGTTCCAAGCCCTCAGGAGTCTGTGGACTTCCCTGTCAGTCATGGCTTCTGGTTGGCCCGGATGGAGATGGTTCTGGAGACCGTGACATCTTCCATGCACAGAAACACTGGATCCCCCCCATCGTCTCTCACAGCTCACCCCACTCTGCACTCTCACTTCCTTGTTCCCTTCACTTCTTTGTTCCCTCCCCTTCAGATCTACAGCCTAAAGGTTGGGTGTAACCGCCGTGTGCTGAGCTGATATCCTGCTGACTCACACATGTTGAGATAAGAGCTCAGACTAGTTTCACTTCTCAGGAAATGAAACTCAGTCAGTCAGTCGTCGTCGTCGACAGCGAGTGTTGAAATGGCGCAGAAAGGAGTTCATCTGGACCGTGAGTCTTTCTCTTGTTCCATCTGTTTGGATCTTCTGAAGGATCCGGTGACTGTTACCTGTGGACACAGCTTCTGCATGAGCTGTATTCAATCCTACTGGGATACTGAGGATGAGAAGAAGATCTACAGCTGTCCTCAGTGCAGACAGACCTTCATACCGAGGCCTGTCCTGAAGAAAAACACCATGTTAGCAGGTTTAGTGGAGGAAGTGAAGAAGAGCGGACTCCAAGCTGCTCCTGATGGTTCCTCTGAGGCTGGACCTGAAGATGTGGCCTGTGATTTCTGCAGTGGGAGAAAACTGAAAGCTGTCAAGTCCTGTCTGGTCTGTTTGATCTCATTTTGTGAAAAACACCTCCAGCCTCATTATGAATCTCCTGCCTATGCTAAACACAAGCTGGTGGAGCCCTCCAAGAAGCTCCAGGAGAACATCTGCTCTCGTCATGATGAGGTGATGAAGATCTTCTGCCGCACTGATCAGAAGTCCATCTGTTCTCTCTGCTGTTTGGACCAACACAAAGGTCACGACACAGTCTCAGCTGCAGCAGAAAGGACTGAGAGGCAGAAAGATCTGGAGGAGAGTCGAGAAAACATCCAGCAGAGAATCCAGGACAGAGAAGAAGATGTGAAGCTGCTCCAACAGGAGGTGGAGGCTATCAACAGCTCTGCTGATAAAGCTGTGGAGCACAGCCAGGAGATCTTCACCCAGCTGATCCGTCTGATGGAGAAACGCCGCTCTGAGGTGGAGCAGCAGGTCAGATCCCAGCAGGAACGTGAAGTGAGTCGAGTCAAAGAGCTTCAGGAGAAACTGGAGCAGGAGATCACTGAGCTGAAGAGGAAAGACGCTGATCTGCAGAAGCTCTCACTCACAGAGGACCACAACCAGTTTCTGCACAGCTACCCCTCACTGTCAGAACCGGGTCAACCTGCAGACTCATCCAGGATCAACATCCGTCCTCTGAGATACTTTGAGGAGGTGACAGCAGCTGTGTCAGAGGTCAGAGAGAAACTCCAGGATCTTCTGACAGAGACGTGGACAAACGTCTCACAGGCAGTGACTGAAGTGGATGTTTTACTGTCAGAACCAGAACCAGAACCCAAGACCAGAGCTGATTTCTTAAAATATTCACAAAGAATCACACTGGATCCAAACACAGTAAACAGACGACTGTTATTATCTGATGGAAACAGAAGAGCAACATGGACAGAACAACGACAGTCTTATCCTGATCATCCAGACAGATTCACTGGTTGTTTTCAGGTCCTGAGTAGAGAGAGTCTGACTGGACGTTGTTACTGGGAGGTGGACTGGAGAGGGAACTGGGTCTATGTAGCAGTCGCATACAAGACTATCAGGAGAGACGGGAACTCAGAGGATTGTTACTTTGGATACAATGAAGAATCTTGGACATTAGACTGTTATAAAGACGGTTATCAATTTGTTCACAACAAAGTCTTCACTGATGTCTCAGGTCCTCCGTCCTCCAGAGTAGGAGTGTACCTGGATCACAGAGCAGGTATTCTGTCCTTCTACAGCGTCTCTGAAACCATGACTCTCCTCCACAGAGTCCAGACCACATTCACTGAACCTCTACATGCTGGACTGTGGTTTGGCTACAGTTATGGAGACTCAGCTGAGTTTATAGAAGTGAACTAAAGAGAATTTTGAGTCCATCAGACCAAAATCATGGACTGAGATCCTTGAACTCTTGAAATGTTCTGGTTTGTAAATGTTTGTGGATCAGTCTCACCAAAAACTCTGGGTTTAGTTCTTCATTTCAGCTTTTTGATTCTTTTCTAAAGATGCTGATTTGGTCGCAGCTTTAAGGACAGTGATTGTGGAGAACTTTGATTGTTTGTATTTCTCATGTTGAAAAATCTTCATCAAGTTTGATATCAACAACATCAAGATGATGGTTTGTTCAAATCACCTTCAGTTGGTGCAGATGTTGAAGGTCTGAGACTTTAGAAAAAAGTGATGTCAAAATCACAGGAAAAGGACGACCTTATTTCCTGTCCCAAATCCAAGCGTCTAAAGTCTTTCCAGTCGTCCCCAAAAACTCTTCAGATGATCTGTTTCTTTCTCTGTTTGCTGAATATTTGTGTTCATGTGATCGATGGATATCTGCTTCTGTTGGATCAGTGTGTTTGTAAAGACATCTAGAATCAGACTTTGGACAGATCTACATGTTGTTATGAGCTTTTCAATCACTCTAATAATAATAATCACATTTATTAGTCCGACTGTTTGGATGTTTCTGACTCAGCTCTGATTGTGGGTAAAAAAACAATAAAAATCCTCAAACTGAGTCACTGAAATCACCTCGTCTGTTTGTCTTTATTGTGTCTGTTTCTGCTGGAGCAGAGAGGGAGGGGAGAGGAGGAGCTGAGGGGAAAACTGGTTGGCAGTGTTGTTTTTGGCAGGCATTTTAGATTTAGTTTTCGTCTTAGTCATTTTGACGAAATGCTTCTTCGTTTTAGTCCCATTTTAGTCATTTCTATCCTTGATAGTTTTCGTCTAGTTTTAGTCGACGTAAAGGTGCCTTTTGAGGTTCGTGGTGTTCTTTCCCGACAGTTTGAAGCATGAGGAAGCTGTGGCTCCACAACTGTCGTCTGTCTCGTCTCCCCGTCCCGTGTTTTATTGTCACTTTTATTTTATTGTCACTTGGACTGTATCTGAAGTAGGACCAAAAATCATCCCTCTTTTTTCGGCCACCGGGCACCGCTGCTGTGCCTGCCGCCACGGTGTGTGTGTGTGTGCGCGCCTCGTCCACCTGCCGCTCTGTGTATGTGTATGAGTGTGTGCGCGCAGCTGTGCGCGAGCGAGGCTTTTGGTGCGTGTGTGATGGGGGCGTGACTGTTAGGACAAAAAAAAGCATGTTTTGAAACTTTGTTCGTCCACCTAATAACAATTTAGTCTCGTCTCGTTCTCGTCTGACGAAAATGAATGTAATTTTCGTCACATTTTAGTCTTTACAGAGCTTTGGTGACGTTCGTCTTAGTCTCATTTTCGTCAAGGAAAAAAGGGGTCTGACGTCGTCATTTAAGTTTTCGTCCTGCCTGACGAAAACAACACTGCTGGTTGGGAGGGGTTGAGTTTACATTCAAGATTTCTCCTAAAAACTGGAACTAACTCAGATCCTGACTACAACACCTTTAAGAAACTAACATTTGTCGTCATCATCTCTACACTGTGTGCACAATTATTAGGCAAGTTGTATTTTTGAGGATACATTTTATTTTTGAACAACTACAGTGATCTCGGTCAATCCAAAATGTTAATAAACCTCAAACCTGAATATTTAAGGGAGTAAAAGTGAGATTTTGGCTTCCTTAGGAGAATATCTATGTGTGCACAATTATTGGGGGCAGCTATTAGTGTGCAGAATTATTATGCAACTAAATTAAAAATGAAAAATTTTCCATCTCTCTTATTTATTTTCATTTGTTAAAGTGAGAATGATAAACAAACAACTCGATTTATAAATAAAAATTGTTGAAATAAAAAAAAAAAAAAAAATCTGTGACCAATACAGCCACCCTTCTTTTCATTAACAGTCATAAGCCTTTCATTCATGGAGTCTTTCAGTTTCTTGATCTTTCTTGATCAACTTTTTGTGTTGCAGTAACCAAAGCCTCCCAGACACTGTTCCAGACATTGTTCAGAGAGGTCGACTGTCTTCCTTCACTGTAAATTTCCCGTTTAAGAAGGGCTCACAAGTTCTCAACAGGGTTTAGGTCAGGTGAAGAAGGAGGCCATGTCATTATTCTTTTGTTTTTAAGGCCTTTACTGGCGAGCCACATAGTGGAGTACTTTGTCCTGCATAAAAATCATGGTTTTCTTGAAAGATGCAGACTTTTGCCTGTACCACTGTTTAAAGAAAGTGTCTTCTCAAAACTGGCAGTGGATTTGGGAGTTGATTTTAAGTCCATCTTTAACCCAAAAGGTCCAGCTAGCTCATCTTTAATAATACCAGCCCATATCAGTACCCCGCCTCCACCTTGCTGGTTTCTGATTCAAAGTGGAGCTCTGTGCCCATTACTGATCCAGCCACGGGTCCATCCATCTGGTCCGTCAAGAGTCACTCTCATCCCATCAGTCCATAAAACCATTGAAAAATCTCTCTTCAGATATTTCTTGGCCCAGTCTTGACGTTTCGACTTGTGTGTCTTGTTCAGTGGTGGTCAGATTTCAACCTTCCTTACTTTGGCCATGTCTCTGAGCACTGATCATCTTGTACTTCTGGGCACTCCAGGTAGGTTGCAGTTCTGGAATATGACAGCACTGGAGGATATTGGGTTCCTGGTACCTTTACGTTTGAGTCTTCTCAAATCTTTGGCAGTTAATTTGCGTCTTTTTTTCTTAACATGTTCTTGCGACCCTGTTGACTATTTGCATCAAAATGTTTGATGGTTCTGTGATCACGCCCAAATATCGAAGCAATTTCAAGAGTGCTGCATCCCTCTGAAAGACTTTTTACATTTTTTGACTTTTCAGAGTCACTTAAATCTCTTTTTTGTCCCATTTTACCTGAGGAAAAGAAGCTGCCTAATAATTATGCACACCTTGATTTAGGGTTTTGATCTCCTTAGGCCCCAGTTTCCCTCATTACACTAATACACATTACCTGATGTGCTTATATCCAATAAACACTCAAGTTTATACAGCTTGGAGTTGGAAAATATGCATAAAAATGATGATATGATCAAAATACTCACTTGCCTAATAATTGTGCACACAGTGTAAAAATGTGAGCGGTAAAATGTCCTCAAACCTTTAAGAACTTTTCAGGAGTGTTTCTGTGGAGACACCGATGTCTGAGACTTCCACACCTGATACCTGAGGAGCCCCCAGATCTAACCAATCAGAGGCTTTTCCTGGTTTTCAGGCGACACATTTACTGAATGTAAAAATCGAAGTTTGATAAACTGAACTTCAAGAACCAAAAATCCATGTATAAGACAGGCTTTTATTTTGAAAGTTTTATTATAAAAGGAGTCAAAACTATTTACAGGAACAGAACCAGACCGGACCACCTTCAGTCAGACTCTGATCAGCTCAGGTGTGTGAGATCTGTTCAGGTGAGCGTGGACGGGATCCTCCTCCACAGTCCTCCACACAGACAGTTTTTGATCCAGCGCTGCTCCCACTGCTTCATGGCGTTCGTTTTGTTTGGGGATCGAAGCATCGTCACGCAGCCGCACCTGAAACACGACAAAATGACAGATTACACCTGTGAACAGGTAAAAACATCTGACTCATGCCCAACGTTTCACATCTTATTTCCTGACAAGTGGGAAAAAAAAGGTGAATTTTTTTTTTTTGTCTGTTTCACCTGCAACAGGAATCAGCTGTTCGACTCACCTGGTGCAGGCTTTACTCTCCTCTGTGGGACACACACCCATGTGAACACAGCGCAGGTTATCCATCTTCTGTGAGCCGGGACTCCTACACACACACACACACACACACACACACACACACACACACACACACACACACACACACAGGTAAATAAGGGGAGTCTGAGTCTGTCTCAGAGCTGCAGCGCCACCATGTGGACAGTCGTCAGATCACCTACTTTACTGTTTCATTTTTAAACTTTTAGACGATGTGAGAAGAAGGAAATAAAACCTGAGTCTTAAACCTGTGATTTATCAAACTGACCAGCAGGGGGCGACTCCACTTGAAGCCTTACCCCCAATTTTCACCACATCCAGAACAGCTGTGATTTTCGCCTTCGGTTAGTGAGGCGAATTTCTCACAAGAGTCACGTTCAATCACGGGATAACGAGTCGTCTCTTTACAGACAGACACATAGACATATAAGCAGTAGATTGTGTCCTTCCAGAGGAGGAAATCTACTTCTAGACTTCTAGAATCAGCATCTCCTCATCCATGGTGTCATCGGGGTGAAATGACGTCTAAAAACCTTTCACTTGTTCGTCAATCGTGTTTTATTTTGAAAAGAAGCCGGATGTTTTATTTTGTGTCTGTGCCCGACTTCCTTTCCAGCACGGGTTAATCTGTGCTGAATTTATCCGCCATGCTCCGCTACGATCAGCTACGACCTTTTAGGAGACGATCAGGATGAAGCTGGAGGTTTGGGGGTTAGAGAAAGTTGAGGGCGAGGTTACCTGGTGAAGACCTCCAGTGGGGCGGCGCTCCCTCCCGGCAGAGACGAGGCCTTTCCAAACTGCAGCCTGAGCGGATGTTTCCCCTGCAGCTTCACGATGATGCCGTCGTTGACCGGGAGCCAGTCCATACTGGGAACCAGCAGCTGACTGGGCAGCAGGCAGCACTCGTCTATCAGACTCTCATCAGGTTCCTGGGGGGGTCCATCGTCCCGGGCTGAAGACACAGACAGGAAGTGACAAAAGCTGTTAGTGATCTGAGTCAACAGAAGAAGGTCTGGACCAGTTCCAGTCAGACCGGTCCTGGTCCAGACTCAGGTAGAGGATCAGGTCTTTGGGTCTTACAGCAGAGCCACAGTTTGGTGAGGAGTCTGAACAGCAGCTGCATACTGTCCTGGTTATCAGACGTGGCTGTGAAGGTGGGCAGACAGCCGGGCTTCAGCAGACCCCAGATCCGGATCATCACCAACATCTCCCTCAGCATCCCCAGAGACGCGCCGTCCCTCATGAAGCCGAACCCGGGCCGGACCATGGAGCCCTGCAGGACAGACCTCATCAGCTGTGGTGGATTTACTGCAGATGAACTTTTACTGATTTAAATCTGAACATCAGGAAGGAGCAGGTCAGTTCCTGCAGAGTGTCAGATGGTTCCTGGTTCTGGTTCTGTCGCTCAGCTCACCTGGTTCGGCAGGTTGGCCAGGAGGTACAGGACAAAGTCTCCCACCCACTGGATGAGCTGCTGCAGGGACTGGAGGGGGGGTCCGTCCAGAACGAACTCCTCTGTCTTCAGATTGATCATCACCTTATCAATATCTGAAACACGACGGGTTTGTCTCCGATTATTGATCCGTACACTGAAAATGATTTTGTTCTTACCAAGACGAAAAAACGTAGATTTAGACGTGTTGATTTAAGACTGAATTTCTTATTTTAGGAGTTTAAATTTACACTTTAATCTTCTATCAAACACAACCTTTTCTTTTTCTTTCAAATGAGGAAAATAACAGTTAAAATAAGTTTTATTCTCATCAAAAAGAATCTTGTTTTAAGATTCAGTAACAAACTCAAGTTACTTGATTCAAGAGTCACAAAAAAATCCTCTAGAAAAGAGTTTATTGCTCTGATTTTAAGCATGTTTGTAAAACTAGAACAGTGAAAACAAAACAGGAAACAGGCAAAGTCAGTCACCAAATACAAGATATACAACACACCCAAACTTATTAAGATTTATATTTTAAAAATGAGTTTTAAGGTTAAGTTTAAAGATGAAGTAAGCCCTGTTTCGAGGTTAGCCTGCCTGGATTTAGACAGTTTAATCATTCTTCACTAATACTGAGTATTTTTTCTCTACATTTCTATTTCTTGTTTAATTGACATTCAGCTTAATTTGCTAAAAGTAAGAAAACAAAAGATGTAATTTCTTATATTTAGTATATTTCACTTATTTTGAGGCTGTAAAGAAGTTACTCTTTAAGTTATCTGATCTTAAAAACAGCATTTTGTACTTATTTTATACTTATCATTTCATACTTACAGAGATCTCGATCTCAACGAGACCGCCTGATAAAATAAAGATTAAAAAATATATATATATTTCATGTTTATATTTAGTACACTTAACTTATTTTAGGGCTGCTAAAGTTAAATTTGAAGTTATCTGATCTCAAAATAAGGCTGCACGATATTGGAAAAAAATAATATTGCGATTTTTTTCAACCCTGCGATATATATTGCGATATTAAAAATACAGTATTTTCACCAGATGACCTGAATAGCGTTTAATGTTATGCTGCACTGCTGAAATCTTGAGGACAGTTAATCTGCTCTGATCTTACCTCTTTTTGTGAATGTTAGAATGGCTTCTGTCTGTCTCAGAGATATTTTTAGCTCTTATTGTTCTGGGACGTTATTGTGGCAACAGATGAACACAGAAGACGTGTTTTGGTCGACATCATCCTTCTTTTAACCGAAATAATTCCAGATAACTGACTTTCCTTTTCTTTTTGGCAACAAGTCTTTATCTTCTGTGGTTTTCTCTGCTTGTTGCTCATTTTGCGATCGTTGTTGTTAGCGGTGTTGTGCCGAGAAACGCATGTCCTCCGAGAATTGCATGCACCTCGCAAAACGCGCACCACTTATAGTAGAGTGGTCCACGGAAATGTACAATTTAAAACCTATACAGTTCTTATTTGTTGGGCTAAACAGTGATGAAGAATGTTCCGAAAGTAATTCTCAGCGGACACACGTCTCCCTCCATGTGCAGAACATGTGCAGGGGTGGGTTTCCTCCTCTCTGATTTTGATTGACAGCTGGCAGGGTCGTCTGATTGGCAACTGAGAACTGAGTCTGATTGGCAACTGAGTAAAGAACTAAGGTGATTGGTGGATCACTGCACAGCACATGCAGAGTCACATGGAGTGTATCTCAGTCGGTTACCCTTGAAATTAAATGAGTTCATTCACCTCCAATATCGCAGGCTCTGCGATGTGACTATCGCACACACGTATATCGCGATGACGATATTCAAACGATATATCGTGCAGGCCTATCTCAAAACTAACATTTTTGTCTTCCTTTAATCCTTCCAAACACATTTGTAGACGTGTTTATTTCTAGATTGAACAATCTTAATCTAAGAAATCTTGTCGGGTGAAATGATCTTTCTGCACGGACAGATAATTTCACTTGTTTTTAGTCTCTTTTCCCTCAGATTTAGTCTTTTTATCTTGTTTTTAGACCCCTTATTTGCACGTCCTCACCCGTCCCTCTAACCGTCTTCTCTGTCTCACCTGTGTCGGTGTTCTTGGCGCAGATCTCGGTCAGCCGGTCCCCCGGCGTCTTGTCGGGTGTGTTGAGGACGTGCGGCCGCAGCAGCGACTTTAAGGTGGAGCTGATGGCGATCAAAAGCAGCTTGGCGTGGAAGTCGCACGCTCGTGCCGCTGTCGCCGTGGAGAGTTTACAGAGGGACGCCTTCACCGCCACGATCCGAGTGGCCAGAACCTGGGAGAGATGTGTGAGATTAAAGGGATGTACACATAACGGGGCATCATGGGAAATGTAGTGTTGATCCGCTCACCTGCTGCAGCGCCTGGTTCTGCCTCATGTACTCCTCGTGAAGTTTCTCCACCAGGTTGTGGACCATGCTGGGCTGAACGTGCAGCAGGACGTCCCACCAGTCGTAGCCCGTCACCATGCAGTATTCCAGCAGGAACAGCAGGTGGCGCAGCGTGGTGTTCATCTCCAGCACCTGACCCATAGAGGGCGACACTCGCAGCATGTGGAGCTGCAGAGACAACGAGACAGGCGTGAAAAAACGGAGAAACCGAAAAGTCTCAGTGTCAGGTGACCGTCAGGTGACCGTCAGGTGACCGTCAGGTGAGTCTCAGGTGTAAGAGTGTCCTCACCTTGCCGTGGTTGTCCACTCCAGCCAAGGCCAGCGAGGTCCAGGAGAACTGCAGGGCCTTGAAGTGGAGGGCGGGGCCTCCGGTTCTCTGGCGTTTGATGGCGGACTCGTCCCCTGGCCTCTGATTGGACGAGGAGGATCCATAGAACACGCCCATAGTGTGGAGGGAGAGACGGTGCAGGATCTGAATACTGCCGTCATGGAAGGCCAGAGCCAGACCTACAAACACACACAGAACCAGAACTCAGGGGACCAGACCCACATCTGGACCTGAACCGCGAGTCCTTTGAGAGTCCCATTCTAAACGTGTCATTCCTGAGACCCGGTTCAGGCTTTAGAGTCCTGATTCGGGTCGTTCTGCTCACCCAGTCCGGGGCAGAACTTGGTGTCTGACGCCACCTTCAGGTCGGTGTTGGAGATGGAAATCGGCAGTTTGGGCAGAGCGACGGCCGACACTCGCTCCAGGTCGTTGGTGGTCGTCAGGATCCTCCACTTCAGGATGGTCGGCTGCTTCTCGCCGACTGAACAGAGGGGTCAGAGGTCAAACACTGAGAGCTTCATTACAGAAGCAGTCAGAACCAGAACCAGACTGTGGGTCTTACCGACGGGCGAGCGGTGCTGGAAAATATTGTTGACAGGAAGTCCCTCCTTCCTCAGAGACCAACACTCCACGATGCTGCCGGTCTGATTGGACGCACACAGCAGGACCTGAAACACACAGATGTCTGAGGTTCTGACCGGCTTCAGCTGGTTCTGCTCAGTTTGGACCGGCTCAGAAACCGGCTGGTTCTGTGTGTTACCTGTTCGGAGTTCTCTCTGGTGAGGAACTTCAGGTGTGTGACTGCCGGGTACTTCTCCCTCCTCAGCGGGTCGGTGGTGCAGCGCAGGAACAGAGACGGCAGCAGCTCCGTGTCGATGCGACACTTCTCGCTGACGACGCTGACGACCACCTGAGCACACAGAACAGGTTAGACAAGGTCAGAGGTCAGCGCAGTTCTCATCAGGTGCGGTTCTGGTTCTCACCTTGTAGAACTGGACAGGGGAGGAGCTGCTGCCGTCCGTAGCGGCGACCACGATGTTCCCTCCCCCGGTGAAGGCGATGTCTGCTAACGCCACACGGCCTCTCAGCCGGCACAGACTCTCGCTCGCCGTCAGCAGAGTGCTCCCCGGCTTCAGCAGAGACACGGTGACCAGCCCGCTCACCGTCACCGCCATCCAGCCCTCCATCGGCTTCCCCCCGAACAGAGTCAGAGACGGAGAGAACTTCACACGGGAAAACTTCTCACCGAAGTTGGTGGAACCGGACTGAACCGAGAGAGAGAGAGAGAGAGAGAGAGAGAGAGAGAGAGAGAGAGAGAGAGAGAGAGAGAGAGAGAGAGAGAGAGAGAGAGAGAGAGAGAGAGAGAGAGAGAGAGAGAGAGAGACAGAGATTTTTACCTGCTCGACATCCGTCAGGTCCCTGAATCCTCGTTTACACACATGTCCAAGTATCACACCTGCACTTTAGACGTGTATCGTCTTTTCTCTTTTACCTTTTTTTATCTTATTTCAGCTTTACTGTCTTTTTAGCTTTTGTTAAACTTGTACTCTTTTCTTTCTTTTTATTTTTATTTTTTATTTTTTTTTAATTTTTATTTTTATTTTTTTATTGTTGTTTTCATTTGTATTTGTTAACCCTTTTGTGTCTGTGTATATGTGTATGCATGGGCATACATGTATATTTAGATGTTAATATATATACATATATATTAAGTTGTTATGGGTGTTACTTTAATGATGTTTCCTGTTCTGTTATAACTTCCATTACTATCTATAGTCTTTTTTTTTTTTTTTTTTTTTACCCATTATTTTAAATTACTTGCTTATTAGGTGTTTGTATGTATTCAGTTATTTTTATATATTTATTTATGTATTTATTTATTTTTATGTATATATCATTTATATTTTGTGAATTGATATAATTATAATTACATATAGTATATATATTGTATATTTTCTATTACTATAGTTATTATTCTATTTTATAGTATGTGTATGTATATGTACATTTATTGTTATATACTTATTAATATTTTTTTTATTATTTTATCTTATTTTATTCATATATTTTCTTGTATCTCAACGATGATTTGTGTAGAGATTGTGATTGCTTTATGTTTAGCTACATTGATGCAGCCGATCCAACAAGGCAAGTGGTACAAGGAGTAGCACAGTGGCGTATTTTGCAAACCAGAGAGGAATGAGTGCAGTTGGTGGTGACTTGGGGAGGGAGGGAGGGATGTTTTGTGTTTTTGTGTTTGTGTTTGTACTGTTTAAAAGAAAAATGGAAATAAAAAATGTTAATCATAAAAAAAAACTTGTACTCTTTTCTTAATTAACCTTTTAGACCTTTTATTGTTTCTGTTTTTGTCTCTCGCTCATTTCTGTTGCTCTATTTTATCACTATTATTATTATCAGTATTACTTTTTATCATTTTATGTAGGAGCCATAACGTTGTTTTGCTGATCGGTTATCCTGTGTTCAATTACTTTTGTCTGGTTGCCATTGGTTTCACTGGGTGTTCTTTGTTTGCAATGATACACGTCACAAAGTGTTCACATATGACATCGGATGTGTGCGTGTAATCGTTGGTCGCTGTCGAAGCTTCTTTGAAACAGTAGCAGCATGTCACATGAATATAAAGGACCTATTCTCTGCCTCAAGCAACTTTTTTTAAAGGTACCAGAAAAGCTGCAATATTTTATTATCATTATTGATATTGTCTTTTTATTTTTTTTTTTACTATCGTGTTTTCTGCTTTCAACCCCCCTTTTAATTGCATTTTCTTTATATTAACTACTTTATGTTTTTATTTTGGTTCTCATGGTCTCATTTTATGTTGCATGATTCTTGTATCGTCTTGTGAAAATGACCTTTAATTCTGTTTTAAATGAGATTTTCGTTTTTATCTGTCTTTTTCGATGTGCTCTATGACTGTTTGTCAAAGCACTTTGTAAACATCTGTTTGCTATAAAAATAAAGTTATTATTATTATTATTATTATTATTATGTGTGTGTGTGTGTTACCATCTCCACATGCAGAGCCAGCTTCACGCCGTTGTGCAGCCAGCTCAGCGCCACGATCGGGTCTCCATCCAGAGACGATGACAGGACGCTCTCCCAGCTGTTCACCAGGTGATCGGACATCGACCAGCACTTAATCTGACCGTCTCCGTCTGCAGACAGCAAACGAGAACCTGCGCGCACACACACACACACACACACACACACACACACAGGTATTTTCAAGGATCACCTGTTTGTAGTTGAAGAAGAACACACCTCTCTAACTCACTTGTGTTTTTCTGATGTCAGAAGATTTGTTACCTGGTACAAAGGTACAAACTCACCTGATTGGTCCCACTCCAGACAGGAAATGACCTCAGTGTGTCCAGAGCTGATGGAGTAAACGTCCCATGGGTGCTCAGTGTCGATAATGTGGATCATGTGACTAACATCTGAAACACAAACATAAAGGGTTAAAGGCAGACACAGGAGGTGTGTGTGTGTGTGTGTGTGTGTGTGTGTGTGTGTGTGTGTGTGTGTGTGTGTGTGTGTGTGTGTGTGTGTGTGTACCTTTATCGTCGTCCTCATTCTTCAGGTCGGTGGTGAAGGCCACCAGGTTCCTGCAGGACCAGGAGCAGACCAGCGGGATGGAGGGACAGTGGGTGCTCTTTGGACGTTTCTCCCACTCACAGACATAAGCCAGCTCCATGATTCCACCAGGTGAGAGACCCACCTGAGAGAGCACACAGGTACAGGTGTGTGAGTGAATCACAAAGCGTGTTTTCTATGAAATGATCTCGTTATCTGAGTAAGAATAATGGGGAATAGAGAGGATTCGTGAGAACTTCACTCTGATCGATCTAAACTCATACTGATCATATTTAGGTACCTTTAATGTTTTTAACTTTTTAATGCATTTCTGTTAACTTTATATCTCAGCATCCCTGACACTAAATTAAACAGTCTGTACATGTTCAGACTCTGATAATGTGCCTGCTCCTCCTCATTGAACTCCGTGTAAATAACTCTTTAAGCGGTTCTCTGTGTTCTGATACAGGCTACACTTTGAATATGAAGACAGACAGATTTCTATAAAAACAACAGATCTGTAGATTAAATACAAGCCGAATTTCAGTAAACTTCAGTGAGATTACAGTCTTGTCTTTAGACTTCAAAAATTACCAGGTCTTTAGTTGTTAGCAACAAATAAATATTATTTACAAAGAATTGTAAAGCAGTCTGGTAGTTCGCCGCTATCTTTAGCTTACCTCGCTTTGATTTCAGCTTTTGACGCAATAAAAAATAAATTTTACGGTTTACTTTACAAAAGAGGACATTTGACCTTAAACGAAGAACAAAACTTTATAACTAGGTTTAATTTCTGCTGACTTATGTTATATTTGATAACTGGTGTAACGAACCAACTAGCTTCTCTGTTCATTCAGCACAACAAAGTGTGAGGACCTCGCGGTCCACAGGGCTGCCCCTGGGTGTGCCTGATTGTAAAACACACAAGGAAGCTGTAACTCATGCGGTTATAAAGAAAATCTATGAAAAGTAAAGTTTTCTGTTGTTAGTTTCCGACCAAACACTCTTCTAATTTTTTATAAACTTATTTGATTAAGTTTGTTTCTTTCTGACTCAGTCGGTCAACCTCCTTTGCAGGTGTGCGGGAATATTATTCCCTGAGCTGTGTATTCAGGTGCATTAGTCAAACGCTGCATTTAAGACACGATCAGAAAAACTTTTGGTGACATTTGGTCTCAAATGGAGATCTGTTTGAGCTGCATATTTGTTGTATTTTTTTTTTTTTTAATGAAAATGTCTCTATTTTTTTTTTTAGTTTTCTTGTTGTTGTTAACATTGTTGGCTATATCAGACAATAACAACACACTGTGAGGTACTAGTCCACAGATAACATTTATTCATTTGAACCTTATTTTACCAGGTGGTCTCACTGAGATAAAGATCTCTTTTACATCATCATAGACAACATCCAGAATAAACAGAATTTAGCAGAAATAGATACAACATTTAGAGTAATAATCTGATAATAGAGATTTAAACCTCCAAGATAAATGAGGGGAGTCGAGTTTGAGATCGGATTGTGGTTCATTCAGCGGGATGGAGGGGTAATGGGTGGTCTTTGTACAACATTGGTGCACTAGATGAACAAACAAGACTAAGATGAAAGTCTTGTTTAGTTGATTCAGGGCAATCATCTTGGACGGGGAGCTTGGGGTACTTGAAGTTGTTTGGAGTTTCCAATTAGGAATTCTAACTTCAGGGCGGGTCAGTACCCCTATTGGGCCCCTCCAGTCAAAATATCAGAACACACACCTGCCTGACTGATCTATGGAACAACAACCTACAATTAAAATGTTTAACTCTCCCACAGATTACAAAATAAGATAATTTGTTTATGGAGTCAGTCTTGAGATTGGGATGAATTCACAGAGAGGAGAACTACGGTGGCCGAGAACTGCCAGTGCTGCAAATAAAAAAGAATGCTAAAAAATTAAGCCACAACAGAAGTTACCAATGCAAAATATAAAAGAAACCAAGGCCCGCTACAAATAAAAAAGAAACGATGCAGACCAAAAGGAAAATAAGCACAAAATTAGTTAACGATGCAAAAAAATGTGGGGATGCAAAAAAAATAAAAAAAGTTACACACTGCGAAAATAAAAAGGATGCAAATAAAACAAGCCGCAAGCGAAGTGAGCTGCCAGGGAGCAATAATGATGATGCATCAGTGTTTTACGATCTAGGCACAGAATACGACGGCGGGAAGATGAACAAAGAAGTGATAGAGAAGGAAAAAGATTTATTATTTCATTTTCGTTTCCTTCTCTAGTTTATATTCTGTTTTGAACTGAAAATATGAAAACAAACACTATTTTTTATCTTTTCGTTATACAGAAAGACAAATAAATTATTGACTTGTTTTTTTTTTTCGTTTACTAGATTGAATGGAATAATTGAAAGGCTGAATAATACACGGACCCTTCTTTTTTTGCGTATTTTATTTGCAGCAGTGGCGGTTCTCGGCCACCGTAAAGATCGAGTGGAGCCTGTCAGACAAAGCTCGGGTAAAACTCTCCTCTCCGGTGGGCCTGTGTTTCCGGTCTGCTGGTGTTTCCGTTTCTCAGCTTCAGCCGTCACTCTGCCGTTAGCTCCGTTAGCCCGTGTTAGCCTGCGCTGGCAGGAGCTCAGAGTTTTTCCAGAACCTTCAGAAGAACCGAACGGACTCTTTAACCCTCTCTGTCCGCTCCTCACACAGTCCGGACCGAGCTAGCTACGAGCTAACGCCGCTGCCGCTACACTCCCTACAGCTAGCTGTTAGCGGTTAGCTTCCTCTGCGGTATTCTTCTGTGTTAAAGCTAAAGGCTGCTAACGGAGAGAGCTAACAGTGTTAGCCAGTCAGCTGTGAGTTTAAGGAGGAGTGATCAGGTGAAAACAGCCGCGAGCATGGACACACACCTGCACACCGACTAACAGGTAAGACAGCGACATGACAACAGGCCCCCAAAATACACACAAACAACAACAACAACACAACCTCCGAGTTATCGAACACACCACGATTAATCGATAACTCTATAGAATGACATTGACGCGCAAACAGCTGACGTGTTGATGTCACATCTGTAAAGGATTAGGGTTAACAAATTCGATTAATCGATTATTTGATCATCACTGTTACATCGATTGTACGGTAGTCGACGTCAATGTCGACGTTACACGTGGTACGAAAAAACTACAAAAGCTAAACGATGCTAAAGCTAACAACAACCGGTGACGATTCAACAAAGAGCGTGTGTGTGTGTGAAACAAATAAACAAACATGATGTATCGATTAGAGCCAATTAAAGGTCCGATTGACTGATCCATCCAAGATTAAGAAACACCTACTCTGTGTGTGTGTGTGTGTGTGTGTGTGTGTGTGTGTGTGTGTGTGTGTGCCTCCTCAAAGGTGGAGGAGGTGGAGAAGGTTCTGAAAGCTGGGAAAAGAGGCAGGTGGAGGTAAAACAAGAAGCAGAAAGCAACAGTTCAGCTCCACCTGCTTCCTCTCCATCTTTGTCAGAGTTAAAGGGATATTACGGACTACAGCGGGGTGCCGCAGCTCAAGGAAGAACATTTACGATCATTTCTTCATGGAAATACAATCAGACTGAGACGCTAAGGCAGAAGAACTACCGCGTCTGCAGTGAAAAACGATTAATATGATGATTATTACTTAAAGAAAATGATAAAGAAATGATCATAAACGTTCTTCCTTGAGCTGCGGCACCTCGCTGTTGTCCGTAATGAACTAGTCTGAGGTCTCACTACAAACAAGCGTCTGCTGGAAGAGAGTAGGTGAGTTGTGTTTAGTGTCTTTGTTAAAGAAATGAGTCAAAGTTAAAAAGATGTTTGGTGTCTAGTACTATGGCTGGGGCCCTATATGTACTAACCTCAGTAGAACATGGTGTAGTTCCGCTCAGTAACAGAACCTTATTGGAAAATTAGCTGATTTAACTTTACTGTGCTCTTGTTCAAATATATCAACTCGACAGCACATAAATTCATACCTGTTAACAAAATCATGATTTTATTGATAATTCGGCTCAACAAAAACACCTTTACCTTTTCATTTTACTACAGTAGAAGTTTTTTGGCTCAGCTTATAGACTACAGAAGCGGAGAAACAACCCTGCTTAAGTTTATGTTTTCTTAGAGTTCGAACTCTTAATATAGTACTCTGGCTGTGACCCTATATGTCCTGTTGATGAAGTTAGGTGCTGTTCTGAGCATTATTTGTGGCTATAGAGTGGCGTTTTGGTCGAGCGTGTGTCTCTCTGTATTTCTATCCTGTGGTCGTTACTAAAGTTGGTATAACTAGAGAAGCAAGCGGTCGACAACATTCATCTCTGGAGGGGGGGTCTAACTCGGTGTTACGGTGTGTTTGACCCTAACTTTGTTTTATGCCAGAATATCCCTTTTATTCACCTCCACAAACTGCCACACTGCTTTTTGTCACCACTTTCTTTCCACCTCCACCTTCTGCGTCACTTTTTTACCATGTACCCTCACCTTTTCAGTCAGTCCATCTTTTTTACCCTAACCTGCTTTTCACCCACTTTCTTTCCTCCGTGCTTCACCTCTATCTGTTCCACCTCCGCCTGCTAACCTCCACCTTAGTAACCTCAACCTCTTTGGACCTCCACTGCCCCTTGCTCACTTTCCAACGAACACCTCTCCACTTTCTTCGCGTCCGCCTTCACCTCCACCAAACTCATCTCCACCTGCTGACTAGAGCTAACATGTAGAGTCTGTTATTATGAACTGTATTCATACACTTTGTTCTCTGCATGTTCTTTGAACAGTGTGTGTGTGTGTGTGTGTGTGTGTGTGACCCTGTGCTCAGTATCAGCTGCTCCTGATTGATAACAGCAGTTAACCTACATCTGCACACTGAGAATTCCTACACCTCCTGAACCGAACTGAGAATGTCGTTCAACCTGATTTCTGCTCTGAGTGTGTGTGTGCGTGCGTGTGTGTGTGTGTGTTTTCAGTGTTACTGATTTTAAATCATGAACATGTCTCTACAGCTGAGGTTTTAACAGAGATCACAGTGTTGTACCTACTGTGGTTTTTGGTTTATAAATCAGTTTACACTCACACTGAAGACTCCTGATCTGACAGATGTTTGTTCTGGATGTCGTCAATATTTTCAAACTCATTTCTGCTGAGAAGGAAATGTTCAGCTATTAAACAGATGTTTCACAAAGAGAGAATAAAGCGGCCTGAACACGCTGATCGAGATCCAAAACTTTTGCCTTCGAATGAAAGTTTGATGAGATAAAATGAGGTTAAAACAGGATGACTGAAACGATGAAAAACGATGAAAAACGGTCAACAGAAAATCATCAGAGCTTACCAAACCCATCGTCTGACTACAACCGTGAGACACCAAACATCCCAAAACCACACCCCTCAGAGACGACCCCCGGACATGATGTACCTATTAGAAATCACAGATATTGACCATGTTTTATGTCGATATTGAGAGAAATTAATTTTCAGTATATATGGTTATTGTTTTATCGCCCAGCCCTCCCCTCCTCTCACCTTCATGCCTCAGTTTGTTTCTGCATTTTACTGAAAAACCGAAGTTTTCCCAAGTTTGAGACCTTAATGATAGTGAGGGATCTTCGAGCTCCTGCCATGATGACAAACTGAGCATGCTCTGTGTTGGAGGTTCACTTCTGTCTTTTGCAGTTTGTATCTCCAGAGAAGGAAAAGTCCTGAACCAAAGCCACCACGTCTGAACCTTCGCAGCTCTGCTCCCGGTTTATCCTTCACTGTGAGTCACTGATTTATGTAAACTGATCAATAATCAAAGTATCTATGTTTGTTGTTCCTCCCACAGAGCGAGCAGTGTGCCGCACTCCACCAGCTGACTCCTCACCTGCAGGTTCATCGCTCTGATCAGAGGTCAGAGGTCAGCTTCTCCGTGGCGTCCTGCAGACATGCCGACATAAGCTCAGCTGACTCACGACCAGCTGCTCGTCTGTTCATTTATTGGTTTGTTTGGTGTGAACGTCAGAGACAGAGATCATGTCTGACAACGCGCCAAACAACAACAACAACGTCCCTCTGAACAATAACAACAACAACAACATGGGACCGAACCGGATCAGGAACCCCAACATGAACCAGAACCCCCTCATCAACGTCCGGGACCGCCTCTTCCACGCCCTCTTCTTTAAGATGGCCGTCACCTACGCCCGCCTGTTCCCTCCATCCTTCAGGAGGGTCTTTGAGTTCTTCGTGTTGCTGAAGGTGAGAACGCCGCCGCTCATTAACCCTTTCAGCTCCTCCCAGGTTTGAAAAAGGAGTAATTGAACCCCAGACACCCAGTATGTCTTTAGACTAGGGATGTGGAGATTAATCGATATGGACCGTGGTCGCGACACAGACGTGCGATTCATTCAGTGTGTGTCGGTACAATGACGGCTAAAATTCGTGATGCTTCATTCGCTGCGTGTCTGTATCGGTAATCTTCGCAGTTGCATCGGTTTTTCCATGTTGTTCTGCATTCTATCATGTGTTTCCGAGGCGTCTTGAATGCACCATCACCATTTCGCGATTTGTTTTGAAGACGGGCGGAAGCCGCAGAAGAAGAGATTTTTGATGCTCCACAAAAGTTCAAATCCAACGTTCGGAAGTACTTCGGATTTTACAAGAGAGATGGTCAACTTGACAAGACGCACATTATTTGTAAAGAACGCCGTGGTTCTAAACCTCACAGCGGCAGCACGACAAATATGGCCGCTCACTTGAAAAAACATGGTATCGATGTCACGAAAATCGCTGCTACCGGAGTGCAGGAGGCGAACAGCAACACGGGTGAGAACGAGAAAATCACAAAACACTCAAAAAAACAAAATCGGATTTCAAATTTTTTTTTAATTTTTTAAAAAAGTTTAAAAGTTTAGTTAAACAGGCTCAATGTAAAAATTTGAATGCAGAAAATGTAAACACAAGTTGTAAATATGTACATACAAAAGTATAAGTGAGATAAAATTAATGTACTGGGATGAGGGGTGAATCGTGGAGTATTGTATCGGCAGGGATTCAATGTATTGCCAATCCGGCTGTTAAGCCATGACGTAGCCGCGTTCTCTTTTTCCACTTCCGGGTCCAGCGGAGTTGTTGTTATAATGCCTCAGTGCTATGTCCCTTGCTGCTTAAACTGATCAGAGACAAAAACAGCGACTAAACTATCATTCTACATATTTCCTCCCAACAACAAAGACAACAAAATAACTTCATAATTTCTGTATTGTATCCATAGACTGTATACAGTCTATGATTGTATCACAAACACACGGCATCACATCCATTCATTCATTGAATTCAAAGCTTCGCGCACCAAAGCCTCGGGGTGTCTTTGGTTTATCATTTTACATTTATTGTCCACTTGATGGCGCAATAGAGCAAATGAAGCACGATCATGAAGCTTCGGCCCAGGAGGCGAGTAATTGAATGGAAAGCTTCGATGCTTCATGAGGCTTCATCTCGCCATCACTAAAATTTACGTTAATAACTCTATCCGAGTTGAAAGCTTTAAGTCCCTTTTTAACTCTGAGTGGTTCCCTTCTGAAAAAGGAGGTTATTTTAAAGAGATTCACGGGTTCCGCCATTGTTGTTTTGAATGGAGAGTGAATGGAGGCTGATTCCCCATGGACCCGGAAGCCGCTCCGCTCACAAAATGACGTCACGCTTAACAGCCGGATTATATCGTATCGTTGGCAGGACATCGAGGTGGGTATCTAATCTAACAGTAATGGAGATGCACATCCCTACTTTAGACTCAGTTTGTCTCTGAACTCGGGTTCAAGATGAGTGTTAACTTCAGATTAAAAGATAAATAATTTACGACTAATTAATGAGAGTTTTTTTGTAAAGAGTTGAATGCAGACAGAAATGTTTTACCTTTGAGCGAAAGCGAAGGAGAGCAGGTGTGTAATCTCAGTCCACAGAGGTCCATGGTTAGTGTCTGTCGTCCAGGTCTTTGTCATCGTTTCCTAACGCCGATGTTTTCCTGAATATTCAGACTCGCCTTTCTTTGTTTTTGTTTTTGAGGAAAACGGTTTTAATCTTCTTTTCTGTGTCCTGAGTTGATTCCATCGTTGTTGGCACTTTCTACATCAGGGGATTTTTGGAGCGCCTTCAGAAACGTTGGAACCACACACTCCTGTGAGATTTGCAGCAGACCTGCAGGATGCAGATCCCAGTGTAGTCCTGGAGCCTACAGCCTCTGTCAGAGTGTTTAGAATTCACACAGTTTCAGGATCTTTTGCTTTTTCCCTCCTTATAGAAGTGATGGTGAAATTACACCTGTCATCTCAAGTAATTTTGGACGTGCAGCAAGAAGTAACAGGAGGTTTGGGTAAAAAGATCCATTAATTAATGGTATGAAAATACATGTGAGTGTATAAACGAATGAAGGCGGCTAGAATTGATTGTTCAGATGAAGGACAGCATCACCAAACGGATCTGAGCATGCTCAGTCTGACCCCGATGTGGACGTTGTCGTGGTCTTTATGAACAGTCAGCGTGAAAACAATCCCAGAGTGTTCCTGTAAATTCAGAGGGAGTGTAATCTGCAGGAATGAGGATTAGACGGACAGAAAACGTACAGTGTGTGTTTCCCCATCAGATTAACAGCAGTCACACCTCACAGCTTTACCACTGAGGCAACACAGACTGACGAGTCTGAGCCGAGGCCGACGAGTCAGAACTCAGATCCACGAGTCAGAACTCAGGCTGATGGATGAACGGTTCTGTTGACCTCTAATGTCACATGCGTCCTTTTTTTACTCTGACAGCAGGAGTCCGTTTCAGTGGTCAGAACATTTGACTCCTGAATGAGGACTGTCAGAATATTCCAACATTGCTGCTAAAGCTCCTCAACTAGTTTAGAGTAAAATTAATTTAGGGTCAAACAACTCAGGACAGCACCTCACCTACTCACCTACTCTCTTCCAGCAGTCGCTTGTTTGTAGAGAGACCCCAGGCCTGTCCATTACAGACTACAGCGGGGTGCCGCAGCTCAAGGAAGAACATTTATGATCATTTCTTTATCATTTCCTTGAAGTAATAATCACCATATTAATCATTTTACAGACGCGGTAGTTCTTCTGTCTTAGCGTCTCGGTCTGATTGTATTTCCATGAAGAAATGATCATAAATGTTCTTCCTTGAGCTGTGGCACCCCGCTGTAGTCTGGCCTGAGGTCTCTCTACAAAGACTGTTTGAGCTGCAGACTGAAGAAGAAGAAGCTTTCTGAATCAGCGTTGATCTTTTCATGATTTAAACTGAAGCTTCAAAAATCACATTAAGGAACAATAAAGATTATTTTTCAAACTGACACCCTGCTGTGTGCCGGATTTCAAAATAAAACACCGTTTTTATAACCATAAACAGACACTGACCTGAGAGTTTGAAACAGTAAATATAAAACTTAAAGGGATATTCTGGCGTAAAAATAATTAACACCGAGTTAGACCCCCCTCCAGAGATGAATGTTGCCGACCGCTTGCTTCTCTAGTTATACCAACTTTAGTAACGACCACAGGATAGAAATACAGAGAGCCACGCCCTCAACCAAAACGCCACTCTATAACCACAAATAATGTTCAGAACAGCACCTAACTTCATCAACAGGACATATAGGGTCACAGACATAGTACTAGCCACTACAGCGGGGTGCCGCAGCTCAAGGAAGAACATTTATGATCATTTCTTCATGGAAATACAATCAGACCGAGACGCAAAGACAGAAGAACTACCGCGTCTGTAAAATGATTAATATGGTGATTATTACTTCAAGGAAATGATAAAGAAATGATCATAAATGTTCTTCCTTGAGCTGCGGCACCCCGCTGTAGTCCCTAATGAACTGGCCTGAGGTCTCACTACAAACAAGCGTCTGCTGGAAGAGAGTAGGTGAGTTGTGTTTAGTCTCTTTGCTAAAGAAATGAGTCAAAGTTAAAAAGATGTTTGGTGTCTAGTACTATGTCTGTGACCCTATATGTCCTGTTGATGAAGTTAGGTGCTGTTCTGAGCATTATTTGTGGCTATAGAGTGGCGTTTTGGTTGAGGGCGTGGCTCTCTGTATTTCTATCCTGCGGTCGTTACTAAAGTTGGTATAACTAGAGAAGCAAGCGGTCTAACTGGGTGTTACGGTGGGTTTGACCCTAAATTAATTTTACGACAGAATATCCCTTTAAAAAGAACAAAATTTTGCTCAAATTGATTTATGCTGAAATAAAAATCCACACATTGAGCAGCTGCAGGATATTTTTCCTCTCTGTAATACATTGTGACATTAAAAAAAGACACATGAATGTTTTACCATATAAATGTATTTTTCCTTCTCCTTCAACAATAAAAATTCTCACATTATATTATTTGTTATTTGGGACCTCCCCTCTGACTTTTACAGCACAGTGTCTCGAATTCTCAGACTTCTGCTCCCCCCCAACCCCCCTTAGAGACAGGAGAGGAGGGGACTACAGGTGGAGTGACACGTTACGTCAAAAGTTCCAATAAACATGGTCGACTTTTTTAGAGGTGATCAATACTTCCTGTCAATCTTTAAACCGTGTCCCAAACCCAGGAGGGCGAGTCCATCAAACAGAGACTCTCCATGTTCTTCTTCTACAGCACTACAGTACACCTGCACTGCCCAGAGGAAACACTGTGTGGCGCTCTTTCAGGGTGAAACTAATCCGTGTGACGACACTCAACACTCTGAACCTTCTCATCTTCTTCTCAGGCGCTCTTCGTCCTCTTCATCCTCGCCTACATCCACATCGCCTTCTCCCGCTCACCCATCAACTGTCTGGAGGCGGTGAGGGAGCGCTGGCCTCGTGACGGTATCCTGCGTGTGGAGATCCAGAGGAACTCCAGCCGAGCCTCCGTCTTCCTGCAGTACTATGACTCCACCGGCCTGCAGGAGGACCTGGAGGCTGAGGAGGGAGGAGGAGGAGGAGGTGTGGCCGGGCTCAGCCTGGCTGCTCTACAGGAGGAAGAGGAGGATGAGGAGGAGATGACCCTGGAGATGTTTGACAACAGCTCGGTGCAGGTGAGTGCCGCCGATTCAGCTCACCTCACAGGGAACAGGTGGGAGGGGCCAGCAGGTGTGGACAGGTGCGACCCCGCATCAGGTGTCTGACGTTGCTCCGCTCTGTGTGTTCCTGCCGCAGTTTGAGCTGGACATCGAGCCTCGTCTCAAGCCGTCTCTGATTGGAGGAGGTGTGGGAGGAGGAGGAGCAGGAGGAGGAGCTGGGGGAGGAGTCAACGACAGCCAGGACGTGTCCTTCAGCCAGACCACTAAAGGTATGCAGCCACTGAGGGACTCAGTGTCTGAGCTGGAGATGATGACCCGAGCAGGTAAACCCTCCTCCTCCTCCTTCTCCTCCTCCTCTGTCCTCTTCACCTCCTCGTCCTCCTCCTGCTTTCCTTCTTCCTCCTTCACCTGGACAGAAACACCTGCTGTATTATTTCTTTGTTTGTTGTTTAAGTGACAAACATTATTTTTCCAGAGCTTTAGAAATGAGTTGCAGTTTCCACTCACACCAGCAGGGGTCAGCATGAATCTGTTGATTTGTCACGGTAGTTTAGTTTATTTATCCATGGAGATAATACGTCACCGTCAATAATCAATCAATCTTTATTTTGAGAGCATCAGTTTGGTGCTTTAGAGCAGTGGTTCTCAGCTGGTCTCACTCTGGGAACCACATTTTCCCGTGATCTTTGATTCACGACCCACTTTTACAAAATACATACCAAACAAATTTAGTTTTTATTAAAAAAAATCAAATCTTTAACATAAATACACCGTTTTTATTGAGTAAAGGACGACAACTACTGAAGTTACAAATACAGAAAATATCAAATATCAAATTACACAAAATGGAGACCAGCAGAATGAAAAAAAAAGACTCTGCATTCAGAGCATATTCAGAAGAACCTGAGGAGGACAAAAGGGAACAAATATCAAATTAAAACAAAGACATAAAAAAAAAAACATGTATTTTTACTGCATTCAGGCCACATTAATGAGAAACTGAGGAGAACCATGACGTAACGCGTGCCTTTCAAAATAAGCTATTTTTCAAAATAAAAGACATGTCAAACATGTGATATTTACTGTTTTGACCAGCTGTTCGTGACCCATCCAGAACGTGTCCGTGACCCACTTTTGGGTCGGGACCCACCAGTTGAAAACCACTGATTTAGACTGAACTCTGTTTATATCAATTATAAGGACCTGACTTAAAAACTAAGTCACCTCCAGTGTTTTCCCGTCTTAATCCACTATGAGCAAAAATCCTCAAAAACATCTATCAGGTCAGGCAGGAACTTTGAGCAGAACCAAACTGTTTGATTTGATGCTGCAGGATTATCCTGATTTCATCTGATTATAATCCCAGTGTGTAAAAATCTAACCTCACAGGGGGCTGCAGGGTCAGCGGTGTGTCTGCTCGTGGTTTGGTTTTCACCTGCAGCACGGCTCTTTGGTCACATGATCAGCCTGCAGTGCAGAGTTTTTTAAACTTTAACTGAAGTGTTTTCTGCTGAAATACTCGGACTCTGCTTTATTGTATATGTTTCAGTTTGAGGCCTTCGTCAGGGTCACTTTAAAACATTTAAATTTAAACATTTAAAGTGTACATCTACACACACGTCAGCCAGTGGGTTTACTACAAAGTAGGTTTGCTATCATATCGTCTTGTAACTTCAGGTCAACTGTTGTCACATGTTGAGGGTCCAGTTAGAGACAGACGGTGTTCAAACTGACTGTCAGAGTTCGTCTCTTTCTAGTCAAATATTTCTTTCTGCTTGAATCGAGCGACACTGACCTTACAGGTCCAAATCTAAACCTCCAAACTTTGCTTGATCAGACCCTTGAAATAACCACCACATCTCGTTTCAAGAGTCCTCGGTGCATTTTCAGATGAAGTCTTTATTTTTGGCTCTTAGTAACGACCCCCTCAGCAGCCGTGACCTCCATGTTCAAGGACCGTCTGAAACCGTCTTTAAAAAGGCAACACCGAGAAAAAGATGCTGCAGACACATTCAGAATCAGAACCAGAATCACTTCACATGTTGATGCTGTCGTCTGACAGATTTAAAGGTCTCACACGTCTCTCTCCTCTCCTACACCAACATGTGCCAAAGAAAGAGCTCAGAACTGTGAAACAAGATTTTCCTTTATTTGAGTGGGCGAACAGATTTTACTTCTACTTGAGTAAAGACACATTAAAGTAACCTTACTTTTACATGAGATAGACTATTACTACTACTACTACTGTATACTTTTACATGAGAAGAATATTAAAGTTCTCCATCTGCCCCTAACCCTGACAGAGATGCCAACAGGTCGGAGGCTGACGAGCTGCTCTGGCGGTGCATGAAAGAATATTTTGGATTCAGTGAAAGTGGCGTAGGACAGATCGACGTGCAAAGTCATGACCTTGTATGGCAACACAACCAATTTGTATCAACAGCCGAGACAGTTCAGAGAAGAATGAGAGAGAGAGAGAGAGAGCGAGAGAGCTCAGGTACGATGAAGAGAGCGCCCGGGGCTGTCAGAGCCAAATCAAACCACAGCCGAGCTCAGGTACGGTCTCAGGGGTCATTTACGCCTGATTTCAACACGCCTCCTGGGTGATCGGATCTCGTCTGGATAGTTCTGAGTATAGGTGTGTGTTCATCTCTGAGTCTGAGTCTGCAGCCCAGAAATCAGCTGAACATCATGTTCTTGTGTTTCCAACATTCAGACTGCATAAACTAAATATTTACACGTTTTCAGTGGAGAGATAATTATCCCCGAACTCGATAACAGAGTCGGCTCGTTAATAATATCACAGTCCCTGAAGGCAGCGTCGTCCACTTTAGTCACGATCCTGCAGCACCGTGTCGAACAGCTTTCTGCTGAAGCTCTGATTAGAAATCTGCTCCATAGAAGAAAGTCATCATGACTCAGCTCAGAGGGTTCGACAGGTGACCGTCCTCTCACCTGTTCTCATCAAACGACTGCACAGGTGTGACTGTTGAGTTTCCACCCTTTTTATTTTACGATTCTTTCCCTCCTCACCTCAAACATTCAGAGACACACACAGTTCTGCCTCTCTGTCTCTGACTGTACCCGACTGTACTCTCACCCCTCTCTCTCTCTCTCTCTCTCTCTCTCTCTCTCTCTCTCTCTCTCTCTCCCTCTCAGTGTGGCCTCAGGAGGAGTACATGGTGGAGTATTCTCTGGAGTACGGCTTCCTGCGTCTCTCTCAGAGCACACGGCAGAGACTCAACATCCCCGTCATGGTCGTCACACTGGGTGAGACACACCTGTCTGAATCACACCTGTACGCGCAGGGGGACTAACCCCCAATTTTCACCGCATCTGGAACAGCTCCGATCCGGAATTCCTACCGGATCCGTTTGTGAGGCGAATTTTATGGATTACAGGAATCGCGAGAACTCACAAGAACCCGCAGATTCACGTTCAATCACGCGATAACGAGTTGTCTCTCTAAAGACAGACACATAGACATATAAGCAGTAGATTGTGTCCTTCCAGAGGAGGAAATCTACTTCTAGACTTCTAGAATCAGCATCTCCTCATCCATGGTGTCATCGGGGTGAAATGACGTCTAAAAACCTTTCACTTGTTCGTCTCCGTCCGAACAAATGAAAGGTTGTGTTTTATTTTGAAAAGAAGCCGGATGTTTTATTTTGTGTCTGTGCCCGACTTCCTGTCCAGCACGGGAAAGAAGTCGGTGTAAATTGACACGTTTACTTGAATGGTTACGATCAGCTACGATCGGAGGATACGACCTTTTAGGAGACGATCAGGATGAAGGTGGAGGTCGGGGGTACGAGCACCATTAAAGTATGTAAAGTGTGGCCCCTCCCCCTCACTTCTCGACAGCCATGTTGTTTATTTTACAGCAGGCTGGAAAACGACCCCTGACCTCTGGGTTCCAAAATCAAACAGCCTCTCGTTTAAATTTAATATTTATGTTGCGTTCAAGAACATCATAGAGACGCGGTGTAAGTTTACGCGCTCCAAAAACAACGACTCACGGTCTCGGCTTGGTTCTGGTCCTCATCCCGGACTCAGGACGATGCGAGTCGTCACCTTCAAGCAGGCAGAACTTTTCTTCAGGAGATTATTTCCTGCTGCGCTCGGCTGGAATCAAACAGCTGTTAAAGCCCCAGACAGGTCCAAAGAGAAGCACGGCGCACAGACACGCCCACCTGTCGCCGCTGACATCAGACTTGGGGAGGCGGGGTTGACGTTAATCCGAGTGTCAGAGTGCGTTTGTAAACATGACATCAGCTCTGACGGCGGGTAAAGCTCTCGTCAGGTCTGCATGTGTCGGTGTTTGTCACGGCTGGGTCGACCTTACAGTGTGTGTGTGTGTGTGTGTGTGTGTGTGTGTGTGTGTTCAGACCCAATGAAGGACGAGTGTTTCGGCGATGGATTCAGTCGCTTCCTACTGGACGAGTTTCTGGGCTACGATGACATCCTGATGTCAAGTGTGAAGGCGCTCGCCGAGAACGAGGAGAACAAAGGTGAGCCAGCACCTGTTAAGCTCCTCCCCCTCAGACAGAGTGTTTACCTGCGGGTGCTCATGATGTCACTGTGGTTCTCCGCAGGGTTCCTGAGGAACGTGGTCTCCGGAGAACATTATCGCTTCGTCAGCATGTGGATGGCGAGGACTTCATACCTGGCAGCCTTCGTCATCATGGTCATCTTTGTAAGTGATGAAATCAAAGTCACACCTGAGGAGGACAGGTGGGCCGGACTCAGAGCTCAGAAATGAACCAATCAGATCGCAGGAAGCAGAAAGATCAACTCCAGCTGAGTCAGACTGTAAACCGTGAAAACGCAGAAAAATGAGCGGGAAAAAAACAACACGTGGTTTTTGCTGTAGTCCTGTTAAAGTCCTGGTCGGCTGAGCTGTTGAGGCAGATTTGAAAAAAGCGTCCCCCCCCACACACAAACCTCTCCCCTCAAGGTTTTAGCCAATCAGAGGCAGAGAAGGGTGGGATGGGCTCGCCAAAATCAGCCCAAAGATGTTTTTTGTTTTTTTTCTGTGGTGCGTTCACTGGTCATGTTTCTGCTCCGTGTTTTTCAGACTCTGTCCGTGTCCATGCTGCTCAGATATTCTCACCACCAGATCTTCGTCTTCATCGGTCAGTAAAGAAACAAACAGACCAGACTAGACCAGTTCAGATCTTTCCAAACCAGACCGGACCGGACTGGATCTGTCCTGATCGACTAATTCAGACCAAACCTGATCAAACCAGATCAAACCAGATCAGGCCAGACTGTCTCAGTCCGGTTCATTATGACCCAGATCTGTTTGATGTAATCAGGTCTTAGTCAAAGGTCAATTGGTCATTGATAAGGTGTTGATTAGGTATTGATTTATCATTAACCTGTTATTGATCAGTTTTTGATCTGTCCCCCTCAGTGGATCTTCTTCAGATGTTGGAGATGAACATGACCATCGCTTTCCCAGCAGCCCCTCTGCTCACGGTCATCCTCGCTCTCGTTGGTGAGTTCACATCCTGAAAACAGATCAGGTTCAGGACTGCCTCTGAATCCAGATTATCAGGTTTAGACTGGTTAATCTGGATTTAGACGACTGTCCGACTTGAATATTGAAGTCTCCACGTGAGCTTCAGAGTAGAACAACAGTTTCTAAACTGTAGAGACGAGTCTTTGAGTCGAACCTAGAGCTGAGCTGTGATGTCACTTCCTGTCGTCAGGCATGGAGGCCATCATGTCAGAGTTCTTCAACGACACAACAACAGCGTTCTACATCATCCTCATCGTCTGGTTGGCCGATCAGTACGACGCCATCTGCTGCCACACCAACACCAGCAAACGCCACTGGCTGAGGTGAGTCACATGACCAACAGGACACACATGTTTACAAATGACCATTAAATGTAAACTGGACAGAATCTGACCACCAGTGACTCGACTGTTTAATGGAAGGGCTGCAGAATAATCCACATTAATTAAGTAATCATTAAATGATTAATTAAAAACTTACTAACTTAATAACTTACTTACTTTCTTACTTACTTACTAACTCATTTACTTACTTACTTAATTACTTCAGACTCACTTAATTACATACATACTTACTGACTCACTCACTCACTTACTTACTAACTAAGTAACTGACTGAATCACTCACTAACTCACTAACTTATATACTTACTTGCTTACATACTGACTTACATACTTACTAACTTACTGAGTTACTTACTTACTGACTTACATACTTACTAACTTACTGAGTCACTTACTTACTGACTTACATACTTACTAACTTACTGAGTCACTTACTTACTGACTTACATACTTACTAACTTACTGAGTCACTTACTTACTGACTTACATACTTACTAACTTACTGAGTCACTTACATACTGACTTACATACTTACTAACTTACTGAGTCACTTACATACTGACTTACATACTTACTAACTTACTGAGTCACTTACATACTGACTTACATACTAACTTACTGAGTCACTTACATACTGACTTACATACTTTCTTTCTAACTAGCTTACTTACTTACTCACTTACTTAGTAACTGACTGAATCACTCACTTACTAACTCACTGACTAACTTATATACTTACTTGCTTACCTACTGACTTACATACTTACTAACTTACTGAGTCACTTACTTACTGACTTACATACTTACTAACTTACTGAGTCACTTACATACTGACTTACATACTTACTAACTTACTGAGTCACTTACTTACTGACTTACATACTTACTAACTTACTGAGTCACTTACTTACTGACTTACATACTGACTTTCTGACTAGCTTACTTACTTACTCACTTACTTACTTAGTAACTGACTGAATCAGTCACTTACTAACTCACTGACTAACTTATATACTTACTTGCTTACCTACTGACTTACATACTTACTAACTTACTGAGTCACTTACTTACTGACTTACATACTTACTAACTTACTGAGTCACTTACATACTGACTTACATACTTACTAACTTACTGAGTCACTTACTTACTGACTTACATACTTACTAACTTACTGAGTCACTTACATACTGACTTACATACTTTCTTTCTGACTAGCTTACTTTCTTACTCACTTACTTACTTAGTAACTGACTGAATCACTAACTAACTCACTGACTTACTTATATACTTACTTACTTGCTTACTTACTGACTTACATACTTACTAACTTACTGAGTCACTTACATACTGACTTACATACTTACTAACTTACTGAGTCACTTACTTACTGACTTACATACTTACTAACTTACCTGTCCTACTTACTTACTCACTTACTTACTTAGTCACTGACTGAATCACTCACTAACTCACTGACTAACTTATATACTTACTTGCTTACATACTGACTTACATACTGACTTTCTGACTAGCTTACTTACTTACTCACTTACTTACTTAGTAACTGACTGAATCACTCACTAACTCACTGGCTTACTTATATACTTACTGACTCACTCACTTACTTGCTTACATACATACTTACTGACTTTCTGACTAGCTTACTTACTCACTTACTGACATACAAAGTCCAGCTGATCTCTGAGGGTTTTTATTTTTCTCTTGGTCCTAGAGTCTGTGCGCTTCAGTCTTTTCACTTTAATAAATGTATAAATGTGATGAGTGTGATACCTGTGTGTTCGTACAAGAACAGTAGGATGTGTGTCTGTGTTTGTGTGTGTGTGAGCAGTGTGTTTAAAGGTGTGTCTGTCTGCAGGTTCTTCTACCTGTATCACTTCGCCTTCTACGCCTATCACTACCGCTTCAACGGGCAGTACAGCAGCCTCGCGCTCGTCACCTCCTGGCTCTTCATACAGGTACCGCCTTCATATCCTCACCTGCCTTTCAAAATAAGAGCGCTGTGGTCATAGCTGAGAGAGTTGAGTGTCAGGTTTACCCGTTTCCTCCCCTCTTACTCGTGTTTCCTCCTCTCATCTTCGTCAGCACTCCATGATCTACTTCTTCCACCACTATGAGCTCCCTGCCATCCTGCAGCAGATCAGGATCCAGGAGATGTTACTTCAGAACCAACAGGCGGGCCAGGCCAATCAGACGGCCCTGCAGGACAACCTCAACAACAACCACACTGCTGCTGGACCAGGACCAGGACCAGGACCAGAACCAGGGCCAGGACCTGGACCTGACCCGGGGCCCGTCAGCACCCCTCAGCCCGGAGCTAGCACCACTTCTGGGCCTCAGACCGACGCCCAGCCCTCCTCCTCCCCACCTGCAGCAGGAGGTGTAGGGGAGGTGAGGTCCGAGCTGAACTGGGTCGCTCAGACTGCCGCTCTCATCACTGAGGCTCTGACCTCCTCCACCCAGCACCTCCCCCCCTCAGCTGGAGGAGAAGGAGCCCCAGGAGGGCAGGAGTCAGCAGGAGCAGAGCTCAGTGTGGTGGCAGAGTTTTGGGTGGGAGGGGGAGGAGGAGCAGCAGGAGGAGGAGGAGGAGGAGGAGGAGGAGCAGCAGCAGGAGGAACAGGAACCTCAGGGGGAGGAGACTCAGCAGAAGTAGCAGCGATAGGAGGAGAACCAGATTCAGTAGAGATTAAAACCTCAGCAACAGGAGAACTAAATCCTCCAATCAGAGGGCTCCCTGCAGAAGAGGCGGGGCCTCCAGCAGAGGGGGCGGGGCTCTCTGAGGTGTCCCCTGAACAGTCAGACTGCCCCCCCTCACAGAACCAAGGATCAGACTGCAGAACAGCACAGAACCTGTCCTGATTACATCATCACACCTCCACCTCAGTCTGTCCAATCAGGTCACTGATCACCGATCAGCTGATCAGCTCATCTGTTGTTCATTCTAACCTCTGTTTAATTGATCTGGATTGGTGTTTCCCTGAGGGGGCGGGGCCTACACTGTTTGGGGTCGTGTTCGTGAACCAGGAACCTGCTGATCAAATTTGTGCTGACCAATGAATCAGCTGATCGATCGATTGATTGATTTGGCCCCAGAATGAGTCTGATTTATCGTCAGTGAATCTGATTGATCTTTAAAATGTCTGAAATCCACAAAAACATCTTTAATTCTGATCACCTGTACCCAGCTGTGTGTGTGTGTGTGTGTGTCTGAATGTGTGTTAACTTAGTGTGTGTGCCTAGTGTTTCTATTTCACTGTGCCATAAACACACACACACACACACACACACACTTCAGCTCCACATGTGGATTTTTTCCACCACGCTCTCCACTCACAGTGGTCATTTAGGTTTAATCATCAGCTGTTTATATACAAACCTTCATTTTAAAGAAGGGCGGGACGCTGCGAAATATCAACAAAACCAGAACATGATGGTTTAAAAATGATTTAAACTTTTTTGGTTGAAAATAATGTGAAGAGAACAGATCAAACACTGAAACTGACAGATTTTATTGTGTTCTGAAAAACATATTTGCTCATTGTCGACTCGACGCCAGAAACATCATCTTTAAAGGAAGTGAATAAAACGAGCATAAAGTTTATTAAAAAAAAACAGCTGGACAGGTTAGTCACATGACTGGAAGGAAAAAGGTTTTGCACTCTGTGAGAGACTACGTGAGCTAACAGTTCAACAGTTTCAGAGCATTAAAGGGATATTCCGGCGTAAAATTAATTTATGGTCAAACCCACTGTAACACCGAGTTAGACCCCCCCTCCAGAGATGAATGTTGTCGACCACTTGCTTCTCTAGTTATACCAACTTTAGTAACGACCGCAGGATAGAAATACAGAGAGCCACGCCCTCAACCAAAACGCCACTCTATAGCCACAAATAATGCTCAGAACAGCACCTAACTTCATCAACAGGACATATAGGGTCACAGACATAGTACTAGACACTACAGCGGGGTTCAGTAACAGTAACAGAACCTTATTGGAAAATTAGCTGATTTAACTTCACTGTGCTCTTGTTCAAACATATTAACTCGACAGCACATATATTCATACCTGTTAACAAAATCATGATTTTATTGATAATTCGGCTCAATAAAAACACCTTTACCTTTTCATTTTACTACAGTAGAAGTTTCTTGGCCCAGCTTATAGACTACAGAAGCCCTCGCTTAAGTTTGTTTTCTTAGGAGTCAGAACAACTCTGAATATAGTACTATGTCTGTGACCCTTTATGTCCTGTTGATGAAGTTAGGTGCTGTTCTGAGCATTATTTGTGGCTATAGAGTGGCGTTTTGGTTGAGGGCGTGGCTCTCTGTATCGTTACTAAAGTTGGTATAACTAGAGAAGCAAGCGGTCGGCAACATTCATCTCTGGAGGGGGGGGCTCACTCGATGTTGCAGTGTGTTTGACCCTAAATTAATCTTGTGCCGGAATATCCCTTTAAAAACAGACAGGACTCTGAGGTAGAAATCACCGCATGGCTCTTCCTTGAGAGCTCAAAATCATAGATGTCCCCCATTGAAAACAATGAAAACACAAAAATGTCTCAGTTGATTTGTTTTTCTTTTAATTATTTAAAATCACATTTTAACCTTTAAATTATTCTTAAACCATCAGATTTTGTTTTCGTCGTCCAAACTCGGGCTGAGAGTCGATCAGCTGTTTGAAAACAGGAAGTTAAAATGTTCAAAATGAATTAGACGTCAGCTGACTGTCAAAGTAAAATCAATGACATCAGCTGATTGTAAAAAATAATGTTGATTATGAATCAGTTGGTGATTGGTCAGTTATTGATCAGTTGGTGGTTTATTGGTCAGGTGTTGATGATTGATGATGAATTATTGATCAGCCTGATTCCGACAGACTGAAGCACAAACTGAACTGTTTTATTTTTTTATGCTTTTATTTTGGAGAAAGACTCTTGGAGGACAGGAAGTGTCAGCGCTGGACTGATTGAACATGCGATCAGAACTTCCTGTCAGATTGGATGCCTTATCAATAACCCTCAGACGTCTGTGGACTATTCAGGCCAAGCGAGCTGATTGGTTGTGCAATATGACGCCGGCTGTGTCACACCTCAGGCTCCGCCTCCTGCCAGAGGGCGTGGCCTGTCACTGTGATTTGTTAAGTTAACTGAAGATGTGATGCGTTCGGGAACTCGTGATCAGCTGGGAAACTTCAGCGTGGAACAAAATGACTATATAACTATAGATAAACGTTATTGATCGCTAAACTGGAGACACAAAGAAAGAGAGAAAGAAAGAAAGAGCAAAATAAAACACAGCTGTAACCGAGTCTCATCACACAGTCAGGTAGATGGTGAACATGTTTTAGTTTGACACTGACAGTGATCGATGGATGAATAAAGGTTGAACATGTGTGTTTGATCAGTTATTGATTAATAAACCTTTGAATGCAGCGCTGATCTGAATCCTGACAGAAACATGAACACTCTGACGATCACCGGGTTTCTCTTCTCATCATTCAAGAGCTTTGTTGTAATTCCCATTTTGGCCACAAGAGGCCAATATGCTGCTGAATCCTGACTCACCTGAACACACCGCAATCCCGCACATTTGGGTGGTTTAGGGGGCGGAGCCTGAAGCGAACGACAGTGCCTGTTTTGGGGGTTTAATCGGATATTTTCACTCTGTGCCTCTGCAGGATGAGTGTCCCTGAAATCTATCGAACCGTGTCCAATAAAACAAAGAAACTAGTGAAGCAGTTTTAACAGAACGGGCCTTTAAACCGCTCACTGGATATTATTACGGACATGCCTGAGTCTGTTGGTTATGAGATGTTTTGCAGGTGCAGCAGGAGTGAAGTATAAATCAGTGAAAAGTTCAGCATCAATCCGGCTGTTTGAATCATGTAGCTCCACACCTCTGTTGTGTTCCTGCTCACACTCTCATTTTGTCAAATCTACTGGGAAACTCTCAGGATTTCGAGGTCCGACAACCTTATTATAAATAAGTTTATATGAAGAGCAATCTAAGCAAGGTGCAAGTCATCCCAGACTCCCCTGTCCTCATTAAAGGGATATTCCGGCGTAAAATTAATTTAGGGTCAAACCCACCGTAACACCGAGTTAGACCCCCCCTCCAGAGATGAATGTTGTCGACCGCTTACTTCTCTAGTTATACCAACTTTAGTAACGACCGCAGGATAGAAATACAGAGAGCCACGCCCTCAACCAAAACGCCACTCTATAGCCACTAATAATGCTCCGTAATGCTTACGGATTACAGCGGGGTGCCGCAGCTCAAGGAAGAACATTATAAAGGTCCTTACACACCGGGGCAACGCGAATATAGAACGCAAAATTACGAAATATTCAGAGGTGAAGTTTGACGCGCCTGTCTATACACATTAAGCCCGATGCGTTTTTGCGACTTTCCAGGAGGAAAAAGACGCTTTCCGGGGAAGACTTCCCCGGGGAAAGTCCCGCCTCCTTTGCCTCTGATTGGCTAGAAAAGCTGGAAATGTCATCACACGCTCAAGCCAATTGGTCAGCACTTATAGCCAATCAGAGGCGATAAGATAAGTCCATGAAACTATGGTAACAACCATTAGCTTACGTTAGCACAGATGAAAGTTCAAACAAAGACGTTTATCAAACTGTTAAAGCTCACAAACCATCGTCAGATGAGAAATCCGACGCTATGACTCTCCACAAGTCGTCCTTCAGGTCGTTATCTTTGTAATGTTTGTGTCTTTTATCAAAAATCACTTTGTTCTCCGACACGCCGGTTGGCCTTGTTGGATATACCGGTGAATCAGACGTCGCAACAACACGCAATCTGATTGGTCAGAAGTGGACACACAGTATGCGAAACTTTAGAAAAATCGACCATGATCCGAAAAAATAAATGCCGCAGTATCGCAGGACGGGAAAACGTCGCTGATGTGAACGCTTGTGTTGACAGGATACGGGTTCGGAAAATAATCACGATGTCCGGAATAATCGCATGACAAATTACACGTCCCAGCGTGAAAGGACCTTAACTTGGTGTTGCTGTGTGTTTGACCCTAGCTTAAATATACGCCGGAATATCCCTTTAATCCTTTGTGGAATCCCAAGGTCATTAGAGGTCTGAAGTGGTTTATAATCCCTTGGAAGTCAGGACACTTTCTCTTAAATTGTGAATAAAAATAAAAACAGGAACACCTCCGTACATGATCTTTATTTATTAATCATCCTGTAAACACCATCACTCTGACGTCTGTCACCAAATTAACATTAAGATCAGGTTTCTATTAAAGACAGGCAGTTTCGCTCCACAGGTTCCTGGCGTATTTCAGTCACGGTGGAAATTCTGGGAAAGGGTTTTATGTCCTGTGGTGGTTTCAGGTATGACCCCTGATTGGTCTCTGCTCACAGGTAAACGTCTTTTCTTTTGTAGACCTGAATCAGACGACAGAAAGTGTAGAAACTTCGCTCTTATTATTGCTTCGACAAACAAAGGCTGTTTGAAAACCTGCTACAGAGACTCAGAGTCCGGGATCAACGCCGTCACGGTCCAGGTTTCTCTGATCCCAAGTCTCCTTTGTCTTGTTTGGTGCTGCATTCACTGCCTGTAGTTATTTTGGGTCTCTGTCAGTCTTCAGCCTCACAGAAAGTCCAGTTTCTGCGTCATCAGAAACCTCAACACACCCTGAAACCGGTTCAGGACCAGATCAGAATCACGGCAGACATTTTAAAAAATCTGAGGAGGAAATTTCCGAGCGGACATGAACTCACCACGAGTATCTTTAGTTTGTCACACCGTCATAAAAAAAGTGTTTTGGATCATTAAATAATAATCAGAATAATTCCTTAAATGTTCATTCAACGTGTTTGGAGATAAACTAAATACACTGTTAGATAGTCCTACAATATATAAAAGATAATTACTACAATATATAAAAAATAACATTTAAGTAAAAGTTGATCTGATTTATAAAAAAATTTAATGTGGGGTACCTCAGGGGTCTATTCAGGGTCCTCAGACGTTTGTACGTTTGGTCATTTTACCTGATTTATTGTTCACTCATTAGAGTTCATTTATTATTATCATCAGTGTTATTATACTGTAAATTAAAAATATGTTATAGATGTTATAGATGACTAAAATAGTGCATCATATACAATAAACATTTTAGAAATGTATAAACTATAAAACAAATATGTAAGACTCCTATGATATGTTAACATGTTACAAGTTGATATAGACAAATATAAAATATAAACATTATGAATTTGTGTATTATGAAAGAATAAATAAGTAATATTAAAAATTAGGTTTAAGATAATGCCTTTTTAAATATTAACATGTAATAATTAAGTGTATTCTTAAACACAAAGATAAATATAGATTAAAGAACTATATAAAATAAACATGTAATAGATTATTCATAATAAAAATTGACATAAATAAGCCTGCTATAAATTATAAACATTTACTATGTTATTATATAAGAATTTATAAAGTTGAAAATGACTTTGAAATATAAACATGGCATAGATTGTTATTCTTTATATTATAATTCATTTAAACAATATTAATTATGAATCATTTAAAAATACAAGTGCAGTGAATTAAAAATATATGATATATAAACATGTTATAGTGGATTCTATAATAAGCTTTATATAATGTTTGTATATATATATATATATATATATATATTATCTAATATTTGTATTTTATAACAGCTGAAATTTAAAAAATTGTGATGTTAATGATTAAGAATATTATGAAAAACAAACTGCTATGAAGAAGTTATGAAAGAAATAAAAATTTTCAATAGATTATTTTGTAATAAATTTAAAAAGATTAGTATGTTATAGAAAAATAAACATGGCATAAATCATTTTATTATTTAATGTAAACATGTTATAGATTAAATCACTCTGAAATATAAATTTGAATTAGATTAGTGCACCATTATAAACATGTTATCATGAATGATAAAAATAAAGATGTAAAAAATTAAAGCTATTGATGAGTTCCTTTATTATATATATATCGTTAACATATAAACATGTAAAATATTGAGTGTACAGTATGAGGAAAACATGCAAAACATTATTAATTTATAAAAAATACAGATGTTATGAGTTAAAGTTTTATTATTCTAAAAATGCAAGTGAATTACAAAATATAAACATCTTAAAGTTTTTTTTAATAAACTAGTTATAGATGAGTTTATTTTGAAAAATATAAACAGGTTATAGATAATGAAAAAAACTGTTATAAATGAGTTTGTTTTTAAAAATATAAACATGTTATAGATGAGATAATTAAAAGAAACTGTTTTAGACGAGTTTAGTTTGAAAGTTATGAAAATATATGTTATAGATAAATGTGTATTTAGGAATTTTATTGAGGCTTTATTTATGTCCTGCACTATTTCAGAGGACGATTAAACTGAATGAACAAAAAGATTTTATAGGAAATAAGTTTGAAACGTTGGTATTTATTTTGTTTTTTTAGGAAGTGTTAATTAAAAAAAAAAAAACATCAGGGAGCTTGATGGCTTTTATTTTGGTCGGCAGATATTTAAACACCGGCCTCACTGCTGCCCCCTGTGGTCAGAAAACCAAAGGAGCATAAATAGGAGAAAACAAATCAGTTGTCCAATCAGCTTCCTCGTTGGTTGGGTGTAAACATTATTTGTTGTTGTTTGTTTTCTCACTCAGCTGTTTAAAATGGCTGCCGTGTGCAGCCGGTCACATGATCAGAAGGCATCACCTCCTCTGATTGGCCAGTCTGCTCTGAATGGGCCGGACTTTGGACAGGACTTTATGCGGGGGGTCCGTCATCGTTGTCACACACTTGGTATTGGCAGGCAGTGTCGTTACCGGGGCAACAAAGAGTGGGGCTCTGGGAGGTACAGCTGTTGTTGTTGTTGTTGTTGTTGTTGCTGCTGCTGATGTTGTTGTTGTTGTTGTCATAGTAGCAGCAGCTGGGCTGTCCGTCTCCGTGACGACAGGTTTGGTCAGGGTGGTCTGGATCTCCGCCCTCCTCGCCAGCGCTGTCCTCAGCTTCTCCCTCATCTGCTCAATCTGCTCCTGCAGCTCCTCCAGCTCGCCAGGTTTGGGTGGAGCCACAGGAGCGGGGGGAGGGGCAACAGACAAAGGGGGAGGCGGCTTTGCTGTAGGGGGAGGGGCTACAATTCCAGAGGGAGGAGCGGCGGTGTTAGGACGGGAAGAAGAAGAGGAGGAGGATGGGAGGGACAGCACCAAACTGGCGAGTGACGCTGGTCCGCCGTTCTGACACACTCTGCTGTTTGGCACTGCTGGTGTCTTAGCTGGCTTGTCCTGCTCTTCTTTGGCCCCGCCTCCCTTGGCTTCAGTGTTGGCGATACGAGCAAGGAGCCGGCGGGTGTTGAGAGTCTCTAGATTGAAGTGGACTCGTTTGAAGTCTCTGGCGTCCTTCACGGCAGCTGCGGTGTCTTCCTTAGCTGTCTCGTTATTCCACCTCGCTGATGCTCCGGGGACTGGAGGGGCGGGGAGTCCTGAGGTGGGCGGAGCTTTCTGCAGGTTGCAGCTAAACACAGAGAGAACAGGTTTGCTGGTTAGATAACACAGAGCTCAGGAGAGAGTTCGGGATTATCGTCAATGACATCATCGGGTTTCTGAACTCCATAAATGTATAAAAACATCCGTCAGTTTCTGATCTGGAGGATTTTCATGTTTTTTCTTAAAGATAAAAATCAGCTTCAAACAGACCTCTTCTCTTTCTCTACTTTCTGCTTCTTCACATCTTCGTACGTCATGTTCAGAGCTCGGTGGATTTTCTGTCAAAACACAAACAGACGATCAGAAAGAAACAACACAGATCTACTTCTTCACCGACAAACCAAAGGTGATTATTTAAAGAACCTGATCTTTATACCCGGAAAACATCTGAAACATCCAATAACCTTATGTAGCTTTGTCACCGCGCCTCCCCAGAACCTTCTAGATACTTTTTTTGTCATGTTTTTGTGGTTTTGTGGCAGTAACTCTTTCACATTTGTTATTTTTGTCCCATAGACCGTTAAAAACTGGACGTAGCGTTGGTGACGTCACCTGTCTGTTTGTGAGTTTTGACGCCTTTTGCAGCGACAACCAGAGGGAAGCCTTTATGCTGCTTTCCGGTTGTACTTGGAAGTCGGGATTTCCGAGCTCTGAGTCAGAAATTCATCTGGAATGTCCCCCTGATGTCGGATTACCGACTCAGAAAGTCGGACAATCCTCACCAACCCCGACTTGACGGCAACGTCATAATCCAAGATGGCAGCGGAGAGCATCAACAGTAGAGAGTAACAGTGAAAGCTCTCGTAATGTTTTATTTATCAGCACTTCTGTTTTGTTTTTGTGAAATTAAATAAGTGGTTTATGTTGTACTGCTCAACGTCGAACTGTGAACACGGTGCGATGGTGTTTGTACGAGTAAAATACTGTGTTGTGCGTCGTTTACAACTGGTATTGCTAACAACAACTGACAACCGCTGACAACGGCTAACAACGGTAACTGTAGGCATCCATCTTGGTTTTCCGACTTGTTAACTGGAACGCTGTCAACTCGGGTGTGACGTCATTTCCAGCTCCGACATCCGACTTCCGAGGTAGCTGGAACGCAGCATAACCCCCAATTTTCACCGGATCCGGAATGACGATTTTTGCTGTCTGTCAATTCCTACCGAATCCATTGGTTAGGTGAATTTCATAGCAGATTACGGACAGCGATGTTCGTGAGAACAAGAACCCGCAGATTCACGTTCAATCACACGATAACGAGTCGTCTCTCTAAAGACAGACACATAGACATATAAGCAGTAGATTGTGTCCTTCCAGAGGAGGAAATCTACTTCTAGACTTCTAGAATCAGCATCTCCTCATCCATGGTGTCATCGGGGTGAAATGACGTCTAAAAACCTTTCACTTGTTCGTCTCCACCCGTTTGCATGGTGTGAAATACGATCCTCCTGAAACATGGAGTGTTTTATTTTGAAAAGAAGCCGGATGTTTTATTTTGTGTCTGTGCCCGACTTCCTTTCCAGCACGGGTTAATCTGTGCTGAATTTATCCGCCATGCTCCGGCGTCCAGAAAAAATAGAACTCTTGTGATCAGCTGAGGAGTCCGGCGATCGGCAGAGGAACGGAAAGAAGTCGGTGTAAATTGACACGTTAACTTGAATGTCCTGATGCCATGCCTTGAAGTCCTCTTGCCAATGCGCTTGAGAGCATGAGCGTTTTTAGACAACTCTTATTTTTTGAGGTCGGCTGTAAATGTGTTCATTCTCCTAAAAATTAGCTGTTTGCATTCGTGTGTATGTGGTATTTGGCACTTCTGCAGCCAGCCTCTAGTGGACACCTGAGGAACTGCAGTTTTTAACACTTTGTCCATGAGAACCTGTAATCCTGCTCGCAGACTCACCTGAGAGGTGTGGAGCCAGTACTTCAGGTTCTGGCGGCGCCGAATGTGCGGAAGGACAAGTTTGTAGAACGCATGCTCACACGCCAGAGTCAGCAGAGCTCCGCCCACTCCGACACACAACAGCACGAAGAGACCCGAAAAGTGACTGATCCCCATCTGCAGAGTCTGAAAGAGAGGAGGACGCAGAATAAACTTCACTGAACGTCTTTATTTTGAATCCTCCGATGTCTTTAGCATCTCCACCTGACAGCTCAAATCTGTCCTTCATGACCGATGTGGCGCTAATTTTACTTTTCATACCAAGCTTACTTCCCAAGAAAATAAGCTCTGAGGACGAAGGTTAAATCAGTCCGTTCTGGGACAGTCACATACTCGGATTATTATAGAAACATAAATGTCAAAGGAATATTAACCGATTTTATGTAAAGGGGAATTATCTGTAGGTCATCCAGAGACGGAATTGCTGTCATGATCTCTGGAAGGTTTGACCATGACAACACTTACGCTGCCGTGCAATTACTCTCAGCAGACGGTCAAAATTTCTCTCTGACTTTGCATGACTGTTGGCAGCTGCGTGTTTTAAACCCCTTTGCTGACTGTTTGATTAACTTGTTTCATGACTTAGGCTAATGAACATGCACACAGAGTTCTTGAGTGTTTCTCAAACATCAGGCTGACCTCGGTGACGGCGAACACTCTGTTCCCACATGGAACTACTTTGTACCACTTGTCGTGCAGCAGGTCCATGTACCCGTCTGACTTGTACCTGCTGATGAACTCGGAGATGTTGGAGGTCAAAGGTGAGTTCTGAGGCAGGCCGATACCGTAACCTAGCAACAACAACAACAATAATGAAAAACAGAAGTAAGTGAGTGAGACGCAAACCTCCCATCAGTGTTCTTTTTAAATCTCTTTACCCCGAGTTTCGTCTCTAAGGCTTCATGCAGGCCTGTTGTAGGAGTAAGAAAGTGTGTGTGTGTGTGTGTGTGTGTGTGTGTGTGTGTGTGTGTGTGTGTGTGTCGGAGCACAAACAGCTGTGTTTGAATGTCAAACAGTTAAAGAGTCTGCAGAGTCTCTCTCTCTGATGAAATCTGATGTAACTTTATGACAGGAAGTGAACTGCAGAAACTCGCCGACGTGCCGGAGTTTCTATACATCTGAGGACCCGACAAACATGGAAAAACGCCGAGATTGTCCAAAGATCGGTTAACTGAACCGACCCCGATCATTAACGCCGACCTGACGGTCTCACACGTTGGACTGTCAAAACCTTTAACTTTGACTTATTGGAAAAAACTTCAACACTTACGACTTTGTCCTCAATTCCAGTCCGTCAGATCGCCGTATCTGTCCTCACAAAGCTGGTTACAAACACACAAGTACACACACACACACACACACACTGTGCCTCACCTTCGATGGCGAACGGTTTCCCGACAGTCGCCAGTTTGCAGTCGGCGTCGATGGAAACTTCGTAGTCCAGCAACGCTTTGTCCATGATGAAGGCGTCGAGCTGAGGGGGATCTGTCCTTCAGCACAGAGCAACATGGTTACTATGGCAACCACCGCAACCCACAAAGCAAACACAGTAACTTCTGTTTCTGAACACAGAGATGATCTGGTTTTTGGTCTGGTCCGGTCTATTTCAGTTTGTTTTTGGTCCGGCATGGTCTTAGATGGTCTGGTCCAACCTGATTTGGTTTGACATGGTCCTGTATGGTCGGTTCGGGTCTGATTTGGTTCTGGTAGGTATGATTCAGTCTGAGATGGTCTGTTCTGTTCTGGTCAGGTTTATTTCAGTCTCATTTGGTTTTGTCTGGTCCAGCTTGGTCTTGTATGGTCGGTTCTGGTCTGTTTTTTTCTTGTTTGGTTTGATCTCCTCTGGTCTGGCCTGGTGTACTCTGGTCTTGTGTGATGTGGTTTGTTCTGGTCTGGTTTGGGCTGTTCTGGACTGGTGTTTTTTGGCCTTGTCTGGTCCGGTTTGGCCCGGTATAAAAAGGTATGGTGTTCTCAGGTCATCCAGATTGTTGGGTCTGGTTTATTCTGGGACGGACTGGTCTTGTCTAGTGTTGTTCAGTCTGGTCTGATCTGATCCGGTCTTGTCTGGCCTGGTTTGGCCCGATCCAAATCACAGTCAGTACGTTTACAAGCACAGCTTCATCGGACTAAGCTCATGACTCGTCCTCGTGCAGCTGAGAAAACTGAATTATTGACGTGAACGTGTCCTCCTCCCCAACACTAGGGGGCGATATGGGTCTTTTCAGCGGCGCTGTTTCCGACCCCATACAACCGTCAACAACAACAGCAGGTCGGTGTCAGACGTCAGAAGTGTCTACAACTGCTGCTGGGCATTTTGGAGAAACAAGAAGATGGAGCATCATACAGCGTTGTTTTTGTCCGACATGATGGACGCGCTACTTTTTCTAAAGAGGAGACCAACGCTACTCCTCTACTCTGGGGGTTTGATACGGGGTTATGGGGGCGTGGCGTCATACTCCGACTACGCTGGTCACATGGTAGAGAAAATCGAATTCCAATCTCATTATCTGGGTGTCTTAATCAGAGTTCTCAAACTCTGATTATAGTCGGACTAAGGTGTTTACATGACCTTCAGTTGTCCGGTCTTAATCGGAATAAGGCGATAATTCGGTTTTCTCGATTGTCATGTAAACGTACTGATTCATAAATAAAGTCTTCTGGTTCTGATTCTGTCTCGGTTCGGTTTCTGTCTCTTACTTGAGAGTAGCGACGCCTTCAGGGGTCGTCGGTTCATTGAAGCGTCTCATGTACTCGTGCATCTCAGGGAAGCTCTTCTTCATGTAATCTTCTGCACTGCTCTCCCTCACAGTCCCGAACCTGAAACCCCATGAGGGGTGGTGCAGCTGCGACACAAACCAAAGAAGAAGAAGAAGAGGAAGAAAAAAAAAGAAGAGAGGAAGAAAAGTTGATGCGATTGGAGTGAAGGAAGAAAGAGGAGGGAAAAACGCTCAACCACAGGAAGTTGTTCAAACTTTGGACTTAAATGTTGTTTCTTTTTTTTTTTAACGTCTGCATCAACTTTTCAAAGACAAACTGCAAAGATAGTAAGGAAACTTTAGCAAAGACATAAATTAAAATGTGGGTTTAGTGCAGCTGAAGTAAAGATAGGATTGATATTGACGATGGAGATGATGTGGAGATGTTGTAGAGATGACGTGGAGATGATGAGATATGGTGTAGTGACCATGTTGAGATAGAGATATTGAAGAGATAATAAAGTCTCACGATGATAAAGAGATATTGTAGAGATGGTGTTCCGATGATGACAGACAGTGTAGACATGAACGTGTCGGTGTCCTCCTGATCAGCAGACGAAGCCCGACTCTGAGTGCGCTCTGGTTTTAAAATAAAAAGCTCATCACACAGATGAACGTTCTTTAAACCTCTGAGCTCCCAGAAGCCTCGGCTGTTTAAACACTCACTGACGGGTTTCATGCTTCAGTCGGTCGCCGAATTAAAGTTTAATTAGAACGAGGCAGGTGATCTACAGAACAAATTTAATCTGTAATTATTTCACCACAGGACACCAGGAGTGATTAAAACGTCTGAGCTGCAGTGAATGCATCACCTGAAGATTTCAACAGTTTCCTTTAGACTCCTCCTCTGTTTAAGCGAAGTACTGCTCTCGCATATTTTGCTGTGCCCCAATATATATGGGGAAAAAAAACTCGCTGGTGCAACCTACAGTTTTCATGCTTTGGTAGTTTCCTGTATAACTTCCTGTAACTTCCTTTTTGATATACTGAAATATGAAATAATTTTTCACTCTAAAATGTGAAATCTTTATCATTGTATACTATGACATTTTTTTTCATACAAAAATATGAAATTTCTCACATTCTATACTTTGACATTTTTTCCATTTTAAAGTATAATTTTTTTTTTCATTCAAAAATCTAAAATGTTTAACTTACGTTGACATTTTTTATCATGTCACGGTTGGATTTGAACCTGTTACTTCTGGGAGGACTGTGGTTCGCACACATGCATACTTACACACTAAGCCATTTGTGAGCTCCTTCAGTAAGCCATTTTTAACACACTATACTATGACGTTTTTTTCACCCTAAAATATGAAAAAAAAATTCACACTAAAATATGAAATTTTTATCGTACTATACTATGACTTTCTTTAATACTAAAATATGTTTTTTTCATTGTAAAATATGAAAATTTTATCATTCTATACTATCGCATTTTTAAACACACTATACTATGATATATTTTTCATACTTAAATATGACATTTCTAACATACTATACTATGACATTTTTATCATACTCTTCTATGCTATTTCTTATCGTACTATACTTTGACTTTCTTTAATACTAAAATATGTTTTTTTTTCATTGTAAAATATAAAACCTTTAAGATTTTATACTATAGCATTTTTAAACACACTATGCTATACTACTATACATACTCTTTTATGACATTTTTCTCATACAAAAAATAATTTTTTTTTTAAACATACTATACTTTGACTTTTTTTGACACACTATACGATGACCTATTTCTCATTGTATACTATGACATACTTTACTCACATTTTTATCTTACTATACAATTAAATTTTTTTATATTAAAATAGGATTTTTTTCACATACTATACTATGACATATGTTTAAAACTATACTGACATTTTTTTACCCTAAAATTTGAAAAATATTTTCACAGTAAAATATGAATTTTTTATCATACTATACCATGACTTTTCTTCAATACTAAAATATAAAAAAATATGAAAATTTTGAAAATATGAAGTTTTAAACACACTATTACATCGCATTTTTTCATACTAAAATATGACAATTTTCATCATACTGTACTTAAACATCTTTTTCCACACTTAAATATGAAACTTTTTTTCACACTTAAATATAATTTTTTTTATCATACTATACTATGACACCTTTAACACACTACACTATGACATTTTTAACAAACTATATTGTGACATTTTAATCATACTGTACTATGACCTTTTTAATCATATGATACTATGACATTTCATAATATTGTACTATAATATTTTTGTGACAGACAATCTGATAGGGCGGTGGTTTGCTGGGGAAGCGGTCCACAGAGGTGGCGGCATGATAGAGCTTGGGCCTGTTGGTTCCCCGCGGGGCGCTAGTTATAATAATTATTGTTATTATTAGTATGAACTAAAGCCGTTGTGGTGCCCTTGTCTTTCTGATAAAACACTTTCAGAGGATTACCACGAGACGCTCTCTGTTACGATGAGATAAAGCTGATGGTGCGTCCAATGTGTGTGTGTGTGAGAGTGTGTGATGTTAGAGCGTCTGATGAGACTTTCAGTCAGATTATCTGATCAAACAAACCGTCATCATGAAATCATTCAACCAGAAACAAAAACTCTTAAGCTGAAAGACAAAGATGTTCAAACACTCGCTCCTAAGGTTGACCTGAGATGACCAAAGCTTCACGTTGGCAGGTTTCCATCACTCAGAGTTTATCGATCAGGTTTCAAGTTTTTGTTTTCTGTTTTTTAGACCCAAACTGTCTCCTTGTTGATCTATCCTGAACCATCACAGTTTGAACACAGATTTGAACCCTGCAGTCGGGGTGTTTTAGTTTTTAATCTCTTAGTCATACAGACTTTTATCTGAGTCTGCAGAGGACAAACAGTTGTGGAATCAAGTCTTTCAAGGACTTTTACTAACGTGGTCCTGGTGATAGTTCTGGGTCGGTGCTGGATCAAACTGTGGGATTTTGTTTGTTTGTTACTTTTCATGGGTAAGAAGTGAAAGCGTCTCCATAAACCTGCTGCAGAGTTTTAAATGAACATATTAGTCCGAACATGAGACGGGTTTTCATTTGAAAAGTGTGATCGTTCTGTCTGCTCTTGCCAGTATTCTTTGGAGACAGTGCCGTGAGGATCCAGATTTTTTACTTTCATCAAGACGCCTCATCATTTCTTCTAATGTGAACGGCTGGATTTCTGGAAACTTACCGTCCAAACTATCCAAGATTAACAGGTCCTCTGTGAACTCTGCTCGTCAGGGTTGCTCTGAACAGGGATTGTGTTTGAGGTGACGGGTAACTATTTCATGCATTTTGAATCTTCTTTATATTTAACTCTGGAGCCATTTTTTTTCCGGACTGAGCGCCAGTTCTTTGGTGGCCAAAACACATAAAACTGTGTCCAAAGTAGGCACCGGTTTCAAATTAGCCCCGGGACCAGCTTTGTGGAATTTCAGGACTCTCACCTTGGCATCATGGATTCCAGACACCTCCTCAAAGGTCTTCTCTCCCACCATGACAGCAGCGAGGTTGGCGGTGTAGCTGGATAGCACCAACAGGCAGAAGATGGCCCAGAGGTTCATCAGGAACCGTCCGGTCCAGCACTTTGGGGTCTTGGAGGAGACGGTGCGCCCAAACAAGATGGCATAGCACAGGTTCAGAGCCGAGGAGTATGAGAACACCCGGACCCTGTTGCGTCCATGAGGCGTCATGCCGTACGGACTCTTCCACTCGTAAAGTGTGAGGAAGAGCGCGGTGATGTGCAGCGCCAGGAAGATGCCGACCCACATGGACCAGTGCAGAGGCCACATGAAGGCACCGATGGGGGCGGCAGTGTCCTTACTGCGCACCAAGATACCCAGGCTGGTGGAGAAGAAGGGTGAGGTGAAGTCAATGACTCGACTCCGTGCCGAGTTGATGCTGAAGGAAGTGACAGCCATGTCTGCAAGTCCATTCAGGAGGTCCCCAACCAACCCGGTCCAGCGCCCTCCTTTCCACGCACCATACTTCCCATCTCCAACGATATAGAGATCAAACTGGAATCCCAGGTCTTCAGCCAGCTTCTCCAGCAGGTCGATGCAGTAACCATAGCAACACTTGCTGTATTCTGCAGGCAGGAAGCTGCCGTTCCCTACAGCCACCTCCCTGAAGACCCGCTCCAGGACCTCCGAGCTGTTGGTGCTGGCATCCAGGCAGAACTGGCCGGCCGGACAGCTGCCTTCATCGTCCACGTCCCGCGTGAACACAAAGGGATGTTCCACCAGGGTCACCACACGGACTCGGCTACCCGCCACTGGCATCCCTGCCCTCCAGCGCCCCTTGATCCTCCGGCCGCCCCCTTCTGTCCTGTGGGGAGGTTTGGGTCCCTGCCAGACTCCCTGGTCCTCCACCTGCAGCTCCCCTCCCTCCCAGCTGCCCACGGTTACCCAGGTGGGTTGACCCAGCGCGTCCCGCCGTAGGCTCCAGATGTGGAACCGCTGAGAGGTTAGGACCTGTGACTGGTTCTGGTGGACTCGGACCGGACCCGTCAGACCTGAGAAAGATGTGTTGAACAGGAACCTGTAGGACAGGAACAGAGTAGCAGGTGACACACAGACAGGAAAGAGTTCAGGCTTTAAAGGTGTTGTAGTCAGGAACCCGTTAAAGAAGCATCTTTTTATTTTGTGTATTTACAAAAAATCTTCTAATATCAGTCAATAGTTATTAGTTATGATGACATTTGGTAATATATCGATATCTCTGTGTTCTGTCTGTGTCGTCAACATTTGAACATTTTTGAGCGGTCCGCTCTTTCTGACTGTAAACAAAGCCGTTCTCCACCTCCTCTAACCTGATTGGTTGTGAGCCAGACGCTGCTCCCCCGTGTCGTTCAGGAGCCCAAACAAAGTTAGCGTGCTACAATATCAGACAGTAGAAACCAACCAGAAAGTTCGGAAAATTGTCTGAATCCTCCTTTGGCCACGACTGCCGACACAAGCAAGAAAACACTCAAACATAAACAGTCAGCAAGAAAACAGTCAACAAGAAAACACTCACCAAGAAAACAGTCAATGAGAAAACAGTCAGCAAGAAAACAGTCAGCAAGAAAACAGTCAACACCAAACCGTTCAACAGGAAAACGGTCAACACCAAAACAGTCAACAAGAAAACAGTCAGCAAAAAAACAGTCAACAAGAAAACAGTCAGCAAGAAAACGTCAATTAAAATCAGTCAACAAGAAAACAGTCAACCATAAACAGTCAACACCAAAACAGTCAACAAGAAAACAGTCAGCAAGAAAACAGTCAACACCAAAACAGTCAACACCAAAACAGTCAACAAGAAAACAGTCAACACCAAACCAGTAAAAAAGAAAACAGTCAACAAGAAAACAGTCAACCATAAACAGTCAACAAGAAAACAGTCAACCATAAACAGTCAACAAGAAAACAGTCAACAAGAAAACAGTCAGCAAAAAAGTCAACACCAAAACAGTCAACAAGAAAACAGTCAGCAAAAAAACAGTCAACAAGAAACAGTCAGCAAGAAAACAGTCAACAAGAAAACAGTCAGCAAGAAAACGTCAATTATCATCAGTCAACAAGAAAACAGTCAACCATAAACAGTCAACACCAAAACAGTCAACAATAAAACAGTCAACAAGAAAACAGTCAACAAGAAAACAGTCAACAAGAAAACAGTCAGCAAGAAAACAGTCAACACCATACCAGTCAAAAAGAAAACAGTCAACAAGAAACAGTCAGTCAACAAGAAAACAGTCAACCAAAACAGGCAACAAGAAAACAGTCAACAAGAAAACAGCTCAGGAGCCCAAACAAAGTAAACAGTCAACAAGAAAATTGTCTGAATCAGTCAACAAGAAAACAGTCAACAAGAAAACAGTCAGCAAGAAAACAGTCAACACCAAAACAGTCAACAAGAAAACAGTCAACAAGAAAACAGTCAACAAGAAAACAGTCAGCAAGAAAACGTCAACTATAATCAGTCAACAAGAAAACAGTCAACCATAAACAGTCAACACCAAACCGGTCAAAAAGAAAACAGTCAACAAGAAAACAGTCAACAAGATAACAGTCAACCACAGTCAACACCAAAACAGTCAGCAAGAAAACAGTCAACAAGAAAACAGTCAGCAAGAAAACAGTCAACAAGAAAACAGTCAACAACAATCAACAAGAAAACTGTCAACAAGAAAACAGTCAACAAGAAAACAGTCCACACCAAAACAGGCAACAAGAAAACAGTCAGCAAGAAAACAGTCAACCATAAACAGTCAACACCAAAACAGTCAACAAAAAACAATCAACAAGAAAACAGTCAGCAAGAAAACAGTCAACACCGAACCGGTCAAAAAGAAAACAGTCTTTGGAGGAATAACGGGCGCTTAAAACGGAGGTAGACCGGACAAGAGCTAAAAAGCCGGGTCAACATAAACGATGGGGGACGCTTGGGGATCTTGGTGACCCTGTAACCTTTCTGCTGGACAGGTAAACCGCTTTAACAAAGTAAGACAAGTGTCTGTAACAGAAGTGTTTCTTGTCAAACGGACCTGCTGTAGCGTGTTGTAGCGCCATCGCTAAACTGTCCTCCTTCGGGTCCTGGACTATGTCACTTTATCCTCGTTGTAGAAGTCCTGCAAACATTGTGTTTGCTGGTAGTCTGTTGGCATCTACAGTAGCACCAATGCTTTTGACTTTCACCTTGACTGGGCCCCATTTGTAATGATCTGAAGTATTTATCTGCATTATATCTGAATTTAACTGGAACGATACGAGCGAGCAGGAGCGTCTGTTTGTGGGCAGGGCTTGAGGGGAGAGGAGGAGCTGAGGGGAAAACTGGTTGGGAGGGGTAGAGTTTACATTCAAGATTTCTCCTAAAAACTGGAACTTCCTCAGATCCTGACTACCCCAAGTCAGAACTGGTTTTACTTCAAAATAAAAGCCCCCTCACCCCCGTGTTGAACACAGGTCTAAAAGATAAAACCCACAATTGTGTCTCTGTCGAACACCGTTTTTAGTTTTTGAACCACGTCTTCACAGTCCTCCTCCAGACAGGTTATTAACTCAGACACTTAAACCTGATGATGGTTTCCTCTGACAGGTGCGTACACCTGTGCTCCATTTAACAATGTTTCAGCTCTTTTAACTCCGCCACTGCTAAGAGGAAGAGCACGCTGTGGAAAAATAGAGGCGTTGGTGTTGATTAAAGCAGAAACAGGCTGAGCAGATAAAAAGATGAGAACACTGAGAGCGATGAGGAGTAACCTTCATCACAGGGCAGGAAGCAGCAGCGTGTATCTGGAAAAACAAACTACTTATGGGAACGTTTTAGATAAATATTTGATCAATGAATAGAGAATGTATCTCCCTTTAACATATTGATTATTAAAACATGACGACCGATGGGTAGATCATGTCGAAGGATGGATCTCTACAGTCCTCAGGGGAGATCTGGTCTCCCTGACCTGGTTCTGGTCCGACAGTGGTCTCATTATATTTCCTGATGTTCGCTCAGGAAGGATTCAGAGTCCTTCTGTTCAGGTGTCAGATTGATGAGTCGGTGTGTGATCTGATTTCTTATTAACACTCTGAACTCTCTGTTCCTCTTCACGCTTTTTCCCCCCTCTGCACTTCTTTTCTTCTTCTGCAGCAGATAATCCGTCCTCTGAGGATTTCATCTTTCACTCTGAATGTGATTTCATTCACTGAGAACGTGTTTGATCTTTTCCTGTCAGTGAACTCAATGCTGTGCTTAAACATTTTATCCTGCAGCTCGTCTCCTCGTCTCCTTCACGCCTGCAGCTCGTCTCCTCGTCTCCTTCACACCTGCAGCTCATTTCCTCATCTCCTTCACGCCTGCAGCTCATCTCCTCATCTCCTTCACGCCTGCAGCTCGTCTCCTCATCTCCTTCATGCCTGCGGCTTGTCTCCTTGTCTCCTTGATCTACAGCCCGCTGTGTCCCTATAGTGCGTCTAACAGTAGTGATATAATGTTTTTTATAGTGTGTCCTTGAGTGTTTCCTACATTTTGTTCTACAGTCCTTCAAATATTTTGGGGATTTTTATTAGATTTAAAAACATCTAAAAGGTACTTTATCTTAATTAGTTAAAGAGGATCTAAAGGAAACTTTGTTTACATTTAAGAAGATCAAATATCTAAAGAAAATTTAGTTTATGTTTTATTTGATAAAAAAGCAACAAGTGGCTACTTAAGGGGAAATTGTATTTGCTAATAGAGAACTAAAGGGCCCTTTGTTTACATTCTATAAGCTTTAAAATGCTGTCCTTAAAAGGCACTTTGTTTACATTTAAAACTAAAAACTATTAGAGGGCCCTTTGTTTACATTCTATAAGCTTTAAAATGCTGTCCTTAAAAGGCACTTTGTTTACATTTAAAACTAAAAACTATTAGAGGGCCCTTTGTTTACATTCCACCTGCTAAAAAACTAATTGAAAACACTTTGTTTACATTCTATAAGCTTTAAAATGCTCCTGTCCGTGTGTCACCTGCTACTCTTGTTTACATTTTCTAACTAAAAACTAATAAAGGGCACTTTGTTTACATTTTCTAACTAAAAACTATAAGAGGGCCCTTTGTTTACATTCCACCTGCTAAAAAACAAATTGAAAACACTTTGTTTACCTTTTAATTACTAAAATGAAAACTTCACTGCCCTTTGTTTACATCATATTGTCTAAAAAAACAAATAATTTAATAATGTAATTTAAGTTTAAAAAGCAACTAGAGGGTACTTTGTTTACATTTAGTTCATTGATAGGACCACAACAGGCCAAGTTATTTATTTATTATCAGCCCAAAAGAAACCTGAGGGTGCTTCATTTACTCCTTATTAGCAAAAATATAAATATATCTATGAATAAAATAAAAACTTTAGGGTGAACTTTGTTTACGTTTTGTTCGTTAAGGAAAAAGAACAACCAGAGGCTACTCTGTTTACATCTTATGAGCTTAAAAAAGCAACTGGGGCACTTAGTTTACATTCTATAAGCTTTAAAATACTTTCCTTAGAAGACACTTTGTTTACGTTTTTTAACCAAAAACTAATAGAGGGCTCTATGTTTACATTTCACCGTCTGAAGAACAAATTGAAAACACTTAATATACCTTTTAATTGTGAAAACGGAAACTTAGGGGCACTTTGTTTACATCATGTTGGCTAAAAAAACAAACAGAGGGCAGTGTTTATAATTAATATATTAATAAAACAACTAGAGGGTACTTTGTTTACATTTTGTCCATTTACAGGACCAAAACAGGCCAATTTCTTTATCTATTAGTCGCCCAAAAGAAACCAGAGGGTGCTTCATTTTCTACTTATTGGCAAAATATAAATATATATAAATTAAATACAACATTTAGAATGAACTTTGTTTACATTTTGTTCGTCAAGGAGAAAGAACAAACACATGCTACTGTGTCTTATTAGCTTAAAAAAGAAACTGGGGTGCTTTCTTTAAATTTTGTACACTTTAAGAGCAACCACAGTGCATTTTGTTTAGATTTCATCAGCTGACTTCCACTGCAAGGACGAACGTCTCTGAAATGTCGATGCTTTATTTACAATGAAGGCACCTGAGACAGCACCTCAGTGGCCTTTTTCAAACATGAAGTTTAAAGCTCTTAAAACTATAAAAACATCCCGTGGGCTGAAAAGATCTACTGAGAACAAAGTTGACTGACTCTGTTTGTCCTTGTACCGGGATTGATTTGACAATTTCCTCATTTAGAGCTTTTTTTTCAAGAGTGCAGAGCGTCTGCAGGAATTCACCTTTTCCTCTAGAGTTTGGATTTATTTACTGTACGAAAGAGAGAGAGCGAGAGAGAGAGAGCTAGAGAGAGAGAGAGAGAGAGAGAGGGAGAGCGCTCCAGGCTGTGTAATAAATTTCTTCATGAATAAAAGTTAAACCTCCTTCATCATGTTTATATTCACACAAACAGAAAAACACTCGCAGACCCTTTCATGAATATAAATGAATTTAAATGTGCATGCGCGTGCGTGTGCATGTGTGTGTGTGCATGTGTGTGTGCGTGTGTGTGTGTGTGTGAGTGAGAGAGAGTTCCTTCAATATTAACTCCTCCCACCTGAGAGAGAGAGGTGAGGACTGAGGAATTGGAGTCACAGCTGCAGCGGAAACACGTTAATATTTCAGTCTGTCTGATGAAACCTGTTTTTATTTTTATATTTATTCATGCAGCCGAGCACTCATCATCATCTGCTCCAGCTGCTGTCAACACACTCGCACACTCATAAGTCTCTGAGTCTGTGTTTTCACTTCCTGCAGACGAAAAGATTCGTCTCAGACCAATAAGAAAAAATTCAAAGTGAAGGAATAAAACACACGTCTGACAGAAAACAACAACAACAACAACAACCTGTCTATACTAACCCATTAACACCAACCTGTTTACACTGACCTATATACAACATCCTGTTTACAACAACTCTCTGCAGACTGAAGTAAATCCAGCAGACCAGGTTCTGTAAATCTTAGTGACTCTGATAGTTTCTGAAGTAATTTTGAGCCTGTGCGGTGATTTCCACTCCAGAGTCTTGTCTGTTAATATAATATAATATAATGTAATATAATATAATATAATATGATATAACATAATATAACATAATATAATATAATATAATATAATATAATACTATGTAATATAATATAATATAATATGATATAATACTATGTAACATAATATAATATGACATAATATAATATAATATAATATAATATAATATAATATAATTTAATATAATATAATATAATACTATGTAATATAATATAATATAATATAATGTAATATAATGTAATATAATATAATATAATATAATATAACATAATATAATATAATATAATATAACAATATAATATAATATAATGTAATATAATATAATATAATATAATATAATATAATTTAATATAATATAATATAATATAATTTAATATAATATAATATAATATAATATAATATAATATAATATAATGTAATATAATATAATATAATATAATATAATATAATATAATATAACATTATATGATATACTGTAATATAATATAATATAATATAATATAATATAATATAATATAATTTAATATAATATAATATAATATAATATAATATAATATAATATAATATAATATAATATTTGACAACATGAAGAATATAATACCAAAATAATTCAAAGTGATGTTTTTACCTGGACAGGTATTGTCCTGATGAGGTCACCTGGTCATAGCAGTTTTTCATGTTCTGTATCAGAGCCAGGTCCGGTCTCACCATGGTTGCCGTGGAGACAGCTCTGGTGATGAGCATCAGGGCGTCTCTGACGTAGAAGTCCAGCGGTTTCCTCTGAACCTCGCCGTATGCCAGCAGGCCGAGCGGTAGTCCAATGGCGTGCAGCGCATCAGGGCTGAGCGGCTGGCCGAGAACCCAGTGCATCATGGGTAAGGTTAGTCCCAAGTCCTGGGCGCTGCGTAGAACCGCCGCTGCACACTGCGGGTCAGCTCCGAACAGCAGCACAGATGTCGGCAAGGACTGGTTCTGCCTGAAGTGTCGGGACAGGAAGTCGTGGATCTGAGTGTCATCATGTGACGACTGCGTCAGGTTCAGGACGGCGCGCAGGTGCCAGGTGGCCCCGCCTCCTCCAGCCCATGATTCGCCTTTATCGCTCCAATCATCCAGCAGCTGCAGGAGACCACCTGACTCCTCCCATCCTCGACACAGAACCACATTCCCCTCCCTCCGACCGGACCGCTGCAGAACCGCCAGCAGCAGATCAGACAGACTGGACTCAGGAACCCCCGTCACCATCTGCAGGTGGAACCGGTTCTACACAGAACCAACAGGACCAGGAGGGCCAGGACAGAGAAGCAGAGGGAGAAACAGACGGACAGAGTCAGAACATTAGGTCTGAGAATCACAGCACACAGACTGACCAGAGGGTGGCGCTGTTCTTAAAGTTGAATTAAACACAGTGAGAGAGTTTTAGGTTTTTATGCGTCCTGTAAAAGTCGATGTGAATATTTCAGGGTTGAAATTGAAACGCTGTATAAAAACGCTGAAATTATTGTCCATAATGTGTCGGCGTCTTCTTAACTGATTTAATTTATGAAAAAAAAAAACCCAGAGAACCATAATTTTGACCAGGTGGTGGCGCTCTCTGTGGCCCAAAAGGTCTCATCGTTCTTGGCAGGAGCTCTAGCGAATACCTCGGCATTAGCTCCAGAGCCTCCTGCTAGCTAACCTGTCACATCGCCAGCCTGTTTCTGAATCGATCGGTAGTTTAAATAAAGTTTTTAAGGTGAACTAAATTTGCATTAAATACATTAAAATGCCAAGAAAGGAAGCGACATTTCGCACATGCGCGGTACAAATCAGGTTTCTGTGACGGATCAGGTAGCGACACGGTCGGAGGAGAGCTCACCTGTCCTCTGTTCAGGAGTTTTTTTATTCTGTCGTTTGTTCATTTCTTTGATTTTGACACAGAAATACACCAACACAAAGAAAACGAGGACTTAAAAACATCCAGGTCTTCAAAAAGGACAAAGAGAACCCCAGAACCAGAACCCAGAGATTCTCAGGGTTCTGAGTCCGACCAGAAACAACATGAGAAAAACAAACCAGGACATCTCCTCTGATTCTGCAGCCAGACGGCTTATTTTTCTTCTTTTTCAGTTTCATTTTCAGGGAGAGGAGAAGAAGAAGAAAAAGAGTCTGATAACAGCGTGAATTTGGTCTGTTATTAAAGTTTAAAATCTCTCTGATCTCTCAGACGAAGACGCTCACAAAGACAAACTACAGCGATTGTTCTGATAAGTCCGATTGAACCAGATTTTGTTTTGCTGTCTTTCTGTTGCACCGCATCTGGTGTTTTTTTATCTATATGAACACGTAAGTGAAGAATGAGAGGAATCTGAGTCTAGATCTTTCCTCCTTCAATAATCAGAGACATGAAGCTCCGTCAGAGACACCGTAACAACGCCGACGGGCATCAGAAACATGACAGAGGAACCTGCAGACCCTCCAGACCGAAACCCGGAAAGATCAAACACTAGTGTGTGTGTGTGTGTGTGTGTGTGTGTGTGTGTGTGGCTCAGGAGAAGGAGGACACACAGTTCGATCCCTGGCTCCTCTCATGTGTGTGTGAATCGTGAATAAAGCTCTCTGATTGGTCAGGAAATATCACGGCGGTGGAGCTCAGATCTCATCTGAGTCCTGCTCTGACTTTATCGCCTGTTTTTGTGTCAAATTTGGATCATAAATAACAAATCAGCTCCTCCTCCTCCTCCTCCTCTTTTTCCTCTCTGCTCCTCCTCCTCCTCTTTCTTCTCATCCCTTCTCCTCCTCCTGGTCTTTGTTTTCAGTCTGATGGTTTCATTATTGTGCTCTTCATCCTGATTCGTTCTGTCTAGAATGATTTTCTGATACTCGCCTCACCCCGTCGTCTCTCCCTGCTGACCGAGCCGAGCGTCTCTCAGACTCACATCGCTCCTCCTCCTCCTCCTCCTCCTCCTCTTCCTCCTTCCTGTCCTCTCAGAATCAAGAGGAGAAATAAATCCTTTTAAGTGAGACTGTCTCCCTGTCTCCCCGTTGTCATGGTGATGCGGGGCACGGTGTCGTCTCCATGACTACGCTCTGACAGGTGGATCTTCAAGGATCAAAGAGTTGAAAAAATGTTTGATGATCAAAAAAAAAAAAACAACAAACTGAATCATCAAAAAGTTTCTGACAACCTCCAAATCCACGCCTCCCTCCGCCTGCCGACTCGTCTTTACTGTTTCTACTGAGGTCTTTACTGAGCTCTACTGAGGTCTACTGTTTCTACTGAACTCAACTGTTTCCACTGAGCTCTACTGTTTCTACTATTGTATATATACAACTATTTCTACTGAACTTTACTATTTTTACTGTTTCTAATGAGGTCTTTACTAAGCTCTACTGAGATCTACTGTTTCTACTGGTCTTTACTATTTTTACTGTTTCTACTGAGGTCTTTACTGAGCTCTACTGAGCTCTACTGTTTCTACTGAACTCAACTGTTCCCACTGAGCTCTACTGTTTCTACTATTGTATATATACAACTATTTCTACTGAACTTTACTATTTTTACTGTTTCTAATGAGGTCTTTACTAAGCTCTACTGGGTTCTACTTTTTCTACTGAGGTCAAAACTGAGCTCTATTGAGGTCTACTGTTTCTAATGAGGCCTAATGTTTCTACTGACAACTATTTCTACTGAACTTTACTATTTTTACTGTTTCTAATGAGGTCTTTACTAAACTCTACTGGGTTCTAGTGTTTCTACTGGACTCAACTGTTTCCACTGAGCTCTACTGTTTCTACTAAACTTAACTATTTTTACTGTTTCTACCGAGGTCTTAACTGAGCTCTACTGAGGTCTACTGTTTCTAATGAGGCCTAATGTTTCTACTGACAACTACTGTTTCTACTGAACTCTACTGTTTTTTATTGTTTCTACTGAGATCTACTACAGTCTACTAAAGTCTACTGAGACCTTCGGAGATCTACTGTTTCTACTGTGATCTGCTGGGTTCTACTGAGGTCTTTTCTTAGCTCTACTGAGTTCTACTGTTTCTACTGAAATTTACTGTTTCTGCTGAACTCTACAGTTTTTATGGAGCTTTACTGGTTCTACCGTTTCTGCTGTTTCTACTAAGCTCTACCGACAAAAACTGTTTTTACTGAGATCTACTGTTTCTACTGACAACTACTAAGCCCTTCTGATTTCTACTGTTTACACCTAAATCTACTGTTTCTACTGAGATCATCTCTTCTTACTTAGATCAACAGTTTTTACTTCACTCCATTGTTCTTATTGATTCTACTTTACTTAACTGATTCTACTGAACGCTGTTTCTACTGAAGTCTAATGTTTCTACTGATCTCTATTGTATCTTCAGAACTCCACTGTTCACTTTGAACCTTCTTACTGGTCTCTACTTTTTCGACTGAGTTCTACTTTTTTGTTCAACTCTACCTTTTTTTCTCTCTTCTGTTCAAACAGAATTTTACTGTTTCTGATATTTTTCTTCTGTTTCTTATGAACTCTACAGTTTTTACTTCTAGACTCTGTTTTGCTGTTCTGTCTTCTTGTTTTTTTACTGAAAATTCTCATTTCTTTTGCTCTTATTGAGTTTTCTGTTTCTGCTGAACCCAACTCTTCATTCTGTCCTCTGTCCTTAACTGAACATCATTTCTTACTGACCTCTAATTTACTGGGCTCATTTTTTATTGATTATGTCACCGTTTTTATTTTTATTCAGCTCCAAAAAAGCTGAAAATCTCCTCAAACACAAAAATAATGAAGTTACCGTGGAGCCGAGGTCGTAACTTAGAGCTAGACCAAGTCCAACCCTCCGTCAATCGTCTGTTAATCAAACTCAGGGAACAGTCAGAGATCCCGTCTGAGATCAGTGTCACCATCCGTACAATGACACACATTTACACACAACAACAAACACACTGCTGCTGAAGGACATTTCAAACCGGGAATCAAACCGCCAACCTTCTACGGAGAGGACCGGCTGTACCCCAGGGCCACGGCGGCCCTTCAGTGTCTCTAACCTGTGAAAGTGTTTCCGCAGACTGAAGCAGTAAAAGTGTCCTGAGGTTGGAATAATAAAATCAGCTGACTTTGTTCCTCTTTTTACATTTTTCCACTCAGCTGAATACAGCCGCTCCTTCCTCGTGGGGCCGCTGTATCCTGGGGCATCATGGGATATGTAGGAACAGAGGCAGAGCTTGTGTTCAAATGTTCTGTTTGGATTTTACAGAATAATGTGTGTGGAAGATAAAACCAACAGAGACGCTGGTTTGGCTGTGTGTGCAGAGGCTGTGGTTGTGAGATTCCCGGTCCTGCAGGATTTGGTGTTTATTATCCTCCCCCAGTATTTTCTGTCTCAAACAGTCAAATAAGGACAAAAAAAAAGAAAGAAATCAATGAAAATAATAAATAATGACTTTGTGCAGTCCCAGGTTCTTACAGAAACACAGCAAACAGACTCTCTGTAAACAGACTCAGAGGAAACAATTGATTTAATACGTAAAAATCTGTAAACAGGACACTAACCCGGGAGATTATGTTTGAGAGTTTGACTGAAATGAGGATGAGGAGGATGATGGAGGCCGTCCTCTTTAATCCTTCTGACCTTCTCCCTGTCTGATGAAATATCGATCTGCGGCCTGTTGCAGCAGCTCTGTGTAAGCTGAGTCCGAAGTCAAAGTCCACACTGAACCGAGCGCTCAAACAACTTCAACTGAAGCGGCTCCTCTGTTTGTCCTGAGGCACCTGAACGCAGCGTCAGTAATAATCCGATCTGATTCTGAACGCTCTGATCCACAACAGTCTGAATTTATACTGATGTAAATAAATATTTGTGAATAAACTTATTAAACTTATTACAGCCTGAGTGGATCTGAGTTTGTCTGAACAGGGTAAGATTTAACTTTATCATTATTACGATTATAGTTCATTTATTGATCACAAAATATGAAATTATTCCTCACAGGTTACTTAATGTACACCTTATATGGGCACTGACAAGGGTGTGTGTGTGTGTGTGTGTGTGTGTGTGTGTGTGTGTGTGTGTGTGTGTGTGTGTGTGTGTGTGTGTAGCATTAGGAAAGAGTTCAGGTTTAAAAGTTTCATCTCACTAAAAGCTTGTTACAGTCCAGAGATTAATGATTCAGACTGGCTCTCATCCAGTCTATCACATCCTGTTTACATCAAAGAGTCAGCCAATCAGATGGCTCCAAGCCAGTTGGACTCTAAACACCCCCAGCAAGTTCTACAAAAGTCAAAACTGGACCACTTCAGACCACATCCAACTAAATCAGTCTGCACCAGTCCACACTTGTACATGTTAGTTCAATTAAAGCGTCACTGTGCGACAAAATTTCACAACAACATTTACAGAGGGCCATGTTACAGGCTTACTATGGGCTGTAAACACTGTCTGCCATGTTAACTATAGGCTGTGTACACTGTCAGCTATGTTTACTATGGGCTGTGTACACTGTTAGCCATGTTTACTATAGGCTGTCTACAGTGTCGGCCATGTTTACTATGGGCTGTGTTCACTGTCGGTCATGTTTACTATGGACTGTCTACAGTGTCGGCCATGTTTACTATGGGCTGTAAACACTGTTAGCCATGTTATCTATGGGCTGTGTACACTGTCGGCCATGTTTACTATGGGCTGTCTACAGTGTCGGCCATGTTTACTATGGGCTGTGTTCACTGTCGGTCATGTTTACTATGGGCTGTCTACAGTGTTAGCCATGTTATCTATGGGCTGTGTACACTGTCGGCCATGTTTACTATGGGCTGTATACATTGTGTGTTACACTTGATGTCAGCTTCTTTACTAAAACTTTTCACAATGTGTTACCCTGAAAAGGGATCTACACTGGGATGCTGGTTGTTGCTAAGGATACTACCATCACCAGTGTTGTGGTTGTTGTGTTTTTATCGTTGTGTTGTTGCTGTTTTGTCGATGATGGTGTTGTTTTTAATATTATGTTGATGATTTTTTTTTCTGTTTTTTTTGTTGATGTTGTTGTTGTTGTTGTTGTTGTTGTTGATGTTGTGTTATTTTCGTAAGGCTAACAGCTGTTAGCATTACGCTAGCCATGTCAGCAGGAGGAGCTCTCACTCTGATGTTTATTTATGAACCGGAGTCCTGACTCACTGACAGCAAAGCCTGCTGGGAGAACAGCTGCTTCACACTCTGCTTCATACTGAAAAAATAAACACAGAGAAAACTTCAATCAGCTGATCAGCAGCCAATCAGCTGATCAGCAGCCAATCAGCTGAGAGGAATGTCTTATGGTGGTTTGAAGCTCAGTTTTCCTCTGCCGCTTGACTTCCTGAGCAGCTTGAGTCCTGATCCTCCTCCTCCTTCCTCCGCGGAGGATGAATGAGGAGATCCAGAGCTCCTTCTGCTCCCCCGCCAGCTGGCTCAGAGCTGGATCAGTTCTGATCCCTACACTGAGGTCTGGGATCAGAACCTGATCCGGTTCTGTGGCTGCAGACACCCCCCTCTGTTTTAAGACGTGTTTTTTTCCCCAAAGCAGATCTAAACAAACTGAGGCTGTCACTCCATCCTGTTTCCCGCTTCCTGTCTGTCAATCAAACAACCAATCAGCTCACAGCAGCAGCTGGTGTCGCCGTGGAGACGTAGTAACAGCAGGATGATCAAAGGGACTGGAGCAGGAAGTTTCGGCTTGGGGACATGCTAGATTTAAACACACACTCACACTCACAGAGAACAGACTTGAAAACCTCTCCCTCGCTCTCTCTCGGTCTCTTCTTCTCTGAAGCTGTCCCTCTTTTTTTTTTACCTGGCTGGTTGCCATGGTAACAGAGAAGGTTATATTCAGAGTTATGGAGTTCTAGTTCCTTCTGAATATTTTCTGATTTTGCATACGTTGGTGTTTCAGATCGATCGTATCTTTACTTGTAGATAAGAGGTCCTCAGAACACACGAGCGTTAACCGTGGAGTTCCACAGGGCTCGACGCTCGGACCGATTTGTTTTACTTTAATTCATATATAAAGTGAAGTAAAACAAATCTTTCCTTAAGGGGATATCATGAGAAGCTTTCTATTGATGTTTATTGTCAGCTCATTGTGTGGAGCGATGCCGTTTTTGCACTTGACTTTGAAATAACCAAACGATGTTCACCAACCAATATCGAGCTTCTTGTGGTTTGATTGAACGATAATATAAATAATCTATAAACACGGAACTTTTCAAGAACTCCATCACAAAATTAAAAATGCAAAATAAACAGATTTCAGAGGGATCTTCACTGGCTTGAATAAAACCAGGAAACATTAAATCTGGTCACTTTAAGGACGTTTCAGACTAAAATATATCAACAAAAAGTATAATGTGCTCAAATTTATGGGTTCTTCCAAAGTTCTTCACCAGCTGCAGTTTGAGATGTAAAAAGAGTGTTACAGTAATCCAGCTGTCATGAAATAAAAGTTTGTAAAATCGTCTCTGCGACTTTATAACATTAAAAAGTAAGGACTGTATCTTTGGGATGTTTCTAAAATCACAAAAGCATGACAGTACAAGTTTAGTGCTGTGTTGTTCAAAACTCAAACTGCTGCCAAACCAGATGCCAAGGGTCCTTACAACGGGCTTAATATGATCCACCAGGAACCCAGCAGATGGCAGGACTTGTTTAGCCATCTGCTGGGACCTGATAACAAGGATTTCAGTTTCACTGGGAAACGACCAAAGGAAATGTTCAGATCAGATTTAACTAAAGGAACAGATAGATAGATAGATATACTTTATTGATCCCAAACTGGGAAGTTCACTGTTCAGATCAGAGTTTTAACTTCCTGTAAAGAGTAATGGAGTGAACTAAACAGCCCAGGATGAGTGACTTCAACAGGAGGGTACAGCTGAGTATCATCCGTGTAAAGGTCTAATGTCTTTGTTTTATGTGTCCCAGGAGGAAGCATGATTACAAAAATATAAACAAGACCCAAAACTGACCCCTGAGGCACACCATACTTAACAGAGGAACATGAAGATGCAACACCAACCTTCTGGTACCAAGTTAAGATACTAACTGGTCTAAATCAATCCCCAAAATCCAGTCAAATCCAAGAGCTGTTAGTATTGATACGATATTTTCTATCCATTATTGTTACATATTTGTGAAAAACTGTTGAATAAAAGCAAATATGAAGCACACAGAGCGTTTTAAAACAGACCTAACAGTCACTTATGAGGAAAGTGGTCATAATGCTGGTAAGAAGTGCTCTGACATTGAGGTTAAAGACGCCGCCAGCGCCAAAAAAAACCCAGCTCAGCTCTTTATGCAGATGATACTCAGTTATACTTGTCACAGTATAAAAGTAAAAAGGTAATAAAGTAAGGGTGGGAAGGAAAGGTGGATACAGGTGATAGGAAGGGGTGATCGGTAGGGACAGGTAAGAAATGATGAGGATGAAAGGAGCAACAACAGGGAGATGAAAAGATGAGGACGGGTCATGAAAGGGAGAGGCAAGACACAACCATGTGGGAACAGGTGAGAAAAGTGAGGACAGGTAAGGATGGAAGGCTGGCAAGGACCAGCAATGAAGAGAAGAGGACAGGTAAGAACATGTGGGACAGGTAATGACAAAAAAAGACGGATCTATAAAGACAGGTGAGAACCAGAAAGAGAATATCGGGACAGGAAAGGACAGGTAAGAAGGAGACAGGACAGGCTGGGACAGATGCAGAGAGATTAGGACAGGTAAGAACAGGTGAGTTAAGATCAGACCAGGTAGGGACAGTTGGGAACAGGTAAAAGGAAAAGGCAAGGGCAGTGAAATGATGACATGTGAGGACAGGTAAGATAGGTGGATAAAGGTGGATAAAGGTGGGGACAGGTGGCTGTGCTCTCAGTCAGTCAGGTGTGATGTTGCCGTCCCCATGGTAACCTGTTTTTATCCTGTGAACCAAAATATTTCTGATTCCTGTTTCTTTCTGGGATCCTGAAGGCACCTCCGGGCTCAGTTAGAGTGTGTGTGTGTGTGTGTGTGTGTGTGTGTATGTGTGTGTGTGTGGGCCTGCAATCAGCAGTCTGTTTCTAAGTGTCAGCAGCTAATTATCTGCTCGTTAAGTCTCTAACGAGGGACTTTTAACGAGATTCTTACATCCCATTCACAGTTTCAACAACACTTCATCACCACTCGTTTCTGCGCACACGCAACCGCACAACAACGACACAACCGTACAACAACCGCACAACGACAACAAAAGATCGCGTTTAAGACAAACACATCTAACAACAATAAACTACTTCTCCCATAATGCACTGTGAGATAACAGTTATCACTCTTCTCTGATAATTGTTCTGATTAATTTTCATACAGAACTACAACAATAACAGAGGAATGAATTATAAACAGATGAATGAGTGAATGATGGTTAACTCTGTGATCACCTGCAGCTAAAGTTGGAGAGCAGAGAGTTTGTAAAGTGACTTTGGAGACTTTGACCGAGAGGACAGATAAAGAGGAGCAGGAGATGTGGCTGTAAAGACGGGGGGATGAGTTGCAGCAGAGGGTCGCGGCCCTGACTTGAATCAGCAGCAGATCCTGCCACAGGCCAAAGTACTCAAGCTCCAGGCTCCGGGCCAACGTGGGCCCTGGACAAAGAAATCCAGGATGAACACAGCAAACACACAACCATGAGAACACGAAACCATACGACAAACATGCAGCCAACATGACTTTATCAACATTATGATCATTTTTATTCACACGCTTGGATTCGTTCTGTCAGGCGGTGAAATAATGAGTGGTATAAATCAGTTCTGTTTTTTCTTTATGGTTTCAATTTAGTGAAATGTTTTTTTGTCCAGGTTTCTGACGCAGAATCCAAAAGCATAAATCCAGTATGAGGATGGACCCTGAAACCTCAGAGAGACAACTTTGACTTTTGATTTTAAACTGAAGAGAAACAAAAAAACATTAAAGGTGAAAAAACAGAAACAGTCTCTGTGTCTCTGTGTTAAATGGACCAGAAAACCTCCAGACATCAAACAGGTCAAGGTCAAACACACACACACATACACACACACACACACACACACTGCATGGAGCGCGCGCGCTGCCCGGGCTGCTCCAGGTGTGGTTCAGAGTCGTACCTGTGTGCGGAGCGGCTCCTCGTGCTCGAACACGCTGAGGAACGGGATCTCCAGGTAAGACGCCAGCAGGTCCACCTGTAGGAGCTCCTCGCGGCTCTGAGGGAAGGCGAGGACGGCGGAGACTCCGCGCACCACCACGCCCTCACACACGATCCGGATCACGGACTGTGGGTCCGCGGCGGCGGGCTGCCGGGACACCAGCTCCAGGCTCAGGTTGTAGGGCAGAAAGTTGTCCCGGTCCCGGTCCAGGTCCCGGTCTAAGTCCAGGTCCAAGTCCAGATCCCGGTCCCGTTCCCGGTCCCGTCTCAGAGCCGCTGCCGCGCGGTTCAGCGCCGCCTGGACCCGCACACGAGCCGCGCGCTGCGCCGGCAAGAGCGCACCGACGCGCACCGAGTGTCCGATCTGCGCCAGGAGGTGACACGGCTGAGGGTGGAGGAGACACGGAGGCGCGAGGAGGAGCAGCAACAGGAGGAAGACTCGGAGAGTCCGGGACCAGGAGGAGGAGAAGAAGGAGGAGGTGAAAGACATCCTGCCGCGCTCTCTGCATCGCTCTGCCGCTCCGCCGGTTCTCCTCCTGCTCCGCCGAAACACCGACAGGCTGCTGCTCCTCCTGCTGCTGAGGGGGAGACTGAGGCGGGAGGAGGGGGAGACGGCAGGAGGGAGGGAGGCTCCAAAAACACAGGAGGTGCAAGGGAGATCCAGAGAGAGAGGGAGAGAGAGAAAGGAGTCAAGATGAAAGAGGAGGACAAGTGAGTGAGGAGAGAGAAAAAGGAGAAACAGAGGGAGAAGACGAGAGGAGGAGGTGATTACACAGGAGGAAAAGGTGCTGAGGAGGTGAAGAGGAGGTGTTCGCTTAAAAAAAAAGAAGAGGATTATCTCAGACAGGAGGAGCAGAGGAGAGGAGAAAGAGGGGGGAAAGAGGAGAGAGAGAAGAACAAGAGGGAGAGAGGAACAGGGAGCCAAGGGAGGAGGAGGAGGAGGTGCTGGAGAGAAGAAGAGAGAAAAGATGAAGGTCAAACTTGAAAGGAGAAGGTGAAAGAAGAGGAGGAGGAGAGGAGGTGATTCGAAAGAGGAGAGAAGGAGTCAGGAGGTGAAGAAGAAGAAGGAAAGGATGAAGTGGTAAAGAGGAGGAGAGAGAGTGATGAGGAGGAGGAGGAGGAAGAGGAGGAAACAACAAGGAGGTGAGAGGAGAAAAAAAGAGGAGAAAAGGAGTAACGGATTGTGAGATTAAGAAGAAGGAGATGAAAGGGAGGAGGAGAGAGGAGGTGAAGGAAAGGAGGAGAGAGGAAGGAGGAGGTGAAGGAAAGGAGGAGAGGGAGAGAGGAGGTGAGAGAGTTAAAATATGAAGTTTGATCACTGACTCTGCTTCAAAGATTCATTCATTCATTTACTTATTTATATTTATTTATTTATTTATTTTTATTTATTCATTTATTTTTTATTTATTTATTTATTTTTATTTATTTATTTATTTATTTTTATTTATTCATTGTTTATTTATTATATATTTATGTATGTATATGTCTATTTATTTATGTCCTCACAGTGAGAGGAGTTTTTTTTTTCTTGTTTTTTTTTCCTTTTGGGGGCGGGGGGGGGGGGGGGGGTCACGTGGTAATATATAACACCTTCTTTCCTGTTTGAAATAATAAACTGAGGGGACATTTTATTTTGAATGTCTTATTTCTGGAATACTCCTCCATATTTCAAAATAAAAGCCCGTGTGTGTTTTTTGCTGATTGACGCACGGGGAGTTCAGTGACGTCACGCACAGATCTGTGACGTCACACCGAGGCCAATCAAACCTTGGAAAAATCAATACGATGATTTTAAACCGACTAATCAATATTTCTATTTTAATGGAATCTGATCAACAACAACAAAGTAAAACTACAAGCAAAGTACACAACTCTCATGAAAGTACTACAGTGTAGAACCTGAGAGTACACAGCAGCAGGATATGTTTGCATTAGAGTCTTCGAGCTGCAGAATAACATCGAAGTACAAGTACACAAAAGCAACAACAGTAAATATTTGCAGAATTACTAACAGTATAAATCAAGTATCAGTACATATACTCAGAGTATACTGTATATATAGTATTTGTGCAAAGTAGCCACAAAGGATTGCAGTATTAGTGGACTGTTATATTTCCTATGTAAAACTAATACACAGTAGTCGTATAAACACAGTATTTATACACAGTGGCTGTTCACCGTAGGAAGTATAAGCAATAACTTTGTATATAAAGTTAGAATGTATGTGTATATTTGCATCAAAAGTATACAGTTGCCATACATATGTTGTATTTGTACATATTGCAGTATTAGTACTCTGTTGCAATAAATATTGGCAGTATTAGTACACAGAGGAAGTATTTTTATCTGCAGTATCAGCACACAGTTGCAGTATATGTATGCAGTATTTGTACACAGTGACAGTGTATATTTTAAGGGGACGAAAAACAGTAGCAGTATTTATGCAGTATTAATACACTGGCAGTATATGTATGCAGTATTGCTACACAGAGGTAATATATATATAAATGCAGTATTAATACACAGTGTCAGTATAAATGCAGTATTAATACACACTGGCAGTATATATATTCAATATTAGTACAAAGTAGCAGTATATATGCAGTATTAATACACAGTGACAGTTTATATATAAAGTATAAATACACAGTGGAAGTATATATGCAGTATTAATACACAGTGACAGTATATGAATGCAGTATTAGAAGACAGTGGCAGTATTTATATGCAATTTTAGTACACAGTGGCAGTATAAATGCAGTATTTATACACAGTGGTAGTATAAATGCAGTATTAGTACACAGTGGCAGTATAAATGCAGTACTTAAACACAGTGGCAGTATACATATTTGCAGTATTAGTACACAGTGGCAGTATAAATGAAGTAGTAATCCACATTGGCAGTATAAATGCAGTACTAATACAAAGTGGCAGTATAAATGCAGTACTAATACACAGTGGTAGTACATATATGCAGTATTAGTACACAGTGGCAGTATACATATATGCAGTATTTTTGCTGCAGAGGATTTGAGGGAGAATCCGGCTCGTCTTTCCTCCGTGAGGTTTTGATTCGTCATCCTGAGAACATCACAGCTGAGAGCTGGGCCAGTGTTACATAACACACACACACACACACACACACACACACACACACACACACACACACACACACACACACACACACACACACTTTATAAATCAAATCTCCTTGAGAGGAAGTGGAACACAAAAAATCAACTTCATTTAGAAAAATAAAACGTTATGATTGAACCTTAGATGTTCACACACTCGCTTTCCCTCCCTCTTTGAGACACACACACACACACACACACACACACACACACACACACACACACACACACTTGAGTTTATAAAAAATCAGGGTGTTTAACATGATGGAGTGGAAAAAGCTTAAAATTTTGAAGCCTCTCTGCGGTGGAGTTTAATCTTTTCTGTTGGTCAATAATTATTGGATTATTAGAGAAACAAATAAGTGAGTAAATGAACGACCGAACAAATTAAGTCAGTGTTGTTTCTTACAGCTGTTCATTAATTTAGTTAAAACATAAAACAGGGAAGAATGATTTCAGTTTATATTTGATTGAACATCGGTTCACAGACAACAAAGCAAACGTTGAAACTGAATAATTGAATGTTTCGTGGACATTGTACGCTCATTTAAAAATGGACTAGAAATGGTCGAGGAAGAACCAAACAGGTAAAAATGAAGTTAAAACTGAACCAAACAAAAGGAAGAAACAGGATTCAGAAACACCAGAGATGTTTATGGACCTGAGTCTGTTTAAGGTGGACTGAGGGGACGAGAAGAACTGTCCTGGGGTCTGACGGATCAAAATCTAACACTCAAGTAAGTCCAGTTGTCCTTTCAATGAAGAACTGGACATCATAGATGCTGCATCCTCAGTTTTAAACAATATCTCCAGATTTAGGACCAACATCTACTGCCATCCAGACAAAGACTTTTTCAGAGAAGACCTCCATATGATCCCAAACCACATTCTGACAACAGCATGGCTCTGTAGGAGAAGAGTCCTGGACTGATGCGGTCCTGACCAAGGAGACCCTGACCTGTTGAGTTCCACCAGCACAGAAATAAAATGGAGGGCTAACAGGTGGTTCCCATCCCAGTCTAAAGATCCAGACTGGGTTCTGGTCTGGTGGACTCTGATTAGATTTATGTTAATATTGAAGCTCGTCTGATGACACATTTTTCTGTTCCTGATCGTCTTCTTCCTGTGGAGTCATCCTCACCTGACTGCAGGCAGATCTTCACTGACCCTACATGCTTCCTCCTCCTCCTCCTCCTCCTCCTTCTCCTCCTTTTCTCCTCTTCGTCCTCTCTGGTGTCATCGCCCTGCAGCCGAGGCTTCGGGCAAAATATAAAAACAGTTCAGTGACATTTAGAGGGAGAGAGTCCGTGACAATGTGACACATGACAGACCAACACACTTACACAACCACAAAATAACAACAACAACAACAACAACAACAACAACAATAATAATGAAAAAATTATAATAACAATAATATCAATTATTATTATTATTATTTTATGATACTAATAATAACTAGATTACTGTAACAAATATTATTACTACTATTGTTATAGTAATATTAATAATAAAAATAATAATAATAATTTTATTATACTGATAAAATTAAAATCACTGTAACAATAATCATTACTATTGTTGTTATGATGAAAATAATGATAATAATAATTATAATAAACAATAATAATAATAGTATTCATTATTATTTTATTATACTGATAATAACATTACTGTAACAATTATTATTATTATTAAAAAATTATAATTACATTTGATAAAATTATAATTATTATAAAATAATAATAATTATTGTTATACAATAACACTTATAATAATAATGATAATACTTATAACTAGAATAATAATTATTGTTTTTAATGTTGTGATAGTAAAAATTATAAAAGTTATAGTACTACAAATAATAATAAAAAACTACAATATATATATATTTTTTAATAATCATAACAATTATGATTATTATTGTCATTTTTACTATCATTATTATTGTTATTATTTTAATTTTAATGATAATAATTATTATTATGATATAAATAATTAAACTTACAATTAAAATAATATTTTTTTAATGTAATTAAAAAAAATCTTAATAGTTGTAATTATTATTGTTATCATTATTATGATTATTTTTACAAATGTCCCTTAGAGGTCAAATAAAATTGTCACATTTTTAGGTATCACAAAAATATAAATTCGAACCCTTCATCATTTTATCAGTTTGACTTGAACAGGTGAGCTACAGGTGAGTTGTGATGTCACTGTGAAACTTCAGACAGGAAGTAGATAGAACGTATCAACAGTTTAGCCTGGCTGGGCCATCCAAATACGTGAACAATTTGCGTCACAAATACACACTCATAAAAACTAATATACACACAGATACAGAGATACACACACTATCCTAAACTAATACATATCCATAAACTCTTATATGCAGATACACACACTAATACACACACTCACACACTGATAGACTGACCTTGACATGAAATACTTCAGATACACACACTTCACTGATACACAGACTGATACACAGACTTTCATACACACTCATGCACAGATACACACAAAAACACACACACTGACACACACTGATTTATACGTTTTTCACTCCCCTTCATTTTTTTGTCATGTCTCAGCCCCGTTTCCCAGCAGCCCCCTCTTTATGAGGACGCTGTGATGTCACTGTGATCAGTGCTCCTGATTGGTTCTCCGTGTGTCTGATACCTTCCAGTAAAAACCCACTCTAACCGGTTTAATCCAGGTTCTTATTGGGTCACTGTGTTATATTTATTATCATCCTTATTTTTAGAGTGTGTGTTTGTGTTTGCGTGTGTGTGTGTGTTTGTGTGATCACCTGTCTCTGACCTGCCGCTGCTCTCTGACTCAGCTCAGATTATCAAAATAACCAGCTGGAGATTAACGGGTGGAGTCAGGATCCACCGAGCTGACTGTTAATGTTTCCGTTTGTCCTCCACTCTCTTATTTCATCCAGGTAAACATCGAACTTTGTCCTCCTCATGTCAGTTTTTTTGTCCTCCATATTTGTCTTTGTATGTCCTTCAGCGTGGCGGCGGCACAACAGACGCTGTTTAAATAAATCGGAGGATGTTTCTCACGTGATTTTGAGGATGGTTGGCGCTCAGGTTGCCTGCCTGAACTAGCTCACAGGCTGTGCTCCATGCCAGAGAGTTCAGTCAGTCACAGAACGTGTCCTCCTCCCCAACACTAGGGGGCGATATGGGTCTTTTCAGCGGCGCTGTTTCCGACCCCATACAACCGTCAACAACAACAGCAGGTCGGTGTCAGACGTCAGAAGTGTCTACAACTGCTGCTGGGCATTTTGGAGAAACAAGAAGATGGAGCATCGTACAGCGTTGTTTTTGTCCGACATGATGGACGCGCTACTTTTTCTAAAGAGGAGACCAATGCTACTCCTCTACTCTGGGGGTTTTTGTTACGGGGTTACGGGGGCGTGGCATTGTCTGATCATACTCCGACTACGCTGGTTACATGGTAGAGAAAATCGAATTCCAATCAGATTATCTGGGTGTCTTAATCAGAGTTCTCAAACTCCGACTATATTCGGACTAAAGTGTTTACATGACCTTCAGTTGTCCAGTCTTAATCGGAAAAAGGCGATAATTCGGTTTTCTCGAGTGTCATGGAAACGGACTGATTGATAGTCCTGGCTGGTTACAGGCGTCACAGAAACTGATGGTATCTGCGCTCTGTGATCCAGGACACACACAGCAGACAGAGGGTTGTACAAAAAACAAATGCTTTTATTTTGAAAAACCAAAAACGTACAGAAAGGTTGTGTGTGTGTGTGTGTTTGTGTGTATTTAAGGTTATGTTAGAGTGTGTCGTGTGGTTGTAGTTATGTGGGCTTGGTAAGGAGCTGGCTGCTGAAGTCGTAAAGATCTTTGTTGACTTTCTTCAAAGTTTGAACTTCCTCTTCCAGCTCTGCGACGCGAACTTTCGAGTTCTCGCCGTCGCCAAACACCGACTGAAACAGAGACACACAACAACACACAGACTGATCAGGAGGGTCCCAGTTTGCACAAAGTGTTCCTTATCTTCATCCACTCCATGAAAACACAAGGGGGTCAATATATTAGGAACACCTTCCAATAAGATTTAAGGGTGTCTGAAAACTGGCTGCTAGTTTTGTTAGTATGTTCACACTCAAACCTGCAACAGGAATCAATGCGCTATATAAGTCCCGCCCACCTTACCTTATCAGCCACTGCGTTCATCAGAGAATTCAGCCTATCAGCTTTCTGTAGGTATGACTCCTCCTCTTCCTGAAACAGGAAAAGAGCACTTCAGAATAAAAGCCTCTCAGTGACGGTGCCTCCCTCGCTCTCCCCTTGCAGACTCACCTGTGTGTGAAGTCCGAGCCGCACACACACCTCCCCCGCCTCCCCGCCGTCCTCGGCGGCGTGCAGGTGTCGGCTGAAGCGCGGCAGAGGAAGGGCGGGGCGGCTGTCGGGGAGGAACATGTTTGCCGGAGCTGCCATGATGACGGCGTTGGTCACCGGACCTGCGGACAGACAGGAAGTGATGTCAGAGAACAAGCTCTAAATATTCTTCATATTTGATAAATAACCAAATTTAGCATCAATAAAACACGAAAAAAAAATACAATTCATTAATTTCTTATCATAATAAATATCTTAACGTGATGTTAAACAGCGTCAGTGCCAATAAGCAGCACCAACATAATAACTTCACATTTTCTAACAATCACTACCCTGCTCCTCCAGAGTGAAAATAACTGTTTTATTGATCCCCGACGACGAGACTATCGACGTTTGTCAGTCCAACCATGAGAGGTATGAGGAAGTGCGATTTCAGAGAGACTCACGTGTTGGCGAGTATTTTAAAAGTCAGTCAGACCACCCCAATAAAGGGAGTTCTGTACTTGGTTGACGATTGTAGAGGTTGTTAATGATTATGAACCTCGTTTCTATGGCGACCATGGTCCTATAGTTTGATCTCCATAAAGTGAAGAGAAAAAAGAATTCGGAAAAAATCAGTTCACCCTATCAGGTGCAGGGCTGCAAAAACATTGACCAATGGGAGCCATCTGTCCCAGATGCAAATTTTTTTTTGTAGGATGGTAGGGGAAGGTCCCGCCCTCCTTCGCCTCTGATTGGCTAGAAGTGCTGGGCTCTGATTGGTTATTCCTGATGAAACGTCATTCTCTGTCAGGTTAAGGTTAGGAGATTCAGAAGTCTGATAATGTTCTGTCTGACGTTCAGAGCCGACAGTCCGTGTTTGGCTTGAACGTGTGATGACGAGTCCAGCTTTTCTAGCCAATCAGAGGTGAATGAGGCGGGACTTTCCCCTACCATCCAATCACCTCCCGGCCCTCCTCGGAGCTCTGAGCGGCTAAAAGTAGCGTAGCAGCTTAGCTACAGGAGCTGTGATGGAGAAGGACGCAAAAAAACCCACTTCTGCTCGCTCCACCGCCAAAAGAAGAGACAGCAGAGTTTTAGTTGAACAGGTCATTTTTATCTCCTTTTATCATGGCTCATGTTACATAAATAACTCTGATTAGTCTCTGACATGTCAACACGGTAGCTGTCCAGGCAGCTGCAGACGGCGCTCGCTAGCAGAGCTGGCGTTTACTGCCGCTAGTCACTAACAATCCGACATGGTGGATCCTGTTTGAAGCTAGCGTAGGATCTTCTGACAGAGGGGGCGTGTCCTGGGGAGGGCGGTACAGGTTCAGGGGGGGTGGGACGCTTTTTTAAAATCTGCCTCAACGGCTCAGTTTTTTTCTACTGCTTCTCAGATCGTTAAACAGGACTTTAAGGAGTCCACTGATCGTACCTGAGGTCAAACCTACAGTCAGAGATCTGATCTGCAGTCAGGATCACACCTGTAGTCAAAGGTCAAGGATACCTGGTTGTACCTGCGGGCAAAGATCCCGTATGAATAAAAGAAGCATCACTCTGTGAGTGTTTTAACAAGTCTTCTCTGATCGCCGATCAATCACACTAATGACCGAGGTTAACGATCGGGGTCTCAGGTGAGTATTCTCATCATGTCACAGGTGAGTCCTCGTCCCCCGGCTGTGATTTCTCGTTAATATCACATTCATGTTTAATAGCTCTTTAAATCTCCGGTCAGATCATTATTCATCTCAAACTTTCAGCTGAAACAGAAACGTCTGAACGGAGTCAGGCTGAAATATTACAGCTCCTTGTAAATACTCCTGAACGATATGAGTTATTATATTTAAGCTGCAGGTTCATTTCTGCCTGAGCGGCGACTGTTCTCACTCACAGAGACGATGTGAGCGGAATATCGAACTCTGAGCTCTCACTCTGTTTTTATTTCACAGAACAAATCTGAACACCTGAATAAAACATGGGCACACCTGAGAGACGCGGAGCGGGGCGAGAAAATGAAAGTGAGAAAAAAAAAAAATGACCGCCAGGTGACCTCACAGGTGAGAGACGGCGAGGGAGGGGGTGCTCTCAGCTGACTGCATCCCGATCCTCTTATTTTAGGTGTTGACTTTTTACAGTGGGGTTTGTTGTTTCATTTAATCTCAGAAAATGTCACTTTAATTAAATCGACCCGCCGTTAAAGCACGCCATCTGTCCGTCTATGAAATCCTCCGAGACCAGCTGATGAGCCACTCATCTCCTCTGATCTTAAAGACCCCCTGCAGGAAAAACTCATCTTGAACCTTGAACTCCTTCACCTGAGGCAGATCAGTTCCCCACCTGGAGGTAAAAGCTCCACCCTCTTCCCCCTGCAGAGCGCCACGGCGTCAGACCAGGAGGTTCTGATCGTCATCCAAACCACTTTGTAGTCGGTTATGAACCGCCTCCAGGCATGCTGGAAGATCCTCGGTGATGAATCCAACAGACCCACATCCCCTCAGGTCAGTGATAAAAAGGAGCTCTCGTATTCAAAAACACGACTCTTCCACGTTTTGGTAAAAGGTGCGACAGGAAGTGGCGTTTTTCTCTTTTTAAACTCGATTTCTTCAAGCAAACTTTCATTCAGCTCAGATCTTAGTCATGGTTGAAGACTGATTCAATAAAGTGTTAATTAAAAAGGGAATCCCCCAAGGTTTGATACCGGGCCCACTGATTTTTCACCTTTTAATCAATGATCTGCTGCGTTCCTGTTTTACTCAGAAGTCGGGATTTCTGAACTCAGAGTTGGAACTTTCGACTGGAACGACCCCCAAGGTTGGATTTCTGTAGCAAGTCCAGTGAATCTTGTCTTGGTCTAATAGCCTCTTATATCAGGGTGGAAACATCCTCCTTGAGTGAGGTTCTCTGTTTAGCAAATTCAGCAGACAGTTGGTCTATAGCCACAAGGGGTGTCACGATTCTCCAAATCCTCGGTTCGATTGCATTTTTGATTTTAGGGTCATGGTTCGATTCGATCCTCGATTTAAAAAAAAAAAAAAATTTCCTTCTGCTTAAAGCAGAAACCTATGCCATTTTTAGACTAGTCTAGTCTACGATTAGTGGTTTTTGTACCTTATTTCAAAAGAGGGGCTATACATAAGTGATGCAATTGCCATTATTCTTGTGTAATGTATCACATTAGGCATTAATGGTCAATTTTAAATAATTTATTAACAATATTGAGGTTACAATGTTGTCAGTAACATGGAAAACAACAAAAACAAATATAACAAAAATAATAGCAAAAATGAAAGTCATAGAGGGTGCTTTGCTGCCATCTACTGACTGTTATTGATTAAAGCAGTGTGTGGACTAATAAAAAAACAATGTGCAACAAAACAAAATAAATAAATAAAAATATAACAGTCATGTCCAAAGTCATGAACAATTAGCCTCAACAAACTACACCCTAACAGTTGAACAATTAAAAAAACATATAATAATCAAGTATTTTAGAATTTCTATCCCCTGAGAATGACAACTGGCATTTTTACTTTCTTCTTTCAAGTTTTTTCCTTAACAAAGATATGTTATCTCTATCTGGAGAGAGAGATGCTCTTTGAGTTATCAAAATATCAACTATTTACATATGTATGACCATTGGCCAGACAAGACAACTGTTGCTCACCGTTGCTCTGGAGGTCCAGCCATCTGTTGTTAAGGCAACTTGCTCTGCTCTCCTCAGACCCCCTGCAACTTTTCCTTTAACGTCATCATACATGGAGGGCAACACTTTTGATGAAAGATATGACCTGCTAGGTATGGCGTAGCGTGGCTCCAGTACGCTAATTAGATGGTTAAATCCAGCGTTTTCTACCACCGAAAAAGGCTGCAGGTCTGCTGCTATAAATAGCCCTATAGCCTTTGTTATGGCTTTAGCGCGAGGTGAGGTTTGTGGAAGTTTTATTCCAAGTGAAATTGGAAGTGTTGACTGGACCAGTGATGGTGTTTTCCCCGTTGTCAAATCAATATCTTTATGATGTCGGCGAATGTGTCCTGCCATGTTCGTTGTGTTTCCCGTATGGTACACGCACATAACATAGTTTACACACTGTGGTCTTCTTGTCGACAACGCGAACGCTGTCGACATAACTCACCGGGAATGCAAAATATTCCCACACCGGTGATTTAAGAGAAGCAGGAGCGGGTTCGAGCTCCGGTGTTTTTAACCTGGGGGGAGGGTTGAGGGGGGAATGTCAACCCTCTATGTAATTTCAATGATCGAGGCCATGACGTAATTTCGATCGATTTCGATCAAAAATTGAGATCGTGACATCCCTAATAGCCACCATCGCAGCTGCAGGTTTTTCTGCTGTTGTCGGAGTACTGACAGCTGCAACAGTTGCCGACTTGCTGCAGCACGTGTGGCCGGAGTTTGTACTGATTTTGTGTGTTAAGATGTGCTCATTTCTACGGAATTAGTTGAACCGACTCAGACAGACAGAATAATGTCGAAATTCGTACAGAAAAGTCGTTATTAAAGAAGGTTAAGAAAAAGTGAACCAGGAGCCTTCGCATGTGCGTCCTCTCCCTACATGTCACAACCAGAAGACCCCCGAGGTTTTGGATTTTTGACTCACAAAGTCGGAAGATCCTCACCAACCCCAACTTGACGACAACGTCATAATCCAAGATGCTAGCTCAGTGCATCAACAGTAAAGAGTAACAGTGAAAGCTTTCGTAATGTTTTATTTATTAGCACTTCTGTTTTGTTTTTGTGAAATTAAATAAGTGGTTTATGTTGTACTGCCTGACGTCTAACTGTGAACACGGTGCAACGGTGTTTGCAAGAGTAAAATACTGTGTTATGTGTTGTTTACAACTGATATAGCTAACAACGGCTAACAGTTGGCATCTATCTTGGTTTTCCGACTTGTTTACTGGAACGCTGTTAACTCAGGCGTAGCATCATTCCCAGCTCCAACATCCAACTTCAGAGGTAACTGGAACGCAGCATTTATCCCCCGGCGCTCATTTTTATCTCTATGCTGACGATACAGTCTTAGATCATCTAACAGCCGAGACACCGAACGAGCGAAAGAGAGAAAATCATCATACAGGAACCGTGTGTTTGAACGGCTTTGTCGACTTTAACTCACTCAGAATATTAAAAAGACGCTCTCTGTGGATTTTCTATTAAAAACAATAAAAACAGAAAAAAACAGATTTACAGTAGAGGGGTGAGAACCGAGGACACTAAAGAACTTGTTTAAAGATTTCAACTATAATTGTTTTTGTGAACAGAATAAAGTTATTGTTGTGTAAACTCAAACCTTCGAGGTGATTGGACCATTTTTATCAGTGTTCCTTAAAAATAAACTTTTAATGTTCATTTGATAAAGAAAACCCACATTTTCTGGATGACTGAGGCGCTGAGGCGTCCAGGACTGAATTCTCACTGTATCTAAAATAAATGAAGCGGCGCTCCGGGGTCAGGGTTTGGATCTGTCGGTGCTACTGGAGTGTCCTTGAGCAGGAGTTTGACCCTCCGCCTCATTAACAGTCACAGGACGAGGCTGACGGACTGAAATGTAAATGTGAAGAGACAAACTCCCCCCCCCCCTTTAACAGCAGGTCGCCATGACGACAAACTATGAATTATTCACAAAGACGAGAAAAAAAGAGGAGACTCTCTGTGATGTCACAAAAACTGCAGAGTCTTACTGGTTTGAAGTGGGATTACACTGGTCCCAGAAACCTGCAGCTCACATTAAACTGGAATCATCATCAGAATCACAGCAGGAGGACATTTCACAGTTTAATATCCTCGCTCTATTCTTAATTAAATGATTTTAAATCCATTAAACTCAGACGTGAGGTTGTACAGTTAACAATGACTGCTGTTGTTGTGATTGAGTTTTTTTTTTTTTCTGTCATTTTAAAACACATACACTCAAACACTAAATCAAACTCCTCCTGGTTGGACTAAAAACAAATCTGGGTAACACTTCACAATAACCATGATTTATAAATGGTTAATAGATAATTTATTAATGTTTAATCATCATTTAAAAACAGCATATAGGCCGATTATAAATGGTATAACTAGATATGGGTCTTTTCAGCGGCGCTGTTTCCGACCCCATACATCCGTCAACAACAACAACAGGTCGGTGTCAGACGTCAGAAGTGTCTACAACTGCTGCTGGGCATTTTGGAGAAACAAGAAGATGGAGCATCGTACAGCGTTGTTTTTGTCCGACATGATGGACGCGCTACTTTTTCTAAAGAGGAGACCAACGCTACTCCTCTACTCTGGGGGTTTTGTTACGGGGTTACGGGGGCGTGGCGTCATACTCCGACTACGCTGGTTACATGGTGGAGAAAATCGAATTCCAATCAGATTATCTGGGTGTCTTAATCAGAGTTCTCAAACTCTGATTATAGTCGGACTAAAGTGTTTACATGAACTTCAGTTGTCCGGTTTTAATCGGAAAAAGGCGATAATTCGGTTTTCTCAAGTGTCATAGAAACGGACTGAATGATTTCTAATTCTATGTTGAAAGGACAACTTGAGACGTTTCGCCTTGTCTCAACTAAGTCCAGTTGTCCTTTCCATGCGTAGATTCCCACTCCAGAGTCATGTGACTAACCTGTTGGACAACGTTGGTTTGAAATCATCTAAAAACCATAAAAATCTGTTTTATTTCTGATAATTTTAACCCTTAAATGTCTTTTAAACTTCGTCCCTCAGAGTTCGGAGTTCTCAAACTCCGATTATAATCAGACTAAAGTGTTTACATGACCTTCAGTTGTCCGGTCTTAATCGGAATAAGGCGATAATTCGGTTTTCTCGGGTGTCATGGAATCGTTCTGACTGATGGACACTGTCTGCTTCCACAGTACAGAATAATAATTCTTTCAGAGAATTGATAAAAAACTGATTCAAAGTTTAGATGAACGATTGTTAAATTATCTCCTCTGTTTATAATCAATGTAAAAATTAATAAAATAATAACGTAAAAACAAACAAAGGGGTCTGTTTGGTAAAAGTACTGCAGTAGTGAGCCGTGCTGAATCACCGTGACAGCTCTATTTATGACAAATATATTTCCAACTTTCATTCATTAGAGTTTGGAAACGAAACCGAGTCGGGATCAAAACAAAGCTTTGTGTTGGGGTTCGGGTTAGCTCACTTTGTTGGTTCTTAAAAAGCAGATATGTGTTCAGATTCTGAGCTTTAATCTCTGCTGATGAGACTTTCACAGATTTATGTTTCAGGTCGGTTTAAAAAAACCTTGTTAAAAGGTTTCTTCACTTCAGCTGTAAATCCTCCATAAACTGTCAGACTCCTCCTCCTGCAGTAAAAACCCAAGTCTGTGATGGAGGATGTGCGTTTGTTCTGAAAAGTAAAGTAGATTTCCTGCTTGTTGTGGTAATAGAAACCGGATAATTATCTCACACTCAATTACAAATATCGATCGGCCGCTGAGCTCCAACTGCAGGAATTACACTAATGGTCTGAAAGAGGTCCAACATGGAGACACAAATCAGACTGAGAGTCTGAGGAGCTGCCAACACACTGCAGAGAGAGCCGAGGACACACACACACACACACACACACACACACACACACACACACACACACAGAGACATAAACACACACACACAAACTGAGGAAACACCCAGAAAACTCTGTTTACAGCCAGACCATAAAAAAAGTCTGTACTGACTCACAATTTAGGTCTGGAAGTGTGGTGCATTCAGGCGTCTCTGTTCAGTCCAGAGTGATGTGTTCAGGCGTCTCAGTTTAGAATAACAAGATGTTGTTAGGTGTCTCTGTTAATGATGTGTTCAGGAAAGTCTGTTAAATACAGAATGATGTGTTCAGGTGTCTCTGTTTAAGGTGGAGTAGTCAGGAATCTGTTAAAGAAGCATCTTTTTATTTTGTGGTGTAAATACAAAACTCTTCTAATATCAGTCAATAGTTATTAGTTATTGATGACATTTGGTAATATATCGATATCTCTGTGTTCTCTTCTGTCTGTGTCGTCAACATTTGAACATTTTTGAGCGGTCCGCTCTTTCTGACTGTAAACAAAGCCGTTCTCCACCTCCTCTAACCTGATTGGTTGTGAGGCAGACGCTGCTCCCCCGTGTCGTTCAGGAGCCCAAACAAAGTTAGCGTGCTACAATATCGGACAGTAGAAACCAACCAGAAAGTTCGGAAAATTGTCTGAATCCTCCTTTGGCCACGACTGCCGACACAAGCAAGAAAACACTCAAACATAAACAGTCAGCAACAAAACAGTCAACAAGAAAACAGTCAACAAAAAACAGTCAATAAGAAAACAGTCAGCAAGAAAACAGTCAACAAGAAAACAGTCAACCATAATGAGTCAACAAGAAAACACTCAAACATAAACACTCAAACATAAACAGTCAGCAAGAAAACAGTCAGCAAAAAAAAGTCAACACCAAACCGGTCAAAAAGAAAACAGTCAGCAAAAAAACAGTCAAAAAGAAAACAGTCAACAAGAAAACAGTCAGCAAGAAAACAGTCAACAAGATAACAGTCAACCACAGTCAACACCAAAACAGTCAGCAAGAAAACAGTCAACAAGATAACAGTCAACCACAATCAACAAGAAAACAGTCAACAAGAAAACAGTCAACAAGAAAATGCTGCTCCCCCTTGTCGTTCAGGAGCCCAAACAAAGTTAGCGTGCTACAATATCGGACAGTAGAAACCAACCAGAAAGTTCGGAAAATTGCGACTGCTGACACAAGCAAGAAAACAGTCAACCATAATCAGTCAACAAGAAAACAGTCAACAAGAAAACGCTGCTCCCCCGTGTCGTTCAGGAGCCCAAACAAAGTTAGCGTGCTACAATATCGGACAGTAGAAACCAACCAGAAAGTTCGGAAAATTGTCTGAATCCTCCTTTGGCCACGACTGCCGACACAAGCAAGAAAACAAAGTAAATACCGGAGACTCTGGAGGAATAACGGGCGCTTAAAACGGAGGTAGACCGGACAAGAGCTAAAAAGCCGGGTCAACATAAACGATGGGGGACGCTTGGGGATCTTGGTGACCCTGTAACCTTTCTGCTGGACAGGTAAACCGCTTTAACAAAGTAAGACAAGTGTCTGTAACAGAAGTGTTTCTTGTCAAACGGACCTGCTGTAGCGTGTTGTAGCGCCATCGCTAAACTGTCCTCCCTCGGGTCCTGGACTATGTCACTTTATCCTAGTTGTAGAAGTCCTGCAAACATTGTGTTTGCTGGTAGTCTGTTGGCATCTACAGTAGCACCAATGCTTTTGACTTTCACCTTGACTGGGCCCCATTTGTAATGATCTGAAGGATTTATCTGCATTATATCTGAATTTAACTGGAACGATACGAGCGAGCAGGAGCGTCTGTTTGTGGGCGGGGCTTGAGGGGAGAGGAGGAGCTGAGGGGAAAACTGGTTGGAGGGGTCGAGTTTACATTCAAGATTTCTCCTAAAAACTGGAACTAACTCAGATCCTGACGACACCACCTTTGATTAAAGGGTGATGTGTTCAGGCGTCTTTATTGAATATTCATTCAGACTAAACAGACATGAAAAAGCAGTAAATCACATTTATCCATTTCCTGTGGTTCTGGTTCTGGTTTTATTTCGATCTTGGACTCGCCCCGCGTTTTTATGATTATTGTTATTAAGGCGGTATTAAGTCCAAAACTGTAGAAGGGGGTAATGCACCTAACAGCTGAGTGCCAACCGCCATAAAACGGAGAGAAGAAAAACAGGACCATTAGCCCAGTGCATTGTGGGAAACCAGCAGACTGAGTCCAACATCCTGGTACTTTTATTTTCTTTGTTTACATTCCTTCATTTTTGATATTTGAGCCAAACTGAGACAGAGTGATGTGTTCAGGCGTCTCTGTAGATCTGAGGTGTTAAAGGTGAGGCTGATATCAGAGCTGCTCTAAAGTGAGGAGGTCTCACTCTGATGTCTGTTCGGAGTCTGATCAGTCTGGTGGATGTTCGCTGATAAAGTTGGACAGGTTTCAGGAGAAGAAGATTCCTGACAGATACAGATCTTGATTCTCGCTCCGTCGTGGCGGCGGCGGCGGCGGCGAACTCTGTCTGAACTTTACATTTTATATCTGATGATAAACACGGAGCGTTTCTCAGATAAGTGATCAGCTGTGATTGTTTTCTCAGACAATAAAATGCCGGAGCATCTGCTTCTTCCTGAAGATAAGAAATAATGAGCCGGAACTTTTGTCTGTTTTTAGAAGACGTCGTTTGAGAGTATTGATCACTGATAGAGAGGAGCTGAAACGAAGCTAACGCTGTGAGAGGGATCATTAGAACAGATCTGTCTGAATCTGAAATGTGCGCCCGCAGCTGTTCCCCATCCTGATCAGTTCAAAGTCATCATTGATCATCATGGCGGTGAGACGCCATCATGGCGTTTGTTTATCCGTCAGCATGAAAACATCTGAAGATAATTTCTTCTTGATTTGATTCTGATGTTGAAACGGGAGGTCAGGATTTGAATAACATGATGAGACAAATCTATGGAGGAGGAATCTTCGTCTTCTTCTCTTCCTCCTCCTCCTCGTCTCCTTCTTCTTCCAGTCCTCCTCCTCTAATCAGTCTGCAGACAGTCAGAGGGTGTGGGAGCAGACGGGGGTCCGTGGGTCCGGCTGAAGGAGGATTATATTCTGCTGACGCTCCGTTTGAAGTGCGGGGATTTGGTTAATTACAAAGTGTCAGTCTTCATCACGACGAGACGTTCTCTCTTCATGTTCCTGTCAGATTGATTATTAGGAACAAGACCGGAAAACCGGAGAACGAGACGAGGGAAGGGGGCGAGGGAACTCCACGGAGAGAGAGGGGGGGGTTCATTAATAAACCAGCAGCAGCAGAAACCACAAAGGTTAAATCCACAGCAGGAGACTCTGAACATGTGAACCTCAGTGAGACGTTCTCCTCTGCGTTTCACATCGAGGGATCAAACGCTCTTAAACCGCCGCCTGCAGTCAGCTGATCCAACATGTGTTTGTGTGCTTTCACAAGTTTGTCCTTCACGGGTCCGCAGCTCATCGCTGAAACATTGATTTTACAAACCAACACCTCGCTGCTGCAACACCTGTAGTGATGAGCGTCTTCACAGCCGACTCTCACATCCACGCTGTTCTTTAGACTGTTGGCTCAGGAGCTTTTAGACAATTCAGGGTTCAGATCATTTAAAACTTAAAAGGCCCCGTGTCAAAGGTCAAAACTGAAGATTTTAACAGCTGTACAAAAAAAAAAAAAGTTCATTCAGAAACACGTTCACAAAAAAAAAGGAGGAAGTTCTTCTAGATCAGGGGTCGGCAACCCGCGGCTCTGGAGCCGCATGCGGCTCTTTCTTCCCTAAGCTGCGGCTCCCAATGGATTTGGAAAATAAATAATAAATACTTAATTGCATTTTATTTTATTATTATTATTATTTTTTGTAATTCTAAATTCAAAGATTATAATGCTCTTGTAACATTAAATAAACTATTAAGGCTGCAACAACGAATCGATTAAGTAGATTCGTCGTGACGAAAAAATCCGTTGCCAACAAATTCTGTAATCGATTCGTCGGGTCTTTATATATGTCCATGGACACCGGCGTGTAAACATCAGCAGGACGCACAGAAAAGAAACAGTCATGGCCGAGGCAGCGGCTGAGAAAAACATGGACACAACCCAACCCAAATCCCGACCTAAAGCATCAGTGGTGTGGGAAAACTTCACCAAGACTGAAAAGGAAGGCGTTCAGTGCAACATTTGCAAAGACCGTTTTGCATGGCTCGGGAGTACATCGATGATGCGTGAGCACAGGGCTCTCAAGTCTCACGCATTCCCACTCGTTCACACGCTCACACACCACACATTGTATTTCTCACGCATTTAAATGAACACGGTGATGTCCACCAAGTTGCACTTCTTCAACTATGGAACTGGGGGAAATCAACTGAGTTCCTCCGAGAGTTCAGAAGCTGCGTGCCACGCACAAGCCAATCAAATAAAGTATATCTACTGAACAGCCAATCAAAAAGCAGCATTGCTGTATCTGGGTAGATTTTCATATCTTGCGGTTTAACTACAGAAGAAGACAGACACTCGCCGAAATAGTTCATTTATTTCATAAATGCAACTCGCTACAGTTTTTTATATACTTTGTATAAAGGTTAAAAAAAAAAGATATATGCAATGTTATCTTCATTTTAGATGTCAAAGAGGTTTTGTGGCTCCCTGTGTTTTCTTTTCTGTGGGAAACTGGTCCAAGTGGCTCTTTGAGTGTTTAAGGTTGCCGACCCCTGTTCTAGAGGAACATCTCCTACAGGTTAGTCACATGACTGGGTCTAAGACGGACCTTCAGAGAGGCTGAGTCTCTCAGAAGGAAAGATGGAAGAGGTTCAGGTCTCTGTGAGGGACTGTGTGAGCGAACAGTTCAACAGTTTCTTGAGGATCTGGCGAAATCTTTGACAAGAAGCAAAACCAGGACTGGATGGTCCTGATCTTCAGGGCATTAAAAACAGACAGGGCTCTGAAGTGGGAATCACCGCATGGACTCAGAATCACTTCAAAAACCATCAACACAGATCATCACTAAGGAGGTTCAAACTGAACCAAGAAAGAAGAGACCAGGTAGAACCAGGATCCAGAACCACCAGAATCCATTTGAGGTGGACTGAGGAAGAGAAGAGAACTGTCCTGAGGTCTGATGGATCAGAATCTGACATCGGAAAGGACAACTGGAAATCCTAGATGCTGCATCCTCAGTTTTCAACAATATCTCCAGGTTTAGGAGGAACATCTGCTGACAAAGACTGTTTCAGAGAAGACCTTCAGAGGATCCCAAACCACATTCTGACAACAGCATGGCTCTGTAGGAGAAGAGTCCTGGTCTGATGCGGTCCTGACTCGTTCCCGTTAAAAACGTTTGGAGCATCATGACCCTAAAAACAGGACCAAGGAGACCCTGAACTGTGGAGCAGCTTCCTAGTTCCCTTCCTGATGTTAATCCTGGATCTGATCAGTCGGACCCACCACGTCACACCTGGACTATCTGGTCATTTTAGCATCAATGGTGGTGTGGCGAGGGGGCGTGGCTTACCTTTGTGGGCTAGGCAGCGGATGCTCTGTTTGCTCTGGATGTCCCAGAGTCGAACCGTTTCGTCATGTGATCCCGACAGAAGGAGAGTCCCGTCCATCGACACCGAGAGACACGTGACCAGATTCCTGAGGGACAGATTTAAAACAGGTGAAGTTTGGAGGCGGGGTCAGAGTGAACGTCTCCTGATCAAACCTCAGAAACCAGCCGAGTCTGCAGATTATAATGAAAGCTGAAACTGAATCCAGCGTTTATTAGCTGGTCCGACGTGTCTGAAGCGTCTCATGCTGATTCTCTGAACCATTTCTGTCTAAAATAAATATTTCAGAGGAAACCCTCACCCTTCCCTCCAAAATAAATATTGATAATCTGGTTTCTCTCTGGATGTGAGGAATATGAAGTCTGGGGAATAAAACTGGTGAGTTTGCTGCATTTTAGATGAATGATGAAGATTTAATCGACTCTGCTGCCGGGGATCAATTTTCTGTTTCAGTTTCTTTTTTTAACATAATATTTAGTTTTATTTCCACGTGGTCAAACATGAATCATATTAACACAAAAACATAAAATCAGGACAAAGCAGAAAAAAGAGAAAGGGAAAAAAAAAAGAGTAAATAAGTAAATATTTTTTTATTATTTGTATCTGAGGAAAGGGTAACATCAAACAAAGTATTTAAAAGAAATATAAATAATAATAAATTAATATAAAAGAAAAAATATATATACTGTATATGCACGTACGTACAAAAAGAAAAGAAAAATGTTTATGACTGATTAAATACAATGGCATTATATTATACTAATTAAAAGGTAAATACACAAATGAATTAATCTGCACAGCCCTGTCTACATAACTAATCATGCTCAGTGGAACTATAGTTCACATATTTAAGATAATAGAAACAGATCGGTTATGTTTCTGTTTTATTTATTTTATTTTATTGGCTTCATTTCCTTTTTAAATGTATTTTTCTCCATTGACCTTCATATTCAAAAGAACTCTTGATTCCATACAACTCCTGGGAGTAGGGTGAGTAAGATGTCTGTATTTGTTAGATGTTAATGTATGTTAATGTATATTTGTTTAGGGACCCCCTTCAAAATAAGATGCTACATCTAAAGGAGCTATCCTTTAAAAAATTCAAATTCATTTTAAAGTAAAAAAGAAAAAAAGAAAAACAGTTTCATCTGCCGGGTCTCACCTGTGTCCTTTGAAGACCTGGTTCCCGTCGTTGTCCGACGTGAAAGACTTGTCCCGGCTGAGACTCTGAGGATGAAACACAAACAGTTCAGACAGTGGAAAACAACAACATGCTCCCTCTCATGGAGAGGATCTGGTTGGAAGAATATTGTGAGATACTTTATCACACAATGTCCAGCTAGGTCTCAGTATATGTAAAATGTTGATGGAATATTGATCTGTGAGATCAATAAAAAAGAAAATAAAAGAAGAAACAAACAGTTCGGATCAGGATCAGACTGAGGGAGAGTCTCAGGTGTCTGTCGTCTGTTTGGTGGATCATCAATATTTATGAGAATTGAACAATCTCAACTCTGGATTTACATCAAATCCGGTCTGTGATGATTCACAAAGGTTTTCTGTGATCCAGATTTTCTCATTCAAAGGGGGATTATCGTCGGCTAATGCTAACATTGTAGTTCTGGTTTCATCACAGGGTCTTATCAGGTGAGATCAGTCCTTCAGTCCTGCAGCTGATCAACATGATCGTTCAGATGGGCAGCTTTCCACCGTTTCACTCACATTTGTGACTAAAAATAGATGTGTAAGAACTGTAAAATGTATTAAAAAAATCTGTTTTTTCCTGTAAATACGGCGGTGAAGTTAGTTTTAGGTTGGATATATTTTCCTGTAAATACGGCGGTGAAGTTAGTTTTAGGATGGATATATTCTCCTGTAAATACGGCGGTGAAGTTAGTTTCAGGTTGGATATATTTTCCTATAAATACGGCGGTGAAGTTAGTTTCAGGTTGGATATATTTTCCTGTAAATACGGCGGTGAAGTTAGTTTTAGGATGGATTTATTCTCCTGTAAATACGGCGGTGAAGTTAGTTTTAGGTTGGATATATTTTCCTGTAAATACGGCGGTGAAGTTAGTTTTAGGTTGGATTTATTTTCCTGTAAATACGGCGGTGAAGTTAGTTTTAGGTTGGATATATTTTCCTGTAAATACGGCGGTGAAGTTAGTTTTAGGTTGGATATATTTTCCTGTAAATACGGCGGTGAAGTTAGTTTCAGGTTGGATATATTTTCCTGTAAATACGGCGGTGAAGTTAGTTTCAGGTTGGATATATTTTCCTGTAAATACGGCGGTGAAGTTAGTTTCAGGTTGGATATATTTTCCTGTAAATACGGCGGTGAAGTTAGTTTCAGGTTGGATATATTTTCCTGTAAATACGGCGGTGAAGTTAGTTTCAGGTTGGATATATTTTCCTATAAATACGGCGGTGAAGTTAGTTTCAGGTTGGATATATTTTCCTGTAAATACGGCGGTGAAGTTAGTTTCAGGTTGGATATATTTTCCTGTAAATACACCGGTGAAGTTAGTTTTAGGTTAGATATATTTTCCTGTAAATACGGCGGTGAAGTTAGTTTCAGGTTGGATATATTTTCCTGTAAATACGGCGGTGAAGTTAGTTTCAGGTTGGATATATTTTCCTGTAAATACAGCGGTGAAGTTAGTTTCAGGTTGGATATCTGACGGACATTCTCTGAGGATCTACCGGTGTCTTCTCACTCTCCATAACCGGGAATAACAACAGCAGCGCGGTTAAATCTACTCGACACCCTCACTGTCAACGTCGGTGTTGAATAAGGGACCGTCAATAAATTACTGGTTCATGTTTTTACAAAAAAGGCTGTTTTCCTTCAATAGCTTCACTGTCATGTGACCAAAAGACCTAAAATTGATTTCTAATAATATTACTAAGGTCGATCAATAAGACAAACATTATTTGATCAGTTTTCATTGATCCCCTAAAGTTCTTTGTGAGCTCCATGTGAACAAAGTTATTGTCAAACCCTGGATGGACTAAGTCACCTCTTCAAACGTTAATCTGATTAAAAAATCAGTAATCAGAGATCTCAGCTGTGAAAACCAGGTGACTGAATCATGACGGTTTCGCTGATCCGGGACGCTGCGGACCGGTTCTCTTAAATCCTTCAGGTGAGGATGAGTGAGCGATCTGAGCTCAGCAATCACAGACACTCACTCTGACGTTGGACTGAAACAACATTAGAAATCCTTCATTTAGTCACAGTCTGATCATTGTTAAATATTGATTTAATGCGGGAACAGAGCGCTGTGATGGTGTGGATGAGTCCTCGAGAGTCATGTTTCATTCATTCATCTTCATCGTCTGTTCTCCTCTCAGCCTCCTCCTCCTCCTCACTGTGTCGCTTCTTTTCAAACAGGATTTACATTTTAAGGCTTCACTGAGCTAATCCTGCAAACAAACCACAGAGCATAAACATCCCTCACCCCTCTCTCTCCCCCCTTCCTCCCCCTGAACTCATGATTCTGTCTTCATGAGGGGGTGAAAACTCGGCTCTTTGGACTGACTGAGCTTCCACTGGTGTTCTTGTTGTTCTGCTGCTATTGTGGAGCTGAAACTGTCGTATTATAATAGTGACTCTGTCCTGCGTCTGTGAGGACCTTCACAACCAGAACCAGAACCAGAACCCGAGCATCTCTGCGGTCTCTCTAAAATTAATGACTTTATGTTTATGGGAAGATTATCAAAATATGATTATTTAGGTGAGATTATTCCACTAATCAGGAAACAGGGTTTAGGTTTAACAAGATCATTCAGGGTTAGATCATCCAAGTGAGACAATTAATTGGTCAAGATTATTCAAGCAAGATTATCTGAACCACATTACTTAGATGAGATTATTTATGTCATTTTGATTAAGAACAGATTAGAGTATTAATGACGAGGTTGTCAGGATGAGATTATTTTGATTAAACAAGATTATTTAGACCAGGGGCCTTATTCACCAACCATGCGTAGAAAAGGTTATTAATTCTGTCGTAGGAGTGAAATTTGGAATGTGCGTAAGTACCAAAAAATCTGCATTTATCAAACGTGCGGACAGCGGTCGTACGAACACACGTAAGTAATCGGTGATGATAAATCCTGCGTGTTCTTTCCTGGCGTGCTCGTTCATGGTTAGAGTCATTTACATTCAGAAACGCCTCTAATTGACCATATATGGTCGCAACAATCCCTTTAAAAATGCATGAATGAATTTTTCCCCCCTCGCTAAAATCATGGAGGTGCACACTCGCAGCGCTGTTCTGCAGAATGAGGGAGTCGTGCGTTCCTCCAGGACAACAACGTTTAACAGAATCAAATGTGCATCGCAGATTATTTCTGCATCGACTGAATGAAATCTTTTCCTTTTGACAAACTGAATTTACTGTGAAGGGGCTTTTATTACGATGTGGTCAAATCTATGGCTTCAAATATGTTCAGGAATCCGGCGATGGCGTAAAATCTTCGTTTTATTTCGGCTTGTTGCTGATATGTGTTTGGGAACTGGCCAGAGAGATTATTGATCAACTCTGCCGGCATGATTCTGTTAGTGTTGGCTGTGAAATGTCGTATTTGTCTCCGATCTCAGGCTGAAATGTCGGGGTTAGGGTGGACAGGAGCTGGATGGTCACTGGGATGATGGCGTTGGTGCGTTTTGTCTCTCGCTCCAACACGGTTGTAAATCACGGATCATAAATCCATTCAGATGTTTTTGGGGAAGCGGTACCTGCTGAGAATCCACTCTGTATTCTCACTGAACAGGTCAGCACTGTCTTTGAAAACGCCGCGCTCCCTGAAGAGGAGCAGACGGTTCTCCAAGTCCTCCAATAGCGCAAAATAAACCGTCATACTTGTATTTGTACTTGTAAGACTTCTTTTGAGGTTGTCCTGTCACAGCTGATAAATCTCATGGAGTTTGAGATTGCTGAGCGCTGAACTCCTTTAATGGGTTCTAGTTGTAGTTTCACTGTTCTACCACCAGGTTTTGTGTGTACGCATGCTCAGAGTTGGGCTTAAATTTATGCACGTTCCTAAGAACAAGTTCAGGTTGACAAATTCCAGACTTTGCGCTGGAATGTTCGTACGCACGGTTGATAAATGAGGCCTTAGATGTTTTTTTTTTTAGTTAGATTATAAAAGCAAGATTATAACAGTCAGTTAATCTGAATCGGTCACTTCTTAGAACCTATCAGGATTCAGGAACCATGAGGAGGGCTCTGTTTGAGGACCTCAGGCTGCGCTCAGGCTTATAGTGGGAGGAGCTTCGACAGGGACGGGGTTATATATGTTTGCTGCTCTGGCTGAGTGTTAAAAGTCCGACAGCAGCATTTTAAATTAATTTTAGTCTTTGAACGTTGCGCTTACTGATGCCAGAATACAGCGTGTGACAGTAATCCAGTCTGGAGGGAATAAAAACTCGGAGCCGAGGAGAAAGAGAGGAGGACAAATCAAAAACGACTCTAATCCGTGTCTGTTTTCTTCTATTTGGTAGATGTCACTTTCACTGTAGATGGTGGCTCACTTATCCAGATGACCAATCAGAATCAAGTATTACAAAATCAGGTGATTGGTTCAAAAACAGGTAAATAGATATTAGTAATGATGGAGGGGGACTCAGTGAAAACGTGGCGGGTGTGCGGACACATGCTCACCTGGCTGCACAGAGACACCTGGAAAATGTTGCCGTCACTGCCGCCACAGAACAGGAAGTACTCGCAGGGGTCAAAGGTCACAGACATGATCTCCACATCAAACAGGATGGACAGGAGCAGCTCACCTGAGGACAGCTCCCACACCTGGAGAAGGAGGACACGCAGACACCTGTGTGAGTTTGAAACATCGTCGTGATCTCCTGCTTCATTCTGTGATGGAGGTCCACACCAGTAACAGGAAATGATTCATTCCTGTATCCAGATGACCTACGACCCCCGCTCGCCCCCTCTCCAGATGACAAAGGGAGTCCGTCTCTGCAGAGCACCGACCGTTTCATGAACAGCGGCGTCTCCTCAGCTCCACCATCTTTATGATGTTACAGCGAGCTGGCGCGTCTCTGCAGAGACCTCGTCTTCTGAGATTAATGTCGGGGGAGATTTCACCAAAATTAAAAAAAGGATCAGAGGACAATGAGGAGACGCTCGCTGTGTTTCGATTCAGGGGGCCGCATCCTTCAGACACTGGTTTTCTTTATTGAAGGCTGAGGCCGTTTCCAGACATGCACAACAGAAAACTGTGCAGGAAATTACACCGGAGCTGAAATATGTCACTGTTCAAACACACACGACCCCACCGAGTGAAGCCTTCCCTGTCAGACATGTGGGGTCTCAGGAGATACATGAGAAGACAAATAGATGCTAGGGTCGTCAGTGGACTGTTTATCACGGATTAAAGGGATATTCCGGCGTAAAATTAATTCAGTGTCAAACACACCGTAACACCGAGTTAGACCCCCCCTCCAGAGATGAATGTTGTCGACCGCTTGCTTCTCTAGTTATACCAACTTTAGTAACGACCGCAGGATAGAAATACAGAGAGCCACGCCCCCAACCAAAACGCCACTCTATAGCCACAAATAATGTTCAGAACAGCACCTAACTTCATCAACAGGACATATAGGGTCACAGACATAGTACTAGACACCAAACATCTTTTTAACTTTGACTCATTTCTTTAGCTAAGAGACTAAACACAACTCACCTACTCTCTTCCAGCAGACGCTTGTTTGTAGAGAGACCTCAGGCCAGTCCATTACAGACTACAGCGGGGTGCCGCAGCTCAAGGAAGAACATTTATGATCATTTCTTTGTCATTTCCTTGAAGTAATAATCACCATATTAATAATTTTACAGACGCGGTAGTTCTTCTGTCTTAGCGTCTCGGTCTGATTGTATTTCCATGAAGAAATGATCATAAATGTTCTTCCTTGAGCTGCGGCACCCCGCTGTAGTCTGTAATGGACTGGTCTGAGGTCTCACTACAAACAAGCGTCTGCTGGAAGAGAGTAGGTGAGTTGTGTTTAGTCTCTTTGCTAAAGAAATGAGTCAAAGTTAAAAAGATGTTTGGTGTCTAGTACTATGGCTGTGACCCTATATGCGCTAACCTCAGTAGAACATGGTGTAGTTTTGTTCAGTAACAGAACCTCATTGGAAAATTAGCTGATTTAACGTTACTGTGCTCTTGTTCAAATATATTAATTCGACAGCATATACATTCATACCTGTTAACAAAATCATGATTTTATTGATAATTCGGCTCAATAAAAACACCTTTACCTTTTCATTTTACTACAGTAGAAGTTTCTTGGCCCAGTTTATAGACTACAGAAGTGGAGAAACGCCCCCGCTTAAGTTTGTTTTCTTAGGGAGTTAGAACAACTTTAAATATAGTACTATGTCTGTGACCCTATATGTCCTGTTGATGAAGAAGAGTATCCCTTTAAAAGCACTGATCCTTCGATGTTACACTCATATGTTCTCTTATAACTTGCTCTCTGCGTTTGTTTCCCTCTTAAATCCCGGGTTTGTGTGTCTTGTGTTTGTGAATCTCAGAGTCTGCCTTGACTGCAGTTTTTGCCGTCATATCACTGCGAAGCAATGATTAACTGGTTGAGTTATAGTATCAGTAAATGACTTCAAAAAAACAGACTAGAGAAGATGAGAGTATAGTGCAGTTTCTCTTTAATTTGATTTTTTTTCATCCTTTCTTTTTGTAAATCACACCAGTGTTCAAATAAATTATGTTTCCTATCAAAGCAGCTTTGCACACGCCTGCAGCCAGAATCCTGGACGCCTCTCCTGAAATCTGTAATAAGAATCTAGTAATTGAGCATCAAAACTGAGTATCATTTTACATATTTCATCATACTCGTCCGCTCACAGTGAATTTTCCTTAAGATTTGCGGCTGCACTTCTGCATAAACTGACCTAGACCTCTTTTTTCTCTGGTATGAAAAGTCTTCTGCTCCAGCTGGAAACAGGTCCAACTTTGTAAGACCGTTAAGGATATTAGAGTTGTACAGGATATCCCGTGATTTTTTTAGTTTGCCAATTTTAAACAGTGAGACAAGTTGAGTGATGCACTGTTAAATATCAGTGTGTAGTTTCAGCTCAATAATTATCAATGTTAAAAAAAAGACACCATCAAACGAACTGATGTAGACCATAACGAGAATGATGCTAACAGTGTTTTCAAGTTAGCATGTTAGCAGTCTGGTGAGGTGTGTTCTGTGCCATTAGTGAAAGTGGTGAAAACTTCACTGTAGTCTCACTGTGTGTGTGTGTGTTTTTATTTAATCAAGTTTGACCTTATTATTATCAGGGTTTGACCTCAGTAAAATCAGTTTGACCTCAGTGAAATCATAGTTTGACCTCAGTCTGATTTCAGTGAAATCCCAGTTTGACCTTATTTAAATCAGTTTGACCTCAGTGAAATCAGTCGGACCCCTGTAAAATCTGAGTTTGACTTTATTATTATCAGGGTTTAAACCTTAGTGAAATCCCAGTTTGACCTTATTTAAATCACAGTTTGACCTCAGAGAAATCAGTCTGACTTTATTATTATCAGGGTTTGACCTTAGTGAAATCACAGTCTGAACTTAGATAAATCAGTTCGCCCTCAGTAAATTAATTGCCTTTTTAATCTCAGTGACTTTATAGTTTAATGACCTTGATATGTTTTTGACCTCTTTAATGATACAGCCTGACCTCAGTGTTGTCTTTGTTTACTCATAGTGTCGATGTCTTCATTCATCAGTTTGACTTCAGTAAAATCACGTCGTCTTTATTGAAAAAACACTGAAGACAAAGTCTATTCATAACAGTCTGTTGGGCTGCAGGCTGAGGACTGAGTGAATGAGTAGATGTTTACACACCGAAGAGCACATTCAGTCCTCAGAGAGAACACCTGTCTTACAAAGGAGGACAGAAACCACTCACGCCGAGACCACCTCTGATCCTCGTTCGGTTTCGGACGGGACCCTGAAGAACCGCAGAGACCTGGATCTGAACTGATTCTATTAATAGAACCTGAAACTGAGTTTAATAAAGTTTTTTGAAGGAGAGACGACAGCGTCTGTCCCCACAGGGCGACGGACCAATCAGACGACAGACAGCTGAGACGAGCAGCGAACACTCAGAGCCTCTGGGAGGATTTATCAGCGCACACAGTAATTCACGTCCTGTTCAGTAACACCGTGAAAACATGAAGACGAGTTTTATCTCTGCGTCCTCACTCTCTCTCTTTTAATCCACTCATTCACTTTCTGACAGAAACACTCGGCTGCTTTTGAACAGGCAGCAGGAACAGTAGACCAAACCTCAGGAGGAAAAACACTAATTCTCTTTAAACTTTTAATAGACATCTTATTATTTGGAAGAATTACCAGAATTACCAAAGCGCCTGAAGGGAACACGTGACTAAGAAAAACTATGAACACACGCAGATTAATGACTGAAGATCGAACCGCAGACCGGACACAGAGGTGAACACGTGGAGATACAGTCGCAGAGTGTAGCTGCTGTTTTCAGTGTTTATGTGTAGTGTTGTATCGTTGTGAAGAAGTGTGATTGTGTAATATGTGGTGTATTGTGTTGTGAGTCTTACCTTAACGGTCTGGTCTAAGGAGGCGGTGGCGATCCTGGCCTGAGCTCCCATCAGGCCGCAGTGCAGGTCTGTGATTGGCAGAGAGTGGCGGGACAGGACATGACGAGGCTCGGGGGTGTGGTTTAAATCCAGCTGGATCACACTGACACACAAACACACACAAACGCACATCATCAGTGATTCCTGATGATGAAAACATCGTCACTGAGAGTCACACTGTCTGCCGTCGATCTGATATCTCATTGATCGCTGTGATCTTTGATTGGTTGATCTGATTTCTGACTGTTTCCATATGATCCAGGTGTGAAAACACTTCTGAATGACTGCACTCACTTCCTGTTCACCTCCTGAGTCCATCTGGAATCTTCTACTTGAAGGTTCTGCCGAGCAAAAACGACCAACTGCACTTACGTACGGGGTTCACAGCTAAGAAAGATCTAGTCTCCTGACACCATGTGACAGCTACTGAAAATATTTGGTCGAGTTTATATCGAGTATTTCCAGATAAATTAGCAGTAAAATGGTTGTATTGACATGTGGATGACTAATATGATTCTAACAATTATCGATACTTACCTCCATATCTCTATATCTTGTATATAGTTTTCATTTTCATTGCACTGCCTACGCTGCACGAGAGGATTTATTCTTGTATCTTGTCTGTACCTTTTATTATTATTATTATTATTTTTCTTCCAACTATTTTTTTTTGTTTTAATTCAGTCTCTGTTTTCTTTTTTTGTATCTTTGCACTGAAAACGGAGAAGCTCTCAAATCTTGTTTCACCTTTTGTATAATGACAATAAAGAGCATTCTGATTCTGATTCTGGTTCTGATTCTGATTCTGATTCTAGTACCGATAATGAAAGAGGTCAGCTGACAGCCCATATAAAGTGCTGTCGTTGCTTTTTTCTGCATTTGACAAAATACAACAATTTAACAAACAAACAAGCAAACGAGGACTGTTGTCCACAGGGGGGCGCAAAATTGACACAAGTGAAAATTTCCCTATTGGAGCTTTAATCAAACTTTCATCACTTCTTCATGTAAATACAATCAGACCGAGACGCTAAGACAGAAGAACTACCACGTCTGTAAAATGATTAATATGGTGATTATTACTTTAAGGAAATGATAAAGAAATGATCATAAATGTTCTTCCTTGAGCTGCGGCACCCCACTGTAGTCTGTAATGGACTGGCCTGAGGTCTCTCTACAAACAAGTTTAGTATCTTTGTTAAAGAAATGAGTCAAAGTTAAAAAGATGTTTGGTGTCTAGTACTATGTCTGTGACTCTATATGTCCTGTTGATGAAGTTAGGTGCTGTTCTGAGAATTATTTGTGGCTATAGAGTGGCGTTTTGGTTGAGCGCGTGGCTCTCTGTATTTCTATCCTGCGGTCGTTACTAAAGTTGGTATAACTAGAGAAGCAAGCGGTCGATAACATTCATCTCTGGAGGGGGGGACTAACTCGGTGTTACGGTGGGTTTGACCCTAAATTAATTTTACACCGGAATATCCCTTTAAGTAGTCTGACTCGAGTATACACACTTCAGGGTTATTTGGACAAAAATCTATCCCGACATGCCTTCAATCAGGCCACGCCCCCTCCGATCAGTGGAGGTGGTGAACTGCTCCCTTTAATTGGTCTTAGGTTGTCCAAGTGAGGCCTGAATGGTTAATGTTAATATCTGTAATAATGTCGGATGATGAAGGTCTAGTGAACAAATCAACAGTCGTGTTCACGGTCACAGTATCAGTGGATGAAGTAGTAGTATTCCTGGAGCAGTACTGATACTAGTTTAGGTAGTAATGGTATATGGACTCGTAGTACTCGCTCTGATCAAAAGTATAAAACTTGTTCTTTTTGTGCCCTGCAGACAGAAAAACATGTTTAACATTCAGCTCAGGTTTCCCATCATGCTTTGCTTCAGACGTCCCACTTTTAACACAGTGTGTGTATGTGTGTGTATGTGTGTATATGTGTGTGTGTGTGTGATGGTGGGGTCTGTCTCTTTGAGGAAGTGTTTCTAATTTACACAAAAAAACCCTGACGGCACCCCCGACTATCAATTATTAATGATTGGCTGCAGCTGATCAGTGACGTCATTCAAAGCAGGATCTAGCCAATCAGATTCCACCTCCTCTTCTTCAAACCCTGAGAGCAGGATCTGGTTCTGATTCTTGATCACATCCTCACCGCTGCTCCTGGTTAATCCAACCAAAGACTGAAACCGACAGAGTCCTGGTTCTGGTCTGGGGATCCTGCTGTGGTCTGACAGGTGGGTTTCCATGGCAACAGGCAGCAGCAATATTGTGTGTACAAACTGACAGGTACGCAGCGTTAGAGCTCCCCCCAGTGAACAACAGGTGTACTTTTCAGTGTCAGAGTTCCAGACACTTCAACTTTTATTATTTGACTGATTTTTTAAAAACTTTTAATAAAGTGAGATCTGAGATTTAACCTGAAAATGAAAAAATTAAGATTGTTAAAGGTGGGGTAGGCAGGAATCCGTTAAAGAAGCATCTTTTTTTGTGGTGTCTTTGAATATATGGGAGGGGTAGAGTTTACATTCAGGATTTCTCCTAAAAACTGGAACTTCATCAGATCCTGACTACCCCACCTTCAATGCTACTGACTAGTCCACCTGCGCCCCAGACCTGAATCCAATCCAGTACTTCTGGAAAACCATGTATCCTTGCATCCACAGTCAGCACATCCCAACACGGACTGTTCTGGGGCTGACTGATGCCCTGATCCAGTCCTGGGAGGAGGCTATCCATCATCTCATCAGGAGCATGTCCAGACCATACTGATACAGGGATACTATACACACTAATATAATATAATAATAATCATTATAAAGAGGGACCATTTTCATTTATAGGTTTTAATGAATGAATCGCTGCAGCTTGTGTGAACTCAGGTGTGTTCAGGTGTATTACCTGGACAGACTCCATACCAGGGCCAGGTTGTCTTTTCCTCCAGAGACAAAATGACTGCTGTCATCTGTAAACTTCAGACAGGTAACATCCTGGTAATGTCGACTGAGGACAGAGAGCAGCTTACCTGTGGACACCTGAGCCAATCAGAGGGCAGAAATTACACACCAGAGCCAATCAGAGAAAAGACTTCAGTCCTCTTTCCATGGATAAATGAAGCAGACTTACCTCCCACAGGTAAATGGCTTCACCGATAGCTGCAGTAAGGAAGAGCCCATTGGGTGAAGCGGTCAGACAGGTAATCACACCTGGACACACGATCTTGTGCTGCAGCTGATCCTGGAGACAAACAGGAAAGTATTCATTATGCAAATAAGAACATATATCTTTTATATGTACTTTTAATTATTTGTTTTTTATTCCACTATCACTCCAGACAGTGCAATATCACTCACCATGCTGCTATTTTACCCTTAGTTTTTTTTTTTGTATATTAAATTACCACCATAATGTTGTGATATGGAAGCCAAGCAATGACAGAGAGAAATCACTGCTGTGTTTTATTCTGTGCAATGACAAATAAAGAAAGAAAACTCATGAGTGTAAAAACTAAGCTGCAATGAAACATTTGATGTAGGAACAAACTAATAAAAATAATAATAACAATTAAAAGGCATAATGTTAATAATAGTAGAGTAGTACTTTAGCTCTTAAGTCTTTTGACATTTTAAATAAAAGTTTAATTAATGGGATGAATGTTGTTTAACCGAATTATTCAGCTGATAGGACTAGTGACCTATGCAGTGAATTCTGATTATTTGGATAATTATCTGCGCTTAAAAACCAGCGTAGACTTTAAATCGGAGGATTTTTAAAAGGGGTTTGGTGGGGTTTTGTCTCGAACGGCTAGGAGATTCGGGGCTTTTCCCGCCAGTTCTGCCGGTATGTAACGGTATGTTCGGGACCGAGTAAACTGCAGGTGTGTTACGGTCGTCTGTGGTGTGTTTAGGTGTCTCCACGGTGCCCAAGTGTACCTCCCGCTGTGCCCAGGTGTGTCGCCTACCTTCCTCTGGATCTCCCACACGTTGATGAAGTTCTTGCCGAGCTGAGCGGACAGCAGGTACCCCCCGCTGAGGACTGTGAGTGTCCGGGCCGTACTGTTACCGCCCCGGTATGAGAGCAGACTGGACCCGCTGTGCAGGTCGAACACGGTGCAGTTCCAGAGCTGAGAGCCGGAATCACTGCTCACTATCACCTCCAGAGGAGCCGCCATGTTGGCTCCACCACAACACTACACATGCGGCGGGGGAGAGACAGCGGCGGTCTGTGCGTCATTTCCTGAACCAGGGGCATTTTGGGAAATGTAGGCGCATGGCCACAGTAACTCAGGCTATGTTCATGGGTTTAATATTTTCTCATTTTGTTTATTTATTTATAGACCAGTTGATTTATTTATCTGGTATAAAAAATTGGTGACGGCTTATATCGATTAAATATGATTTATATTATATTATATTATATTATATTATATTATATTATATTATATTATATTATATTATATTATATTATAATATAATCTATTATATTATATTATATTATATTATATTATATTATATTATATTATATCACATTACATTATTTATATTATATTATAATATTTGACATCGTATTCTATTATTTTATATTATATTATATTATTTCATATTATTTCACATTATTTTATATCATAATACATTATATTATATTATATTATAAAACATTATAATACATTATATTATATTATATTATTTCATATTATTTTATATCATATTATATTACTGTATATTAAATTGTTATTGTTTGTATGGTATAAATATTTGCTGTGTATCTTCCTACATAAATCTCTGTGATCATTCTCCAGTTGTTCCCTGTATAACCTGTGAATCTGGGAGCTGTAAGGGGCATAAACCCCTGGCCTATGGATTAATTATTACCAATCTTTAGTGCAATTTTGAGTGGCTCAGTCTAAAGACCAGAGTCTTTACAATAAGCATGTTGTAATGGTTTATTGCTCTATTTGCTGATATGCTTCGTTTTGTTATGTTATGTACTTTTAAAAGATGTCCAGGTGAGGATTTCAGCTGCTCAACAGTTCAGGGTCTCTTTTGTCCTGTTTTTGGTGTCATGATGCTCCAAATATTTTAACAGGTCACTGTCTGGATGGCAGCAGATGTTCCTCCTAAACCTGTAGACATTAATGGAGCCTTCACAGAAGTTGAAGTTGAACCATGACATGGACTCTGATGATCCCCGTACCATCAGGGATGCTGGATTTGGATTTTGTGTGTGTCTGAGTACATGTGTGGGGGTGTTACCTTCTCAGGTGTGTCGGCTGCTGTCAGCTTCATGTCTCATAAATTAACATCAGGGGAATCAAACGTTCAGTGAGAGACGGATCATGTCAGAGTTTAATTATTAGAATAATTAAAAATGGTTTTAATGACGACAAGTGAAATTGTCACTATTATAGGTACAAGTATGAGTTCACCTGTCAGATACACAAAACATATAACAACTTCACAACAACAAGGAAACAGTCACAAATACACACCTGCCTACATAACTACACACAAACAGCTCATTCCTATGGACACACAACACAACCACACACAACAACTACACAGGTTTTAAAGTATCCGGACAGATACACAATAAAACAACTACACATCAAACACACAACAATAAACACCCCCTATAAAAACACACATAAACAAACACAAAACAGAAACACTTACATACAGATACACAACAACTACACAACAACATTAAAAAACTACACTAACTCAGCAACTACACATAAACACAACAACTACAAATGTACAAACACACGTGTACAACAAATCAGGTACACAACAAGTACACAACACCTGAACAAACAGAAGCAGACACACACACACACACACACATTGTGAGTCTGCTGATGCAAACAGTGTGTGTCAGGTTAATTAGTCCTGACGAGCCGCTCAGTTAATCCTCCTTCCTCTGTCACACCAGCCAATCAGGGCTGCTGATGTCATTCTTTCCCCTCCCCCACCGTGTGTTTGTGTGTGTGTGTGTGTGTGTGTGTGTGTGTGTGTGTGTGTGTGTGTGTGTGTTCAGTCTCTTTATGTCAGCTCGGTTGCTGTAGCAGCAGCAGTGTGAGGACAGCGCTCGTATGAAGCGCCGCTGTGTTCCTCTGAGAGCCGACCACAACCTGCTGACCCCCGACAGACACACACAGTGAGTACCACACACACACACACACACACACACACACACACACACACACACACACACACACACACACACACACACACACACATTTGCACTCCAATAGTTAGTCTCATTTGAGGAGTGGATATAACACAGGAACACCCTGATAGTAAGTTTTGTTATTGTTGTTTGAGTGGTTCTCTTTTTGTACGGCAGAGTATCAGGGACACATTTAGGAGAGTAAAAAAGTCAAAATTTCAAAATAAAAGTTATGATTTTAGGAGAATAGAGTCGTGATATTATGAATAAAGCCGTGAAATCTACAGCTGTCAGATTTTGAGGTTGTGGTCATAATATTATGGGGGTAAAAATGTAGTTTAGTGTGAATAAAGGAACAATTAAGACATCATTTGGTTGGTTGGTCTGTCCTGTTAGACCTACTATTTGTGGGGCGCCGGGTGGCTCATCAGTTAAAACACGCCTCATGTACGGAGGCCTCAGTCCTCATAGCAGAGGCTGCTGGTTCGACTTACAGTTACGACCTTTTGCAGCAAGTCTTCCCAGAGACAACAGCTGAAAATAATAAAAGGTATAAACTCAATAAATTTGATTAAAATCTGTAAATTTATTCACCTGAAAGAAACCTGACGATGCAGTTTTGTGGTTTCCTGTTGTGTCTCTGCAGGTCGGGGGTCAGGCTGCATCCCGCCGTTCAGGCGAGGTTGGAGGCGATCGCTTCCTCATCAGAACACCTGACTGACTCCTCCAGCAGCGAATCAGCTGTCACAACCAGGAGTCAGAGGCAGCGCCATGTCGTGGCATCTCTGCCTCGCCGTCTGAGATTTGAGGATGAGACAGAAACAGAGGCGGAGTCTCGGTATCTGGAGCGACTGCGGCAGAGGAGAGGGGCGGGGACGAGGGGAACAGGTGTCCTGGTACCTAAACCTGACCTGAACCTGTTATTAAACAGCAATGTGGGGGCAGGACCTCAGGGGGCGGGGCCTGTTGTAGGAGGACACCAAAAACGATGGCTGTCAGGGGGACAGGTGGGTCAAAATGACTCCTGTAGGACAATTTTAGTGGGCGGAGTCAACCTGAACCTTTGTCTACGCCCACCTGAAGACCACGGACATAGACTGTACAAGTCCCGCCTTAACCTGAGAACTGAGCCAATCAGAGAGACCTACATCGGCTCTGTGTCATACGACGAACCTTTTAGGGGAGGGGACACATCAAGGGGCGTGACTGATAACCAGGTGAGGAGGACAAGGACCAGTCTGAAGGAAGTTAATGGAAACCACATGACCATTTCTGAGGCCACACCCACTTCAGATCTGCCAATAAACCCCTACGCCCCAGAAACACTAGCCACGCCCACTCAGCCCTCAGGGTGCCCCACACCTGTCTTTACCTGCCACCGCACCTCAGCCGGACCTCCTGAGACATCAGCCATGACCTCACGGTGCATCCAACCCAACAGCACCAAAGCAAGAAAGACCCAGCTACAGGACAGGAACCAGACCCGGAACCAGGACAGAAAGTCAAACCAGAACCAGGACAGGAACCAGGACAGAAAGCTGAACCCGAACCAGGACAGGAAACAGAGACAGAACCAGGAAAGGAACCGGGACAGGAACCAGAACCAGGTCCAGGACAAAAATCTAAACCAAATCAAGGAAGAAATTCAAACCAAGAACCAGGACAAGACCCAGATCCAGGATGTGCTAAGCAAACCTGCATTGACTCGGCCCCAGAGGGAGCTCTGTTTGGGGGCAGAGCCGAAGGGGAGGAGCAGGTGTAGGGAAGTCCGAACAACAAGCCCCGCCTCCTCAGGTGAGACAACAGGTGAGGACTTTAATCCTCTTGTATGTACTCTGTCTGACAGCGCCGTCAGACTGGTCGTCATCACACACTTCCCACCTCTGCTTTGTTTACAGCTGAGAGTCAAGCCCCGCCCACTTCTGACGGCAACAGCAATGGTCAGTTGAAACAGCCAATGAGAGCAGAGCCAGCAGTTGATGACATCTCACTTCCTGAACAGTGAGTACATCGCCTTGACATCATTAAGTATTAATGCTGCGTTCGAGTTACCTCGCTTGCCTTATATTCGGACAAGGCAAGCGCTAAAATAACTTTTGTAGATGTAGCCATCTTATTTCCAACTTGGTAACTGAAACGCTGGTAACTCAGGTGTGTCGTCATTTTCAGCTCGGACTTTTGACTTCTGGGGTAACTTGATCGTAGCATAAGTATATTGATTTGTTGCTATGGTTACTGAATCAGAGAACCAACCATCCAGCTGATAATGTGTACATTTGGATTCTTTGTTTTCTAATCTGACACTTACTTCATCTTTGTTTCTGTCAGCTCCATGTCCAGGGATGAACCGGCTCGTCTGTCTCTGCGACGTCTTTTTGCCAACGTTAAACTGAGCAGGAATCGTGCCGCCAGCCTCGACCGACTCAGCTCAAGACCCCGCCCCTCGCCACCTAGCCAGACCCAGCCTGAGTCTGCCCCCTATAGTGCTGCGAAGTCCTCCAGTCTGCTGAAGAGAACCCCTTCTTTCCAGTCCCTAAATGTGGTCAGCCAATCAGCTATTTGAAGTTTACTGGTTACCATCGTTTATATCCAAATCCATTAGCCTACAACAGTCTAAGCCTACATTGGTCTTAGCCTACATCAGTATTAGCCTATAGCAGTCTAAGCCTACATCTGTATTAGCCTACGACAGTCAAAGCCTACATCAGTATTAGGCTATAGCAGTCTAAGCCTACATTAGTTTTAGCCTACGACAGTCTAAGCCTACATTGGTCTTAGCCTACATCAGTATTAGCCTATAGCAGTCTAAGCCTACATCTGTATTAGCCTACGACAGTCAAAGCCTACATCAGTATTAGGCTATAGCAGTCTAAGCCTACATTAGTTTTAGCCTACGACAGTCTAAGCCTACATTGGTCTTAGCCTACATCAGTATTAGCCTATAGCAGTCTAAGCCTACATCTGTATTAGCCTATAGCAGTCTAAGCCTACATTGGTCTTAGCCAACATCAGTATTAGCCTATAGCAGTCTAAGCCTAAAGCAGTCTAAGCCTACATTAGTTTTAGCCTACATCAGTATGAGCCTACAGCAGTCTTGGCCTACGACATTCTAAGCCTACATCAGTATTAGCCTATAGCAGTCTAAGCCTAAAGCAGTCTAAGCCTAAAGCAGTCTAAGCCTACATTAGTTTTAGCCTACATCAGTCTTAGCCTACAACTGTATTAGCCTATGACAGTCAAAGCCTACATCAGTATTAGGCTATAGCAGTCTAAGCCTACATTAGTTTTAACCTACGACAGTCTAAGCCTACATTGGTCTTAGCCTACATCAGTATTAGCCTATAGCAGTCTAAGCCTACATCTGTATTAGCCTACGACAGTCAAAGCCTACATCAGTATTAGGCTATAGCGGTCTAAGCCTACATTAGTTTTAGCCTACGACAGTCTAAGCCTACATTGGTCTTAGCCTACATCAGTATTAGCCTATAGCAGTCTAAGCCTACATCTGTATTAGCCTATGACAGTCTAAGCCTACATTGGTCTTAGCCAACATCAGTATTAGCCTATAGCAGTCTAAGCCTAAAGCAGTCTAAGCCTACATCAGTATTAGCCTATAGCAGTCTAAGCCTACATCAGTCCTAGCCTACATTAGTTTTAGCCTACATCAGTCTTAGCCTACAACAGTATTAGCCTACAACAGTCTAAGCCTCCATCAGTATGAGCCTTAAATCAGTGAAGGCCTACAGCAGTCTAAGCTTTCCTCTGGTTCCAGCCTGATCCAGCTCTCTCTACAAACTTTCTCAAACATGTTCATAGTTCATAATCAGCTGCAGAGTTTGATTGTTTGTATCTCTGTCTTCTCTGCAGGGGGTGCCCTTTCTGCCACTGAGAAAGTCTTCATCAGTCCAGAGTTTGTGGTCAGAGCAGAAGAAGAAGAGGAGGGATCGATCAGCTGACTACAAACCAGCTGCTGATCAGTAAGACACCTGATCAATAATTCACCAGTAGATAAACCTCAGCCAATCAGAGAGAAGGAAACATAAAGCAGCGTGTCACAGCTCACCTGCCCTCTGTCTGTCCCTCAGGTGTGTCCACAGGTGTGTCAGTGTTGAGGATGTCAGCTGTCCCTCTTCGGTCCGTTCTGTCGGTCGGGTTCTGCAGGTTTATTCTGACGGGACGATTCTGTTGGAGATCAGTCGACTGAAGAACCGAACGTTTGGATTCATCATCAGCAGAGGGAGAGGACGGCCCGACTCTGGTACTACAAACACTTCAACTAATACTACAAATGTTTAAGATACTACAACGAATACACGAGAAATACTTCAGCAACGGACACATCAAAGACAACAAACAAATACTACCATTAACACAAAAAAATACTACCATTAACAATAACAAACACTACCATTGAAACTTACAAACACTACCAAAACACTAACAAATACTACCATAAAAACAGACAAATACTACCATTAACATGAACAAATACTACCGTAAAAACAAATAATAAATACTACCATAAACACAAACAAATACTACCATTAACATGAACAAAAACTACCATTAACACAAACAAATACTACCATTGACGCTCACAAATACTACCATTAAAACAAACAATTACTTCCATTAACACTGCTGGTCCAGAAATGACAAATTGTACCACGCAATAACTTCAGATACTTCTAATACTACATATTTTAAAAAATACCTCAAATGCCATTACACAAATTAACTCTGGCAGATAAAAAAACATCTAAATATCAGAGTATCAGCACATATTTTAAAAACAGTGCAAGAACCTTTATATTAGAGTAAATGTACTTATTGATAAGGGGAGAAGTACTTATTAACCATAAGTGTATGAGTACTTGTTTATCAGAGCAAAGATATCAGAGTATCAGTACTTATATACAAAAGACATATTTTTCCATCGAAGTATAAGTACTAGCTTGTCAGGTTATTTCATTACTATTCAGAGTGAAAGTACTTATTAATTGCAGTAGAAGTTCAAATTATGCCTTTATGTCAGAGTTTAATTACTTAGGGTATAAGTACGTATCAGAGTATAAGTTTCTATATATATATCAGTGTCAGTACTTGTTATTCACAGTCTAAGTTCTACAAGTGCCTTCATATTACAGTATCTGTATTTTTATACCTTAGTATTAGTCATTGTTCAGAGTACTTGTATGATCGGAGTATAAATACTGTGTTCTGCAGGTGTGTACGTGGAGGACATGGTCGACTCCGGCACTCAGAAGTTATACTCTGGTCTGCTCGCCGTCGGAGACGAGATCCTGGAGGTGAACGGCGAGAAGGTCGCCTGTCTCAGTCTCGATCAGGTGACACACCTGCTGACCCAAAATACGACCGCCACTGTTCGAGTCCTCCGGCGCCTGCAGGTACTTCCACGATGACTACGCCTTCGATGACTGACCTACCACAGTACTACCAACAGTACTACAGTGACTGTACAGAGGACTGTTGGAGGATAGTTTACGGCCTGGAGAGAACTTTCTTAAATGCAGTACTTTTTTGTATTTTTAAGTGTATTTCAGTGTTTTAAACACCCGCAGTATCGCTCAAAGCAGCTTTCAGGTACTTTTATGCTTGTTGACATTTCTTAAACATAAATATTGAACCGTAGTGCGAGTCTACTGTGAAATAAAAAGTATAAACAATTTTTTTTCTTCAACAGTTTTTATTTTTTCTTTCACCTGCAGTTTGCATAAATGAGTCCACATGATTATCTCCACAAATAAAATGATCATCATGTTTTTACGCCACAGTATTATTTCTGTGATTTTCACTCCTCATGTCCACAGACAGACAACATTCTCACAGCAACAGTCAGTCTTTCTTTTCTCTAAACCTGTGTGTTGAAATAAAAATTCACCTTCAGACATTAAATTCAGTCAAACAGAATTTTCAATAAGACATTTGAACTTCAGTCATCGGTCTGTTTTGGATCAAAATGAGGCAAAAATACTGACAGGTTGTTATTTTTATCATTATTATTTTGACCATTTTCATTATTAGCTTTAACAAAATTATTATTGAAGGGCTCCATTATTGTTTTCTAAAACAGTGACTCAGAATTATTTCAAATTAAAACACAAAACCAACCATCAGTAAAAGAAAAACAAAAAAACTCTCATGGTCATGAAACACTTCATAAACACAGACTAAAACAGATCTGTTTTAACCTTTTTTAAAATCTATTTTAGATCTGACCTTTGTGGTTTTATTTTGAAAAACCAAAACAGGAAATATGCAACACTTCAGCCCCTGCAGACACCTGTAGATTTTTTCTACAGTGAGTACCACTGATGACGGGACGGCGTGATCGGCTTCTTCGTCTCCAGCTCATCTGCCACCTAATTTCCTGCTGAAGCTTCACAATAAAAGCCATTACATTCGGTGAGAAAAGGCTTTTATTGTGAAGCAGCAAGAGGATATCTAAGGTTCAAACTGTTCAATAGTCAACAGTAGAAAAATCAACGATCAATAAAGTGATCTAGTAGTAAAATAAAGGACACAGTCGAGTACGATAAACAAACTGAGAGGAAAATAAAACAAGAATTCAGTCACTTCAAATAAAATAAAACTGTAAACAGGAAGTCTTAGTGTTTTTCTTTTTTTTTTACATAGTGTTTTTAGATCATTTTAACACAAACTCCAACTGAACACTGAACAGCTTTAGAGTTAGAGCAAGTTACATCTGGAGTTAAGAGGATACACTGGTGTTACAGACAGAAAGTAAACTGGTTTAAGTGGTTCATCTAGCTACATCAAGTTAGAGGTTTTTATTCCGTTTTAGTGGTTTTAACTGTTTTTAACTGTTTTTAACTGGTCAGTGATGTTTGGAGTAAAGCTGGGCTTACTCAGAGGTTTAGATGTTGTTTAATGGTGAAGTGGAGGGTTAGAGACTGGAGATTTTTATTCAGTCACTCTCAAGTCAAACTTAATTTTGAGCAGTTTGAAAGGAGTTTAACTGAATTTTACTGGAGTTTAACTAAACTTCAACTAGAGTTTAACTAAACTATAACTGAAGTTGAACTAAGCTTTAACTAGAGTTTAATTAAACTTGAACTGGAGAGTAAATGTAGTTAACTAAACTAACTAGATTTTACTTTTACTTTAACTAGAGTTTAACTTAACTAAAACTAAGGTTGAACTATGCTTTAACTTGACTTTAATAAAACTGAAACTGGAGTTTAACCAAACTTTGATTCAAGTTAAGCTTAACTTTAACTAGAGTTTAACTAAACTTCAACTAGAGTTTAATTAAACTTTAACTGGAGTGTAAAAGGAGTTTAACCAAACTTTAACTGGAGTTGAGCTAAACTTCAGCTGGAGTTTAAACCAACTTTAACTGAAGTTGAACTTAACTTCAACTAGAGTTTAACTAAACTTCAACTGAGGTTGAACTTAACTTTAACTAGAGTTTAACTAAACTTTAACTGGAGTTTTACTGGAGTGTAAAAGGAGTTTAACCAAACTTTAACTGGAGTTGAGCTAAACTTTAGCTGGAGTTTAACTAACTTTGGTGTAACTTTTTTTTAACTGGAGTTTAACCAAACTTTAACTGGAGTTGAACTTAACTTCAACTAGAGTTTAACCAAACTATAACTGGAGTTTAAATGGAGTTTTTCTGGAGTTTCACCAAACTTAAGCTGGAGTTTAACTAAACTTTAACTTGGGTGTATCTTTGTTTTAATTGGAGTTTAACACTTATTTTTTAAGGAGTTAATTCGAGCTCAACCGGAGTGGAGATGTTTTTTTTCAGCCCTTTAAATTAAACATCTTAAAAAATTATTTTCAAGCAATAAAACACAAACATTTACCACCTGGATTGACCTTCGACCTCTGCCATGATTCAACAAAAAAACAAAAGTGCCTTTTCAGTCGGACAGTCCTGCAGTGTCCTGAACACACAGAGAAGTCTGTCAGTGATTTCAGAGTCCGTTAAAGAACAGGAGGGTCCACGTGAGACGAGAGTGGAGTCTGGTTAAGTCGAGTAGAGTAAAGTTCAGCAGAGACGGCGATAAGATGAGATGTGTGTATGGGGAGGGCGGTCTTCCATCAGAGGATGAAGAAGAGGAGGATGACCACAAAGAGGATGGCGAGCAACACGCCGATAGCACACCACTGCCGCCGGTCTGTAAAATAGAAAAGATCGTGAAGTGACGACAAAGGTAAAACTCTCCGTGTTAACTGATGACACATTCATGTACTTCACAGTTCTTTATTTTATAATAACATCGTCTGTTGCCAGGTAGATTACCACTTGTCATGTGAGACACTTTAGCAAGTTTCTTCATGACGTTGTCCAGTCTGGTCTGAGTGTTATCAACCTCATGAGTGAAGTCGTCCAACATCCTGCAGGACAAAAAACAGAGAAACCTCAAATATCTGTTTATACTCCAAAACCTCCTCATGACGCAGTCAGATAATCCAACAAACATCCTGTTCACTCCCAGAGTTATGCTGTTCAGATCTACAGATATCCTGTTTACACTCTGAATTATCCTGTTCACACCTCAGACATATTCTGCTCACACTCAAACCTGTACTTGTGTTTGTTTGTCTTTTCCAGAAGACTTTTAAGTTTAAAGCGTCCTCTCTGTAAAATCATGACCATAAGAATGTTCTGAAATTGTCGCTAAATTTCTTAAAGCTCTTACACTGATTGTTCGTCTAACTCCATGCCGATCCTCTCCGACATGTTCTTCAGGACTCCGATTGTCCCCGACACGAGCTCCAGCTGTTCATCCTGCTGCTCCGCCATAAGCTACGAGAATACACACGTTTACTGAATACACACAAATACAGACGTATTTACAGGGTAAATGACCATAAAAACTGAATTTAGTTGTTTACAAATCATTCAAATTTAACTATCTGGTTAAAAAAGTGCAAAGACGACGTATCAGATGTTGAAACTGGAACTTTTTATTGTTTTCAAAAAATATCTGCTCAATTTTAATTTGATGCCAGTACATAAAGTAATTCCAGGTTCATGTTTCTCTTCATCGTGTGTCCTCAGCTCTTCTCCCTCTAACCCCTCTGTAGACCCTAGTGAACCCGGCAGACCAGGTTCTGGAGTCTGAAAGCTAAATGTCCCACTTAAGATCATTACTTCATGGAAATACAATCAGACCGAGACGCTAAGACAGAAGAACTACCGCGTCAGGAAATGATAAAGAAATGATCATAAATGTTCTTCCTTGAGCTGCGTCACCCCGCTGTAGTCCATAATGGACTGACCTGAGGTCTCTCTACAAACAAGCGTCTGCTGGAAGAGAGTAGGTGAGTTGTGTTTAGTGTCTTTGCTAAAGAAATGAGTCAAAGTTAAAAAGATGTTTGGTGTCTAGTACTATGTCTGTGACCCTATATGTCCTGTTGATGAAGTTAGGTGCTGTTTAAATTTCTTGCCGTAATATCCCTTTAATGGAGCCTTCACAGATGATAAGGACTCTGAGGATCCCCAGACCATCAGGGGTGCTGGATTTGGACTGCTCGGTGTTTGGTTGTTCCTCAAACTTCTTTTAAGAAACACGTCGCTTCTTTTTATAAACCAACAAAACTCTCTGACTCTCTTGTATGTCACATGTTGTCTGTACACGATTTTAAACTAAATACAGACTTCAATGATTTAAGAGCCATCGAAATGAACTTATTTTGGGATTGAGGTTCTGAAAATTGTTATATTATTTAACGTAAAACTCACTCATACGTCACGAAACAGAAACAAAATCATCTGAGTATTTATGAACCTCATTTTCAAGATCTTCAGCTCTGTGTCTGACTGTTTCCTGGGCAGCTGTGTTCGTACCTGCTGCTGCACCTGCTGCTCCTCTATAAACTGGGAGTTGGCGTTCTGCAGCTGCTGGTCCAGTCGGCTGAATCTATCTGGCGCGGGCTGCCAGATTGGACCCTGAGCACCACGTTCACCGAGCAGAGCCTGAATGTCAAACACATCAACATGCAGACATTTACTTTTGTAAATCCACACGGCGACCCTACAGTCCTTTAAGACTACTTTAAGGACACACGACTTAAACCTCCTGGGGCTCTGAACCTCTCAGGATTCATCAGTTATTCAGAATTAATTGACTGAATTAATGAACTGGAGGAATATCTAGATCCATGAAGGGGGTTCGTGTTTAAGTGGGTCTGTGTGTCTGGAAAGATTTTCGGTTTTTGGTTGTGATTCAAAAGTCGTCCTTGAAATCAGATCAGCTGATCAAATCCTCAAAGTGTTGGACGTCTTTGGTTGGTCACTCTGTGTTTGAGTTCTTAAGAGAGTTTGTGTCCATCAGGTTTGTGTTTTACCTGTTTGGCCTTTCTGTCTGCACCAGCAGGACTCGTCATCTGTTCCTTCATTTCCTGAAACAGCCAATCAGAACACTTGAAATCAGATCAGCCAATTAGAACCCTGTGATGATATTGATTATTGAGAAAACAAACAGGTGAGTTTTTATTGAAGCTTTTTTTAATTAAAGATGATTGAGGTGTACCTTTACAGTCTGTCTGGTGCTGCTGATGAAGGCTTTCCTCTTCATCAGCTCAGCGGTGTCCAGATTGAATTTCTTGGGGTTGGACTCGACGATGCGTTCACTGACAGTTAAGAAAAGCCGTACAGTTTTAACATGTTCACACTTCAGCCTGTCAAATCATTGGAAGGATATTGATCGTCTCATCCAGGTCCTCCAGGTCCCATTCGATGGAACGCAGACTGTTCCTCAGCTCATTGGTTGTCCAGTCCATTTCCTCCTTGGAGGCTCCGCCCCCCTCCTGCAGCAGTTCCCTCCATCTGTGATGGAGGCTCTGTGCTGCGTTCACCGCCTTAAGAACTTCTCTGTTAGCAGAAAACATAAAAACAGTGAAAACCGGGCGAATCTTCTCTGTCGAGTCGACACCACGCCCCCAAATCTAATCCACTTTATTTATATATTCTTAAAAAACATTCAAGTTTGTCAAAGTGCTTCACAGTAAAATTTAAAAGAACAAACAATACAGAAAAACATCACGCGGAAATAAATAAAAACAGGCAAAAAAAAAATTTTTTTATGAAATTAAATAAAAACACAAAAGCATAAAAGAAGTAAAAGTGATAAAAGGACAAAGATCACACAACTCTCATGTTGAGCTAAAAGCCGAGGAATAAAAATGAGTTTTAAGACGTGATTTAAAAGGAGAAAGAGTCGGGGATGGATTCGTTCCACGGTCGCCACGGGTTTTTTAGACGAGTTTTAGGGACGATAAGTTGGAGCTGATCAGCAGACCTCCAGGAACGTGTGTGGGGGTGTAGTCATTTAAGAGGTCAGAGATGTACTGTGGTTAAAAAACAAACAATTAAATTTTAAAATGAGCAGGAAGCCAACAGAGGGACGCCAGAATCAGGGTGATGTGATCATGTTTTCCTTTTCCGGTTAAAGACGAGCAGCAGCTTTTTTTGTTTCGGTCTAGACCTCCGGTGAAGTCTCTGCAGACCCTCTTTGCTCAAACTCACTGTACTCCAGGTCATGTGACAAAGTCTATAAAACCTGTATTTCCAGTTTGAGTCCACTCTCATCACTCTGTCATCACACAACTGCTCTCATCTGAACATTTTACAACTATCAGTTCATCTATTTATTAAAAAAGAAAGTTTAAAAAAGTGATTAACAAACATCGGACCATCTGATGACGTCTGTCTGAACAAACTTTTAACCTCTAAACTCCGTCTGCTTCAAGAAAGGCAAGAATATCCCGGACACCGCCGTAGGTTTAAAGAAACTACACAAAGCAGCTGTACGGCAGTTTAAGACTTGTGTGGTGTTTACACTGCTCCTAAACTCTTCTGATCATCCTCACTCTGAAAGAGACACAACATGAAGAGACATGAGAGGGTTTATCAACTGCATCTCGACCCACGTTATCTACATTCTTGAAAGTCCGTGCGGGTTAGTGTATGTTGGCCGGATCAAAATACAAAATCACGACTCATGTCACTCAGAGTTTGTGACTACGGTCCACAGGATAAATGATTGATCTGCATACCAGCTAACACTCGTGTTTGTTACAGGGACTCTCCCTTATTTCAGACCTCTTCCCATATTGTCATTTCTCCCAGGAATCTTTCTAGCATGGTCCACGTTCATTCATGAATCGGATCACTGTATTTGTCCAAAGTTTCCAGACAACCGAAGATTGTCGTGTGTTTCTGCTGAGCCTCACAGACTCTGGATTGATACTTTGACTTTACAGTTTGGGATGATTCAGGTCGGTTTAAGCTGTAAACTCTATTTCAGCAGTGTTTTTGTGAAATGAACACTTAAGTGAAAGAGAAACAAACCTGAGATATAATATTTACGTCGATAGTCGCATTCAGGGCAGCCTCGGATAAAAGAGTGCTGTATTTCACACAAAGATGTTCAGAGAGCCTCATACAGGAGAACAGATGAGGACTTTAACTCTAATATTAGTGGACTAAAGAAGTTCAAGACATATCGTACCAATACTTTTTTATTACATTTGTTATTGTTAAAATAAAAAAGTGTTCAGCTTCACTTAGACTTGATGACCAATTTAATTACAAATACTCTGGTAATGAGCTAACCCCAAAACTGCCCGAAGCGCGCGCCGCAGAAATCTCCCATATATTATGACCTAGATGTTGTCAGGTATGTTTATCTGACAGGACCGGATCAGGACAAAGAGACCAGGGTTCAGTCTGTTTATCCTGAACTGATCAGCTGCTTGTGATTTCAATGAAGATAAATAATGACTCACTACTTGTTGTTCACATCTTGTACACATCCTCTTCTCTAACAGTTAACTAAAAGTAGTGTGCTCACCGAAACAACATGATAAATACCTGTGTGACACAAGGCCACCCGACACCCATTTTTAACTGCATTTTAGACATTAAATCATGGATGGCAGAGAACTTTTTACAGCTCAACCAGGACAAAACTGAGGTTTTAGTCACTGGGACAGGGGACAAGCGAGAGACACTGGTCAGCAAACTCAAAACATTATCGTATAATCCAAGTCAACAGGCTAAAAATGTAGGAGTTTTATTTGATTCAGAATTGAGCTTTGAACCTCACCTACGAGATTTCACCAAGAAGGTATTTTATCACTTAAAAAACATAACCCAAGTGCGACCGTTTCTCTCTCAAGCCAATGCAAAGACATTAATTCATGCTTTTATCATTTGTAGATTAGATTATTGTAACACCCTCCTTTCTGGTCTCCCCAAAAAGAACATTTTACACCTGAAATTACTACAAAGTTCAGCTGCACGAATGTTAACAAGGACCAGAAAGAGAGATCACACCGATTTTAAGGTCTCTGCACTGGCTCCCTGTCTCTTTTAGAATAGATTTTAAGGTTGTTTTATTGGTTTTTAAAGCTCTTATTTATCTTATGAGTGTGGTAGAGTCCTCATGAAGTTCTCTGTTAACATTATTACCTAAAGTTAAAACCAAGACATACGGTGAGGCATTTTTATTTTTACGGCCCCCGTCTATGGAACAGTTTACCTGAAGACCTGAGGACTTAAACTAATCTTAATGATTTTAAAAGCACATTTTATATCATTATCTTTAAATGTTTTAGCATTTATCTCTTTCTAGTTTTAATGACAGGATCGTCTTTTATTGATCTATTTTGGTGCTCTTATTTTAGTTTCTTTTACTGTTGTTTTTATCTAATTTTATTTATAATCTCTTAAATTTCTTTTCTATGTTATTTTGTTTTTAGATTTTAAACCTCCAGTGTTTCCTAATCTTGGGTTTAAAATGACGTTTCCTCAGTGCGCACATTCCTGTTTCCACGAAATCAAACCCTTTTCAAGTTCATGTGTTTTAATTCTGTTTCTGTTTAGATGGTGGTGTGAGAATGAGGGTTTGGGTTGGGGTAGATTTGGGTTTTCTTTGTTTCTTTAATTCCTTTTTCTGTGTAAAGCATTTTGTGCTACATGATTATGTATGACAAGTTCTTTATGTATAATGACTGATTGATTGATATTCATGTAGACCTGGATCTGATGTATAAAGAAGTCTTTTCTGGTACCTGATCATGTAAAACCTGCTCTTTAAAACAACCAGCTGTGTCATTCACTTTATAGGAGGCTTCGGACATTTCGTTATTAAACGTTATTATTACGGTCAGATCTGTACAGGTATCTCCGTAAATGACCTATATTTAGAGTTTTTCCAGGACAAATTAACCCTCTAGTTTCATTATAGTTATTGTCCATGTCTCTATAAATCAGTTTTATCTCTCAGAAACACTAAACAGTATTTTGTTAAGCTAATACACAGCCTCTCAGAACGTTAGCTTTAGCCAGTGTTAGCATTAGCCTGTTAGCTCGAGTCTGACCCTTTAACGACGAAGAACGGATCTTCCATGGACATGTTTCCGGTTCAGTCGAAGCGTCGCTCCATCACAAACAGTCAGAGATCTGGATCCGATCAGGCTAACCGAATCACCGTGTCCCGGGTTGGACTTTGACTAGGGTTAGACTGTATCCCGGGTCGGACTCGGTTTAAGTCCGGCGGAGCAGCGGCTGCTTACTCCGCTTTGTTTACATGCGGCACCGGAAATGACGCCATGACGCCACACAGACCAGTGCCACGCCCCCAAATAGTGAAAGAATGTATGACGAAAGTTATTATTATTATTATTATTATTATTATCATTATTTTTGTTGTTGTTGTTTTTGTGTTAGAATGCTCTGTCAGTATTGTAATTACAGTCATGCCAATAAATCTTATTGAAATTGAAATTGAAAGAGTTATAATTGCTAAAATTATATTCTAAGGATTTCTACATAAGAAACAGAAACTGCTTAAAATTTTAACTATTAGTAATTTCTTTACATTTTCATGTTATCAATAATTCTAATATTTTATTTCTTAATTAATCTTTTAGGCCCTTTATTGTTTTTTTCTTTTGCTCATTTCTGTTGCTCTATTTCATTATTACTATTATTATCAGTATTACCAATTATTATTTTATTATCATTGTTGATATTGTCTTTTATATTTACTATCCTGTTTCTGCTTTTGACCCCCCTTTAAATTACATTTTCTTTTTTATTAACTATTTTATGTTTTTATTTTGGTCCTCTTGTTCTCATTTTATGTTGCATGGTTCTTGTATCGTCTGGGATCATTATGAATCAATTCCAAATTAATTGAGCTTTTTGTTTTTATCTGCCTTTTCCCACGTACTTTATAACTATGTGTCAAAGCACTTTGTAAACTTCTATTTTTAAAAGCGCTATACTAATAAAGTTATTATTATTATCATTATTATTTATTTGTTTAAATTTTATTATTATCATCATTTAAAAATATACTTTGGATTTGAATCAGGTGCACTCAGTTTCTCTGTTGTTATCATTGGAGAATCCTTTTTTAAGTTTGCAATAAATCTTCTGTTTGTCTGTGATACTTTTGTCCTGTTTTTGTCCTGTCTGCATATTTATTAAGTTTAAATTATATTAAAAGTAGGAGTTGATGCTTTTTAAATTTAATAATAATAATAATAATAATTAAAAAAACATATTCAAAGAGAAATGTGAGGACTACAGTGTCATACGTTTAATAACAGTGATGAATTTACTACGTTAGAGATATTACATATAGACGTTAATTGCAATAAATGTAAGAAAAAAGAATCTAATGTTAGGAAAAAAACATAGTAGAAAAACGTTTTTTTTTTTTTAATTAAGTACCATCATATACTACTATTTTGTGTGATAATGTATACTATTTTTTTTGTGGTATACGTATACTATTTTACAAACAAGTCATCCAGTACGATAGGGGGCGGTGGTTAATCTTTAGGCGGTCATTTCCCAGCAGAAGTCAGGGAGGAAACAGGAAGAGGATGATCTCGCGTTACTTCGTCCGGTGTGAGTTAGCTGCCTTTGTGTGAGCGGAGAAGTGTAACGCGGCAAAACTGAGCTGATTTCTCTTTCATACGTTTATATTTAATTTGCAAAACGTCCGACTTTGGATTTAAAGAAGGTGCTCCACTCACCCCCCCACCTGACCTTCACCTGTTCTCCACAGCCTCAGGTACGACTATGACGTCTGTGTTAGCTCCCGCCATTAGCCGCTGTGACTGTCTTTGTGTGACCGTGGGGCTGAGAACGTGGCTAACATAAACACGTTTATTAACTTTCACTGTTTATACAAACGTGTACATGTACAGGTGTTAACCTGATTGTCCTTCGAGCTGGTTTTGACTGACTGCTCGCACGAGCCTTTACAGACTCGGCTAGGCTTTGAACCGAACGCACACTAGCGGGCTTTGCCGAGCATTCCCGATCATTGCCGAATATTGACGAGCATTTCCGAACTCTCATAGTAACTGTTTTTTACAGACCTGGTGGGTCCCATGGCGTTCCGACGAGGACACATTCGTTACTTAAAGGTGAGTTTATCAGGTTTATGTGTTTTAAAGTACAAATTAAGAGAGTTTATATATTATAGTATTTACATTTAGTCCAATGAAGGCGGACGGGCTTCAAGTTTATTTGCATCTGAAGTAGGAAAATCAAAATAAACCTTTTTAGAAATCAGTGATGCTGCATTAACAGAAATACTTTTATAACCCAAGTACTGAAGTAGTGAAGCCTCTTCTTAAAAACATCAACAATCTCTCCGTCTATGTTATTGACTCTTTTTTTTACACCTGTAATTGTTTGTCGAATCTGTTAGTAGAACTCATAGTAAACAGAGATGATTATTGATTGAGCTCACCTGACAGGTCAGAGACATTACTTGTATCTTGTATTGCTCATGTCCACACTTGTGTGCCTTTCTCGTGTGTGTGATATTCTTTTGTGTGTGTGTTACAGGTGTGTGAGGTGCAGTCATCTCAGAATGATGTCGGGCCACACGCCACCAAAGGAGGAGTTGGAAAGGTAACGCTTCTCTCCGATTGGATGAACAACCATCACATATATCATGTGGCTCTGGTGTTGGATTGTGGCAGTCGTGTCAGGTGTGTAGATGAATGAGGTCATAAAGGTGAGCTTGTGTGTGTTTCAGGAGCCGTATGATAATGGGTATGGCGAGCAGATGATGGAGGATGAAGATGCCAGAACAAACCTGATCGTGAACTACCTCCCTCAGAGCATGAGCCAGGATGAGCTGAGGAGTCTGTTCAGCAGCGTAGGCGAGGTCGAGTCAGCCAAGCTGATCCGGGACAAGGTGGCAGGTAAACACACCACAGTATTCATGTTGTACCAACGTAGTACTAATCCTTACTAAATCAAGACTAATGTAGTACTAATGCAGTAACAATTGCACAGATGAAGGCTACTGAGTGCATTCATTACAACACTAACCTGCACCTCATCACTACTTCATGCTCTCATGTACTACTGCAGTACGACCCAGCACCATAATACTGCAGGGTGTTCTGCAGTATTATGGTGATTTAAGATGAGACTGAATCGTAATTTTTTGTTGGACTCAATCATATGAACCAAAACACTACCTAGATCTGAGGGTGGACCACGAAGCGAGCTCAGTCATACCCAGTCTTTCCTAAAGTAAGCTGGCCTGACTAAGTCTAACCCCCAGTTTCCACCACATCCTGAACGTCAACGAAAAGGTCATATCCGCCGATCGAAACCATTCAAGTTAACGTGTCAATTTCCACCGGGTTCTTTCCGTTCCTCTGCGGATCGCACGAATTCTGTTTTTCTGGACGCCGGAGCATGCCGGATAAATTTAGCACAGATTAACCCGTGCTGGAAAGGAAGTCAGGCACAGACACAGAATTGCGCAATTGAACGTGTATCCACTGATTCTTCTGAGCTCCCATGATTACTGTATGTAATCCGCCACGAAATTCGCCTCACAATTGGCAGACAGCAAAAATCAACGCCGTTCCAGATGCGGTGGAAATTCGGGGTAAAGCTCCAGGTTAAGATGTCAGGCTCTACAAAGCTGGTTATAAACCCCCCTGTCAACCTGAGATTTCTTCTTGGGCAAATTCACATTTAAGGGAGCATTCAGTGCATCACTGAAGTCAACAAACGCTAACGCATTTCATTGATCTGCTGAAATTAAGAGGGCATCAATTAAATTAATTAATTAATGAATTAAACTCATCGAAGTAGTCTGAATGCAAAGACCGGTTTGTGTGATAAGATACCTACTAGGAGCTGATCCGTATTGTTTACTCAGGGCTGATACCAAGTTTTAGAAGAGGATGAGAATGATAAGTGATATCTGAAACTCTGCAAGCATTGACAGTAAAAATATAAATTCTGCTGCTTTCCATCTTGACTGTAACTCTAAATACAATCAGGGTCTGTTACTGTGGTTACCGTTTCATCCAGATCAGAAGTGAAGTAGCTTTGTGACACAGACAACTCTGAGTTCAGGTTCAGACCGAGTTTACCGTCGGATCTCACTGCGTGGTTCACCCCTCCACTCTTTCTGAGATGACATTTAAGTGAATCAGTGCAGACACAGTCAAACTGTAGTATTATCTGTGTACTGTCAGAAAGTAACACTCTAGTTCTGATGTTGTACTGTCGTACTAATACTTTATGTAAAAATACACACAGTCCATCTCACATTACTTACTCTGTAGCTGTAGTACATGAAACAGTAGTAACATCACTGTTGTAGTTGTTCTGATAATAGCTGTAGTACTTTTTTTGTGCTGTGTACTGTCTTTTCTGCAGCTGTTTTTTTTATTTCTTTATTTTTTTTCCATGAGCAGCTGAATTAAAAAAATATTCTGTTTTTTTTTTTTCTTTTCTTTTTTTTTTTTTTAAAGAATGTGATTTTGACTGAAAACCTTTTTACCGTTTGTTGTTATTTTTTATTTTTCATACCAGGTGTAAAGGCCACTGTTTCACAGGTATCTGATGGTCATTTATTCAACTGTACAGAGCAGATATCAGTAGGGATGTAACAATATCATCGGTGTCACAGTATCATGTGACCAAGTGTCCCCATGACTTGATACGTGTCCCTGTATTAAGATGTAAAAAATTAAAAACATAGCAGACAGCTGGGTTAGTGGTGAAAAAGAGAGAGACTGTTGATGCTACAAAAATGACGTGAATACGTCGCAGTTTCACAGCGTCAAGAAAGTGGACAGGATGATCGAAAAACAAAGATAATAATCCTTAAAACCTGGTCATGTTCAGGACCCAGCTCTTCATTTTAAAAACCTAAAAACCAATCAGATCTGAGCTTATCAATACTTCGGTTGAGTTTCATAGGTTTCAAACCATTATATCTTATATCAAGCAATAATTCAATTAAGTTAGAATCCACCTCAGGGGACACACACACACACACACACACACAATTATGTTCATTAATTTTTTTATTGAATATTTGCTTTAAACAATTTTCCAACTTAAATCCAAAATTGGTGACTTTAAAGTCAGGATGTGAACTTCTTCCATAAAATTTTGTAATAAAGTTGTAATAGAATTTTAACTTAAATCTCAAAATTCCGAGAACAGATTCTGAACATTGAGATTTAAGTCAGAATTCAGATTTTTATTTCAAAATTTAGTTTCTTTTTCTTTTCTTAATTCTGACCTTAATCTCAGACATTTTCTCAGAATTCTCTGAAAAGAAAATCAGGATTCAAAAATTAAAGTAAAATTCCAGATTTTAATCTCAGAATTCTGTTTTTTTTTTCTTTTTTTCATTCTTAGAAAAAGTCATAATTCTTTGAATGTCTTTTCTTGGGATTTAGCTCTTTTTTTAATGGGGTTATCCTGAGTAAACGGTAAATGGACTGTGTTTACATTCACTCAGGGCGCGTTGGCGTCACATTCACTCATTCACACACTGATGTCAGACGCTGCTCTGTAGAGAGTTCATTAGTTCTGACTGATTCACTCAGCACTGGATGCAGTGATAAAATCGTATCATGGTCCAAAGGCGATATTATTATTATCATGTTGTGATATTTTGATATCATTACATCCCTATAATCACTTCTCTTTATATTTAATATGACTACTCTACATTCTTCTTCCAGACAACAGATCTTTATGCTGTAATTATTTTACTGAAGCTACAAACTTTAAATGTTGATATTTTTTTCTATGACTGAGATGATCGTTTTGTTTTGAACAGTTCTTCATGATTCACTGAGACTCTGCTAATGTTTTGTTTTCACCTGTATTTTTTTTTCAGGATTTTGAAATGTTTGTGAATTTTTAATAACTGATGTATCAAAAAGTTCTTGTTCTGAACACATCAGGAAATCTGTCGACTCAACACAATAATGTAGTTTCCCCTCGATGAACGCCTTTTTCATCGCTGTGAATTTATATACAGTTTATACATTAACATTATTTACATCAGTGTATTTATTTGTTAATGAGTATAAAAGAGACTCTAACATGATGCACTGACCGTAACATAATGAGACCTTTTCTGACACTTAATGAGAACAGTTTTGTATTTTTGTTAAAGGGATATTCCGGCATAAAATTAAATAAGGGTTAATTAATTAGTTATATCTAGTTATACCAACTTTAGTAACGACCGCAGGATAGCAATACAGAGAGCCACGCCCTCAACCAAAACGCCACTCTATAGCCACAGATAATGATCAGAACAGCACCTAACTTCATCAACAAGCAGCGAGAAGCAAGCGGTCGGCAACATTCATCTCTTGAGTGGGTGTCTAAAGGTCCTTTCACACCGGCCACGTTTTTTTCGTGCGATTATTTCGGACGTCAATATCTTTTTTCGAACCTGCATCCTGTCAATACAAGCGTACACATCAGCGACGTGTTCCCGTCCTGCGATATTGCAGCATTAATTTTTTTCAGATTCTGGTAGATTTTTCTAAAATTTCGCATACTGTGTGTCCACTTCTGACCAATCAGATTGTTACGTTTTTCAGCAATAATTAAGTTTGGTTTCCTAAACCACAAGGAGTTTATTTGTAAAACGACATGCAAGCGAAAACACTCAGCAGTGTGCAAATTCTGCTGTGCACAACTCACAGAAACAGCTGGTACGACTTCAAACTTTAACTGTCACCTCGAGAGGAAGCATAAAGACAGGTAAGCTGACGGTTACCACACAGTAGTGTTGTTGTACTCGAGATCGGTCTTGGTCTAGAGACCGGTCACCAGACTATTTTTTGAGGGTCTTGGTGTCGTCTCGGAATCGAAGGCATTTTCACACGGCCTTGTCTTGGTCTCGGTTGGTGCAGTCTTGACTACAACACTCTAGAGTGGTGTTTTGGTTGAGGTTTGTTTATGGCTCCTCAATCCGCTGTGTATCTCTATCCTGCGGTCGTTACTAAAGTTGGTATAACCAGAGAAGTAAGCGGTCGTCAACATTCATCTCTGGAGGGGGGGTCTAACTCGGTGTTATGGTGGGTTTGACCCTAAATTAATTTTACGCTTGAATATCCCTTTAAATTGATCTCAGTTATGCGGTAGAGCCGCATAGACCACAGTGAGAAACAATCCCAACAGGACTATAAAATGAGGTTTACTTTTAGAATTAAACAAGAGTGGATCTCTCACTGATTAAAGTCAGTGTGCTTAAGGAGGAGGTCTGGATTTCTGTTCATTTCGAAGTCCAAGAATAAAAAGAAAATTAAAAAAAAATTTAAATAAAGGTCTCTCTCGTATTTGAGTTTTATAACTCGTTTCTACCTGGTCGTGGGGTCTCTTGGTTTGTTCAGAACAACAGTCTGTTTTCGAACACTGTGAAGAGCTCGCTGTGTTTCATGTTGGTCAGTATGTTGATTTCCAGAATGTGTGGCTTCTGTAACGGAGAGTTTGTTATTTTATTTTGTTGTTTTCCTTTGTGTTTCTCTAGGCCACAGTTTAGGTTACGGCTTTGTTAACTTTGTTAACCCTAGTGATGCAGAGAGGGCTATCAGTACCCTCAATGGCCTGAGGCTACAGTCTAAAACTATCAAGGTAAAGTGCAAAAGGTGCTCTTTGATTTTACCTGTCTCAACTGATAGATGTGTTATGTTCCCTGGACAGTAGAGGGCGCTCTCTCCTGCACACTGTCTGATGGATGAAGGTATTTTCAAACCTCTGCTGTCATGTTTCTTGTTTTTCTGACTCCCTAAATTGCTCTCAGCCTGTTTTTTGAAGTCGACACTTGTTGACACTGAATCTGTGAATTTTCTTCAGTTCAGTGTGACGACGTGCCTAGCTTTTCTTTTCATAAATTTATGCTTTTATTTTGACAAGTGTGTAATTTTCTGAGCCTGTTTTTTTATTTATTTTTCTGTTTGTTTCTTTTTCTTTTAGTTTTTTTTTTTTTTTTGACAAATATGGAAACTTTTTTTGAATATTTAAAGATTTTTAAATCTCTGGATTTTATTTAAAAGACTTGATGTAAATGCACTTGTATTCTGTTCGGTGTTTTTATGCTTTTATTTTGGAACCGTCTGGTTAAGGCGACAGAGTGAGCACTTCCTGTTTCCTCCCCGTAGGTTTCGTTCGCACGGCCGAGTTCGGACATGATCAAAGATGCTAACTTGTACATCAGCGGGCTGCCGAGGAATCTGAGCCAGACGGACCTGGAGGACATGTTTGCTCGCTTTGGGCGCATTATCAACTCCAGAGTGCTGGTTGACCAGGCTTCAGGTACTGCACATGCTCAGTAACCATGCACTCATCTGAGCACTTACATCCCTCTTGTTAGGTTACTCACGGGTAATGTCATTGGCTGTTCAGGTCTATCCAGGGGCGTGGCTTTTATCCGCTTTGATAAGAGGTCCGAAGCCGAAGACGCTGTCAAACACCTAAACGGCCACACCCCTCCTGGAAACTCGGAGCCAATCACAGTCAAGTTTGCTGCCAACCCCAATCAGGCCAGAAACTCCCAGATGATGTCACAGATGTACCATGGCCAATCACGGCGCTACGGAGGACCCGTCCATCACCAGGCCCAGAGGTTCAGGTAGGTTTAACCAGTGAGCTGAGGCGGGCCACACAGTTGGAGAGATGCTGCAATCTGATTGGCTGTTAACCACATGTGTTTGTCCAGGTTTTCTCCGATGAGTGTGGATCACATGAGTGGAGGGGGCGGAGTCTCAGGAAACAATTCCACTGGTTGGTGCATCTTCATCTATAACCTGGGCCAGGACGCCGACGAGGCCATCCTGTGGCAGATGTTCGGGCCATTCGGCGCCGTCATCAACGTGAAAGTGATCCGAGATTTCAACACCAACAAGTGTAAAGGGTTTGGCTTTGTAACCATGACGAACTACGAGGAGGCGGCCATGGCGATCCACAGTCTGAATGGATACCGACTTGGAGACAAAGTTCTGCAGGTGTCCTTCAAGACCAGCAAGGGACACAAGTAGAGGGAGGGGGAGGGTGAGGAGGCGGAGTCTGCCCTCTTCGATAAAGATATTTCTTGTTCGGGTCTGATGAGCGATCAGGTCTGAGAGTTTTCAGAAGCTGTGATTGTGTCGACGTGAGTTCCTGTTTTTCTCCCAGCATGCTCTGCTTCTTCAAACTGAAGCCATTTCTCCATGTAGTGATTTTATTTCGTCTTATTTCAGTTTGTAACTTGTTTTTTAAAATGCAGCTTCATTGTGATGTTGGACTGTTTATTCAGTAATAAACCTGTTTATGGAAAACTTCAGTTTTTTTGTTCTTGCTCAGGAATATTTGTCAGAAACTCATGAGGATGGATGCTGGAAAACTGGTTTGAAACATGTGCGTCTAAATTACGTGTCGTGTAGAAACACAATCACAGCGCGACTGCTGACCTGACAGTTGTCCAAGGATTGTCAGAACTTTGGAGAGCTTCATCAGGAGTTCAAGGAGTAAGGGCACAGAGAGCAGCACCGAATCTGAGGTGTTTGAAGTCTCCACAGTCTGGGATCATTTTGGGTGCTGTGTCATCTGCTGTTGTTGGTCTACTGAGTTTAATCAAGTCTGAAATCAACTCAGCCTAAAACCTACCGCCAAATTTAAGGATATTTCATAATTTCATCTCCTGACAAGGTTTACAGAGACGCTGATTTCCTTTTCCAGCAGAACTAAGCTCCTCCCCACAGCACCACCGTTACTATCATAAACAACTGAGCAGGTGAGTGACTCATGTGATGGTAAGAGGGCAGACCAACACTCTCTAGGGCTCTGGGGCAGACTAATACTTGGCTTGTTACGATCCTGTTTTTAAGTCCCAGCCCTCTGATTCATTCTTCAATACAACAGAGCGCCACGTGCTCCTCCTGGATGCCCACACACTGAATGAACTTCCTGTAAACAGAAAGTTCCTGCTGATGTCAGGAGGCAAGGAGGAGTGTGTTATTGCTCAGGTACCATGGCAACCATACTTCGAGTGTTTTGCCCTGAATACAGTGGAAAATGACACGTGACCGATAACAGCCTGACTTGTTTTAAACCAGGAGTAAACGCCGATTTGTTGTCTTGCATTCATCATCCTCCGTCCTGCGGCTGACCGAGGAACATAGTTCGGCCACCATGCTGGTGCTGCAGGCTGACACCACCGACCTGTACCACAGCCACCTCCTGACAAACTGTCAACACGTGCACACACACACACGCACACGAAGGTGGATGTGTGCCTTTGTGTGCGTGTAGGTCCATGGGTGTGTATGTGGGTCGGAGAGTTGGGTGTTATTGTCGTTATTTATTTTTAGCCTCTGTGAAAACGTTGACATTTTTTTGTATGCTAATAAGGTTGAATTTGATGTGATTCATGAGTAATGAATTCTTTCTCATGACCACATTTAGTCATCGCTTCCGGTCATGTTTCTGTTTGCTTACTGCAGAACATTATTGTTGTTGTTCTCTCAGTGTCTCTCACTTGTTTAGAGCTGTTTTAAAATCATTACTATCGTTACTTGAACAGAACAGGACCACATGGATGACCTGATATCAGAGGTATTTCAGCTGTTTTTCTTCATAGTCTTCACTTTTGCCTACAGGTCCAGCTCTGCGGAGTGCACTTGTTCTCACATGTAACCTGTTTGTGTTTTTTTTCCACTCCCGGGAAAACGAGTAATAGAGCAAGGGGCGGGGATAATATCAATATCATTGTTAGGGGGGCGGGGATAATAGATAAGAGATCCTGCGCTCTCTGGTCATGCGCCATTCGCTGTCTCAGCATCGCTCCAGTGAACACATCTGACAACACCTGAACACTCAACATGAATCCGAAGTCTTGGACACCGAGTTATATTCAAGGTGAGTATGTCGTTCATTTTTAAATGTAAAATTTTACATTTTACACTCGAGCGTGTTCAGAGAGTTTCAGAAGTTTCACAACATTAACAGAGACAGCGTGGTGCGTAAAAACAGTCCGGGCGGTTTGATTTCTGCTCGACATTAACTGATCCTCAGCCTTTGAGTGGGTCGTGACATTTATGGATCGGTGTTGTTTGCCGTGTAACGATCTCTGCACGAAGAAGTGATTTTATTTTAAGGTGAACAGACGTCCCCGCGGGAAAGTCCCCGAACTGGATGACCTGTCTCCGATTTAAGCGTTTCATGAATGAGAACAAACATGTTGCGTCATTACAGTAACCGAAAAGGTAGGAAGAACAAGTAAGCAGTCCCGAGCAGTCCCCGCCGATCCGAATTTTCCCGGATTTCATTTCAGAAATCTGGTCACCTGATTTTGTTTTGATTGCGCATAAACGCTGTTTTGCACGTTTACGCTCGTCTGCGTAACTTCGGTATCAGGACAATCTCTGGACAAACGGGGGTCCACCGTGAACCACCACCCCGCGTGTGAGTGTGTGTGTGTCAGGTTCGGATTTCTCTCACTGGACGGGTGACTCAGTCCGTCATCGTCTCCAGGGCGCACGTGAAGCCGGCGTGAAAACAGAGGAGACGTATCATGTACGCATGCTCAGACAGTCAGTACCAGAGGCGGTAAATGTCATCACAGAGAACCTCTCCTTAATCGCAGCGCACGCTCCTTGTTAAAACTGTTACTCAGCACTGCGCGTAACATGCTTACTCGTGCTTCCTACTCACTCAGCCACCATAATGACCGTAATTGTTCTAGTCTACACGCAACATTTTAGTTCTCATTTATGGAACGTTAAAATCTGGGACATCTTTAACTGGGGACAAGTCCTCCAATATGGGGACTGTCCCCCCCTGGTCCTGTTCCACCCACTGGGACAGCTCAGTCACTCATTTAGACTTTCCTCTGCTGCTCTGTGTGAATTATGTGGTAATTAAAGATCTTATTACATGAGTATTCGCCTACAAAGTAGAAAGGTAATGGTGAATGTGAGGTACTCTAGGTCGAACTCCAGACTTTGTAGAAGTTCCTGGAAATACAGAGAAATATGAAGAGAAGGTTTTTTAGGTGCTTTCCATCAGGAGAGGAGCGAGGCAGCGCTCTGCAGAAGAGAGGGGCGCTCACGAGAAATTATGCAACAAAACAGGGAGGGCAAACTGGGTCACCTGACTCATGAGAAAAGCATGAAAGCTGTGGAGCGAGTGCTGCAGCAGGCTGTGTTTTTACAGGACCATATGAAAGGGCCTCATAGCCTGTCTGACGTAATTATTAACTATGTCTCTAACCTCCAACATGCTGCTGTTCTAACTTAGAGACACAGTAAACTGTAGATTCTGTCACTGAAAGTAAATCATCTGGTCAGGAGGTTATTAAGCTGAGGAATGACTTTTTCATGATCAGATAAAAAAGACAAACAAACAAACCTGCAGCGCCAGTGACATGTGACTCTCTAAATAAACAAACACTAAAATTTTCATCTGCTGATAAAGGTGTAAAAAGAGGACATAGGTGTACGTCAGTAGTCATGTTTCCACTGACTCATGTTTAGATGCACTTGGTTTCAGTTTGACGTTTCCCGTGAATTCTGCAAGAATTCAGAAAAAACGCTTAAAAAACTGACAAAAACTCTTCTTTCCTGTTGTGCAAACAAAAGCTTGTGCACATGTTGATGAATCCTCCTTGGTGCACCTCTTCTCGCCAGCACACACGATTTACTGGAAGTCCATAACCACGCTGGGTGTTTGTTTTTTTTTTCTGTGGGGGTGAAGCAGGAAGCTCCTGCAGAAGTGGAGGAAGGGTGAATCTTGGTCTAATGACTCAAAGAGAAAAGTGCGCGTGTTGTGAGGCGTTACTACGACACTTCCAGGGACAACCTGACGATAATTTGATGACATTTAGGCCCACAGTGTCTGCAGGAAAGTCCAGGTCATGTGGTGCATTTTACAAACTGAACTTGTCCTCTGACGTCAAGTATGTAAGATTAGAGATGCACCACCTGACTGTGGTCATCTTCCTCTTTAGAAGTCCTCACAGGTCATGAGGCTGTTTACAGTTAGCCTAGTTTTGAGGCAGCAGCCTCACGCAGTCATCAGGCATACATAATAACTCAGATGATGCAACTGTGATGCAATGAGGTCATGCAACCTCAGCACACGCGACTCCGTTTGCAGCTCACAATCTAAGAAAACCAGTTCTACGCCGACCAAAGAAGGCGTGTTACAAGTGAATGTGTTTGTAATTTGGGTCAGGCGAGCTTACACCCGTTTTCGTCTGCACTCCTTTGTGGCTTCAGTTCAGCTTTTTTTCCATTTACCGTTTATAGGGAAGTCACTGAAATACTTTAAAAACCAACCTTAGAGTGTTACTGCAGGTCATAACAAAACTTCAATTCTGTTGAAAAATTGTTTAATGTCATGTAGAAAATGAAAGTTAATGAAGTGGTAAAAAAAAATCCAAGAATTGTAAAAATTAAAAATACAAGAAAAACACACATAAGGTGAAAGGAACACGATAGAAGTGCTGATACAGACACCTGTCAGCAGAATCACTTCAGACACCATGAGGCCGGTTTGTCGTGGTACCTAATAAAGCTGTGACTGTTCATGCAAAGGTGGACCTTAGTGACTCTGCAGACCTCATGCAGAGCTCGCAGGTCTGGTGTTTGGCATGTACAGGGGCATGAAAGAAGGACAGATGAAAATGCACATCCTCATTTAGTGAGACGGGACAAATCATCATCGTCCTCCTCGTCTTCATCACTGATGGCAGGGTGGGCTAGCACGACAACACTTTCTCTCCTCTTGGCACAAAACATCGGGGCAGACATGACCTAAAAATTACACACAATATAACAAATGTTAAAAGGTCACAAACGGACAAAAATCCCTCATATTCACTATTTACAGCTTCAATATTTCTAGAAAAATATTTCACTGTAGTTATAAAACCTTTGACAACATTAAAACATAATGTCCTGAGTTGTTCTGCTTTATTTATTAAGAAAATGCTCAAAGTATTAAATGTTAGTTGCATTGGTCAGATGTCCAAAAATGGACAACATAATGATGTCACGTCATGATTTCACTAAATTCATGAAGTCCTCCACAAACAACATACGTGTCATCACTGAGTACAACTACCCAACAATAAAACATGCGAGTTTCATCAACTTACCACTGTTGGTTTTGACGTTCTGTACAGAAATGTACGGTGAGTCGAGCCACATGGGCGTCTTTTTCAGACTTCAGAGAAAACAGGAAGTTGGATGCATGCCAGGTCTCTGCTGATTGGTCGAATACAACAGTCATGTGATCTGTGTTGTGGGGTAATCTCTTCTGATCGGTTGAGTGAGGACCACATTCCTCTTGACCTTACTGAGGTCCTGGAGGGTGGCCAAATGACAAATGTGCAGAAACTATAAAAAAATCGTCACTATCCCAGGCCTCTTCTGTACGTGGATATAAATCAGATATGTATCCGATGTGACTGCAGTGTGGACGCTCAGGTCGTGTTCATCGACCTATACGTCATCAATATACGACAAACGTCACCATTGTTCGACAACACAAACAGGCGCGGAAAGAAATTTGTGCTTTTTGTGCGCATGCGGGGTCACTTCACGGACGCATCCCGTTCACATTAGACGCCGCTTTAGTTGTGGTAATGTAGAGACTAGTGATGCACGATATGAAAAATTTCAACCGATACCGATAACCGATAATTTTCTTCTTCTCATGGCCGATACCGATAACCGATAAATTCATATTTTTACATTTATTATAATCTTCATATAATCTGCAGTTTGTGCAGGATGCAGCGATTGAAAACTGATATTTTTGTTGCTCTGGCCTATCTAGAACAACAAACTAAAGTTTTTGGCTCTTCAAATATGATCATTAGCTATAAATAACAATAACAGAGCAAAAAGCAGAACTTCATTTGATCCCCTGAACTGTTCAACAGAACTGTAAACTGTAAAGGAGCTATTATGAGCCGTTAGGATTAGCATGCTGACCGGACTAACATCTGACGTCCATATGTCTGTGGTAAAACTCACGTGTAGTCCGTTCTTGTCGATCAGGTTGTGAATGTATGTGGCGACAATATCATAGAGTGCAGGAAGAGACACATCCGAGAAGAAGCGGCGGCTTGGGAGAGTGTAACGTGGCTCCAAGTGTGCTATTAACCTACGAAAACCCGGGTTCTCAACGACGGAAAAAGGCTGGTCGTCGACCGCTATGAACTCCATCACTTTGTCGTTAATGGCTTTAGCCTGTTCGCTGTCTCTTGAGAAGCTTTTGCAGTTTTTAAACGCCCGCTGAATGGGGACATCGATCCTCCGTAGTGTTGTTGTCTTAGCTTTAGTACCGCTAGCAGCTTCGACGGCTGTCTCACATTTTTTTAATACGATGGCGATGGCGACTTTTCCGATGAGCTATCAGATTCGTTGTGTTAAAACTTGACGTCTTCTTTCCTCCTCTTGGAATCCTCGCTGAACAGGTTTTGCAAATAGCAATGCTGTTGTCATCTTCTGCCACTGAGAGAAACGACCATGCTGGTGAAGACATTTTATTATCAGTCAGGCAGTGACGGGGTCAGGCTTGGGACCTGCGAGTAAGGCGCGACGGGCGGCTACTCCGCCTGCAAACGTTACTCGTAATTTCATTAATATATCAGCTCTTTCTATCAGAAAAATGCACCTATCGGACCGATAAAAAATGACGTAATTTCCCCCCAAATCGGCCGATATTTTATCGGGCCGATAAATATCGTGCATCCCTAGTAGAGACCGCACAAAAAGATCAGATTTAACAAAAAATCTGAAGTGTGCATCAGAACCTGCAGTGTGAACGTGGACTTTGACTGGCCCGTGTAACTTCTCTCCTTCCTCTTTCTTAAATGGTGGAGAATCTGTGACCCACTTCAAGAAACACAAGAGCAGTAATGTGGAGCAGGTTAAGAATCTCCTCAGACTGTAAATAAGGGCAGCGGGGTAGTCTCCAGAGAGAGCGTGAAGGCGTTAGGATGATTCATGTAAATATGAGACGTTAGTGAAGTCGCTCAGTCGAGCAGTAAAGGAGCAGCGAAAGAAAAAGATTTCAATTATTTTATTCAGCAACAACTTCACCAAACTTCACTTTAATAATACGTTTTTCAATCATCTCTCAAAATGAAACCACTGAAAATGATGTAATGCATATGCCAAGCCAGTAAATGGTGAAGTAACGCTGCCCAGGAAATGCACAAAGACAGAAGAAGAGTATGGATCATGTGTATAAAGGTTGTTTTGGCAGGACACGTGCAGGCACCAGAAAAAAAGAGTTACGCTGTGTGTGACATAATCGTTTCAAGAGATGCAGATAGGCATCCACTTGGAGGTGAAGTCGTTAACGGATTTATGCACTCTCTGACCCATTGTCATATTGTTGTTTCATTCTGCATGGATGAAATGCCAGTACAACAAAAAACGTTTGTGTTTTTTGTTGTACTGGCATTAATACCACCTTCAGACAGACTTTGACAGTGGTTTGCTCCTCCTCCAAAACTGACTCGCTCTTGCCCTATTTAGCCACAAAATTATCGCATTCTTTTGCAAAAGCCATGTTTGTTTACACTGATGTGTGTGGGAAGTGGGGAGTGCTCCTGCAGGAAGGGGGTGCCTGCAGTTGCCTGGAGGGTGAGACATGATAGAGAAGAAAATTGATTGATTGACAATTTTTAATTTTTAAAAATTGTCAAATTGGAGTTCCTTCCAATATCATGCAGCCCTAATTCAAATGTGCCATTTACAGTCAAAATAGACCACAGTTCTGCCTCAGTGTTGAATACAGTACAGACTGATGTTGTTCATCTGTGCTGTACATCTTTTGTCAACAGTGATAAAAGTGTGTGTGCCTTCTATCAGGAGAGACGTTTTCCTCTGGAACCAATCAGGATGTGCATTTCATTCACTAAGAGGAAGCTCTGGTGGACAGCAGGCATTAATCATTACCACTGAACAAAGAAACAAAAACTCACTTCTGAAGTTCAAGTCAAGCCGCAGCTCCCTGAAAACGAGATCTAAAAATCAAAAACCGCAGTAACATGCAGGCGATATAACGGTTACAGCTCACAGTTCAGAAAACAAAAGTGACGTAGTGAAACAGAAATGAGAAACCGGTCCAGACATTGAGTAATAGATCAGGTTTTGTTTTTCGTTTCCTCACGTCCTCTGAGCTTATCTCCTCCTGTGTCGACACATTCATAAATCAAACACGATGACGACGAGCAAACTGTTTAACTCACTCAAGTGAAATCAGGGAGAGCAAACACTCCAGCAGTCTGTAAAAAGGGTTTTAACAAACAGCGGGTGAAGGGATCAGCTGGGCGTTCCTCCGACATGTGTGCTCATGGTTTTAGAAGAACAGGAGAAATATTTCAGCACGTTTGAAGTAGTTTCACTCTGCGTCTTGTTGTTTTGTGTTAATGGTTTGAATATTCGACGTTGTCTTCTGTCTCCTCCGTCTGTTTTTGCTCATTTGTTGTGTTTATGTGTCTGGGTTCAGATCTTTTGACTCCCCTTTACTCTCATTTTTATTTCCTCTCTGGTTTATTTTTGGGTCGATTGGGCGTGTAACATTTTTCAGCTTCATGCCTCTTCAGGGTTTTTTTTTACCAACCTTACCTGACCTCTTACAGACGTCTGAATCCTCCATGTTTGTTTCTCACTTCACTCGTCTGTTAAGGCGGGGCGGTCAGAGAAAGTTTTCCCTTTCTTTCCTTCCGAACTCACCGAGCCGAAACAAACAAAAAAGTCGAGCAGACTCAGGCCCGAACTACACGAAGGCGGATATTTATTTATCTGGATATTTTTGCACCCCCGTCTAAATAAATGTACCTGTCCACACGTGTTAGTTCTCAAAAATATCTGCGTCCACACGTAGGCTTCAAACTCAACCCTATCTGGTGCAGCTTTGACATACGAAAGTTTAGCTTCCATTCATCTGCAGGCACAGCCCCTCTAACGAAGTTGTCCCACCACTTGCTGGTCCGACCGGGTTTGACCCAAAACTTACGCTTCTGGCGAACTTTAAAACGCCTCACGTTAACGTTACGATTGCTCTCCAATAAAAGTATTGGCCGCAGCAGACGCGTCTGTGAGCTGCTGACTGGTGGATGTAATTGTATAAAATAAGGTTCACTTTCAAGGCTGAAATTAGCCCCAAAAGGGCAAAACAAACATAAAGAATACCCTGTCTGTCCGCCATCGTTGTTATTGTTTTTGTTTTTAATGCCCATGCGCGAGCTGCGGTTTGACGTCATTGATCCGTAAAAGTCCGACCACACGAATCCACTGCGGATACGGGATACGGATATTTTTTTATTTCTCCGCTTGTTTTTCCCGATTCAGATTTATCCGGTTTGAGTGCTCCAAACTCCCGGTTTGGTGTGGTAGGGAGGCCTAATCGGACATAAATATGTGTGGTTTGAAATATATCCGCCTTCGTGTAGTTCGGGCCTAAATGATCGGACATCAGCAGCCTCACTTGTTCGACCCGTCAGGACGACGAAGGCCGTGTTTGATGAATGTTGGTCACCTGATGTTTTTCCTTTCACCTTCCCCGCCTCTTTCTCCAGATCTCTCAGGAATGCTGACAGCAGAGTTCAAGTTAGATCCTGACAGTCTCCCGCAGAATTCCTCTGACATCATGTCTTGAGCTTGCAGACTTGACCTTTGACCCTGGGACCTGCTGCGGGGGATTAAAAAAAAAGCAGTTTATTTTTGATAAGTAGAAGAAATGCCCATCAGTGTTTGTTTTAAATCAGCCGTACGAACTCACCGAGGGTTCTCTGAATGTTGAACAGTCTGAAGTTTGAAGTTTGTTTTCAGTCTCAGGATTTTTCTGTTTTCTTCATTTTCAGTCGCTGCACTTTTGCTGATGTTCCGGCTCGCCTCGGCCTCAACAACAGCATCAGAGGTCACGTGCACTGCAGCCAGAAACGCCGATGGCACCTTCACGTACACGCTGTCTCCAGAGCTCTGGACATTAAAGTGCCGGCCAAAGTGGACATCGGAGAATGTAAGTCTTTCTCTTTCAGACAGGAGTGTCTGCAAAGATCTGTGACAAACTGAGACCTTCAAAATAAATCAGGTCACATTAGATCATAAAAAATACATTTTTCATATCAACACGACTGCACCTGGATCAGCGACGTTTTCCCGCCCTGGGATATTGCGGCATTTACTTTTACTTTTTTCTAAAGTTTCGCAAAGTTTTGAGCCGTACCAAAACAGTCAGATAATGTGTTAGCGTAATGCTAACAGGTCGCATGTCAAACAACGAATAGATTAAAACCTCATGTATAAGTAGGGTTGGGTATCGAGAATCGAGAATCGATGGGAATCGAGACTAAAACTTCGATTCTTCCGGTATCGTTCAAATATAAAAATTTCGATTCCAAGTTTCGATGCCGGAGTCCGCCGACCGGAAGAAATAGCCGCCGAAAATCAACGAAGAAGAAGCCGCTTAACACCAACGAGGACGGAGCGTATGAGACGAAGCCACACAGAGAGGGAAGAGAGACAGAGAGAGAAAGTACATTGTAACCCACAGCAATGCAGCCGCTGTGGGTTACAATCTCTCTCTGTCTCTCTCCTCTCTCTGTGTGGCTCCGTCTCGTGCGCTCCGTCCTCGTTGGTGTTCGGCAGCTTCTTCTTCGTTGGTCAAAAGTTTGGCTAACTTTAGCAGGAAGAATGAACTCTTATCTCAATGCAACATTAGCAATACAGTTATATCATGCAAAGGAGGGTAAACGACAAACATGATTAAACACCTCAGGATTCATGGAGGAGAAATACCCGAGTGCTCGTCTTTGACGCGCTTCGCCGGTGTTATGCCATAGAATGCACCCTTGCTGTTGAATGCACCCCTGACGGGAGCGCGGTTGAAAGTACACAACAAGGTGAAACAATCCAAGTTTTTCTTACCGTTGGACGGAATCTAAAGCGTGTGCCTTTAATGATTTCATTCAGGCTATTCAGATATGCCGAAAACAATAGCCCTCTGATTCGGAATATTTACTGTCCTGAAAATATAATGTTCTCTACATTAACAGCTGACTGTACAGTTTATATACACAAGTACACCTCTATGTGTGCGTTTCTAAGACACATACAAACAAAACGAAAGTTTACTGCTCCATTTGACATGTTGTCATGATCTAATACCCGTGTTTTATTAAATATGAGATCATTGTCTTCCACTTTAAGAAGCTAATCAGTGGAGGGGAGGCATTCTACAGCAGGGGTGCATTCTACAGCACAACACCTGTCTTCCGCTAACCAGTCAGGATCAGATAAGTGAAACAATAAATTACTTCTATCCTCTGCTAACTTTGAAACGGTAAAGAAATTGCACTGAGTACGGTGGGTCAACTTAAATATCCAACTAACGTTAGCCCTTGTGCTTTTTCATAGACAAACGACCTGACAACAAAAAATGATATTTATATACTGGTTGAAAATGTGAGAAATTCATAGTAAAGTTCCTAAAAAGTTAATATGATTTAAAAATTCATGGAGAAGTTCAGAAATTACATCCAAAGAGAAGAGCTCCGGTTAGCGCCCTCATTCAAACCATGCTTTTTTTTTATGATATCCTGCCTTTTAAAAGAATCGAAATAAAGAATCGATAGGAATCGGAATCGAAATGAGGAATCGAAATCGGAATCGGAATCGTTCAAAATCAAACGATACCCAACCCTATGTATAAGACACGACGGCGTCCGCTCCAACCTCAGGCTGATGGAGGAAAAGAAAAAAGATCCTCGACAACACTATCTCAGAATCCTGTCAGACAGAGCGGTGCGATAAGATGATAGTAAACAGACATTTTAATGACATGTCGGCGTTCTGACTGTCAGCACTTTATGAGTTACATTAGTCATCCCCTATCATGAAGCTGTGTCATACTTCATCTATCTGATGATCTGAAAACACACACAGACACCTGAGCTGGTTATTTGATGGTGTCCTCGGTGAGCTGTGTCTTCAGTGTTGTGTAACAGGAGAAGCTCGGAGTCTTTTGGAGTCTAATTGACTCCCTTCACGTGCAGAGTCCTCGGGATAATAATTGGGGAATTTTCCCTTGTGGGACTGATAAAGTCGTATTTCATTTCATTTCATTGTTACGCTGATGACAGTCAGATATATGTGCCACTTAACAAAAAAAATGCTTTCTCCCTTACTCCACTTCTGGCGTGTCTTGAAGACATCAAAGCCTGGATGGCTTTGAATTTCTTAAACTTCAATGAAAAAAAAACAGAAGTGATGGTCTTTGGTCCCAGTGGCCCTTGTGAAACCCCTCCTGTAGACTTGGGTATTTTAGCAGATTATTTAAAGCCAACCGTCTCAAATTTGGGTTTTAAGATGGACAGTGATTTTAAATTCGACAGGCAAATTAGCTCGGTAGTGAAATCCAGTTTTTATCATATTAGGCAGCTGGCGAAGGCAAAGCCTTTTCTTTCACGTAAGCACTTTGAAACAGTAATCCATGCCTTTGTTACATCTCGGCTGGATTACTGTAACGCACTTTATTTTGGAGTCAGCCAGTCCTCCCTCTCACGTCTCCAGTTAGTTCAAAACGCAGCTGCCCGGCTCTTAACTGGAGTACGTAAGAGGGAGCACATTACTCCCATCCTGGCCTCCCTCCACTGGTTACCTGTGCATTTTAGAGTTCATTTTAAGATTCTTTTATTTGTTTTTAAATCTTTAAATGGTCTGGCTCCATCTTACCTCTCTGAGCTTCTCCACCCCTACACCCCTGCTCGGTGCCTCAGGTCAGCTGATCAGCTGCTCCTGCAGGTACCGAGGTCCAAACGGAAGCTCAGAGGGGATAGATCTTTTTCTGTTGCTGCCCCAATTTTATGGAACGAGCTACCCCTCCAAATCAGAGAAGCCCCCACACTGTCCATTTTTAAAAGTCGTCTTAAAACCCATTTTTATTCATTGGCTTTTAACCCTCCATGAGACTCGGCTCCTGTTTTAGTGTTCTATGGTTTGTTTTTAGTTATTTGTTTCTATGTTTTTAAATTAGTTTTTAAAAACATTGAAGCTATATTTTATTATTAATTCTGCTTTTATTTTATCCATTGTTTTAATTGTTTCTTGATTGTTTTTTATCTTGTTGTTTTTGTCCTGTTATGTACAGCACTTTGTACAGCTGTGGTTGTTTTAAAGTGCTCTACAAATAAAGTTGAGTTGAGTTGAGTTATCTTTGAGTCTGTAAGAGTGTCTAGGTCGAGTACCTCTTCTATAAAAGAGTGACAGTGCCAGCCTCTGTTGTTGTAGGAAACCCCCTGTGTACTCGTGACTTCCTTTTTTTGTTTTCAGAAATCTTTTCACTCACATCTGAACTTTCTTTGGCTCTCTCAGTCTGCATTCATTCTTCTCTTACATTTTCAGGGGACCAACCTTGCCCACGGCCTCAAGTTTGATAACAAAACGGTGAAGAATGTGACGATGAACTCCATCACACTGAAACACTGCCAGAGCCATCTGGACTTTTTTTGGCAGTGTGGAAAGGTAAGATACCGGCCTCAGAAAAAGGTTTAGTCCCAGACTTGAATCATTCCCAGCTCCTGAGTGGAAAAACGATGTAGATGCCTGACGGGGATTTTCCAAGACTTTTGTCAAACCAGCTGGATGAGACCTGGACTCTGAGAGACAAACAGCCCCGGGCTGCGAGCCAAGTCCAGTTGCGACACAGTTCCTGTAGGCGTCTGAAATAATGCTCACGCACGGTCGTGGAGCTAGAAGATCAAATATCATGAGGGCTTCATTTCCAGGTCGACTTTATGATTAGGATTAAATTCACACCTAACAACAGAAATGATCTGTGTTATCAAACATTATTAAACAGAAGGATGTTCGAAAGCAGTGAAGAAATATTTTTAATCAGGCAGAGCAGCTGCCATCTTCACTGACAGAATGAACTAATGTGTGGTTGTTTTTGCACTAAAGAATTTGTATCTGCAGACATTTTTAACCCGTTAAGACCTGAACCCTGTCTGAGCCTCGCCCCTGAAACCCTGAGGGCCGTTTTCAGAAGGGCCCCCTGATCCTGAGGTTTACAAAAGAGCTGATATCTCGACCTCTGTAGCAGGTAGAAACAAAATTCAAAAAGTATTTGAGAGCTTACACACGTGTCTTTTATTTCTATTTATCCAAACCTTCATCAGATTATTGAAAACCTTGAACAAACAAACTCAAATGAAATAAAGCGGCTGTTTAAATAAGAGTAAAGACTCTGGAGGATAACAAACTATTTGCTTTCTGTAAAACAAGTGGCAGTCATGATAAAGTGTCCATCAAAACAAATCTAAATATAAGAAATAAAGTGTTAAAGAGTATACAGCTGCCCTACTATAGTGCCAGTACAAAAGCAGAACTAAAAACTAAAAACTAATAAAAAAAACCAAAATTCACCAGGAGAAATCGCCGATAGTGTGAGACAAAGACCCCGTTATGAAGAGGTTGTTCTCACTGTTTACAGCCACAGACTGGAGCTCCACCAGATCTCTCATTTTCAGGGAGAAGTCCACCAAAAACATTCCTCTCAACTAGGCCTGTCGCGATAATCAATAAATCGCCTTATCGCTCGATAAATAAAAACGAGGTCGGTCATTTTGCCAGCCTCGATAATTAACATGCGTTTGTTTTCCTCCTCTCTCGCTACCAAACACGCTGGATGAGAGAAGAGGTCTCACTCTGCGCATTGTTCTCGGCACCTGGGGGCGTTGGCTCTATAGCGGAATGAACGGAGTTAGTGAACCCTCCTGTCAGTCATTCAGTGTCTTTGTCACGAGGGGGCTGGCGCGCGCACAGGCACACAGACACAGACTTTTGGATACAGTGCTGCAAGTGAGCGTCGTGAGTGAAAAGCAAGCTAACAGAATGAACACGACAGCTTTGGTGTCTAAACCGAACGCAACAGCCCAAGTGTGGGAATATTTCGGCTTTAAACCAGTTTTGCTTTCGTCAACCACAAAACTCCACGTGTGTGCGCGCGCGCGCGTGCGTGTGTGTGTCTGTGTGTTGGAGGAGCACAGCAGGCTGATGAGAGCTGTCAGAGCGGACTGAAGCTGCTCCTGTATGTTTAGCGTTTAACTGACTGAGTTTTGCAACTCTGTTCGTCATTTTCGTCTCGTCCCATCAACGTAAACGCACTTTCGTCTCGTCACATTTTAGTCATCTCCGACTTATGTTTAGCTCGTCAACGTTACGTCTTCGTCGTGGGAGAAAAGGGAAATATTTTAGTCAACGAAAACAACCAGTGTTGTTCTCGTGTGGAAAGTTTATCACTTTTGACATGGTGTACTCGCATTATTATGACATATAATATCATTATCTATAATTTAAAAAATGGTGTCAATAATTTGTAGCACAATTATCGTCCAGCAAAATTTGTTATCGTGACAGGCCTACTCTCATCCTCTCATCCACAAATCTTTATCTTGTGGCCCAGAAGGTTCAAAATCAGGGTTGTCAACGTCATCATTTCTGTCAGTATCACTACCTTCTCTGCCGATCACAGGCAGACGGGTATGATGATTTGGTTCACCACGACTCCAGAAATGACTGAAAAACTACAGAATGTGACAAAATGACGAATCTGCGCTCCCGGCTTGGAAGGTCGAAATGCGTCCATGCTGTCCCGCTTTAAATGGGTTAATAATTAAAACCTGATAAATGGAGGATCATACTGATCATGATTATCACGAGCTTCTTGTTCTTAAATCGCTGCTGTAACGTCACAGTAGACAAAAACAATGCTGAGCTGCAAGAAAAGAGAAGCTTAATAACCTGAAGCTGCTGAAACTGAAGTGTGACTTAGACGATGCATCCCTCGAACCCAGAGTTTACTTTTCCACACACCCTCCTCTGTCCTCTTGTTCTAGATAACACTGATAATTTCAGGGTTTAAACAGTCTCTCCTCAGACCTCAAACATGTCCAGACATGTTCCCTCTGAAAACTCCGACTGCTCTTCCTCGATATTACAGTCTGGCTCTTTATTTCTCATGCAAACCTCACAAATGAACATAATTTGGGTCTAAAATTGTGTGAGAAAATCTCTGAGGATCTGCCTAATAATGAAAAACTTTAAATCTTATTTTTAGCTCTAACTCCTCGATCTCTCTCTGTGTTTCCTCCTGCAGGTTCGAGAGAAAGCCAACTGCAGCTGTGAGTGTTTTTTCATCACATCATTATCCTAATTTACCGTTCTTTTCTTTGTAAAGGTCATTGAGTGTCGAATGATTCATATCATGGGCATAAAGAAATGAGAAGGAAGGAGGAGGTTTCAGAAAAGTTGGAAAGACCCTGGAAACCCTTTCAAGTGTCATTATCGGTGAATATTTTTCGGCTTTAAAGACGGTTGTCATGACGAACGCTGAGCTTCTTGTGTTTCTCTTTACCGGGATAACACGTTCAGCTCCTTTCTTATAAGACGACCACATTTCTGAGGGAAAACTTTGGCTCAAATATCTCTATAAGGCCAAATTAAATAACATATCATAGTCTAACGCGATATAATACATTACACTCCACAGAGGGCGCTGAGTTTGTAGTCCAGGCCTGTTTCCCCCCGTGTGGACAGTTTAGTCATTTAGTGTCTTTTATAGATAATTATAAATATAAAAAATAAAAAAGGTTAATGTCCTTTGCTTTATAGTAAATATACTTCTCAGGTTACATTCAGCTTTTTGTGGCTTTAACTCATCATGAAGATAAAAAGACGTCAAACTGGAGCTCAGGTTTACTGTCTCAGCAGCACTGTCCTCTGAGTTTTATCATTTCCCGTAAATCGTTCCAGGCAATGACTAGAGAATTAGCTCCATCTAGTGGTCATCTCCTGAAACTACTGGGGTTATTTTCTAACCCACTACAGGAGGATGGACACAAACTTTAACTTCAGTTTACTTTCTTTGGTTTACGTTAAGATGGGCTAAAATGTTTGAGAACCGAAGTCTTTGGATTTTTTTCAACTTATAATTTAATATCTGTCTCCTCTGCTGCTCTTATATATCATTAACATATTATTTTTTAATTCCAGTTAACTGCAACCTTCCCTATGGATCTATCCAACAGTCTACCGGTGAGCTTTCTCCTGTTTCCATAACACACTCACTGATTCCTGTGGTGTATTTCTAAGAATGTGACTCAACCTCAGGATGACTAATGTGCGGTTTCATGTGTTCATTTGTACTCAGCAGACAGACAGGCTGTCAGGTTACCGGTGATCTTTCAGGATCCACCTGACGTGATATTCTTATGTTGTATTTTTAATGAGCACTAATGGTTATTAACCCTTGTGTCACCTTGTGGCTTTTTTTTTTAGCCAGTTGGCTGCAAAATACCCCACTTTTTTGGCCAAAAGACTCACTTTATTGGCTGTTTTTGGCCTCTGACTTTAGCTGCTGTAAAAACATACCAGATAAATATTTTTTTCATTTTTTTTTTTTGCTCAAATCTCTTCATCAAGCTCATTCCTTATCATAACATTAATTATTATTATTTTTTATTGTGAATTTTAACCCTTTAAATGCCAAATTCAGAGGTGATGTCACTGATTTGGGTAAAAATCACAATATATGACAAATTTTTAATATAAAAAGTGATTAGAGGCTGAGGATTTTTTACGTGCCATCACATCTTCGAGTTTGTCAAATATTAGTAAAAACATTAACTTTGATGAATTTTTATTTTTTGCACAGCATCAGGTTAAAACTTTATTTTACCCCCTCTTTGGCCTATAGTGGCTGTTATAAGCAAATTACTTTAGCTGCTGCAAAAACACATCAGTACATTTTTTTCATTTTTTTTTTTTTCTCAAATCTCTTCATCAAGCTCATTCCTTATCATAACATTAATTATTATTATTTTTTATTGTGAATTTTAACCCTTTAAATGCCAAATTCAGAGGTGATGTCACTGATTTGGGTAAAAATCACAATATATGACAAATTTTGAATGTAAAAAGTGATTAGAGGCTATCACTTCTTCGAGTTTGTCAAATATTAGTAAAAACATTAACTTTGATGAATTTTTATTTTTTGCACAGCATCGGGTTAAAACTTTATTTTACCCCCTCTTTGGCCTATAGTGGCTGTTATAAGCAAATTACTTTCGCTGCTGTAAAAACAGTAAATTTTTTTCTTTTTTTTTTTTCGCTCAAATGTCTTTGTCAAACTTATTCCGGATCAAAAAAAATTTAACAAATAAAAAAAAAAATCATTTTCAAATCTTTAAATACCAAATCCAGAGGTGATGTCACTGATTTAGTAGAAAGGAAAAAAATCACACAAAATGACAAAATATTTAATATAAAAAGTGATTCGGGGCTGGAGATTTTTCACATGCTACCACACCCTTGGATATGTCAAATATTAGTAATAACACTAACTTTTTATTTTTTGCCTATAGTGGCCGTTATAAGCAAATTACTTTAGCTGCTGCAAAAACACATCAGTACATTTTTTTCTTTCTTTTTTTGGCTCAAATCTCTTTGTCAAACTTAGTCCAGATCAAAAATATTGAATATAGCATCAAATTTCAATTTGCGCTCCCCAATGACTAATTATAACCACATTTTGTGAAATTACAGCCATGACGCTGCATTATCATGCATTCTGCAATGGTGTGTGTGTGTGTGTGTGTGTGTGTGTAAAATTGAAAAGAATATCTCTTTCATATGTTTTTACAGCAGATTAAGTTAGTGGACAAAAACACCCTTTCGTCCAAAAGGGTACACAAGGATTAAAGTGCTGTAACATTTCTAAGGAACGGTGTTTTCACATTTCACCAGCAGGGGGGGTATCAGTGCTTCCCTCCCTTTTCGGGTGGTTGATGAGGTTTGGTGTGAATCCGAGTCCGAAGCTTTTATTAGTCCTCATGCTTCGTCACGGGCGTCGTGACTTGAGTCGTCAGTTTGTTCTTGTGTTTATGTCACTTCTGGTATCGCTGCTTTTACAGACTGCTGATGTTTTTCCACTAAAACTGAACCACACAGATACACACCTACACCTCACAACACTTCCTCATATGAAGTTAACAATAAGTGACTGTAAATTAAGTTTCCAGTATTTCCAGAGTGACCTGAGGCCGTTCACAGAGTGTTTTATTTTGGCTGTGTGGGAGTGAGAGTGGAAAAACAGCCACACCCTCGTTTTTCCGCTTGTTATCAGGGACGAGTAGTTTACCTCACAACCTGTCAAGATTCCCCTCGGCAGAGTTTATTGTGCTTTACTTGCTGAAATGAAACCTGATCCTGTTTTCTGATGGGTTACTCAGTCAGGAGACATCCGTCACTATCAGATCTGAAACACTCGGCAGCGTCGTTGTTTCAGGGAAACCTCGGCTCTTATTAAACCTTTGGACTGATGAATATCACATTTTTCCTCTTCTTGTATCATAAACATAAAATCTCATAATTTTCATAATTCCTGCTCAAACTGGACCCCAGCTGAACACCCTCAACTGATCACTGTCTACAACCCATATGTTAAACTATCTCACATCTAAGTCTGTTTTCTGTGATTCTTCCATTTAGCTATTTGAAATAAATATAAATATAAAAAAATCAATGTGAGTGTAGTTGGGAGTCATATTTTATACATCGGTCTGGTATGTATATTTGACATTGAATCAATCAATCTTATCTATAAAAGTGCAATATGAATAAAGTGACTATAATAATTATTTTCTGCTCTCCTCTCTCCTTTTCCTCCCCCTGCTCTCCTCTCTTCTCTCCCTGCTCTCCTTTCCTCCCTCCTCTCCCTGCTCTCCTCTCTTCTCTCCCTGCTCTCCTTTCCTCCCTCCTCTCCCTGCTCTCCTCTCTTCTCTCCCTGCTCTCCTTTCCTCCCTCCTCTCCCTGCTCTCCTCTCTTCTTCTTCTCCTCCCCCTTCCTCCTCTTCCTCCATTACTCCACATAAATCATCACCTGTTCTTCTTCTTCTTGTTTGATTCAAAGTTCTTTCACTTCATTCACAAGGTTTAAAAAAAAAAACACCAACCTGTTTCTTTTCAGCTTCGCCTCCTCCAGCGATCAAAGTGTGCCTCTCCAAGACCGTTTGTGTGGAACAGTGGAAACTCGGTGTCTCCATCGGTATCCCTGCTGCCTGTCTTCTGGCCATTGCCTTTGTTGGTGTGTTCCTCTGGAAGATCATCACCAAGCGCAGAAGATCTGCAGACCAAACAACAACATACTCTGCTGTGAACGATGAGAACAAGTTGGAGGAAGGTCAGTTTGATGAACAGGTCTAGGAATGGTATTCAGGTTTTTTTTGGATTTGACGACTGAGACCCCACTGAACTCCATCCCAAATTCACAATGTTTCACACAGTTAAATTTTTTAGGTGAAAGGATTTATTTTAACATTTATAACAGATTAAGCACCAACAAAGAGAAACCAGAAACTCTCGAAATAAGAGTTAACCTTTCCATCAAAAACTGTATTTGAGAAAAAAATCTATTCGACATGTTGATTTAACACAGAGGGGGCGGGGCTAAAGGTTTTAGCCATGATTTTATTCAGTCTATGGTGCAGAGGAACAGTTGCTGGATGACGGACCAGTTTCTGATCTTCAGTCTGGAGATCAGGAACATCACTTTTTTTTTTTTCTTTGTTGCCATGTTTTTTTTTTTTTTTTCTTTGTTGCCATGTTTTTGTTTTTTTCTTTGTTGCCATGTTTTTTTTTTTCTTTGTTGCCATGTTTTTTTTTTTTTTCTTTGTTGCCATGTTTTTTTTTTTTTTTCTTTGTTGCCATGTTTTTTTTTTTTTTTTTCTTTGTTGCCATGTTTTTTTTTTTAAACCAGCCTGTAAAATAGCTGCTATCTATCATGTACCACGCCCAGCTGAGCCTGGGTCACTTTAATCAGTGATGACAGACACTTTGGAGCCAACCTGCTACGTCAGCACGCAGCACTTTTTATCTGTGAATCGAACCTTTAGTACCTTCTCATGAAGCTGTTACTGCTTTTCTAACAACATGTGTTTTTTAACTTGTCATGGTAGTTTGTAGCCTTATTCGTATTTATAAGCAGATATCTGAATGCACTTTTAGATTAAAGACATGTTTACACAGGCAGCAGGCTTCCTGTAACTAATCCGTTACTCAGGACTGTTGGCTCATAGTTACGGATGACTGTAAACGATTCTAGTTTAGTGTCAGATTCTGGTGTGATGAGGGTGCTAAGACTTTGTTACAGCTCTGTAAACTGGAAAGCCGTTAAGATTCGCATCACCTGTTTCATCCTCTTCTTCTCTGCCATCACAAAAACAAATCTATAAGACCTCCAGAGAGCTGTGACAGACTTCGGCACTGACGCCTCCTCAGGGCTGTTTAAGACGCAGACTTACAGTAACGGCTGATATCTTGATCTTGACCACAGTCATAGAGAGAGAGACTTCAATCAATAGTTGTCACTATTATGTGAGCGCCACCTTCAGGGAAACCAGACAAGATGAGGTCGTATTTATGAGTATTAGTAAAGTCCTTCTGGCACAGACTGTGTTTGTGTTCAGGTATGAATGTTTAAAACTTGTGTTGGTACATACGCAGTGATGAGTGTTAAAAGGTTCAGCATGTATTAAGTCAGAACAGTATTTCACATTTAAACTGCATAAAACTGGATATTACTGCCAAGTCTATGCAAACAAGGACCAGGGCACCTTAGTACTCTGTTAAAAACTGGACACTGACTTCTCCTAACATGCAGATAATAACCAGAGCGACAAGTGTGTAAAATCTCCAGTTTCATTCATGAAATCAGAGTCTCTCAATGAATCTGTAAAACGGAGAAAACTGACTCTGGGCTCTATTTTGGTGCCTCGCCGGAGACGTGCCGCAAGCGCAGCGTCAGTCAGATCCGCCGCGCTGACAAGGCGTTCCCAAGCACATTTTGGTATTTTGGTGAGCCGCGCAGCCCGGCGTAAGTATCCCCCCTCCCTAACTCAGCTCCTCCCAGCACCATAAGTCGTAGACGGGGAGGAGAAAGGGCGTGTAGTTGGTTTAACACAGCCGAGACCTGTTTTCACCAATCACATAGGCTCCTCTCCTTGCCTTTAAATCCGCCACAGGCGAGGCGTATTACTATTTTCATGAAGTAGTCAAAGAGATCAAGAGATGTCTTAAGACAGTAATGCCACAAGATGGCGACAGAGGGCAGCTCCTCAACAAGTGTCCTCCACACTCTCTCATATGAGCACAGATGGATTTAGTGTGCGTAATGTTGGACCCACTGGTAAGACAAACACCCTTTTCCACAAATAAAGACACTCACATAAAGTTGCTCATATTCAAACCTCACGTGACAAAGGTGGGTTGAGCGCACAGATCACAACATAAACTCCAAAAATGGCATTAAAATCGGAACCATCTGTGCGTAAATGACCCATTGCGCTCCGTGGCCTGGCTCTTTCTTTCATAGATGTTGGCATATAAAATAAATTTGGCTCACAAAACTGAATATTATCATATCCGTATGTCGGCTTAAAGTAGATAACGCATCTGAGCACTGAAACAAATCATCTGTTCAGCTGCAGCAGCAGCAAGACGGACAGAGGACACGGAGACATGTCCAGGTCGAGCTGTGCGAGAAATAAGAGGAAGAGGAAGAAAGAAAAGGAGGGAGACGAATTACCAGCTGATTCTGTCGAAACCTCCCCCTGCCACGCCACCACGCCCAGCTTGGCGGATCTCGGCTCGCCTCCGTGCGGCTCATGCCACGAAAATACCAAACTGGCCTTACGCTGGGCTCCGCCAGACGAAAATACAACTGCGCGGGGCTCGCCGTCCTCCGCCGCCTCACCGGCGCGCACGAAAATAGAGCCCTCTGTGTGTATTTTGGGTGAAGACGCAGCAGGTCACAATCAAACGACAAAGAGTTTTTGAGGCAACAAAATACTTTTATATAATAATGCAGGGAGTCATCTGCATAAAAGAAGCGACATGTTCGCCATGTCTGCCGAGGAACCAGAAGCCAAGTGCACCAGCTGGGCATACACTAAGCCGGCTGTGTATGCCCAGCTTAGCTATGGCCTGCTCTTTGACCCAAACACGCCGCTAAAACACTGAAACCTAACAAAGACCAGACATGGCTTCGTCTGGTCTAAACACAAGTGTTCACAATGATGATAAAATCATTATCGCTTTGAACTGAACAGCTCCGACACAAACAGACAGAGAGAAAACTCAGGGGGTCTCTGAGCAAAACATCAGAGAATTCATTCCTATAAAATCCACTCCGTTTGTGAGACCAGCAGCTTTCTGTCTGATAAAAGTCAGACCCAGGAGTAACACAAACAGGGCTTAAGTCTAACTGGTGCACAGGGCTTAAGTTCAGCTTGTGTGTTACTTAAAGTCATGGTTGACGATCTGAGAAGCAATTGAAAAAACACTGTGCTACTTTTAGCCGCTCAGAGCTCCGAGGAGGGCCGGGAGAGTGGGAGGGGACGAGTCGCAACTACGGGAGAGGGGTGTGTCGAATACAGCGAGGTGATTGGATGGAGAGGCGGAGCAGGATATTGACTAATAGCAGCTGTCCGGGACGGATGGCTCCCATTGGTCAATGTTTTTGCAGCCCTGCACCTGATAGGGTGATTTTTTTTCTCTTCTTTTTTCTCTTCACTTTGTGGAGATCGCACTATAGGACCATGATCGCCATAGAAACGAGGTTCATAATAATTACCAATCTCTCCGATCGTCAACCATGACTTTAATGATGATACCATAACCATCCGTGCCTTTCTTTGCAGAATAAGTAGACTTGTCTAAACCCTATGCAATAATTTGGTTAAAGCAACAAAATACTATAACGTAAAAGTATAATGGAGTGCCTTTAGTCTCATCGCTTGTGTATGTAAAAAGTCTGCCTTAAACCATGAAGTAATTTCTCATAACAAAGCTGGGTGTCATCTGTATGAAAACAGATAGTACTGCCTCAAGTCTGCAGATGAGGATCAGGGTCCTACAGTATGTGTCCAGTTCTAGAAATAAAACAAGGTGTAAAATAGAACTGCATATTAAGGGCTGAAAAGGGCCTAAAAAAAGTCCATAAAAGAGTCCGGCTTGAATGATATCGTCAGATGTAAAAAAACTAAACCTGCATTTCGTCTGTATAAAAAGTTGAACACTGACAAGAACCAGGACTGCAAGTATTCTGCTGAAAAATATTCTAGTTTGTCAGCTGCGTGTCATCTGCAAAAAAAAAAAAAATGTGACAACTGATCCATAAGTATTTCAAATATGGACAACACATTTATAGCAACAAAATAGTTCTACGTCATAATGCCAAGGAGGCAGTAAATCAAGATGATCTAAAACAGAATATGTTTAAAAGAACTATGAATGAAGCCGAATCTCTGTCGTTTAGAGATTAGGGCAAAGACTGGAGTTAGCAATGATGCACGATGTCCAGAAAAAACAAAAACACACTGAAAAGGTGGAGCAAGTCATGAAAATGTCCTCTGACTATAGTTTATATATTATGATTATAAATAAATCTGCATACTGTTTGCTTTAAAATGTTTAAACTGAAGCCATAACTTTGATTTTGGGGATCCCTGACCCTGAACTAGATAGAAAAGTCTGGTTTAAGCAGCAGATTATAATCTATGAATAAACGTGAGAGTGTTGCAGCTCTCACGTTGTAGATCCTCTCACTGTGGAAGTGGGGAAAGCTCTTGTATTGTTATAATATATGATATAAATAACTGTTATATGCAAAGAGGGCTCAGTGAACAGTTTTCAAATGTAAAACTTCAGAGATGCTTTAAGGAAAACTACAGAATAGCTCTGTAGCTCTTTACAAAGCTCCCTTCAAACATGCAACACCTCATTTTCTTCCTACATAAAGAGCATAAAAAAGTGTTTATGTATAACTTATAAGATTAAGTTATTTGAAGTATCACTGCGTGGACTGTACTTAGAGCGACGACCAAAGTTAAACCTGCAGTATCAGCTTCATACCACAGGTGTCACTAGAGGAACCAAATATAATACTTGAAATACAGCGTTGGTAAAAAAGTGTTTGTACAGGTTGGCTCACAGGTGTAACTCCGGGCTTCTGAGGTCTGGCATGACCAAAAATCTGCTTTATTGCGATAGCATATCTTTTTCTTTTGTTGTGCTTTTGGGGCTTTTCTTGTGCGATATTTCCCTCCCGTTATTCAGAGTCGACTTATGTTTGCCTTCTTGGTTTCAGCAGCTCAAAATTGCAGATAAGTAGCCTGCTGTTACGTGTCATAAGATTGTAAAAAAAAATATATAAATGCCCGTTAACTATCAAATTGAAGCTTCAGAGCACTGATAATGAAACTGGAACCAGAAAATACTGATTGTAAAATGATGATTAAATAACTGATTCAATATTAAATTGTGTTAAAAACTTAAATAGAAAAATGTTTTAATGATTTCCTATGACTGGGGTTGCTTTTGGCGACTTTTTACGTGTTTTGATTTAAAATGTGTTTCTAATGTTGCCTGATCTGCTTCTTCTTAATAAAATGATTGAAAATAGACGCTTCATATTCTCAGTGTTTTATTTCACTGCCTGTTCGAGACGTTCAGACTAACCAGAATAAATGTGTTCACTGTTACAACATTAAATGTATCACGCTAGTTTAGTTTTTGCATGAAAGGTTGAAAGACACTTTGTTTTTCTCAAACTTTAACATGACCATTTATTTGTAAGTATTAGAATAACTCAGTCAGGATAATGTAGCATCAATATGTCTGATGCCAGCCTCCAGGAAAGAGCTGCTAAATGTACAGATGAATCAGTGTCTTTACTGTATGTTTCCATTCTCTGAAAAGGAAAGACAGACAGTATGTGGCTGATAAAGACAGGAGGATTTATTTATGGTCGAAATCTGCGTCACCTGCAGATTTCCAGCTGCTGCTTATCGTGAGGTCAAGTCCATTGGTGATAAAGGTAAAACATCAGCTGAGCCAATATTCTGGAAAAGAAAACTGAAAGACAAACTATGAGACAGAGCAGCTATTTTTCTGCCTCTACACTTTATCGTGTCTGTGCAAAAAACATATTCAATAAAATGATTCATAAACTAAACCAAACCCTCGATGACACCTCTCTCAGAAATCTTCACAACAGAGGCGTCTCCTGCCATTACCAACTCTGATCAACAAAACCGCAGTTTCTACACAAAGGATAAGGAAAATAACCTCTGAGGACCAACGATGCTTGAGCGAAAGGTCGAATGTGATTAAAAATACCGCAGCTGCAGCCGTGCTCTTACCATTCGGTGGTCTGTTTCCATGATGGGAAAAGAAACTGATAAACAAGACGGCCCAAAAGTCCCCGTCTGTAAGAGTGACGCGGTAACGGTGGTATTATGACTGGCAGGTCCTTTTTCATACTTCAGTTACTGACTCTCTTATCTCTCGTCTATGTGATTTTTTATCAATATTAAAAGTGCAGAAAACGTTTTAAAAACTTTTTTTTGTTGGTTACTTGAATTTTCCTGGAGCCTGGAGTTTGCTGCAGGAAAATTTGGATCTGAGGGAGCTGGTTTCATGTGACTCTAACTGAGATAGTGTATTTGGTTTGAAACAGACATGAATCAAAGCATTTGATTCTACTATAAATTTATCCATACAGCTGTGTACAGAATGTATTTCATTGCCGGCACATGTAAGCTATTATTACACATATTTAAACTAACTTTTTCACTGCAGGTAAAACATTGGTGGAAACTTTCATATCTGTCAATACTAGTAATGAACTGTTTATGCTACGCTATATGCCTTTACAGATACTTAAAGGGACATTTCGGCATAAAATTAATTCAGGGTCAAACACACTGGTTAGGCACCCCCTCAGGAGATGAATGTTGCAGACCGCTTGCTTCTCACTGCTTGTTGATGAAGTTAGGTGCTGTTCTGAGCATTATTTGTGGCTATAGAGTGGCGTTTTGGTTGAGGGCGTGGCTCTCTGTATTACTATCCTGCGGTCGTTACTAAAGTTGGTATAACTTGAGAAGCAAGCGGTCGACAACATTCATCTCTGGAGGGGGGGGTCTAACTCGGTGTTGCTGTGTGTTTGACCCTAAATTAATTTTACGCCGGAATATCCCTTTAAGTATACCAATAAAATGACACATCCCTACTTTGAATGTTTTCAGAAGTAGACAGAGGGTGTTTGCGTCCAGTGGTATATGCTTTGACTGATCACTTTTGGTTTGAGGATCCAGGATATGTTTATGTTTTTTCTGCATAAAGTCATTTCTAATCTCAGCCACATGTTGGGTTGGTTTGGTCACTGTCACATCAGTCGCGTTTATCGAACAGAAACAGACGTTTGTTTTCAAAAACCACCAGTTCAGTTAGAAACCTATTTAGATTGTAAAAAAAACTAGAAAACTGTTTAGATTTATGAGAGCACTCTGAGGCGTAGATAGCAGGCAGGTTACAGACCCCTGATATTCACAGTGTAGGGTTCATTTCAACATACTGAGTCAAAACGGGGGTTGTCCAACCCTTCACTGTAGGTCAGGGTCTCACCTCACCCTGTTAGGATTCTGTTTGGCATCAGCAGTAGCCAATTATAAGGTATCCCTAAGATTTGTTTCTGTTCTTGGGAAAGTCTGATAAAAGGCTGATAGAGAGAGGCGGCTTTATGACGCTCAGGTGTTACGCCTCTGATTTAATCGACCTGCAGAATATTTAAAGCTGCTGCTCAGACATCACATCACCAGAGCTGAGGTTGGACAACACTGAAGCTGAATCAAGACTACAGACTTTGCAGAGAAACACTGAGTGAAAGAAACTGCAGAAAGATGAGGTCAGTGTCAGTCTATTTAATATCTCATGAGTCTCTAAGCTTTTTTTCTTCTGCTCTTTTCCCTCCTCTTTACCTTTCCCCTTCAGTTCAAGATATTTTTACAGATTAGAGATGTGCTGATTTATCCGTAGAAGAAGAGGACTCATGTTAGTAAAGAAAACTAAGGATGATCACAGGGTGCAGATACTCTGCTAACAAGTGAAAGACTGGAACACCCTGTAAAGTGGTGGAAAAACTGATTTTAATGATTGAACATTTATTTACAGAAACTTCGTTTTTCAAAGAATTTAATGCCAGAAACTAATTTCTGAAAATTTAGGTCAGGGACGTTTCTCGCTGTGTGTCCTCAGCTCTTCTTCTGACAACACATGTTGGTGAACCCAGGAGACCAGTTTCTGCACTTTCCCTGCAGAATGGAGTTTATCGTTATCTGCGTTTACATGGGCACATATAATCAGAATAAAGGCCCGACCTGAATAAAAAAGTGCCATGTTAACATGTTGATTGGAAGATTTTGATCCAATTCGTCCACCCAAGAGGGTTGGTTTATGCCGATCGTTATTCCAAACTGCTTCCATATAAACACTTATTCCGATCGTGACTCTCTTACCTGACTCGATCTTCACTCTTTAGCCTTTGGTTTATTTAATGAGGTCAGTACTGGAGGTTTCATTATTTACACTCTGGCATAAAACACAACCGCAGGTACCGTGTCTGCGCCTCTGACAACATAATAAAGCGTACGTACAGCGTCATGATGTCACACCTGCACGCATAGAGCAACTTTTGACGGGACAGTAAAATAAGCAAGGGCGCCATCTAGTGACATCATTTAACAGAGGAGAAAATCCTAAATTGGATGGGTTGAGCCACGACAGCGTTTGTTGGTTTGTTGACAGCACAGGTGTAAATACAACTCTTCTTCTTCTGCGGTTGTTCTAGCAATTTTTTTGGCAAAGCAACTCTGCGCATGTCCAAATGCCTCTAATCTGAATAAAACTTGGTGCATGTATACTCGTTTGTCATGATTGGATTGTTTGATTTTGCACCCATATAAACAGTGGATTCAGATTAGGCCTGCACAATATATCGTTTGAACATCGTCATCGCAATGTAAGTGTGTGCGATAGTCACATCGCAGAGCCTGCGATATTGGAGGTGAATGAACTCATTTAATTTCAAGGGTAACCGACTGAGATACACTCCATGTGACTCTGCATGTGCTGTGCAGCGATCCACCAATCACATTCGTCCTTTACTCAGTTGCCAATCAGACTCACTTCTCAGTTGCCAATCAGACTACCCTGCCAGCTGTCAATCAAAATCAGAGAGGAGGAAACCCACCCCTGCACATGTTCTGCACATGGAGGGAGACGCGTGTCCGCTGAGAATTACTCTCGGAACTTTACTGACTGTTAAGCCCAACAAATAAGAACTGTATGGGTTTTAAATTGTATATTTCCGTGGACCACTCTACTATAAGCGGTGCGCGTTTTGCGAGGTGCATGCAATTCTCGGAGGACATGCGTTTCTCGGCACAACACCGCTAACAACAACGATCGCAAAATGAGCAACGAACAAGAGAAAACCACCGAAAATGAAGATTTGTTGCCCAAAAGAAAAAGGAAAGTCAGTTATCTGGAATTATTTCGATTAAAAGAAGGACCAAAACACGTGTTCTGTGTTCATCTGTTGCCACAATAACGTCCCAGCACAATAAAAGCTAAAAATATCTCTGAGACAGAAGCCATTCTAACATTCACAAAAAGAGGTAAGATCAGAGCAGATTAACTGTCCTCAAGATTTCAGCAGTGCAGTATAACATTAAATGCTATTCAGGTCATCTGGTGAAAATTCCTGTATTTTTAATATCGCAATATATATCGCAGGGTTGAAAAAAATCGCAATATTATTTTTTTCCAATATCGTGCAGCCTTAATTCAGATGATCAGATCCCTCAAATTTTTAATCAGATCGAGAAATAATTTTGCCCATGTAAACATGGCTACTGTCTTGCTGAAATATGAAGGTGTTCCCTGAAAAAGTCTTTGTCTGGATGGCAGCAGGTGCTGCTCCTAAACTTGTAGATGTTGTTGAGCATTAAGGGAGCCATCACAGATGTCATGGACTCTGATGATTCCCAGACCATCAGGGATGCTGAGAACAAGCTGGGTGGATCCTCTACTCGAAACTGAGGATGCAGCATCTACGATATCCAACTCTTCGTTTAAAGGACAACTGGACTTACTTGAGACAGTCTCGGGTAAGTCCAGTTGTCCTTTCCATGCGGTGATTCCCACTCCAAAGTTCTGTCTGTTTTTAAAGACTGACTTTTTGGGAATATGAGTTATAAATTTAAACATCACTCCATCTCCTCCCACAGTAAAAAAGAAAGCCAAGATGATGGAACAGACATTTTGTCATGACATATATCTCTCATTTTAATTGTATCTTGGTGCAATGATTGACAGCTCTGCTGACAAATGAGGCTCTTACACTGGACTACCAGTGCAGAGGAGAACTGGTGAGAGGAAACGTGACAAAAAAGCCACACTGGAATCTGATCTGCTGCGGACTGCTGAGGCAGCTTGCTGGTTTGTCGGTTTAATAGATCAGCTGTTGCCCAAAAAGGCGTCTCCACCAAAACAACAAATAAACAATATTTGGCTTGATTTTGATACGAAGAGGGGAGATGGAGACCAGTTCATCTTTGTATACAGTCTATGAGTTTGGTATCAAAGCAGCAGATAATTCTGCAGGACACCAGCAAAATAAACGGGCAGAGGCGGGATGGGTATTGCTTTTGATGACGTATTAATGTTTTTATTCTCCATCAGTGCTGCTCAGAGTCAAACAACACTGGAGTCCCTGCAGTGCCACTTCACCTGGGACCTGGACTACAGCAAACCTCAGCTATATCGTCTCAGGGATAGGCTGGAGGACGTCTGCACAGACAGAGGAAACAGATGGCTCGGTCATTTCTACAACCTGCAGGGGTTCATCCAGTTCAAACTGGAGAAATATGAGGATGCAAAGAGATTGTTCAACAAGGCTGCAGAGGTCTTCAGTGAGCTGAGACATGCAGATGAGGGTCCCTGGTTGGTAGTGAACTATGGGAACCTGGCCTGGCTGCACCACCACCTGGGAGAGGATGAAGAGAGTCAGGCTTACCTGTCAAAGGTAGATGCCCTGATGAAGAAATACCCACCTCCATCCCAGAGTGAGCTCCACCCAGAGATCCACGCTGAAAAAGCCTGGACTCTGATTTACATGACAGAGGAGTTTAATGCTGCTGTTGATCACTTTGAAAAAGCTGCCAGGATGCAGCCGGACATGGTGGATTGGAACTCCAGCTATGTCATACATTTAGTAAAAGCCCAGGAGCACAACACCGGAGAGGTGGAGGCTGACCTCCTGGAGAAAATAAGAGCTGCAAAGGAACGAGATCCAGAGAACCTGTACCTCGCAGTTCTCTACCTAGAACAGCGTGCAAAGAAAGGAGAGAAAGTCCAAGAGGAAGTTCGAGAGTTTGCCAGAAACAATTTGGGAAGTCTAAGCTGCAGCTACAGTTGTATGAGATTATTACTAGAGGTCTACAAAAACCACCTATCTATTGATGAGGCCATTGATTTGGCAGAAGAGGCTCTGAAAATGCATCCAGATCGGCGTCACCTGAAGAAGAATGCTGCACTTTGTTATAGATGGAAGATGTTGTTTTTCAGGGACAGCCCCACTAGACCAGGCATGAAAGACCGAGCAATCAGTCTTCATGAGGAGCTGCTTTCTCTTTACCCTGACTCTCAACTCCTGAAGAAAATTGATCTTGCTACAGTCTATGCAAAATCAGGTTACAAGGCTGAAGCTGAGCAGATATATCAGGAGCTGCTTCAAGATGAACTGGATCCTGCAGACAAACAGCTCCTTTATAATACTTATGCAAGGTATTTATACTACGATCAGCACGACAGGGATGGTTCCATCAGATACCACATGAAAGCAGCAGAAATACCAGTCAGATCCTGTTTCGGTAAGGGCAGTATGAGAGTTCTGAACAAGATTAAAGACAGGGGTCAACACCGAATGTGTCCAGAAATAGAGGAGTTTCTGAAAAACCTGCAAGTGCTGGAATAAACCCCATATTTATACATCACACCAGACATGTCAGACATTATTCTGACACGTTGTCAAAACCCGACCGGTCAAATTAGCAGCTCTAGAGTTTGTGAAACACAGGGTAGAAATAACAGCGGATTAGAGGATTGAATACTGCAGGTGGGTTCACACCCTCACATGTATCCTCATAAAACAATGGTGTGTCATGCTTTCGTTTTTGATATTATCTGTTCATGTCTACAGTAGTTTGCTTTATTTCCTGCATTGTAAAACTATGCATTTACAGTATTTTTAAATATACAATATCAAAATTTACAAAACTGTCTAAAAAAAGCTAAAATAACAGTTAAAATGGTTGAAACCTAAGATTATATTTTTGGATTTAAAATCAATCTCACACTTCCAGTTTGAACAGGGCTTAACCCTCTCCCAGGAGGCTGCTACAGCTAGCTTGCTAGCACCTGCTTGTTGCCACCAAAGGTTATTATAACTGTTTTTAGCCCATCTGTACTTCATTTTTAAAAAAGATGACAATCATTAATACCTGTAGACTACAGAGCCCTTCTAGAAAGAAACGTCTCAGTCTTACCCCCAATTTTCACCACATCCACGACAGCAGTTTTTCGCCATCCACCATTTCCTACTGGATTCATTTGTGAGGCGAATCTCGTGGTGGATTACGGAGAACAGGAATTGCGAGAACTCACAAGAACCGGCGGATTCACGTGCAATGGCGCAATAACATAGGCTAACCATAAAAGCAGTAGATTGTGTCCTTCCAGAGGAGGAAATCTACTTCTAGACTTCTAGAATCAGCATCTCCTCATCCATGGTGTCATCAGGGTGAAATGACGTCTAAAAACCTTTCACTTGTTCGTCTCCGCCCGTTTGCATGGTGTGAAATACGATCCTCCTGAAACACGGAGTGTTTTATTTTGAAAAGAAGCCGGATGTTTTATTTTGAAGTCTGTGCCCGACTTCCTTTCCAGCACGGGTTAATCTGTGCTGAATTTATCCGCCATGCTCCGGCGTCCAGGAAAAATAGAACTCTTGTGATCAGCTGAGGAGTCCGGCGATCCGCAGAGGAACGGAAAGAAGTCGGTGTAAATTGACACGTTAACTTGAATGGTTACGATCAGCTACGATTGGCAGATACGACCTTTTAGTAGCCATTCCAGATGTGATGAAAATTGGGGGTTAGCTCTTCAAAATTCTCGTATTAGTACCTGCTAAAACACAGAGAGGCTTTTAATTGGGAAATGTTAACTGATGGTGTTTTTGGTTTGTTTCTTTTCCTGAAGTAGGAAATCTTAAAATCTTGCAGCATTTGACAAAGTTGATCAGGCGGAGGACTAGGTTGGACTTCCTGGCACAGACAGTACTGATTTGCATGTGGAGTTCCCCAAGGCTCCACCCTGGGACCTCTTCTGTTTAACAGCTGCATTCTCCCACTGACTCAGGTGAAAGAGATTTAGCGGCTTTTAGGTTTGGCAACCTTCTCATCCCTGCTCTGTGGACCAAGCCCCGAACCTGGGGGCTCTGGTACTTTCCCCCTAGACACATCTGGGACTGTACTGACATATCAAAGTTCAAACCCACTTGTTCAAATCTGCTTTAACTCTTGAGTGGCTGTAATTATGCCTGTCTTTTAATCTGTTTTTACTAATACATTAATGTAATGTGTTTTTATCCTATTTACTCCTGTGTTGTTAAGTGTCTTTGAATGCCATGAAGAGCACTGTATAAATAAAGTGTATTATTGTTTTTATCATTAATAATTCCACTGCTGGAGTCTTGTTCTTTGGAGCCAGAATTGGTCATATTTCGACAATGTTGTGTGTGAGTGGCCAGCAGAGCTGGTTATTCACATTTGGGGTCGGCACACCCCCTGAAGTTTGAGAAAAAAAGGGGTTAAATAGTGATGTCACATGCCAGTTTGTTACACGCCAGTTTGCCACACGAAAATGAGCAGGTTGATGTGACGAGAGGAAAATATTAAAAGTGTAATTAAAGGAAAGCTCAGCTTTTACGTGTATTTGTTTTGTTTCTTCGTTCATATCATTGGGTGCAGTTGGTCTGGGGTCAAGTACAAGAGGCTATTTGGATCCAGTTCGCACCCTTGGTAGGCGAAGAGAGGTAGGTGGCCTGAAATAATTTGAGTGGTGTGTTATTGTTTGCGATTGCGCATGGTCCTGATAATGTCGGGGGGAAAGTGTTATGAATGTTTTGATTGTAGTTATTTTGATAGTGAAGGTGTGTTTAAAAATGCAAATATTTCAGTACTGTTTTGTATGAATTTGTTATGTTGAAAAATGATTCGTATTTTTGCTGTGTTTTTATTTTCACTGTACTTGAAGAGAGGAATAAAAAAATAAAGACTGTACCAGTTGAACGCAACGATACCAAAGGCTGTAACATTGTGGTTACATCTTTATCCAGGTCAACAGACTGCATGCTAGCATTTCCTAAAGCCTGCTTTGCCACCTCTGATCTAAACAGGACTTTAATGCACTGATGATCATCACACGGAACTGAGAAAGACTTAAAACTAGGACTGGAACCATAAACTCATCAGGACAAGGTTTACTGAGGGAGTGGCTCTAGTGTGCAGTAGGGTAATTGTTTTATTGACTTCTGCACATCCAGACTGAAGAGCCTCTACAGCAGATTTAGGCCACGTTTACAGGAGAGCGTCCGTCTACACTCACCGGCCACTTTATTAGGTACACCATGCTAGTAACGGGTTGGACCCCCTTTTGCCTTCAGAACTGCCTCAATTCTTCGTGGCATAGATTCAACAAGGTGCTGGAAGCATTCCTCAGAGAGCTTGGTCCATATTGACATGATGGCATCACACAGTTGCCGCAGATTTGTCGGCTGCACATCCATGATGCGAATCTCCCGTTCCACCACATCCCAAAGATGCTCTATTGGATTGAGATCTGGTGACTGTGGAGGCCATTTGAGTACAGTGAACTCATTGTCATGTTCAAGAAAACAGTCTGAGATGATTCCAGCTTTATGACATGGCGCATTATCCTGCTGAAAGTAGCCATCAGAAGTTGGGTACATTGTGGTCATAAAGGGATGGACATGGTCAGCAACAATACTCAGGTAGGCTGTGGCGTTGCAACGATGCTCAATTGGTACCAAGGGGCCCAAAGAGTGCCAAGAAAATATTCCCCACACCATGACACCACCACCACCAGCCTGAACCGTTGATACAAGGCAGGATGGATCCATGCTTTCATGTTGTTGACGCCAAATTCTGACCCTACCATCCGAATGTCGCAGCAGAAATCGAGACTCATCAGACCAGGCAACGTTTTTCCAATCTTCTATTGTCCAATTTCAATGAGCTTGTGCAAATTGTAGCCTCAGTTTCCTGTTCTTAGCTGAAAGGAGTGGCACCCGGTGTGGTCTTCTGCTGCTGTAGCCCATCTGCCTCAAAGTTTGACGTACTGTGCGTTCAGAGATGCTCTTCTGCCTACCTTGGTTGTAACGGGTGGTTATTTGAGTCACTGTTGCCTTTCTATCAGCTGGAACCAGTCTGGCCATTCTCCTCTGACCTCTGGCATCAACAAGGCATTTCCGCCCACAGAACTGCCGCTCACTGGATATTTTTTCTTTTTCGGACCATTCTCTGTAAACCCTAGAGATGGTTGTGCGTGAAAATCCCAGTAGATCAGCAGTTTCTGAAATACTCAGACCAGCCCTTCTGGCACCAACAACCATGCCACGTTCAAAGTCACTCAAATCACCTTTCTTCCCCATACTGATGCTCGGTTTGAACTGCAGGAGATTGTCTTGACCATGTCTACATGCCTAAATGCACTAAGTTGCCGCCATGTGATTGGCTGATTAGAAATTAAGTGTTAACGAGCAGTTGGACAGGTGTACCTAATAAAGTGGCCGGTGAGTGTAAATGACACTGGAGTGTGGATGTCAGGCCGGTATTGACCCTCTCCTCATACTCGGAATGTAATATGCAGCATTACGTGAAAACAGGGCTCTTACATCACTGTTTTCAGAGAATCTGGCCAACACCAAAACCACTCAGGTATCAGTTTCTGTACTTAAAAAGTTGGATTGACTGTAGAAGTGTTTATGTTTTTATGGCCGAATGCTACAATTTTCTAGCACTCAGAATCAGGTCACTCAAACAAACTTTATTGATTGAATAAAAGGCCAGCCATTCTTTTTTTCAGCTGATCTTGGCTCCTGTCTGACCTTATGGCCCAAACAATCCTGAACCGACAACAACTGAGCAAATGTACCTCAGATTTTTCCACGTGTCCTTTCGTGTAATTACACACTGTCACCAGTAGAAAGTAGAAACATAGAAACACTACATCCAAAGCAACACTGACATCCACCCTCAAAGCAGAAGCCTATCACAATAAAACACACTTGTTTTTACACAAATAGACTACAAACAAAATCAACTTTAAGCTCTGGAAATGTTTCAAACAATGTACACGATGCAATATACTGTTACAGTGCAGCATGTTAATGTTTGATTCGTATTATATGTGGATTTATGTTTCTTTTCTTGGGAAAGAGAAGTCTGACTTTTATGGCGTCACAGCTCTGAAATGCATTTAAACCTGCTCACTCACGAACATCACAGTATTTACATCAGCACTGAGGCTGGACTACAGTGAAACTACAGCAACATTACGATCAACACTACTCTACTGTGGCTGGAACAACACAGAGAAATATTACAGGAAATACTGAGTACAGGAAACAACAGACAGATGAGGAGAGTATCAATATTTACTATTTTCAATATAGTATTGAGGAGGTGGCATTTGTCTATGAATAATCTTAAATTGACTAAGAGTGAGTAGAAGGTTTATCAGAATCAGAAAACTTTACTTATCCCCAGGGGAGAAATTCAGTCATTACAGCATTACAGTTACTCCTGAGACACAAAAAAATAACAGAGGAGAAAAGAAATAGGAATGAATGGTGACATGATTGAAGTCCCCTAAGATGATGAAGAGGGCACCTGGGTGGTCTGCCTGTAGTTGGGCAGAGGCGATGTGCATGACACGGCACGCAGCCGCCCGGTTAGCAAGAGGGGGGTACACAGCCACCATGATGACGTGAAATCTCCCGAGGGGCAAACAATGTGGCCAAAGTCCCACAGCTAACAGTTCAATATCCGGGCTACAAGTGCGTTCAATCTTTACTTGTGCAAGACAGAAAAAAAGAGGCAAAATGTAAGAAATGTGCAAGAGCGACTGCATCATCTACTTTCATATCAAACTCCTGAGTGAGCCAAATATCACAGTAATGGAAAACTATGTGATTGCACATTCTACCTCCAGGAAAATGGAAGTGAAACCCACAGACTGTGCTTAACAGTCTATGTTCACACCCATCTGTGAAAACATATAACCCGTTCAAAGTTTGCTATATTTGGATTTATGTTTGCAATTAAATTCGCTTCACTACAATCATCTTATCACTCAGACGCACTTCACCACAGAAACAGCTGAGCTGACAGATACTCTAAGACATTCAGAACAGTGGCGATTGCTCTAAGACTGCAAGGGAAGCTCAGCTTCCCTTAAAATGTCACCCCCCCAAAAACAGAAAAAGTAGTGAAATACGTACTGCTGTGTGTACATTTCATTAACTAAATACGCGCTAGAAAGCCTTCATCTTTTGTTCAGAATCAGCTTCTTATCACAGTGTGTTATTACACAGAACATACATTTTTCTCCCCCCTGCTTGTGATGTTAACATATAGTTACAGTAAGACTGGTTTGTGCCCAAGTCCTCTTTTTTCTGTACAGCTCTGTTTTTAAAAGTTATTAGGGGGTTCATGTTTTCTATGATCAGGCATGAAAATGGGTCAGGGGTTGAAAAGGTGAGAAGCGGGGGCAGGGGGGGGGTGAAGAGTATAATAGTATAGTATAATAAACTCTTAAATACAACGGAGTATGAGGGCCACATTAAGACAAAAAACGTTTTTAAATCTTAGACCAAAAAGTTATTATTTAGGAGAATAAAGTCATTAATATCTAAGAATAAAGTCGTAAAGTTACCTGTTGTGGAGGAGAGTTGTTAAAATCAGCACTGTGGAGCATTTAGATGAATTGTACTTAAGTATAGGTTTCACAAACATGGAGATACTTAATCTTTTGGTACATGAGCGTTACACTGTCAGAACTTTAAAAAGAATATATGAGAAATGCTGCTTTTGTGGAGGGGAGAATGGCTGGAAATGGCTGTACAGAGGCTAAATTCATCAGTGCAGCTGTTAATAGCAATAGCATAGGGCTTTAGTTTATCATATGAGTTTATATGCCATGAGGTGTTGAGGTCTCTGCATGTGTAGGTTACCGACTTACTGTAATCATCGGGTCTTTCTCGTCCTTATAAAAACCTGCTCTATTTCGGCGAGTGTCTGTCTTCTTCTGTAGTCAAACCGCAAGATATCAAAATCTACCCGGATACAGCAATGCTGCTTTTTGATTGGCTGTTCAGTAGATATACTTTATTTGATTGGCTTGCGCGTGGCACGCAGCTTCTGAACTCTCGGAGGAACTCAGTTGATTTCTACCTGTTCCATAGTTAAAGAGGTGCAACTTTGTGGAGATCACCATGTTCATATAAATGCGTGAGAAATACAATGTGTGGCGAGTGAACGGGTGGGAATGCGTGTGTCACACGCTGAATGCGTGAGACTTGAGAGCCCTGCAGAGCAGTAAACGCGAGACGCCCGCTTTCGCTATTTTAGATGGCTCAAAACTTGGATTATTTCGCCTTGTTGTGTACTTTCAACCGCGCTCTCGTCAGGGGGGCTTTCAATGTCAGGGGTGCATTCTACGGCACAACACCGGCGTGGATAAGTCCTGCTTCTCGTTCTCGCAGCTTTGCAATGCTACCACAGGCTCTCCAAGCACTCCAAGTGCACGTGAAGAGTGTGCGCATGATTGGAATAATGGAACGCAGCTTGGCCTATGATTGGTTCTCGTCAGCTAAGGAGCCAGGAGGATTTGCTGACCGTCCAAGTGTCATTTAAAGGGCCGATTTCTGAAGTGCTCAGTTTACGTATTGAGTCAATCACATGATAATAAAAGAACATAAAAAATTTCCCGACCCCGACCCCCCCCCCCCTAAAAAATTTCTCCTCGGATCTACACGATTCACGTAGGTCACCCTTTTTGATTTCAAAACGGCGAATTTCGCCGAAAGGTGAGAGATTTTCATGCCTGTATGATTGACACCTGATACAGCCTATGGGCGTTCAGGGATTGCGTAGCTCTCCCGGGGGGATACACTGTTTGAGCCGAGCGTCATCACAGGGACTCTCGGCGACTGCGCAGCCGAATGCGCACAACGCTACTGCACAGCTCTGGTTTCGAGGAAGTGGAGAAAAACCCGGAATTACCGAGAGCTTTTTGGCTTCAAATCCGTATACAGGCGGAACCAGGTTGTCCATCTTATATACAGTCTATGGAAGAAGCCTGTCACTAGAGGAGTGGTAGGGCCTTGCTCTAGCGCCCCCTATTGACCAACTGCTACTGAATATAAAACCGATCTGTGGGCAAGAATACCCCTGGCACTTTTTCCTGCAGTTGACAAAAACTTACACTTAAATCTTGAACAGTGTTTTCTTTTTACTCCCTGGCTACAACATTTTTATTTTGATCCTCTAAAGATCTTCAATGTCTTTCAAACTACAATTTAAAGACCTTGTTTAGTCTGCCATTCTTCATTTAGGGTAGAGTTTAGTGCCCTCCATTGACCAGCTGCCACTTTCAAAACAAATGAGCTCGACAACTTTCCAACTTTATATGTTTGGGGAAAGGAAAGAAAGACCTAAAGGAGCTGGGTTTCCGATTTAAAGAAACAGGTAGGCCTGGACGATATAGAAAAAAAGCATATCGATAAAAAATAAATCATATTGATCGATATCGATAATTATCGATATAATTGTTATAATTATTTAACATATAATTTAATTGCAGCCCTGGATGTTTTATGCTATTGCTTAATGACCTACTTTTAATAAAGAACACACAAGCACTGAATTCAAATTCAAACCTTTATTCAACCACCTTTTTTATTTTACCACAACTGAAAGTTTTTTAAAAAAGAACTAAAAAAAAAAAAGAAATCAACTTAAGTGGCCTGAGTGACGTCAGTAAATACTGACAAACATAAAGACTAAAGTGACCAGAAAATCTGATAAATAAATACTTAAATAGTCTTTTGATGAAAATAAACAAATATATAAATAAACAGAATAGCTTTAGGTGGGAATAGCATACTACCAGTTTTAACTGTGTGGGAAACTGCCCACAGCCTGGTGTCTGAACACTGAAATATTTCTCCCGGGGTCGGGAGATTTATTTTTTTTTAATTATCATGTGATTGACTTAATACACAAACTAAGCACGAGAAGCAGGACTTATCCATGCCGGTGTTGTGTCGTAGAATGCACCCCTGCCGAATGCACCCCCTGCTAGTAGCCATGATCCAAATACTCACGTCTTTGTAAAATATGAGCTCATTTTCTTCCACTTTAAGAAGCTACACCGGAACGTATTTCCTCCGCACCCTTCTCAGCTTTTCAACCCCTGACCCGTTTTCATGCCTGAAGCGCTGTGTTTGAGAAATACTTGCGGCCGGACACTTCATATCGCGGGTCGAGAGTGGCTAGAAGCTGGTCGAAGCCAGGCTTTTCAACGGTAGTTATTGGCAGTATGTCCCTCGCTATGGAGCATGTTACTGCATGGGTGATGTCCTTATGCCGCTCGGACGCTTTGTCGTATTTTGGCAAGAAACGAAGTCCAGTTTGGTCTGCTTCACATGCTTTGTGCTGGTGCTGGCAGCGGTTCCAGAGGATTCCTCCTCTGACGACGTGGAGCCGCGGCGCGGCCGACACAGCTCGTACTCCTGCGGGTGCGATCGGTTTAGATGGTAAAACAAGTTGGTTGTGTTACCAGACTTGGTTTTTACTAATTCTCTGCAAATTTTGCAAACGACCGCTGTTCGCTTTTTGTCAGACTTCTAAAAACCAAAACATTGCCATGCTGGTGAACTACTGAAACCTTTTTTCGGGACAATGTCCTCCGCTTCTCCTTGCTGTATCATTTTTTCTAATACACGTGCTGTCTGTTGTGGTTTGATAAGGGCTGGGCTTGGTGCCGTAGCGTACCTGGGTCTGCGTTTGTGATTGGTTGGGAGGGAGTAATGACTGTAGTAAAAGCTACATGATAGGCTATGATGAAAAAGAAAGGGAAACTGTGTTTTTCTATCGAACTTTTTATCGACCCGTTTTTTTTCTATCGCACCACACGTCTATCGATCGATATATATTGTTATCGAATTATCGTCCAGCACTAGAAACAGGAGTGTTCGTTTCCATGTCAGAGAAATGAAAGTGAAAGCAGCTTATCAGGGAAACGTCCTGGGAATCCTGCCCCGCCTCTCAAGTTTGGCTTTGACTGCACAACAACCTCTCTCATTTCTCCAAAACACAGAGCTGATTCACCTCCAGCTGATCCGACTGATATTCAGAGACATCCCAGGCCAACGAGGTGAGAATCTGCTACTCTCTTTCAGATCACTGTAGGAACAAATGAGAATGAAGTTTCTCCTTTTCAGTTAAAAACTGTATTTTCTGTCAGATTTTTAAATCTCAGCTGAATATTTAAACTGTCAAAAGGTTTTAAAACCTTTTAAAGTGCAAGAGTCTTCAAATATACTCATAGACACAGAAGTTAAAGAAGTTATAAAGCAAACTCACCTGTTGGTAAACACTTGTTAATGTTGAGTAATTCACATATACATGCATTACTTTGTTATTCAAACAAAAGTTAAAACCTCTGTGGAGCTGAATGAAAATGTCAACTTTACTACAGGGCTCTTTCATCAAAAGACTCAGTTCAAAAACTTTAAACCAAGATAATGTTGGTGTCATATTTCTAGGAAAAAACATCCGTTAAACTTAATAATAAGCTCCACTCCTCTGATGATTCAAGATAAACTTCTTATTTTGAGATACAAGAAAAAAAAGACCTGAAGAGCTCGTAATGAGTACAAAAAAAACCCTCTACCATCGAAGTGAGTCCAGATTCTTCAACAAAACCGTTTACCTGATGCAGAAAACCAGATTAAAGTGCGATCCATCAGTCATCACAGGGGTGCAGCATCCTGGTGTGATCAGACCTACAGTTACTGGCAGCCAGCACACTCTTTGTTTGGTGGACTGGACCCTCCAGGGTACCAGCTCACCCTTCCACTTCCTTCCTTAGTTCCATCCTGTTTCTACAGAGCTCCATTAAAATGCTGAACTTTCATTTCTTATTTCTTATCAGTGCTGCTCTGAATCACACAAAGAATGGAGTCAAAAATGGAGTTCCTGCAGTGCCACTTCAACTGGGATCTGGACTACAGCAGGTCCAGACTGTTAAATCTCAGAGACAAGCTGGAGGACATCTGCGAAGAGACGGGAAACAGATGGCTCGGTCATTTCTACAACCTGCAGGGGTTCATCCAGGTCAAACTGGAGGAATATGAGGATGCAAAGAGATTATTCAACAAGGCTGCAGAGGCCTTCAGTGAGCTGAGACATGCAGATGAGGGTCCCTGGTTGGTAGTGAACTATGGGAACCTGGCCTGGCTGCACCACCACCTGAGAGAGCATGAAGAGAGTCAGGCTTACCTGTCAAAGGTAGATGTCCTGATGAAGAAATACCCATCTCCATCCCAGAGCGAGCTCCACCCAGAGATCTACGCTGAAAAAGCCTGGACTCTGATTTACTTGAAAGAAGAATTGAATGCTGCTGTTGATCACTTTGAAAAAGCTGCCAGGATGCAGCCGGACATGGTGGAGTGGAACTCCAGCTATGTCATAAGTTCAGTAAAAGCCCAGGAGCAAAACACCGGAGAAGTGGAGGCTGACCTCCTGGAGAAAATGAGAGCTGCAAAGGAACGAGATCCAGAGAACCTGTACCTCGCAGTTCTCTACCTAGAACAACGTGCAAAGAAAGGAGAGAAAATCCAAGAGGAAGTTCGAGAGTTTGCCAGAAACAATTTGGAGAGTCTAAGCTGCAGCTACAGTTCTATGAAATCGTTACTTGAGGTCTACAAAAACCACTTACCTATTGATGAGGCCATTGATTTGGCAGAAGAGGCTCTGCAAATGCATCCAGATCGGCGTCACCTGAAGAAGTGTGTTGCATTTTGTTATAGATGGAAGATGTTGCTTTTCAGGGACAGCCCCCGTAGACCAGGCATGAAAGACCGAGCAATCAGTCTTCATAGGGAGCTGCTTTCTCTTTACCCCCACTCTTTAGTTTCAAAGATAATTGATCTTGCTATAGTCTATGCAAAATCAGGTGACCAGGCTAAAGCTGAGCAGATATATCAGGAGCTGCTTCAAGATGAACTGGATCCTGCAGACAAACAGCTCCTTTACTACTCCTATGCAAAGTATTTATACGTTGATCAGCATGACAGTGATGGTTCCATCAGATACCACATGAAAGCAGCAGAAATACCAGTCAGATCCGGTTCACGTGAGGGCAGTATCAGAGCTCTGCACAAGATTAAAGACAGGGGTCAACACCGAATGTGTCCAGAAATAGAGAAGTTTCTGCAGAACCTGCAGGATCCAAGGCCGTAAACCAGGGGGACCAACTCTGTGTTTCTCACAGATATTATATGTTTATCATGAATCAATCCTGATCAGTGATGACGTGTTTTATTCATATATTACATTTTTTCAGCTCTAACAGACACACACTGGCCCACGGCAATAAATAAAAAGGGAGGCTGTAATAGTGAAGATTTGTGTGAAAGTTTCATTTAGATTTTTATTTTCATGTAAATCTTTTGAGGATCTTCTGTTTTTTCTTCAGCTTGTCTGTGCTTCAAGTTGAGATACAAACATGCTGGACTGCAGATCAAACAAACTTGGTTGTAAGCTTTAAAAAATAAATTCCTGCTTTTTGGTATGATTAATCATGTGTTCTACTCCTTTAATATCCAGATTAACCAGCTGTGTTCACAGAGTGTGTGTGAAGTGTTGTAATTACCTGTAAACATAAATAAACAGTGTGAACTCAGAAATATGTCTCTACAGTTGTTTGTTCTGGTGGCTACAGCACCACTAAATGTGAGTAATATTACAAAATTTAAAAGCTACAGTAGACAAATCAGAGAAAAACATTTAGGTAGATGTCACAGGACTCAAAAATAAGTTTAATTGGTAGATTTATAAATAGTTGGAGCAACTTTTATTGTACATATTCCTGTTGTTTTCAGCTACATTGATTGTTTAAGGGGACATGATGTGACAGAGTTTCCAGACATGTTGCTCGTTCTCTTCATTAAAGTTTGAGTTGATATAATTGTATATTATGGTTCTGTATGACTCCAGTAAATGTTCACTGAGATTTGTTCTTGTTTTAGTTTTCACAGTGTTTCTATAACCACAATAAAATCCCAGTGAGCATCAGTCAAGACTATCTCCTTATTACCATACCGGGAGGCTGTTGCACAAATATTTTAGTAATAGAAAACTATGAGATTGCACATTCTACTTACAGGAAAATGGCTGTAAAACCAGCCCATTGTACACACCCACAGACTAAACTTATCAGTCTATGTTCACACCCATCTGTGAAAACATATAACGCCTTCAAAGTTTGCTATATTTGAATTGCACTTAAATTCGCTTCACTACAATTATCTTATCACTCAGATGCACTTCACCACAGAAACAGCTGAGCTGACAGATACTCTAAGACATTCAGAATGATGAGGTGAGAATATGCCGGAAACATTTAATAACTGTGTTGTTATCCTGAAGTACATCTTTTTTTTAAGACGTTTTCTGTCTCCTTTTTGAGTTTCACCTGAGTGTCTGTTTTCTGAGAAGGATTGGGAGTTCTCATACAGTGCAGAAATAATATTTATTTATTAAAAAGAAGAAGGGCCTCAAAATACACTTGAAAATTGCATAGCAATAGAAAAAATAACTTTATTTTCTTATGGAGACTCCAAGGGACATGGAGGAAAACAAAATTAAGGTTCATCCTCAGAAATTTTTGCTAAAGTTTTGTATTTTCTCTTTTTTTTTTGCATTCAGCTAATCATGTAAAAACTCCTAATTTTAATCACAGATAGAGTAAAACATTAACAGCTGGTTTCCTTTCTGTCCTTTTAATGGTACCAGTGACGCCCTGCATACGAGACGACCTGTGAATATCTAACAGCACTGTAAAGTAGATTTTATGCTGTTCATGATGTATTAATGTTATTTCATTCTCCATCAGTGCTGCTCAGAGTCAAACAACACTGGAGTCCCTGCAGTGTCACTTCACTTGGAACCTGGACAATAAAGTGTCCAGGCCTTTCCTTTTCAGAGAAAAGCTGGAGGACGTCTGCACAGACAGAGGAAACAGATGGCTCGGTCATTTCTACAACCTGCAGGGGTTCACCCAGTTCAAACTGGAGGAATATGAGGACGCAAAGAGATTGTTCAACAAGGCTGCAGAGGTCTTCAGTGAGCTGAGACATGCAGATGAGGGTCCCTGGTTGGTAGTGAACTATGGGAACCTGGCCTGGCTGCACCACCACCTGGGAGAGCATGAAGAGAGTCAGGCTTACCTGTCAAAGGTAGATGACCTGATGGAGAAATACCCATCTCCATCCCAGAGCGAGCTCCACCCAGAGATCTACGCTGAAAAAGCCTGGACTCTGATTTACATGACAGAGGAGCTGAATGCTGCTGTTGATCACTTTGAAAAAGCTGCCAGGATGCAGCCGGACATGGTGGATTGGAACTCCAGCTATGTCATAAGTTCAGTAAAAGCCCAGGAGCAAAACACCGGAGAGGTGGAGGCTGACCTCCTGGAGAAAATGAGAGCTGCAAAGGAACGAGATCCAGAGAACCTGTACCTCGCAGTTCTCTACCTAGAACAGCGTGCAAAGAAAGGAGAGAAAATCCAAGAGGAAGTTCGAGAGTTTGCCAGAAACAATTTGGGAAGTCTAAGCTGCAGCTACAGTTCTATGAAATTATTACCAAAGGTTTACAAAAACCACTTATCTATTGATGAGGCCATTGATTTGGCAGAAGAGGCTCTGAAAATGCATCCAGATCGGCGTCACCTGAAGAAGCGTGTTGCATTTTGTTATAGATGGAAGATGTTGTTTTTCAGGGACAGCCCCGCTAGACCAGACATGAAAGACCGAGTTATCAGTCTACATGAGGAGCTGCTTTCTCTTTACCCCCACTCTTTAGTCTCAAAGAAAATTGATCTTGCTATAGTCTATGCAAAATCAGGTTACAAGGCTGAAGCTGAGCAGATATATCAGGAGCTGCTTCAAGATAAACTGGATCCTGCAGACAAACAGGCTCTTTTTTACTCCTATGCAAGTAATTTATACTTCAATCAGCATGACAGGGATGGTTCCATCAGATACCACATGAAAGCAGCAGAAATACCAGTCAGATCCAGTTCACGTGAGGGCAGTATCAGAGCTCTGAACAAGATTAAAGACAGGGGTCGACACCGAATGTGTCCAGAAATCGAGAAGTTTCTGCAGAACCTGCAGGATCCAAGGCTGTAAACGAGGGGGACCAACTCTGTGTTTCTCACAGTGAAAGAAAAAAAAAATGGAAAACTTGATTTCCTGCCATTCATCAATATCTGACACCAGGTGAACTTCATTCTGTTCTTAATAATTACTTCTGTCAGCGGTTTATCTATATGTTAAAATTGAAGTAAGCATCAAAGTATTCTCAGATATATGTTTATCATAAATCAATCCTGATCAGTGATGACGTGTTTTATTCATATATTACATTTTTTCAGCTCTAACAGACACACACTGGCTCACGGCAATAAATAAAAAGGGAGGCTGTAATAGTGAAGATTTGTGTGAAAGTTTCATTTAGATTTTTATTTTCATGTAAATCTTTTGAGGATCTTCTGTTTTTTCTTCAGCTTGTCTGTGCTTCAAGTTGAGATACAAACATGCTGGACTGCAGATCAAACAAACTTGGTTGTAAGCTTTAAAAAATAAATTCCTGCTTTTTGGTATGACTAATTTTATGTTCTACTCCTTTAATATCCAGATGAACCAGCTGTGTTCACAGAGTGTGTGTGAAGTGTTGTAATTACCTGTAAACATAAATAAACAGTGTGAACTCAGAAATATGTCTCTACAGTTGTTTGTTCTGGTGGCTACAGCACCACTAAATGTGAGTAATATTACAAAATTTAAAAGCTACAGTAGACAAATCAGATAAAAACATTTAGGTAGATGTCACAGGACTCAAAAATAAGTTTAATTGGTAGATTTATAAATAGTTGGAGCAACTTTTATTGTACATATCCCTGTTGTTTCAATAACTGCTGTGTTTTTAGATTTTTTCACATTTTTGAGCCAAACCTGAAACATGTCCTGTGGTGTGACTGAAGCCTGAATGGTTCAGTAGACAAGAATTTTTACAAATCCATTACAATATGCTGATAAACACCTTTGCAGAATTGTACAGGTAAGTATAGTAAGTGTAGAAAATGTCTATACTGTAATTGTTGACTCTTTAGTCACTCAGGTGACCAAATACTATGTCCTGTGTTGTGACAGTATATTTGATTTTACATCAGGTAGAACAACAAACATCTTTGTCCAGTTAAGGACCCCGTTCAGAGCCATGTCTCTGAAGCTCTCTGTCACACATTGTTTGTCTCTTTCTGCCCATGATTCTGGGTTACATGTTGTTCTCAACCCCGTTTGTTAAAGATGTCAAAAATAATGAATCTCCTATTAACCTGGAAGTTACACAGTTTTTAGTAAGTGCTTGTTTTAGCACAGTACCGGTATTTCAGGTGTCTTAAAAGAGGGTTATCATGGATACTGGTATACTGGGACATCCCTTCACTAAAGCAGGCACTTGTTTTAATTTACAGCTAAATTTAATCTTTGGGAATCAAACTTGGAAACTTGTCATAAGGAATATCCTTATATCCCTAATCACTTTGTTTTCCAACACACTGTTTGGAAAATGTCAGCATGTGGTCTTCTAGTATTATTCCTTACCTGATATAGCTACCTGATGTAGTTGCGGTGTCGGATGGTGAGACGAGCAGTTGGTCTGAGAAAGAGAGGCATGGGAGCTCCACTGGTTACAGCGTGCTCCCCGATCTGCAGGTCTGCTGGCGTTTTATCCACTCCTCCAAGTGGCTCCTCACGATTGGTGGAAGCCTTCAAACAGTCAGTCTCTGCCGTCTCCAGGTGGATGTGATCAGGCACTTATTTTCCTCTGCAGCTACGGCAACCTGTGAGCTGCAGGCAGCACGCACACACAGGCACGCACACACACACACACAGGAAGATTTACCATACTAAGGCGGCGGCCGTAACACTAAATAAATAATATGCTGTCATACAAGAAATTAAAATCTCGATTGTAGTCTCAGCCTTGACAAAGTCACTCAAAAGTTAACCCTTGTGCTCAAAAAGCTGTGAAACAACTGTGCTTCATGATTAAGTCTGCCATTTCAATATGTCCAAGCATCCCGACTCTTAGCCACGTTATTGAGGTCTGTCATAAACTAATCCGTTTTCAGCGAGTTAAGAGTCTTTTTGAGCATGCAGATTACTCACCTTAGTGCTTACCTGAATGGTATACTGGTAGATGGCCACCATGTAGGGACGCCAGTCACTCCGCCTCGAGTCATCTAGCCTTTCTTATAGATATCTATGGTCTTCATAGCGACTCTCCCACCGAATGCGTACAACGCTACTGCGCAAGTGAAGAAAATTCTGGAAATACCGAGAGCAATTTAGCTCCAAATTAGTATGATGAATGGATAACTAAAGCACATAAAAATCATTTCTTTTTTGTTTTGGAAAAATAAATTCACAGTCTTTAAGCACAAAGACCTGAGTATCGTTGTTGCTTTATTGTTACGAAGTCGGAGTTCACCTCTTTACGTTTTGCTAGCTAAAAGCCAGATAGTTACTCTAAAGTAATCTGCTCCCTGAGAGTTAGTTACATGTGTCCTTTTTAGTTTAGTCATTTTCTAGCCATGAGATAAAGACATAGCTGTAGAGAGAGGCTGAATTCGTCGGTTTCCACGGAATAAACGGCGCACTGGTGCCGAAAGAATAAGTTTATGAGCGGTTTGTTACAGGACCGATAGAGAGAGTAAAGGGTTCAGGGCCGGCTACACCCGCTGAAATTAATCCGCAACCTTTACCATCAGCAGACAAATATTGAATATAATTTCAGAGACGAATACAACACTATTAAACCGTTAAAAAACTTAAATATTAAAGTGTGAAAAGACGCTAACTCACCCACCGTGAGACTGTGAAGCTGTATGACGACCTACGGCAGCTTACGGGGTTTACTACCCCAGTGAGCAGGGGCCTCACAAAATGGCGATGTTCCGGTTAAAAAAATTGTCCACTACACCTGTTATTTTATTATTCGGATTTTTCTTTAATAATGGCGATGTTACAGTAAAAGATGTCCACTACACCTGTTTTTTTTTTTGTTTGTTTTTTTTTTTTTGTTTCTTTATTTTTTTTTCGTTTGGTTGGTTTTTCCAATTATCTTAAGTTTTACTGTGTTTTTCTTTACACCCAGTTCATACATTTTTTATTTCTTTTTTTGAAATGTTAATTATCTTTGAACACATAAAAAGATCATTATAGTTTCAATTAGGGACTTTCTCTGTTTTGAATCCTAATTACATAACTGACTGATAATAATGTCCTCATAGTTGTTTTGTTTTTTTAATGGTGGTGGTACAGTAAAATATGCCCTCTACAACCAGTTTTAATTTTGTTTGTTTGTTTGTTTTTGTTCATTTGGATTATCTCAAGTTTCACAGTGTTTTTTTTAGCATCCAGTATATACATTTTTTTATTTCTCTTTTTGGACATTGTTCTGCAAACGCCTGTTTCCTGCAGTTCCCTCTTTATCACTGCCCTGCAGCAACTGTAGATATTTAATACAGACACAGGCGGGCGCAAAAGATTGCGTCCGGAGCTGGAAACACACGTTCCATCAGTAAATTTAGACCAAAAGAAACCTTCTCGTCTAAATTTCAACTGTAGCATATTAATTTCCTCAGGTAGTTAAAATATTTCCCCTATTTTTAAAAAATTTAAACCTCAACTTATGGAAACCTGTTACTGCCAGTTAAAGAAAAAAAATTGGAAAAGTAAAAAAACTAAAAAAAGGAAAAAAAAGGGATCTTTTCAAATTCTTAATTCATATTAATGAGAAAGGTAAAAAAAAAAAAAAGTGTGAAGTCATGATTATGAGATACTCAGGATTTAGTACCTCATAATTATGACTTTACAATCTTTTTTTATATTACTGGAGGAAACAAGAGTAAACGTAGAAAAATAAGCACTGCTGGCAGCAGGCCCGGTTTAACACACTTGATGGTGGCAGGAAGGAAGGACTTGCGGTATCTCTCTGTCACACACTGCAGATGAAGAAGCCTGTCACTAAAGGAGTGGTGGGGCCTTACTCTAGCGCCCCCTATTGACCAGCTGCTACTGAACATAAAACCGATTTGTGGGCAAGAATACCCCTGGCACTTTTTCCTGCTGTTGACAAAAACTTACACTTAAATCTTGAACAGTGTTTTCTTTTTACTCCCTGGCTACAACATTTTTATTTGGATCCTCTAAATTTCTTCAATGTATTTCAAACTACAATTTAAAGACCTTGTTTAGTCTGCCATTCTTCATTTAGGGTAGAGTTTAGTGCCCTCCATTGGCCAGCTGCCACTTTCAAAACAAATGAGCTCAACAACTTTCCAACTTTATATGTTTGGGGAAAGGAAAGAAAGAACTAAAGGAGCTAGGTTTCCGATTTAAAGAAACAGGAGCGTATGTTTCCATGTCAGAGAAATGAAAGTGAAAGCAGCTTATCAGGGAAACGTCCTGGGAATCCTGCCCCGCCTCTCAAGTTTGGCTTTGACTGCAGACCATTTAAACCGGCTGCACAACAACCACTCTCATTTCTCCCAAACACAGAGCTGATTCACCTCCAGCTGATCCGACTGATATTCAGAGACATCCCAGGCCAACGAGGTGAGAATCTGCTACTCTCTTTCAGATCACTGTAGGAACAAATGAGAATGAAGTTTCTCCTTTTCAGTTAAAAACTGTATTTTCTGTCAGATTTTTACATCTCAGCTGAATATTTAAACTGTCAAAAGGTTTTAAAACCTTTAAAAGTGCAGGAGTCTTCAAATATACTCATAGACACAGAAGTTAAAGAAGTTATAAAGCAAACTCACCTGTTGGTAAACACTTGTTAATGTTGAGAAATTCACATATACATGCATTACTCTGTTATTCAAACAAAAGTTAAAACCTCTGTGGAGCTGAATGAAAATGTCAACTTTACTACAGGGCTCTTTAATCAATAGACTCAGTTCAAAAACTTTAAACCAAGATAATGTTGGTGTCGCATTTCTTGGAAAAATCATCCGTTAAACTTAATAAGCTTAACTCCTCTGATGATTCAAGATAAACTTCTTATTTTGAGATACAAGAAAAAAAAGACCTGAAGAGCTCGTAATGAGTACAAAAAAAAACCCTCTACCATCGAAGTGAGTCCAGATTCTTCAACAGAAAAACAGAAGTTAAAGATCCAGTGTTTGGAAATGGGAATATTAGACAACATATTCAGCAGTCAGATTGGAGGTCATGTTTATCATCAGCTAATTATCAGTTTGAACCTCATCAGTGGACGCAGTGATGAACTGTGTTCACTAGGCCTGCACGATATATCGTTTGACTATCGTCATCGCGATGTACGTGTGTGCGATAGTCACATCGCAGAGCCTGCGATATTGGAGGTGAATGAACTCATTTAATTTCAAGGGTAACTGACTGAGATACACTGCATGTGACTCTGCATGTGCTTTGCAGCGATCCACCAATCACATTCGTCCTTAACTCAGTTGCCAATCAGACCCAGTTCTCAGTTGCCAATCAGACTACCCTGCCAGCTGTCAATCAAAATCAGAGAGGAGGAAACCCACCCCTGCAAGTATTCTGCACATGGAGGGAGACGTGTGTCCGCTGAGAATTACTTTCGGAACTTTACTGACTGTTAAGCCCAACAAATAAGAACTGTATGGGTTTTAAATTGTACATTTCCGTGGACCACTCTACTATAAGCAGTGCGCGTTTTGCGAGGTGCATGCAATTCTCGGAGGACATGCGTTTCTCAGCACAACACCGCTAACAACAACAACAACGATCGCAAAATGAACAACAAGCAGAGAAAACCACAGAAGATAAAGACTTGTTGCCAAAAAGAAAAGGAAAGTCAGTTATCTGGAATTATTTCGGTTAAAAGAAGGATGATGTCGACCAAAACACGTGTTCTGTGTTAATCTGTTGCCACAATAACGTCCCAGCACAATAAAAGCTAAAAATATCTCTGAGACAGAAGCCATTCTAATATTCACAAAAAGAGGTAAGATCAGAGCAGATTAACTGTCCTCAAGATTTCAGCAGTGCAGCATAACATTAAATGCTATTCAGGTCATCTGGTGAAAATTCCTGTATTTTTAATATCGCAATATATATCGCAGGGTTGAAAAAAAAATTATTTTTTTCCAATATCGTGCAGCCTTAGTGTTCACAGTCAATAGATTCTGAAGTGATTCTGAGTCCATGCGGTTATTCCTACTGCAGAGTCCTGTCTGTTTTGAATGCCCTGGAGATCAGGACCATCCAGTCTTGGTTTTGGTTCTGGTTCCATGAATAGAGAGATTTCTTTGAATGATATTATGGACTGTAGATGATGAAATCCACTCAGGAACTTTATTCTGAAACGGTTGAACCGTTAGCTCACGCAGTCTCTCACATGCAAAAGCAAGTATGAAATATAAAGGCAGAAACTTGAGGTGAACCGTTTACCTGATGCAGAAAACCAGATTAACCCTTCCAGGCCCTTTAGATTTTCCTCCCTCTAAAGTCCCTCGTGGCTGTTAAAAGCCACTTTTTCTGTCAGCTGTAAAATCATAATGGATTAATATTTTTTTCTGATTTTTTTTCACAAATCTCTTATTTTACTTCTGCCCTGTTCGAAACTAGCAAATGTTTCATTAAAAACAATTTTTTTAACCCTTTAAGTGCCAATTTAAGACAAAAAGTCATAAATTTAGCAAAAATTGAAGGAAAATGACCCATTTTTTTAATAAAACATGATCAGAAACTGGTAATCTCTTGCAGGGTATTAAAGTCTTGAATATGTCAGAGATTAGTAATATAATTTACTTATATTTAAGACATAAAGTCTCTTAAGAAATGTATGAAAAAAAAACTGAAAAAAATATCAATCCAATATGATTTTACAGCAGACAAAGTAGTTTTTGCCACTGGGAGGCGCCAAAGGCAGTTTTTCATTAAATCTGATGCTACAGAAAAACTGAAAATGCATTGAAGTGAATTATATTACTAATCTCTGGCATATTCAAGACTTCGATACCCTGCAAGAGATTACCAGTTTCTGATCATGTTTTATAAAAAAAATGGGTCATTTTCCTTCATTTTCCTTCCATTTTTTTTGCTTTATAAGAGACTTTATGTCTTAAATTGGCCCTTAAAGGGCAAAATTTTTTATTTTCAATGAAACATTTGCTAGTTTTGAACAGGGCAGAAGTAAAATAAGAAATGTATGAAAAAAAATCTGAAAAAAATATTAATCCAATATGATTTTACAGCAGAAAAAGTAGTTTTGGCCACTGGGAGTCGCAAAGGCAGTTTTTCATTAAATCTGATGCTACAGAAAAACTTAAAATGCATTGAATTCAATTATATTACTAATCTCTGACATATTTAAGACTTTAATACCCTGCAAGAGATTACCAGTTTCTGATCATGTTTTATAAAAAAAAATGGGTCATTTTCCTTCCATTTTTTTTTGCTTTTTAAGTGACTTTATGTCTTAAATTGGCACTTAAAGGGTTAAAATTTTTATTTTCAATGAAACATTTGCTAGTTTTGAACAGGGCAGAAGTAAAATAAGAAATGTATGAAAAAAAATCAGAAAAAAATATTAATCCAATATGATTTTACAGCTGACAAAGTAGTTTTTGCCACTGGGAGGCGCCAAAGGCAGTTTTTCATTAAATCTGATGCTACAGAAAAACTTAAAATGCATAAAAGTAAATTATATTACTAATCTCTGACATATTCAAGACTTTAATACCCTGCAAGAGATTACCAGTTTCTGATCATGTTTTATAAAAAAATGGGTCATTTTCCTTCAATTTTTGCTAAATTTGTGACTTTTTGTCTTAAATTGGCACTTAAAGGGTTAAAAAATAGTGTTTCTAATGAAACATTTGCTAGTTTCGAACAGGGCAGAAGTAAAATAAGAGATTTGTGAAAAAAAATCTGAAAAAAATATTAATCCAATATGATTTTACAGCCGACAAAACAAGTGGCTTTTGACAGCCACGAGGGACTTTAAAAGGAAGTTTTCCTGTCCTGGCTTTATTATTGACCTGGTGAAAATGTTGAATTCATGTTTTCAAATAAAATGTCAAATTAAGCTTAGAAAAAAAAAATTCATCACATTTGCTGCAGTAAAAAAAAAAGTTATATCCAAATTAGTCTCTAGTTTTATCATAAATTAGCTGTTAAAAGCATGAAGGATCGGGAAGGGTTAAAGTGCGATCCATCAGTCATCACAGGGGTGCAGCATCCTGGTGTGATCAGACCTACAGTTACTGGCAGCCAGCACACTCTTTGTTTGGTGGACCGGACCGTCCAGGGTACCAGCTCACCCTTCCACTTCCTTCCTTAGTTCCTCCTGTTTCTACAGAGCTCCATTAAAAAGCTGAACTTTCATTTCTTATTTCTTATCAGTGCTGCTCTGAATCAAACAAAGAATGGAGTCAGAAATGGAGTTCCTGCAGTGCCACTTCAACTGGGATCTGGAGACCAGCAGGTCCAGACTGTTAAATCTCAGAGACAAGCTGGAGGACATCGGCACAGAGACGGGAAACAGATGGCTCGGTCACATTTACAACCTGTGGGGGTTCATCCAGTTCAAGCTGGAGGAATATGAGGATGCAAAGAGATTGTTCAACAAGGCTGCAGAGGCCTTCAGTGAGCTGAGACATGCAGATGAGGGTCCCTGGTTGGTAGTGAACTATGGGAACCTGGCCTGGCTGCACCACCACCTGAGAGAGCATGCAGAGAGTCAGGATTACCTGTCAAAGGTAGATGCCCTGATGGAGAAATACCCATCTCCATCCCAGAGCGAGCTCCACCCAGAGATCTACGCTGAAAAAGCCTGGACTCTGATGAATTTTGGTGAGGATAAAAACCTGGTTACATTTTACTTCCAGGAGGCCATCAGGATGCAGCCGGACATGGTGGAGTGGAACACCAGCCATGTTTTAAACTTGGTGGATAAGCACAGCCCCACAGGAGTGGACACTGACCTCCTGGAGAAAATGAGAGCTGCGAAGGAACAGGATCCAGAGAACCTGTACCTTGTCGGTATCTACCTTGAACAACTTGCAAAGAAAGGTGAAAATTTTGAATATGAAGCAGTTCAATTGGCCAAAAAGGTGTCAATGAATCCTGTCAGCAGCTACAGCGGTTTGAGGGTGGTGCTGAGGTTTTACCGAAACCATGTATCTGCCGATGAAGCCATTGGTTTTGCAGAGAGGGCTCTGAACAAACATCCAGAGGAGCGGTACCTGAAGAGGTGTGTTGCGGTCTGCTATAAATGGAAGATCATTTATTCCGGAGAGAGCTGCCCTCAACAAAGCACCTGGGACAGAGCAATCAGTCTCCACGAGGAGCTGCTGTCTCTTTACCCTCACTCTAATTTGATGAAGAAAATAGATCTCGCTTCTATATGCGCCAAAACAAGTGACAGCAAGGAGAAAGCCGAGCAGATCTACCAGGAACTGCTTCTGAGTGATCTGGATGCTGCAGACAAGCAGATGCTTTACAACCACTATGCTTACCATTTATACTACGATCAACAGAACTCCAGAGGGTCAATACAATACCACATGAAAGCAGCAGAGATAGCACATCAGTCCTTCTATCGAGACAGCAGCATCAACTGTTTAAGGAGGATTAAAGACCGGAACAGGCACACAATGTGTCCAGAAATAGGGGAGTTCCTACGAAGTCTGTCAGAGGCGGTTTCTTAGACTGTTTTCACTGGAACCCGATCGGTCCGATCAGAGGATTTGTGCATGACAGTGAACACTGCTGACATTACACAGACTTTAATTTCTATTTACAGGTTGTTCAGAAATATAGACTGTCCCCGGGGGGTCTGGGTTTAAGTCTGAGAAGTGTTCTGGTTTGTGTTCGGTGTATATTTGGAGGAGAGCAAAAGCAGGCAGAACAAGAATCATAATTATGATTATTATGGATCTACTTATTTGTAAATAAGTAGATCCATAATAATGTTGTAAAATATCTTAATGTCTGTTCTGTTTTTGTTTGTCAGTTATTGGCTTTAATCCTCACAGTCATATTTATGTTTGCTTTTGAAGTGTTGGACTTTTTCTGTTGCTTCATTTAAATGTGGCTTGGTTATTATTTTTACATTGAAGTTTTATTTCATTCATTGATTAAATCTATTCAATATACAAAGCTTATATCCATCATGGACAATCCCTCTCACCCACTGCACCAGACTGTGGGGGCTTTAGGCAGCTCCTTCAGCAGCAGACTGAGACTCCCACCCTGCAGGACGGAGCGCTACCGCAGATCATTCCTCCCCTCTGCAATAAGACTTTACAACGAACAGTAACAAAACTGGATTTACACCACCACTTCTTTTCTGGCATTTAAATTGTGTATATTGTAGAAAGCTTTATTTTTTCTTCTCCCTTTTCTAATTTTTTTCTTAATTATTACATTTATTTAAGTTCTTAATATTAGGACTCTTATTGTTATAACTGCATTTTTGCACTTTTTGTCTTGTCTGTGATGCTGCTGTGACAAAAAAATTTCCCCCATGGGGGATCAATAAAGGAATGTTCTATTCTATTCTACACAAACATTCCCAAATATAAATGAATGGGATCAGAAAGAAGAATAAACTTATATAATCTCACTCTCCTTTGTTTGATGTCACATGACTGGTGAAGGCTGCTTTACTTTATGAATGAAGTTATTGCTGGAGTTTTGACCGTTTCTTGGACAGAAACGATAGAGACTGAAGAAAGGCCTACCTTTGGGAGTGGGGATGAAAATGTGGACAGGATGCACAGTCCACTATAACCACCAGGGGGGGCTCTTTAAATTCATCTTTAAACTTTTGTCTGTAGCACATCTCACTGATCGTTTTAACATTTTAAATGTATTTAACATTTTTCTAAAAAGTAAATTAATCTGTGATAATAAACACAAAAATAATTAAACTCTCAATATTCATTTGCATCTTTGATGAATGTCTAAGTCTACGTTCACTCTGCAGGTTCTGATGCACAATTCAGATTTTTTGTTCAATCCGATCTTTTTGTGCCGTCGTTCACATTACAGCAACGAATGTGTCAGTAAAGTGACCCTCATGAACACAAAGCACAAATGTCTTTCCACACCTGTTTGTGTTGAACAATGGTGACGTTTGTCTCATATTGATGACGTAAAGGTCGGATGAACGCGACCTGAGCGTCACACTGCAGTCACATCAGTTTCATATCTGATTTATATCCACATACAGAAGAGGCCTGGGTCGGATCAGAACCAATCAGAACTGACCTGTTCACACTTGGATAAAAACATCAGATATGAGTCACAGATGGTTAAAAAATCTGAATTGACCTGCAGTGTGAACATAGCCTTAATTGATTACTGTAACCATGGCAACCAAACGGTTGAGCTGCTGTACTACACAAAGACCATAAGCGACCCTGTCTTTTCATAGATTACCAGCACTGATTTATAAAAGTGAGAATTTCTACAGAGTTCTGAACCTCAATGAAACTGAAGCTGGTTTCGTGGTTGGTGGTTCGACAGAGCCTTAAAACTCGAGTGCGAATCGCGAGCGGATTATTCCAAATCAACATGTTAAAACCGGGATCATTAACTTTACTATAAACACTTTAAAGTACAAAGTTTGATCAAGTTTTGGCCTGTAACTGACCTAGACTTCTCCTTATTTCACGGCGCAGTTCTTTACCCATCCTAAATATTTGTGTGAATCAGGTGTTTCCTCTTTCTGGGCTTCCTGATCAATCTGTAAGAAATATCTGCAGCATTAATTTCTTTACAAATTAACAGCGCTAACCGTAGTGAAAATGAAACACTCTAAGAAAATGGAAAAGTTGGAGATGTTGAACTGTTTTCTTTTTCACACTTTCGGGTGGTTCTTGTTTATTCTTTCAGATATTTTGGGAATCTATCAAAGCTCCAAAACCAGACGGCTAAAGAATCGGGGTCTTTATTTGTGGATGTTAAACTTATTTTAATGTACAAACACATTTCCTACATTTACACGGATCCGAAAGGTGTCAGCGATGAACACACTGACGATGTGAGAGTAGGGAGCATCAACAGTTTGTCTCTCTCATGGGCTGAGAGTCTAAACAGTACAAACACACGGCTGAATCCTGAGGGCTGTACATGGTCTGAGCGTCCAACATCAAAGTTCTCTTCTTGTGAAATAAAAACTTATGTTTCCGGCTCTGAGACACGATTAAAAAAAAAAAAGAGATAGAAAAATAAAATCACTCGTTTCCTCTTCGGCTCTTCTTGTGACTTTTTTTGGAGCTCCTGAAAGAAAACCATCAGAGGTCATCAAATAAAGAAGGACGGGCGTCAGCAGGGTTTGTTTATCTGCTGAAGGAGATCGAAAACTCACCTCTCCTGAGACTTGGAGTGGCTGCGATGTCTGCGGCTTCTGTTGTGACCTTCAAAATAAAAGCAAAACAATCTCATGAGCAGGAAGGACCTTATAAACAACATCAGCAAACATGTTTACTCAGAACCTTTTTACTGCTCTTCCTGTTAGGATTATTACCGACGAAGATTGGACGGGTCTCTAGAACGTGATCGGGTGTGTCCACGTGGACGCGAGTATCCTGGTTCTGATCATATTCAGGATGCAGCATTTACACACACACACACACAGAGAATCTACTGGTCCACGTCTGCACCCTTTTTCTTTTAGAGTTCTACAGGTGGGAAATCCAGGTTTCTCAGAACCGGAGTACTGGATGGGATGTTTACACACCCAAAAGCGGGACACTTAAAAACCTGTTCATAACCAAGATACTTTAGTTCTCGATCGCTGAAGCTTATCAGATCTGATTTGAAATACTCCTCCTGTATTCAGTCACTCAAAGATTCATCCAGCTCTCACTTTACAGCCCATTCATGTCTGTGTTTCACGGCGGAGTACCTGGTGATTTGGAGCGATGGCGTCTGTCTCTGGACCGGCTGCGGTGTCTGCGTGGGCTCTTGCTGCGATGGCGGTCTCTCCTGGGTGACGGGCTGAGAACACATGACAAGACAAACCAATGACGGTGAACCACAAGTCTAATATTTGATCAAAAAGAAGAAGAAGAAGAAGGTTTTGAGCTCACATACCTTCGCCTCTTTGGAGATCTGCTCCTCCTGAAAACAAAACGAAGGGGTCAAATTTCAAACTCAAAAACAGAAATCTGACTTTTTACTTCATTTATTATTGAGACAAAAACTGGAATGTTGAAACACAAACCGTCTGGGTGAGCGGCTGCGTCTGTATCGAGGGGATGGAGAGCGACGGGGTCTGTCGTTGTCACGGTAACCGCGTCTGTGGGGTTCGGGTGTCTGGAGTCTCTCCATCTGCAGGGAAGAAAAAAAACACCCGGACCTTCTTAAAACCTGAGAGAACTTGGCGATGGGAGACAGTATTGACGAGTATACGAGGAGAAACAAAAACAGTTCTCTCATTTTACATCATGGTGTTCATTTCAGTACCTTCTCCTCCTCTTCCTCTTCTTCTTCGCTGCTCTCCACCTCATCCAGATCTTCCTCCAGAGCGCTGATCCGAGGGTCTAACATCTCAGCCTCCTCCAGGACGTGTCTCTTCTGTAATCAACACACACACACACACACACATCAGCTGTTGAAATACTAAAAACATTCTCTAAGTCTGTGTGTGTTTGTGTGTGTGAACACACCTGAAGGCGGGGTAGAATGATGTCGCACACCCTCTCCGCATGGAGGAGCTCGTCGATGAACTCGTCCACGTGCATCAACTCAAACTCTAAACTCACAGACAGATGAACGGTGTGAGTGGTCGATCAGACACTTTCAGCAGTGAAAAATCCTCCGGGCTGATCTGAAATGTTTCAGAGATTTGCAGGAGCGCACGGAGGAAAACTCACCCCCATTCCTGTTCTGACTCTTGATCTTTCGGTAGTCGTTGTAAAGCGGCTCCAGGTATTTGTAGCAGTCCACTGCAGTGCCCGTTAAGCGCATGTACATCGCTCCCAGTAAACGAACATACCTAGTCAAAAAAAAGAAAAAGGAAATAAATAAATTGCAGCAGAAAAGTTCCCAAATTCATCTTCATGCTATCATTATATTTGTTAACTCTGGATGAATTCATAAGCTGTTTGTATTTCCTGAATTACTTTATGTGACTCATCTGAGATAATTTCCTCATAACAGGATTTTAATCTATGAGAAGTTCATCATTTTTACATCTCAGAGTCACACCGAAGGGACTTTTCATCTGTGTCTCTTCAAACTCACTTGAAATCTTCATTTTTAATGAACTCGACGATGATGTCTTTCTCTGGCTGAATCTGCAGCATCTTCAGAGTGAGGCAGAGGAACGGAGTGGGTTTGATGTTTCCGCCGTAAACTCCACCCACGTACTTCAGCTCCATGGCTTTGTCGACGACCAGCTCAGCTGTGGACGACACGACGTGCTTTATTAACAGTCAGAGTAAAGGAGGAAGGCAAAGCACCAACATGAACTTAATAAGAGACGTAAAAATACTCATAATTAGAGGCTTAATGTTGGTCAATAAAGCAGTGAGCAGGACTGTCAAAGGAAACATTAAAACAAGGTAGGGGAGAGTGGGGTAAGATGATCCATGTTTCATATTTCAGACCTCTACATTAAGTCAATCCTAGTTTTGTCTCTAACTCGTGTCTCTGCAGATATTTCAGGATGTTGTTCATCCCTGCAAACCAACTGAATGAGTGTAAACAGAACTGTCATCTTCAGAATATAGCAGGACAAAAAAAGCGGGGTAAGTTGAGCCGTATCCCTACGGCCATTTTTTAATAATGAGACAGGTAGAAACAAAAGAGTTTCTCACTGATGGAAGTGAACTTGATTTATGATGAGCTGCTGTAACATCAGAGTGAACAGGACATGAATCTACCGAGTCTGAGTGCATGCGATGATTTCCACAACAGAGTCCTGTCTGTTTAAATGCAGTTCAGCCTGAACATCATCCTTTAGTATCTACCTGACAGTGGGTAAATCTTAAAAACACATTTTTAAAGGTAAAATTATTATAAATGATTAGTAATTAAATCACGAGGACGGGGCTCGGAGCTAACTTTCAGCTAAGCTGCTACATCCTCCTGTTTTTGGTTCACTTTCTTTACCTAAAAGGATCAGTTAAACGCACTGCATCGACATAAATGTTTCCAAACATGTTAGAAAAAGACAATATTATAAAATTTAATGAAAATTAAGTCTCTATTTAAATGAATTCAGCGGGTTTCTCCGGTTAGCATCGATCATCCTAACATGCTACTCACCGGTCAGACCGAAACATTCCTCCTTCCAATATTTGGACTCGTAGATTCGAGTTCTGATGATTTTCTCCACCAGGTACTGCGGGTTGGTCCCGTGAATACTGTTTGCATCTTTAACGGTTCGGTTTGCCATCGAAAAGTAAAATTATTTAGAGACCTAGCATGAACACACAACAGGAGACCGGAAGTCACGTCTGCTTCTTCTTTTTGTTTTATGGCGGTTGGCGGCCATCTTAAGGGGCATTACCGCCACCTACTGGATTGGAGTGTGGGACAGGAAATTAAGCGGGGGGGATGGGGGTATATGCATATATATGACTTTTATTGTTCTTCGTCGTTGTATCTTAGTACAAATTTACTTTTCGTATAACCATCTGCACACAGTCTACGCCTATAACAACCAGAGACGCTTCCTGATATACCGCCGGTGCAGAAGGTGGCAGCACATAGTTTTGAAGTCGGTTGGCGTCATCCATTAAGACCAGCACAGAAGACAAAAACCGGAAATCACGTAATTTTCGCGCGAAACCCTGTCGGTAAAGTTGGTCTCTGTTGGAGTTTGTTCAGACTTTTTACTCAGATAAGCTGCTTCATCCAAACGTTTAAACTCTTTTTATTTCAGGTTACTGACGGTTTTTATCTAAGGGCGCGAAGAAACAGGATGAAATATTTTACCAGACCGAAAATTAGGAGAGTTTTGCAGTGGCGTGGAGAGCCGATAAGTTTGAACAGGAGGACAAAAATCTCCGAATATGAGTAAGTAATCGATTATTTAAATCGCCTTTAAACATGTGATATGTTGAAACTAAATCGGTTTAAATATTTCACGTATTTTCAACCATACTGCTAAGTTTTAAGCCGAAAACATACTGGATCCGTATCTGCTCCGTCGAGTAGCGCTGTGTATCACATACAGGCTGCGTATTTGGAGCGTAGCAGCAGCGTAATGCAGCCGCTGTCAGCTGGGCTTAGTATAGAGGAAACAACAGGTTGTTTTTCCTCTCTGTGGTGGATTTCGTGATAATTTAGATATAATTCTATCTGTGAAAAAGCTTAAAGTGATTTTACAGTTTGAGTTTCTCGCTGCGTGAAACGTGACGCTACTGCTACGCTTCAAATACGCATCCTGTACGTTTTAGGTCGTTATCTGGATTTAAAGGTTTTATCTTATAACATGAACCAAAATAAGAAATAATGAAGTGTAAAAAAACATGTTGGTCTGCAGCTCCTGTTTCTTTTTAATATTATGTGTTTTTTAATATTTTATAAAAGAGGTTCAGACTCAGAAGAGTTTTCTTCTTTCTGCTCCTTTTCATTCACATTTAGATTTTTACTCATTTGTATTGAATGTTTTAAATATTAATAAACTGAAAAATGAAACGGTCCCTGTCCTCTTCACAGTGAGTGTTAACTGTCTCTGACTTTTTCAGGTCTCTTGTCATCAGAGTGGAGGGTCTCCCCAGGACCACCGTCATAAACGTCGGTCAGCACATCCTCATCGAGGGCGAGGATGAAGAAAACCCGTACGTGGCCAAAGTCCTCCGTTTGTTTGGAGACGGTGAGTCAACCTCAGAGACGTTATCACCCATTACGGGTGGGAGAAAAAATCGATTCACAGAAGTATCGCAATTTTTATTTTTTTATTTTTTTTTACAATTAAAATTTTAAAATCGATTTTTTTTTTCAAATTTAAGAATAAATCTTAAAAACTGACTTGTATGTGATGTTTATTTTTGGGGAAATTTGGTTTCTGGAATAGTCAGGAGATAGTCAATCATTCGACTGTTTCACTGGAAACTAAACTAAACTAAAGATCGAGAAAGTCGACAATATCATAGAATCGCAATTTAAATCGAATCGGCATCCAAAGAATCGGAGAACAATCGAATCGGGAGAAAAGCATATCGTCCCAGACCTATTACCCATGATGCCCTTCTCACCCCCAATCTCCACCTTCATCCTGATCGTCTCCTAAAAGGTCGTATCCTCCGATCGTAGCTGATCGTAACCATTCAAGTTAACGTGTCAATTTACACCGACTTCTTTCCGTTCCTCTGCGGATCGCCGGACTCCACAGCTGATCACAAGAGTTTTTTTGGACGCAGGAGCATGGCGGATAAATTCAGCACAGATTAACCCGTGCTGGAAAGGAAGTCGGGCACAGACACAAAATAAAACATCCGGCTTCTTTTCAAAATAAAACAAAACCTTTCACTTGTTCGGACGGAGACAGACAAGTGAAAGATTTTTAGTCGTCATTTCACCCCGATGACACCATGGATGAGGAGATGCTGATTCTAGAAGTCTAGAAGTAGATTTCCTCCTCTGGAAGGACACAATCTACTGCTTATATGTCTATGTGTCTGTCTTTAGAGAGACAACTCGTTATCGTGTGATTGAACGTGAATCTGCGGGTTCTTGTGAGTTCTTGCGATTACCGCTGTCTGTAATCCGCCACGAAATCCGCCTCACAAACGGATCTGATAGGAATGGGCGTACAGCGAAAATCAGCGCAGTTCCGGATGCGGTGGAAATCGCGGGTCAGAGACTGCGTCCTGAACATGTGTTCTCTCTCTGTGTTTGTTTTTCAGAGAGTGGAACGCAGAAGAAGGTGACGGTTCAGTGGTACAGTATGGTGTCTGAAGTGCCTTTGAGCAAACTGAAGCTGCTGGGCAGAGAGCCCCACCCTCAGGAGATCTTCTATTACCAGGGTCCCAACTGTGACGACGAGGTCAGCGCCGAGTCCATCCTCAGACCCGTGAAGGTGACGTCAAACTCGTTTTTGAGTGTCTGACAGTATTTCAGGGAGGATCCGTCGACTGTGTTGACTGTCGGTGTTTTGAGGTGAATTAACCCTTTAATCTCACAGGTGAAACACCTGGATGGATCGGCGCCGTTCCCTGATCCCGGTGATCCAGACTCTCTGTACGTGAAGCTCTCCTGGGACTCAAAGACCTTCAAAGTCGTGGACTCTGCTCTGGTGAACCCTGACCCTGCTCCAGCTTCCTGTCCCAAACCCTCCCTCCCTCCCTCACCCCCCTGCTCCCCCCCTGCAGCAGCTCCGGCGTCTCGGGGCCTCGCTCGCCGCGCTCTGCCCACCCCGGACCCTTCTGTCATGCGCCGGGCCGCGCTGGGGGAGGTGAGGTACAGCAGAGCCTCGGCGAGCGCGGGGAAGGCCTGCTACGCCGCTGAAGCCGAGTCGCTGCACTCGGCCACCAAACTGTCCGCCTCAAAATGTCTGAGCGCCAAGAGGAGGAACGCCATGGAGAGGACGCCAGGGGTCCGCAAGAAACTGGAGCTGTGCAGTGAGTGCTGAAACTACAGACAGACAGACAGACAGACAGAGACGTCTCCTGTCAATAACCTCGAACCCGGTCTCCTCTGCGGGTCAATAATCCTGTCTGTGTTTCTTAAGGTCCAGAGAAGAAGTCCATGAGCCACACCGACGTCCTGAGTCAGCTGCTGGATGAAGACCTGGAGTCTGAGGGGATGTTAGCTCAACATCTGTCGTCCTCTCCTCCCCGGACTCTGTCCCTCGGCCACCGCCTCACCCCTCTCAAGAAGTCCCGCAGAGCCTCGGCCGCTCAGGACGCCTCCCCTCTGAAGGAGTCGACCGGGATGGACAGTCCTCCGCCGTCTGCTGCTGAAGACTCCTCAAGGTCAGAGCTTCATCATGAAGTTTCCAAGTCAGTGTCTGTGACGTCACTGCGTTTAGAGCAGGAGTGGTCGATCACTGAACCACACACCTGATTCAAACTTTGATCGGAGGTGTTTATGAAGAAGTTAGAGTGAGATCTGTTTGAGGGGAGGAGCTGTGCCCACACTCATTTATATGAGAGGGGTGGTCTTTATTTCATTTCATAACAATCAATCAAACTTTATTTTTAAAGCACTTTTTAAATGTAGCACAAATTTCTATTTCTATTTATTTATTTAGCGCAGATTAAAAACAGAGTTCCACTCCCATCAGGGCAAAGGTCAAAACATGTACGAATGGTCATAAATAGAACATAAACTAATCATCAACCAGAGATAAAGACAATATAAGTGTTCATAAAAAGGAAAGAAACATGATTATAACAGATCACGATCAGATGAGATTTTAATGATATTTTAAAGGATTTGAAGGATCATATTGATTTTAGAGATCCATCCGGATCATTCCACAGTTTCGATCATCTTAAAGTGAAATTAGACGGATGACTAGAAGCTCGACAGGAAGGTGACTGAAGATGGTCGTTTTGTCGAAGTGCCGTCCATTCAAGCAGAATATTAAAAACAATGAAATGAAATAAATGAAAATACAAATACCAAACCCCAACCGACCCCCATTTAACACATACAGCACTGACACACTCCCAGATACACACACTAAAGACCAGGTGAGGACTCTTCAACTTTCCACAGATGACTGCGTAAACACTGGATCTAGGACTGAAACGATAAAACCATAATAAAATATAATAAAGGTGATAAAACGTTAAAAGTTAATTAAATAAAATCAAACAATAAGAGAGAGTGAATTAAAAAAGGAGGTAAGAAAACAGAATAGTCACTCTTGAACTATAATAGTGTATAATAGGGATCAGGCATTCTCCACAGCTGCCCCTACCCTTTGGAACGCCCTACCTCCCTCCATCAGACACTGCCCTGACCCCACTACTTTTAAATCCCTTTTAAAAACCCACTTATTTAAAATTGCTTTTAATATTTAACTGTTTTGTCCATCTTGCTGTTTTCATGTCTTTGTCTTATTATCTTGGATTTTACGTACTATGTAAAGCGTCTTTGAGTGTTTTTAAAAGCGCTGTACAAATAAAATGAATTATTATTATATTATTAAAATCACATCATGCAGATTAAAACATTCAAACAAAATTCAGCTAAAAGTCAGATTAAAAAGGTCTTTAGTTTACTTTTAAAAATATGAACAGTAGGTGTCGCTCTCAGGTCTGCATCTCGATCTGCGTCTGGTCGAGAGTTTGAAATTGTTGTGAATTTTGTAGGAGCTGAAGCTGTGAGATTTTCTTTTTAGGAAGACCAGAGAGGAGAGCATTGTAATTCTACAGGTGATAAAAGCATGAAGAAGAGTCTCTGCGTTGGCTCGAGAGAGAGAGAAACTGGCGCTCTCTGGAGATGTTCTTTAAATGATCAAACGCCTTTCTGGAAACATCTCGTATGTGTGGCTCTGAAGTTTGAATCAAATGTAACACCCAGATTTTTAACTTCTTGGCGTGGATTAAAAGTTTGAGCTCGGGGTTTTCTCTCTCTGTGGACCTGAACCGATAACTTCAACATTTATACCCATACAGCTCACTGCGTTTTCTTCTCTGTGGTAAATGAATAAGCCTGACCGAGTTCATGGACTTACCTAAACCCGGGAACCTGGTCTTTGGTTAAACCCGGGAACCTGGTCTTTGGTCTTTGGTTAAACCCGGTCTAAAGTTGAGTCTGACTGGTGCCTCTTCCAGGGAGCTGTTGGATAAAAGTCCTCAGCAGGGCGGTTTGGTGGAGGCGGGGTTACCGACCAGCTCGGTTAAGACCCCCAGAAGAAGAAATGCTACGCCGAGGGGGAAGTATGCCACCAGGGGGCAGAAGTGAGTCAGATCTGGTGATGGTTTAAGTTTGTGTCTCACCTGAAGGTCACGGCGGTGTGTTCGGTGAAGTTTTGAGGGGAAATCTGCACAGGGAGGTGAAACTGAAGCTGGAGTCAGAGTTTGAGCGAGGACGGTCACATGACTGAATGATTCATGAAGGAGACGGGTCTTCTTAGTGATCTCTGAACAAAGATTGTTTCCTCACTCAGGGCCTCCACTCCTTCTCGGCAAAAAGGGTCAAAGGTCCTGAAGGAACCGGCTCTGGGAGCGCTGTGAGTACAGACCGATCCAGCAGAGCTCACCTGAGAACCTCCTGAGGGTTTCTGACCCTCAGAGGTGAATCCATGTCGTTGATCGAGTTTTACTTTGTTCTGTGTTCAGGGCTGAGGTGGATCACGAAGACTCTCCGATGCTGCCGGTCACCACGCCGCGGAGCTCCAAGAGGAAGTCTGCTCGCCTGGTCCTGTCCCGGATCAAAGTTCAGCTGTGAGTTTAGAGAAGAAGGAAGTCTTCAGGGTTAAAATCCAGACCAGCAGGACAGACCCTCAGAGCCTCAGTGTCTGTTTTCACAGGAGTCTTCTGGAGAACCAGCAGGACCGGGACTCCGACTCAGAGGAAGAGGACGACTTTGTGCCGTCGAAGAAGGAGCTTCAGAGCAGCAGTGAGGAGGAAGAGGAGGGTGAAGAGGAGGCGGGGCTGGACAGTGATGAAGACGTGGTGGTGAAGAAGCGTCGACACGCCTCTGCAGGGTCTCGTACTCCTCGATCGAAGCAGAAAACCTCGACCAGGACACCTCGAAAAACTCCCAACAGGAAGGTAAGAGTCCGCTCTTCATTGTGGTCTTCCTCACCTCGTCTTCTCTGATTGGTTCGTGTTTTTTTGGACAGGTCACACCGAGCACGCCGCGGACTCCTCACAGAGCCACTCCCAGCATCCCCAGCAGGTCTCGACCGGCCCGACAGCCCGCTAACGTTCTGGAGGAGGCCAGGATCAGGTGAGAACTCTGACCTCTGACCTCTGACCTCTGACCCTGAACAGACCCTGAACAGACTGACACAAGACACAAGACTGTTTCCGGTGTCACACGCACACATGGTCATTTCAAGTGTTGGTCCTGCATAAACTACCAATACACCAAAAAACTACATTAATTTAATCATCCAATAAATGGAAAACCAGGTGAAATCAAACACTTTATGACGTGTAAATCCAAAAATTTGATTCCTATTCTAAAATATTCCTGCAATAAAATATATGTTGGAGAAACATCACTGAACACAGGCGTGTGAAAAAAAGAAATGACAAAACCGAGACACTTTAATGAGTCAAAACATCTTTTTCTTTGGTATAGAAGTAAAACAAACTGAAAGAGGAGGCAGTTTTGATCTTATGAGGAAAAAGAGAGAGAGAAGCTTTGTGGATTGTGGATTCTTTTAAGTCAATTTTAAAAACTCACTTTTACAGACTTGCCTTTATGTGATGCCATCTTTCATCTTTTATTGCCTTTTACCGTTTTTATTTTTCTCCTTTTTCTTTCACCTCTTTCTTATTTAGACTTACTTCCGTTTTAGCCTTTGTTTTACTTATAATCTTTTTATTGATTTTAATGTTTTCATTTTCCTTTATTTTATATATATATATTTAATTCCACTTTATCATTTATATTACCATCATTTTATTTTATTATGATTTTATTATTATTATTAATGTCCTCTTTTATACTTACTAGCCTGTTTTCTTCCCTCCTTCTTTTTTTTTTTTTTGCTTTTGTTTTGGTCCTCATGGTCCCATTTATTTTGTAGAGTTCTTGTATTGCCTGGGTTTCTTACGAAAAGTGAAACAGGCCTACAATTCAGAGGCCTGTTTTTAACTGAGCTTTTGTTTTTATGTGTTTTTATTTTCAATGTGCTGATGCTCTGTGCTTACAACTGTTGTCTAAGCACTTTGTAAACTTCTGTTTTTAAAGGTGCTATATAAATAAAATTATTATTATTATTAGTGCTGCAACTAAAGATTATTTTTTTGTCGACTAGTCGTCCGATTAATCACGATTAATCACTATTTCTTTATTTATAAACACCTATTTCCGGGGTGTCGGCGTTTCAGGTGCTCATGCGTCGCCGTGGTGCTGCCATGGTAGGAAAGCTGCGCTTTGATCGACGTGTTTTTTTGGTTTGTTCTCCGTAAAATGTTCCCAAACTTCTGAAGTTTTGGGTCGGAGTTTTGGAGCGTCTTTTTCAGTTTGTTCTGCCATCATGTCTGCACTCTTCTTCTGTGTTTGCTCGCGGGATGTAAACAGCGAGCGCTACTGCCCCCAGCACATCCTGTAGTGCACTGCAGTGATAGATGAGCATGAGGCGCCGGCGTGTGATCCTTAACAACAATAACACGACGCTTCGTTTTCGTGTCGATGAATTTATCGTGTCGACGTAATCGATTACGTCGACTAATCGTTGCAGCCCTATTGTGGATTTTTAATTTAAAGAGTTTATATCCAAAAGGAATGAACGAAGACTTTTCAGCGAATGACCTTTTGTAGCCTGTAGTTTTTTTTTTTAGCATATCCTTTTATTGTTGCTTTATAAGAAATCCTTAAATGTGCTTTAGGGTCCTCCTAGACACACGTGTATGTGTATATATGTATATATTTGTATGTGTGTATGCCTGTATATGTTTGTATATGAATTCATATCTAACTTTTGTGTAGAATCTACCCACCTTACCTCTATATTTCCCTGTGCGACCTCTTATTTTGATCCTCTGTTCAGTATAGAACTTTAAAATGGCCGCCAACACCAGCACCATCCAATAGAAACTGCTGACAGGTGGTACAATTAGGTGTTGACTAAATAGACACGCCCCTGCAGCCATCCCATTGGCTGATTCAGTCCGACCTTATTTAAGTTTTTTAAACACCTCTGATGACCCCGATGAACGACACAAACCGAGACACCACGGTCCTGAACTACAAGGATATACAGGATATGATGGCCTCACTAGTTTACTGTGGTCAGATGTTAGGTGTGTGTATGTGTATGTATTGATGTGTGTTTGTGTCCTCAGGCTGCACGTGTCCTCCGTGCCCGAGTCTCTGCCCTGCAGGGAGCAGGAGTTTCAGGACATCTACAGCTTCGTGGAGAGCAAGATCATCGACGGGACAGGAGGGTAAGATCCTGGTCCTGGTCCTGGACTTCAGACTCCTACAGTGATCCTCAGACTCGGGTTCGAGTCCTCGTTTCTTTCTCATGTGCTGTGTCCGAATTGCCCGCTCGCATACTACATACTACTGCTTGATCCTACTCCTACATATTAAACACGTTGGCCCAATTCGGACACACTAGACGAGCGGTGGGGAAAGACGACCCCCGCAGGCATAGAGTAGGTACTGCGCCCGTTTTAGACTCTTTGAATGGTAATTGTTTCCATCACTTTTAGCCTTGATCGTTTGTTCAATGAGATCTGCCTGATTACTGCAGCTGTGCAGTTTAATGATGGAATAAGTGAGCTTTACCTCCATGATGTCGCCACATATTTGCTCATAAAATGATTACTTGGGCAAATATGACACCATGACATGACAAAGAGATACAACCGCACATTTTTTAGGACAGTGTGTGAAGTTACATGAAACTTACATCTGTACTGCTGCGGTCCCGCCTGCTGCTGCTGCTGCTCCGACATGGTGCGCGCTGCTGTGGCCAGCCGGCGTTCGCGACGCATCTAAATAGGCAGCAGCTGGTGGCGCTAGCATCACATGCGCTTCTACAACTTTGAAGAGGACGAAGAAGAAGCCCGCGGTGCATTTTGGGTCAGTAGTATGCCCGTAGGATGCACCGCGACCAACCTAGAATGTGGGCGTGTCTAGTATCTGAAGTAGTATGATACTCGCTCCGGTGGCCAATTCGGACATGCTAGATACTACTTCGACTACTATTTCGACTACTACTTGGCAATTCGGACGCAGCTATGGTCACTGAACCAAGCAGCTAAGACTTCCTCCTGACTCTCCTGAAAGTTTTCCAGAGCTGGGGTGACCGAATCTGAGAATAAAGAGGAACTATTTAGGAGGATTCATGTGAGCGAGTGAGGAGAGGGTGAGGCCGTCTATGAGAGAGTGAGAGTGAGAGAACGAGAGGAGGAACAGGAAGTACATCAGAGAGACATTTTCAGGGTTTCTCCTCACGTGTTTGTTTGAATCTGAACCAAACTCTCTCCAGGTGTCCTCCTCCTCCTCCTCTCTGACCTTTGACCTCTCTGTTTCAGGTGTATGTACATCTCAGGTGTGCCGGGCACCGGGAAAACCGCCACGGTCCATGAGGTGATGCGCTGCCTGCAGCACGCCGCGGACGTGGACGAGATTCCTCCTTTTCATTTCATCGAGATCAACGGGATGAAGATGACCGACCCTCACCAGGCTTACGTCCAGATCCTGCAGGTCAGAGCGCCGAACGGTCTGACGCTGATGTTAGCGGACATTTCTGTTCCGAGTCTCTCGTCACAAAGTTTTGCGTTCTCCTCGTCTCTGCAGAAACTAACGGGTCAGAAAGCCACGGCCGATCATGCAGCCGCTCTGCTGGAGAAGAGATTCAGTAACCCCGCACCCAAGAGGGAGAGCACCGTGCTGCTGGTGGACGAAGTAAGAACGCTTTTATTTTTCTAACTCAAGTTTTATTTGTATTTTTGAGACAGAAGACAGACGGTCAAACAAAGAGGATATAAAGACGGACAAACATCAGAGCAGGTGTAACGTGTCGGAGAGTCCGGCTGTGACCCTTTTTAACCCTTCGTGCTCTGCAGCTGGACCTGCTGTGGACCAGGAAGCAGAACGTGATGTACAACCTCTTCGATTGGCCGACGCGGCGTCACGCCCGCCTGGTCGTGCTGACCATCGCCAACACCATGGACCTGCCGGAGAGGATCATGATCAACAGAGTGGCCAGCAGACTGGTAAGACTAACTGGTCCCAGTGACCTTTGGAGCGAGGTGGACGGGTTCTCTGACCTGACGAGGACTCTCTGTGGTTCTGTTCGTGTTCTCAGGGTCTGACCCGGATGTCGTTCCAGCCGTACAGCTTCAAGCAGCTGCAGCAGATCATCACGTCCAGGCTGAACAAGGTGAAGGCCTTCGAGGAGGACGCTCTGCAGCTCGTCTCCAGGAAGGTTAGCGACCACGGCGCCACTCTCCCGCCTCCTCATCCTCCCTCGCCGCTTTGACTCACGGCGCCTCCCTCCCTCTCTCTCTCCTCCTGCAGGTGGCCGCTCTGTCAGGTGACGCCCGGCGTTGTTTGGATATCTGCCGCCGCGCTACAGAGATCTGTGAGCACTCGGCGTCTGATCCCTCCGCGACGGGATTGGTCGGGATGGGTCACGTGATGGACGCGTTGAACGAGATGTTTTCCTCCGCCTACATCACCGCCATCAAGTGGGTGTCGGCCTTCAGTCAGGTTAAAGCAGCAGTGATCGATTTGTGACACACAGCTGACTCCTGTGTGTGTGTGTGTGTGTGTGTGTGTGTGTGTGTGTTTTCAGGTGTGCGTCAGTGCAGGAGCAGATCTTCCTCAGGGCGGTCATCGCTGAGTTTCGGAGGCTGGGATTGGAGGAGGCCACCTTTCAGCAGGTAAAATCGAGACGCACTGAGAGGAGAAGAAGAAGAAGCTGCAGGAGAAGTTTCCTCCATGAATCGATCGATCGATTGAAGTTTATTTAGAATATACAAACCAAAAATTTAAAAAATAAAACAAGAAAATTAAGGCAAAACATGAAAATGTAAAATAAAAATACGTATCCGAAAAGGAGTGAGAAGAAGAAGAACTTCCCTTTAAATAAGAAGTACCCACACTAAGCTTCCTTCAACTTGTTTAGATGTTCCTGATAATTATGATAAACAAAATCTACATCCACTTAAAGGTGGTGTCGTCAGGATCTGAGGAAGTTCCAGTTTTTAGGAGAAATCTTGAATGTAAACTCTACCCCTCCAACCAGTTTTCCCCTCAGCTCCTCCTCTCCCCTCAAGCCCCGCCCACAAACAGACGCTCCTGCTCGCTCGTATCGTTCCAGTTAAATTCAGATATAATGCAGATAAATACTTCAGATCATTACAAATGGGGCCCAGTCAAGGTGAAAGTTAAAAGCATTGGTGCTACTGTAGATGCCAACAGACTACCAGCAAACACAATGTTTGCAGGACTTCTACAACGAGGATAAAGTGACATAGTCCAGGACCCGAGGGAGGACAGTTTAGCGATGGCGCTACAACACGCTACAGCAGGTCCGTTTGACAAGAAACACTTCTGTTACAGACACTTGTCTTACTTTGTTAAAGCGGTTTACCTGTCCAGCAGAAAGGTTACAGGGTCACCAAGATCCCCAAGCGTCCCCCATGGTTTATGTTGACCCGGCTTTTTAGCTCTTGTCCGGTCTACCTCCGTTTTAAGCGCCCGTTATTCCTCCAGAGTCTCCGGTATTTACTTTGTTTTCTTGCTTGTGTCGGCAGTCGTGGCCAAAGGAGGATTCAGACAATTTTCCGAACTTTCTGGTTGGTTTCTACTGTCCGATATTGTAGCACGCTAACTTTGTTTGGGCTCCTGAACGACACGGGGGAGCAGCATTTTCTTGCTGACTGTTTTCTTGTTGACTGTTTTCTTGTTGACTGTTTATGGTTGACTGTTTTCTTGTTGACTGTTTATGGTTGACTGTTTTCTTGTTGACTGTTTTCTTGTTGACTGTTTTCTTGTTGACTGTTTTCTTGTTGACTGTTTTCTTGTTGACTGTTTTCTTGCTGTCTGTTTTCTTGCTGACTGTTTTCTTGTTGACTGTTTTCTTGCTGTCTGTTTTCTTGTTGACTGTTTTCTTGTTGACTGTTTTTTTGTTGACTGTTTTTTTGTTGACTGTTGTTTTGTTGACTGTTGTTTTGTTGACTGTTTTCTTGCTGACTGTTTTCTTGCTGACTGTTTTCTTGTTGACTGTTTATGGTTGACTGTTTTCTTGCTGACTGTTTTCTTGTTGACTGTTTTCTTGCTTACTGTTTTCTTGTTGACTGTTTTGGTGTCGACCGTTTTCCTGTTGACCGGTTTGGTGTTGACTGTTTTCTTGCTGACTGTTTATGTTTGAGTGTTTTCTTGCTTGTGTCGGCAGTCATGGCCAAAGGAGGATTCAGACAATTTTCCGAACTTTCTGGTTGGTTTCTACTGTCCGATATTGTAGCACGCTAACTTTGTTTGGGCTCCTGAACGACACGGGGGAGCAGCGTCTGCCTCACAACCAATCAGGTTAGAGGAGGTGGAGAACGGCTTTGTTTACAGTCAGAAAGAGCGGACCGCTCAAAAATGTTCAAATGTTGACGACACAGACATAAGAGAACACAGAGATATCGATATATTACCAAATGTCATCAATAACTAATAACTATTGACTGATATTAGAAGATTTTTTGTATTAAAACCACAAAATAAAAAGATGCTTCTTTAACAGATTCCTGCCTCCTCCACCTTTAAAATGGCACACACCTCGGCTCTGAGGGGAATCTGAGGCCGTCGGGAACAAAACTGTAAAATTATCCTCTTTTATTGATTTTATGTTCAATATTTTTGTGTTTTATCCTCGTGTCAGACGTTCTCCTCACTCATTTATGAAAAATAACCTCCTAACCCAAAAATCGACTCGGCTCCTAAACTCGTAATATAAAAAATATTTGTCTTAATCTAAGTTATAAACTTGGTAAGTTTCATGGTGATATCTGTTTGTTAAAATTTTACCCTATTCACCTGGTGTGTCTTCCTACCCATCATGGACGCCATCTTGAAAATGGCGCCTTTCTAGCGGTCAAACTTTGGTAAACTTTGAGTTTGTTATTAAGGACGTCTAATACTATAAAAAACTGCTGAGAAACCTTTTAATTTTTCTAGGGTTTAGTCATATTTGCTCCTGACTACATCTCGACTCGATTATTTAAAAGCTGGTGAATGTTTCAGACTCTCTTTACCGACTGTTTGAAGCTCCGCCCCTCCCTCGCCGTTACACACTGACTCCCCCCTCTGTTTTGTCTGTCAGGTGTTCGTGCAGCACCAGGCTCTGTGTCGGGTCGAGGGTCTGCAGCCCATCAGCGTGTCGGAGGGTCTGGCGGTGTGTCAGCGTCTGGGAGCCTGCAGGGTCCTCCTGCTGGAGCCGAGCCGCCTGGGAGTCCTGCAGCGAGTCCGCCTTAACGTCAGCCAGGACGACGTGGTGTTTGCCCTGAAGGCTGACTGAAGGAGGGACTTTTTATTTATCGATTGTTTTTTACTGTTTTTACTGTCTTACCTTTGATTGATATTCAATTCTAGTCTTTTATTTTGGAGAGTATTTCCTATAAAAATAAAAGCCTTGTTGGCAGTTTTTAATATTTGTCTCCCTGAGTGTTGTCTGCAGGTATGCTCCTCGAACGTCAGGAGAAGTTTGGCCCTGACTTTGGTTTCTCAGGAATGCAAATTTGCAGGTTAGACCTGATTCGACACCGAGAATAACAAAAACTTGGATTAAAGGAGATAAAACAAAATCATGTCACAATATTATAAGACTTTAAACACAGGCTGTAGTTCTTCCACACACAGAGAGAGAGATAACACTTTAACTTTTAAAAACTTTAATTTCACACATTAAAATCAAACCTTCACACCGACGTGTTTTTGTGAGAGTTAAATCATTTATCTGTAACGTTTTGGTTCTAGAGCTTCATCAGGCAAACAGAAGCCATCTTAAAAATAGAGGGATAAAATCATCATCATCGGGTAATTTAACCAAAGAGACAGAAAATAAACAACCAAACACTTTGTGTGACATCCGTCTGAAGTAATACCCACATGTCCAGAAGAGAAATCCAGAACATCGTGAATCGATTATAAATAAATCAGTATTTTAAAATATTTTTTAGGAGATAAGTTTACACTGTAAGTTAAAAACAGACATGTTTAATTAACAAATCTCCATCAAATACACATCTAATAACAATGATCCAAAGTTCATTTAGACCTACACACACTTACAATGACAGTGAATGACAACAACAGAAAAAGTCATCCAGATACCGACAACATTATAGCTGTGTCTAATTTCTAAAAATGTGGAATCTGCAAAAGTTTTTGACGTCACCAAGATTTTTTCCACTCATCAGTAGGGGCTCAAAAAACTGCAGTAAAAAAGCTCAAACACACCGGTCTTGTGTTACGGATAGGCGAAGGTTCCTTTGTTTGAGAGTGAAAGCTAAAGTCATCAGAATCTCCCAGATTTCAACCTAAATATGTGAAAACACCCAGAACTTCTCAAACTTTCTTCTTCTCTCCTTTCAGAAGAAGATGTTGGCTCAGGATTGTAGTTTAATGTTTGCGGTATGATGGAGCTCACAGACGTCATCTTAAAATCAAAACTGTGAGATTTTGGAGCCAAAACAAAGATTTGAAACGGAAATTAAGGGAATCATCTGAACCAACCGTCCCACTCCTGATGTAAACTTAACGACCCCTGCTCCGTGTTTTCAGGAGAGCTCTACTTCTGCAGCTTCTCCAGAAACTCCTCGATTTCCTTGGACCTCCGGTTCCAGGTCGTCGTGTCTTTGACTCTCTCCAGAGCTCTAATGCTGTCGTTACGGAAGAAGGATTTCTCTGGTATTTCTGCACCTCTCTTGTGAAACTGTATCGACCCTTGGCGGTCTTTTTTGGTGTGGAACAGATACTTTGCAAACTGGTTGTAGAGCACCTGTTTCTCTGCAGGTTCCAGGTCCCTGCGGAGAAGTTTCTGGAAGATCTGCTCAGCTTTATCCATGCCGGCGCCGGAGTTGGCATACATGTTTGCGAGATCTATTTTCTTGAGAAATGAGGAGTTGGGGTAGAGAGAAACCACCTCCCTGTGCAGACTGATGGCTCGCTCGGTCATGCCCGGTCTCGGACGAGTCTTCCGGTTAAACAGAATCTTCCATTTGTAGCAGAGGGCCGCACACCTCTTCAGGTAACGCTCCTCAGGATGAGCTCGCAGGGCTTTCTCCGCCAGATCGATGGCCTCATCCACAGAGACGTAGTTTGAGAGAACTCTTATTAAGGGCTTTAATCCACTGTAGCTGCTCACAGGATTCCTCAAGATCTGGTCTCCTAACTCACGGGCCTCGCTTTCAATCTTCTCCCCTCTCTTGGCGAGCTGCATCAGGTAGACAGCAGCGAGGTACAGGTTCTCCGGATCCTGTTCCTTCGCAGCTCTCATCTTCCTCAAGAGGTCAGCCTCCCCCCCTGCGGTGCTGTGTTTTTGGGAAGACGCCAGACCTAGAACATAGCTGGTGTTCCACTCCACCATGTCCGGCTGCATCCTGATGGCCTTCTCGAAGTATTCTGCTGCCTGCTCCTTTTTTGGGGCGTTGAACTTCATCAGAGTCCAGGCTTTTTCAGCGTAGATCTCTGGGTGGAGCTCGCTCTGGGATGGAGGTGGGTGTTTCTTCTTCAGGGCATCTACCTTTGACAGGTAAGCCTGACTCTCTGCTTCATCTCCAAGGTGGTGGTGCAGCCAGGCCAGGTTCCCATAGTTCACCATGGACCCGGGACCCTCATCTGCATGTCTCAGGACGTCTGCAGCCTTGTTGAAGAAACTCTTGGCATCTTCATTTGACTCCAGCTTGAACTGGATGAACCCCTGCAGGTTGTAAATGTGACTCAGCCACGGGTTTCCCTCCTCTGTGCCGATGTCCTCCAGCTTGTCTGTCAGACGCAAAAGTTTGGGCCTGCCAGGATCCAGACCCCAGGTGAAGTGGCACTGCAGAGCCTTCAGCTTGGACTCTAGCTTCTTCGTACTCTTGGAGGCGCTGTTTAAGAAGACAAAGAGCGATTTTAAAACACCCTTCACCTCCACCCACAACCTGGTATTTCTGATTATAACATGATAAATCAGCGGTTCTCAACTGGTCTCACTCTGGGACCATAGACTGTATATACTATGGACAACTTGGTTCCGCCTCCCGCCAGTTTAAGGATTTGAAGCCAAATAGCTCTGTATTTCCGGGATTTTTCTTCATTTCCTGAAACCAGCGCTGCGCAGTAGCGATGCGCACATTCGGTAGCTGCGCAATCCCTGAACGCCCATAGGCTGTATCAGGTGTCAATCATAGAAAACATGAACCCCCTAATAACTTTTAAAAATGGAGCTGTACAGAAAAAAAGAGGACTTGAGCACAAACCAGTCTGACAGTAACTACATGTCAACATCACAACCAGGGGGGAGAAACATTTATATTCTGTGTCATTAAGTTATAAAGTTTGTCCACATCGCCATAAGGAGGCGGGGTTTATGACCTTTATGGCGTCCATTTTAGATACAGTCTGTGTTTGCGGCCCATCCAGGACATGTCCGCGACCCATTTTTGGTTCGGGACCCAGCAGTTGAGAACCACTGTTATAAATATTATAGATCTGAATAATATAAATTAATTTAATAACTTTGTTACAACAAAAAAGACCAGTTATAACTAGAATAAATAGCAGACACGGACTTCAGTACAAATAGTTATTTTTCATCCTCAGAGTTAAAAACATGAATATTAAATCAGATTAATTCATAGTTATTCATCCTCTCTAAGTCCACACTGATGTTTATTTTCTAGATTCATCCATGCTCTTCACACACACTGATAATAAAGTGTCCCCCCTCACCTCATTATTCGGCTGTTTCTCTGCAGATTTCTGGATACTCAGTTCGGATGTTCTCTCTCGTCTGAACTCTCCGGGATGTTCGCAGATAAATATGAGACTGGATTTAGGGGGCGGGGCGAGTTCGCGGACAGAGAGGCGAACAGACGCGACTTCGCTTCAGCGTTCGCGGGGTGAATCCTAACCATGGACAGGTTTTTTTTTTTGGAGGATGATAGGGGAAGGTCCCGCCTCCTTCGCCTCTGATTGGCTGGAAAAGCTGGAAACGTCAACACACGCTTAAGAAACCGGAAGAAAATATCCAGCAGAACAGGCGCGTTCGCGTCAGTTCGCGCGAACTCAGCGACGCAGAAACCCGCCTTTCCTCCGCGTTCACGCGCATGACTCTCTTTTCTCAGGAAAGGAAACTAACAGAGTCACAGCCGTCTGAAACGAAACCCAAACACACTCAGGACTGTCTAAAGGTGGAGGGCTGGGAAACAGTAACTGAGGTCTTTGTTTTATCAGCTGATTTAAAACCTTAAATGAATGAAAGGAAACCAAAGTGACAAAGTTACTGCAGTAAAGTATCACTGATTAACTTTAAGACTTCCTCTGAAATGCTCTTTAAATGTCACTGAAATTAAACTTTTATACTTAAACGGGAAAATTGTTACTAAAACATTTATATGTTATTCATTTAATACAGAAATCCGACCAAAAGGGTCATTTTTGACACTGGCTGACTATTATATTTTGTGAGACGGAAAATTGTGTGCACTACCTAACCCTTCTGTGTTTGCAGTATTTTATTTTATCTAGTTATCACCTCTTTATTTTTAACAAATAACATTAAGAGTGTTGTTTTCTCTGTTTACTTGGCCCATAATTCCATCTTTTCCACCTTCGTTTTTCATAAACTTTACTAATTATTTTCCTCATTCGTTCTATTTTATCAAGTTTTTTTCTGTGTCTATTATCAGTTTTATAAATGTGATAGTATAAAAGCATTTAATAATGTAAAAAAGGATGAATCTCAAAGATAAACTGGTTTATCTTATTGGATGCACAAAGTAAACAAATAAGTTCAGGCCAGTGATTAACTTTTTAATTTTTTAATTAGATTTTTTTGTCTTTATTTTTCCACAGTTTTAAAATTCTTAATAATAATTTATATTAACCTTATTGTATTTCAACATTTTCCAAATTCTTCTTGTCCTTGTAATTTGTAATAAAGTAGTTGTATAACAGATAGACCTATAATTATTTTTATCATTTTTATCAGTTTGTGCAAACTCACCGACGCAGACACCCGCCTTTCCTCCACGTTCATGCACATGACGTTCTTTTCTCAGGAATAGAAACTTACAAAGTCACACCTTATGATGATGATGATGATGATGATGATGATATTATTATTATTATTATCATATGGTGATGATGCTAATAATAATAATAATTATATGATAATAAAATAGTAATATTTATAATTATTATTATTATCATTATTGTTATAAATGTATTATTATTATTATTATTATTATTATTATTATTATTATTAAAATTAGCATCATCATCATATAATAATATTAGTAATAATAATAGTTAATATTATTATTGCTATTAATGTTACTTTTATTTTTATTTTATTATTACTATTATTATTATTTTTAAATTATTATTAATTTATTATCATTTTTATTATTTTTAATTATCATATTATTTTATTATTTATTTTTTAAATTATTCTTATTATTCTTATTATTATGTCTATGGTGTAACATGTAGCAGCCTGTTTCTGGATGGTTTGTTTATGTTAGACAGCTGTTTCTGCCCGCATCCTCCCGCTCTGCTGCCACCTACCGGTAAAACCAGGAAACTGTACAGCTGTACAAGTACATAAAGGTATCTTTTCTTAAAAAAAAGTACCCAAAACCATCCAAATATCAGAACACTTGTTTGCTACTCTGTCAAATTAGTGTTTTTTTAGTGCATTTTAACATGTTTTCTGTTCGGTATTAACTCTTTCAGAATGAGTGTGTTTTATGTTTGTTAAATTACTGCCGTTTATGTAAAACTCTTGCCTCTAAACAGCATCTGAATCGGTGCGCCATGGTCTACTTACGTGCTAAAGTTACGCATTTTACGTAACCTACGCACGGAAGAACTCTTCCTGCGTATGTGTTGCTGTAGTAATAATGGCGGAGCTGAAAGAGGCAGACGCTGCTCAGCTACACCAGGAGGACGTCGATATCAAATGTGAGTAAAGTGAAGCAGTTCGTCGTCTGAACACCGATTACAGGACCACGAAAAGAGGGATTAATCCCGGGTTATTAATGTTCAGGTTTGTTCAGCGAATTCACCGAGAATTTGAGTTTGTAACTGCTAAACTAAACGAGGGCCTCACCACGGAGCTCCGCCATAGGACCTAAACAGTCAACACTAACAGCGATGTAACGGCTGGTGGCTAGCATTAGCCGAACCGTCGTCGTTGTAGGGGTAAACCTGAACAATGGAGCTTCCCTGTGCTCGTTATTTTAATCGGACTGTTTCTTTAGTGGTGTACAAACAGTTTGGGTTCATATGGGCTCATCACGGAGCTGCACTACAGGACCCTAGAGTCGCTCCGTTTGGGCATCAACTGTCCGGTTATTTACGGGTTAGTAGATGTTTTCTTTAGTCACAGAACAACTTAAGGAAAAATAAACCCGATCTGAGAGAGCCTGAAACTCTGAGGATGGTAGATCAGGGTTTGTGCTGGGTCTTAAAAAGTCTTACGATGTCTACAACACAATAATTCTAATTTAAGGCGTTAAAATGTCTAAAATTATCCTAAAACCTCATAAAATGTCTTAAATACAAATTTTAGAGGTCTTAAAATGTATTGACGTCACATACAAATAAAGATGAAGGCCTCAAAATGTCTAAAATTCTCTTAAACCTCATAAAATGTCTTAAAATACAAATTTAAAAGGTCTTAAAATGCATTTATGTTACTTATAAACAAAGATTAAAGCCTTAAAATGTCAAAAATTCTCTTAAAACCTCATAAAATGTCTTAAATACAAATTTGAAAGTTCTTAAAATGTATTGATGTGACTTACAAATAAAAATTAAATTGAAGTTAGTTTCAAATGTTCCGATTTCCCTTCGTGTCTTTTGTACTTTTGGGATGTAAAATGGATGTTAAATTGTTTTTATTATGGTCTTAAAAAAGTCTTAAAAAGTCTTAAATTGGACTTGGAAACCCTGTAGATTTGGAGGCGGTGAGAGGTCGAGTCTTTCAACAGATAAAATGAAGAAGACTATTAAAGTAAACACCGACGAACTAAAGAGATGTTAACTTTTGTGTTGTGTATATAGTGTACATACTTGTATATTATCTCTTTATTTTCATCTTTTTATCTCTTTATTTCCACTTATTTATCTATTTATCTCTTTGTTTTTCTACTTTATTTGCACTGGAGTTACCGTGACAAAAGCTACTTCCCCCTGGGGATAATTCCTCACACGTTTGAACAGTAACTCAGCAGGGATTACAACAGCATGGCTCTGTAGTAGAAGAGTCCTCCTGAGAAACTGACCTGTAGTCTCTCTCTCTCTCTCTCTCTCTCTCTCTCTCTCTCTCGCTCTCTCTCCTGTGAAGGTGGATCTGGTGGAGATGCTCCTCCGGCGGGTGAGCGAGCTGCGGAACAAACGGTCAAATCTGAAGCCCCAGAAGAAAGCGATGCCAAGCCCTCGACCACGACCACAGGTGATTTTCTGGAGGCTGTCTGCGTGTCGTTTATACCTGCTGTATTTCTGCACCTAACAGCTGACCTCTTGTTCTCCAAACAGAGAGACACATCTCCATCCAGACCAAACTGGAGGGACTGGAGATGCTTGTTGACCTCAACGGCGGTGAGTTTTGAGTCCTCCTTTTGGACCTTTAACCGCATCTTCAAAGTAATTCTCTTTTTTGCTCACGTTGAGATTCACCTGAATTCTGTAAAGAAAGCCGTTGTTTTCTCTCTGTTGTCAGCGGGGCGAAAGTCGTGTCCTCTGTGTCCTGAGGAGAAGTTTAAAGCCTGTTACAGCCACAAGCTCCGCCGCCACCTGCAGAACCTCCACTGGAAAGTCTTCGTGGAGTTTGAAGGTAAAAAGCTGAAGCGCACAGTCAGTGGGAGAAAAGGTTTGGGTTTAAGAGGAGGGAGACTAGACCGAAAGTCACTCCAGTGTGAAGAATATTCTCAGATCAGGGACTCGAGTGTCCAATATTTAGGTTACAAGTTAAATTTGAGGAGCAATGGTCGAGGTTTTAGAGGTCCATACGGTGGTTCTGTCTGCAGCCTCTCAGTTTCCAACCTCGTTAACTTTGCTGTGATCTAAATGGGAGGGGCTGGTATGATAATGAGGCTCTGAGCTGATTGGAAGTAGGATGCAGATGAATGTAAACAGACGCAGAGGTGAAAAAACACGGCGAGAGCTCCAGAGGAACTAGCGTCGAACTAAATGTTTGAGATCATGATCACACATGGAGGGTCAGTTCTGGGTCCGGAAAAAGTATGGTGTTTCTTTTCACTGTTTCGCTGACGATGTGCAGGCGTATTTTCCCGCTAAGGTCATGACCAAAGACTCTCTGCAGGTCGTAAGTGATGTCAAGACATGGATGGATCTGAACTTCTTCAAATTCAATGAAAACCAAGCAGAGGTCATCCTGTTCGGTCGCCCTGACCTGCTTCAGGTCCTCTCCAGATCCTTTGGCTCTCATGAATCTTGGTTTTATTATTGATGATGATTTTAAACTTGACAAACAGGTCAGCAGTGGTCAAATCTCGCCTTTTTCAGCTGAGACTTCTCACCAAAGTTAAATCCTATTTAAGCTTTCATCACATCTCGTTTAGATGACTGTAATTCTCTGTATGTCGACGTCGGCAAGTCAGAGCTCAACCGCTCGTCTCCTAACTGGGACTAAGAAACAGGAGCTCATAACTCCGGTGATTTCCTCTCTTCACTGTTCGGTACAGGATCGATTTTAAGGTCCTTTTATTTGTTTTTAAGTCTCTGAATGGACTGACCCCCGAATATCTGTCTGAGCTCAGCCCTCCGGAGCCCTGAGGTCGGCTGATCAGGTGGTTTTAGATGTTTCTCGATCCTTTTTAAAATCTAGAGGAGATCGAGGATTTCCTGTCGTAGCTTTAACTCTGACAGTGCTCTCTGCGAATAACCTTTCCACTTTTAAAACCCTTTTTAAGGCGCACCTGTTTTTTGGGGAAGTATGTATTTTGTTGTTTTCTGCTTTTATTGTTTTTATATTTGTTATTGTTTGTTTGTTTTTTTTTGTTTTTAAACCTGCTCTTTAAGTAAAGCTGACATTAACATTGACATTGACGTCTGTTTCTGCGGGTCGATCTCCGGTTGTCGAGTTTTGTTGTTGTTCAGTTCTTTCGTTGAGTCCCTCCTGAATGTTTTATAAACTCTGTCTCCATCTTTTACCGTAAACAGGCCAGAAGATGTGCATCTGCCACCTTCCCTGCAGGAACCTGAAGCCCAGTCTGAGTGGAGATCAGGTGAGAGACGTCCCGACCTTCAGCTGAAAGCGTCCCACAGAAGACCTTTTTATTTTCACCTTTCATGAAGTTAGATCATGAAATATCACTGAAGTTCTCCGTTCTTATCTTCACCGAGGTCAGAGATTTATTTACGCAGAAACAGCGTCACCGGCGCCCTCGCCAAAGACCCCAGACTCTGACAGAAGAACTTTAACCTCACAGACAACACCTCTCTGCTCTGTTTTGTGTCTTTTCGGCGCCATAATAACTCTCAGACGGCTTTGAAAGTTGGTTTAATGCTGCAGTCAAACTTATTTTGTCGTGTCGACTCTTTTTAGGCGTCAGGACGACACGTGGCACACTATCACTGCGTCGTCTGTTCGGTCACCATCGCCAGAAAGACGGACATGATCGGACATCTCAACCGGCACATCAACAAAGGAGAGACCGAAGCCAGCTACTCGGGCAGTTTGGACGTCCAGCTGGAGGAGCCGGGTGAGAAAACACCGAGGAGAGTCCCGTTTAGAGAAACCTCGCCCTGTCATGGCGTTGTGATGATGTTTTCGTGTTTCTGCAGCGCCGTCAGGTCAGGCGTTTGAGATCATGAAAGAACTTGGAACCAACGTGCAGCTCCTCCCGAACTACACCACCCCGCAGAAGAGCGACACCTACTTCAACCGCAAGATGAAGACCAACAGGTGAGAGCGGATCTGACGAACACACGTCTGTTCAGAACCTGGAGGTCCTGGAGATCCGCTGAAGTCCGTTTGTGTTTCAGACAGCTGGTGTTCTGCTCGCTCGCTGTTCTGGCCGGGGAGAGAAGTCCGCTGGAGTGTCTGGACGCTTTCGGAGCCACAGGTGAGACGACCCAAATCAAAGATCGGATTCCTCCGAAGTTTTCCTCCTTCGTAGTCGACTCCCTTTAATCTGGAAACACATCATCACCAGAGACAGAAAATAGGAAGAGGACAGGAAAATATAAACGTGTAATAATGAGAGAGGATAATAAAGTCACCATCTCATAATTTAACATCTAATCTTTAATTTATGACTAATCTCTTTATTTAGATTTTCAATCTCACAGTTTCAGCGATAATCTCACTTCTTTGATATTAATCCCATAATTTAACTCACTATCATATAACTGTGATTATTACCCCTGAATTAAATTCTGATTATAATTATGAGTAAATATCTCATCTGTTCACATCAACATGTGATGAGATTTTTTACTCGTCATAATTATAAAAACCGACTTTAATATTTTGACTTTTTTTCTCCTAATTGTGATTTTAACTGTTTCATTATTTAATCATTGAAGTTTAAACGTGTTTCTCCTGATTTTAACTCATAATTATTTTCTCATTCACCAACTTTCTCCTGATGTTTACTTTACAGTCCAAATTTTGAATTTTTTTAACAAAATTTTACTTTTATATCCTTTAATTTTGACTTTATTCTCATTTTTTAAAACCTTTAATCTCATATTAATGACGTACCATCTTGTAACTATGAGTGACTACATCTCTTGATCTAAATTGACTTTTTTCTCCTAATAATAACAGATGTTTTCTTTATTTTGACTCCTTAATCTCAGAATTTCGACTTTAACAGTTTTGACCGTGTATCTCATGATAATGCTGTTTTTTATAATAATGACTTAATATCTCAGAATTATGAGTCACTCTATAGAAAAATGTAAATTTTTCTCAAAGTTTAACCTACTTTCTCTAATTTAGACTTTAAAGTCTCATAATTTTTTACTTTTATCTCATTATATTAACTTTAGTTCTCATAATTCTGATTTTTATCTCATATTAACCTCAAATATTATATTAACTTGTTATCTCATAACTTGACTTTTATCTCCTTGTATTAACCTTCAATTTCATTTTTTAAATCTAATTATAATCAGTTTGAATCTCATATTTTTTTGTTTTATATCTTTATATTATAATCTCATAATTCTGATTTTTTTGTCTTTATATTAACGTTAAATCTCATAACTTTGACTTCCTTTTTTTAAAATGACTGTTTATAATTTTGACTCTTAATTACAAAAGCACGCTGCAAACACACTCTGTGTTTCTGAATCAATGAGATAACGTTCAAGTTAATTCAGAAAAAAACAGATTAAAAACTTTTATTTATGAAAAAGTGATCAATATAATCTTCAAATGACCGCAGGATTTCTGGACCTCAGGTGAGACAAAGATCAGAGACAAACTTCTGGACTTTGGGATTATTTAAGTTCACTGTGAAATAAAAGGTCGACACTGATGATCAGACAAACGCCAAATATCCGCCCTGAGAGTCGACCTGATAATCGACCCGGAGCTCCACCTGGTGTTCAGTGTCAGAATTACACAAAAGTGCCTCATCCAGAGACCCAAACATAAACCGCTTACAGATTCAAGCTCCAACAAACTTTTTCATTTCCTGTCTGTCCTCAGGGATTATGGGCCTCCAGTGGGCCAAACACCTCCGTACCGCCGTTAAGGTCACCATCACCGACATCAACGACACCTGCGTCAAAATGATCAAAGAGAACTGCGAGCTCAACGACATCCGAGTGGACCGGGGCCCCAGGGGACCTGAGGGGGCCGGAGGAGAGGTCAAAGGGGCGGCCGTCGCTACGGTGGAGGTGGTCAAGATGGACGCCAACGTCATCATGCACCTGCGGTCCTTTGATTACATGTAAGTAAGGAAGTGGACAGCAGATCTACTCGGCGTGCTCGTCCGTTAAAGGAAACTGAACAAACTTTGAATCTTTCAGTCACTTGGACCCGTACGGGACGGCGGTGAACTACCTGGATGCTGCGTTCAGGAACGTCAGGAACCTGGGCATCATCTCAGTGACGTCCACGGACACCGGCTCTCTGTACTCCAAGTCCCCAAACGTCACCCTGCGGCACTACGGCTGCCACATCGTCCGCACAGAGTACTACAAAGAGCTGGCTGCTCGCATGGTGGTGGCCACGGTGGCGAGGTGAGTCCGGACTCTTTTCTCCGCCCTGTTTTGGTGCCTGGCGTGAAAGTGTCGAACCCTAACCTCTCACTGTGTGTCGCAGAGCTGCAGCTCGCTGTAACAAAGGCATCGAGGTGCTGCTGGCGGTGGCGCTGGAACACTTCGTCCTGGTGGTGGTGAGGGTCCTCCGAGGTCCGACACAGGCGGACGAGTCGACGAAGAAGCTCCGAAAACTGGTCCACTGTCAGTGGTGCGAGGAGAGGGTCTTCCTCAAACTGGGAAACATGGTGGACGGTGAGACCCGACGATTTCCACCTTAAAACAAACATCAGAGAGGAAGATGATCAGAGTTAGAAAACAGGCGGTAAAAAAACAAACATCAGAGAGGAAGATGATCAGAGTTAGAAAACAGGCGGTAAAAAAACAAACATCAGAGAGGAAGATGATCGGAGTTAGAAAACAGGCGGTAAAAAAACAGACATCAGAGAGGAAGATGATCAGAGTTAGAAAACAGGCGGTTAAAAAAAAACACAAAAGAAAAACAGGCGGTTAAAAAAAAAACATCAGAGAGGAAGATGATCGGAGTTAGAAAACAGGCGGTACAAAAAAAAACACAAAAGAAAAACAAGCGGTAAAAAAACAGAGAAGATGATCAGAGTTAGAAAACAGGCGGTAAAAAAAAAAAACAAAAGAAAAACAGGCGGTAAAAAAACAAACATCAGAGAGGAAGATGATCAGAGTTAGAAAACAGGCGGTAAAAAAAAAACATCAAAGAAAAACAGGCGGTAAAAAAACAAACATCAAAGAAAAACAGGCGGTAAAAATAACAAAAGAAAACAGAAGGAAAAACAGGCAGTAAAAAAGAAAAAACAAGAAAAACAGTCAGTAAAATAAACAAGAAAAAGGGTGAGATTTTTTTGTAGAAGAAAACAGGCAGTAAAAAGCAACTGAAGAAAACAGGCTGTAAATTAAAAAAAAATCAGGCTGTAAAAAAGAAAAAAAGAAGAAAACAGGCAGTAAAATATACAGAAGAAAACAGGCTGTAAAAAGAAAAAACACGAAAAACAGTCAGTAAAATAAACAAGAAAAATGGTAAAAAAAATCAGACGAAAACAGAAAGTAAAAAACAAAAACAAAAGAAAACAGACTTTTAAAAAAAAACAGGCAGGCGGTAAAAAAGCCAAACAAAACAGACCGTAAAAAAACCCCAAAAGAAAACAGGCTGTAAGAACAACAACAGAAAAATAGAGAAAAAAACAGGCTTTAACAATAAAACTGAAGAAAGCAGGCAGTAAAAACAATAGAAAACAGGCTGTAAAAAAACCCAGAAAAAAAACAGGCTGTAAAGGAAAAACAGGCTGTAAAAAAAAAGAGAGAGGAAAACAGGAAGTAAAAAAAAAGAATAAAACAGGCAAAAAAAAAAAACTGGCCGAAAAAAGACTGTGAAAAACCCCAGAAGAAAACAGTCAGTAAAACAAGAGAAGTGAACACGCAGCAGTAACCCCTCCCTCAGAGACACCCTCAGTCAGTCGTCTTTACCTGAACTCTGCTCGCTGTTTTACACGCCTATGATGTCACTATTTATGTTGTTTATTCTGTGTGTGTGTGTGTGTGTGTGTGTGTCCTGCAGACACGCTGCCCTGTAACTGTCACGGGAGTCTTCCTGGAAAGACCGCCGTTCAGCTGGGACCGCTCTGGTAAAGTATCTCATTTAAGACCCCCCTTTCTGGGTCTGGTCTGGGGTCTTTGGCGTCCTCTCAGGTACGCTCACACACCTGTCTGTGTGTCCAGGTCCGGTCCTTTATTCAACACGGGTTTCCTGAGGAGGATGCTGTCAGCCGCCGTGCAGCACAACATGGACGACATCCAGCAGCTGGTCAAAACTCTCATCTGTGAGTCCGAGTGCACCACGCTCAAGTCCCTGGTCCACGGTCCGTCTGCGCTCACAAACCAGGGTGAGAGTCCGACCCCCCGACACTTCTCTGTGACACACACACACACACACACACACACACAGGTGTTTACAGGATGTTCTCTCTCCTCTGCAGTGGAGTGCGGCGTCGTTATCAAGACGTTACAGAGCGGAGAGGAGTCCGGGGCCGCCGATCAGTCCGGTGAGTCTGCGTGTTTCTCAGAAGGTCGTTCACAGAGAGATCACACTTATCCAAATCTAGATGATCCCGTTTCCATCCTGAGGTGGATCCTCTCTGTGATAAATGCAGATTAAATGAAGACTCTCTCTCTTCTTCATGTTTGGACGTTTTTTTATCACGACTCTGAAACATAACATTTGAACCTTTGAACCCGATCCTCTGGGGGTTACTTTTGGTTTTGGTGGGAGAGGATACAAACAAACTTTACTTCCACGAAATGTCGAACCCTGGCGTTTGCCTTCCTCCTGGCCAGACATGCGGTTCTCCTTAGACGGAGGGACGCTGCCCCGCCCACTCACAGTCATTGGCTGAAAGATCTTACGTCTTGTTTAGATTTTGAGAAGATTCGTTACTCAGTCGCAGGTTTGGGGACCTTTTCTGGACCACATTCAGAAACTGTGCTCCTCTAGTTATTTTCTTATTTTAATATCTGTGATGTTTTATTATCATACAGTTAAGATTCTTCTCTCTTTTATGGACTTTTTCAGTTTTCTGTTTGTATTTCTCTTGATGTACAGAAGTTCATTTAACTTATTTTCTTACTTTTTATTTCTTGACATCTTATAAATTTCAAGATCACTTTAAAATGAACAGCTGTGGAGTAAAATGACCTCAGGGAGGAGCGCTTCTGCAGCTCTGCTCACGTCCACTAGAGGGCAGTGTCGCCCACTCCTTTTAAAATGAATTTACACCTTTATTTTTGAAATCTAAACTTTGTGAATCTTTATCGGCTCTTGAAAGACTCGACTGAAACTGAAGGTTGTTAAACTCCACTTTAAAAACATGCGTCTTTGAAAACTCGGGGATCTCTGCAGGAGTTTCAGGATCGTGGATTTGAAAAGCTTTTATTTGATTTTATGTTTATTTATTTTTAATCTGCAGGAAAGAGGAAGAGCGGGGAGGAGTCGGGGAACGTGGTGAAGAAGCTGAAGTCTGACGCGTCTCTGGAGCACCCGCCCTTCTACTACAGCATCCACCGCCACAGCATCCGAGGCATGAACATGCCCAAGTAAGTGACCTCTCTGTCCCGATGTGGACCTGGATCTGAGCCGCGTGAGGGGTCCCCGAGTCCCAGAGTAAAACCATCAGATTAACCAGATCGTTTAGTTTGACCTGATCGATCTAACAGCCTGTTACCCAGAGAGGAAAACGATGAGTGTCAGTTAGTCTGTGGTTTCCAGTCACATGTCAAAGCCTCTCACTCACTTCCTACCGCAGAGCTGCTGCTGCTGAAGACGACAGAGGCAGACGTGTTTTACTGATGCGTGCCAGCTAACCAGGTCACCCTGACCCCACAGACCCTGCTGGTTTAATCTGTCAGCAGAGACTTTATAAAAAAACGTCCTTAAAGAAACTTTATTCTGACTGAGAATATCTGATACCTGTGGAGGAAAGAGACTCGAACACGGGTGAATCTGAGGAGCGCTGACCTGAAAACGACAAAAGTGACTGTCATTACTGAGACGAACCAATCAAAGTCAGGAAGGGGCGGGACTTCTGAAATCACTTTGGTAAAGGACAATGGAAGAAAAACTAACCCCCAATCTCCACCTTCATCCTGATCGTCTCCTAAAAGATCGTATCCTCTGATCGTAGCTGATCGTAGCGGAGCATGGCGGATAAATTCAGCACGGATTAACCCGTGATGGAAAGGAAGTCGAGCACAGACTTCAAAATAAAACATCAGGCCTCTTTTCAAAATAAAACACAACCTTTCATTTGTTCGGGCGGAGACGAACAAGTGAAAGGTTTTTAGACGTCCTCTCACCCCGATGACACCATGGATGAGGAGATGCTGATTCTAGAAGTCTAGAAGTAGAAAAAAGAAGAACTGTAAATCATAGATGCTGTATCCTCGGTTTTAAACAACATCTCCAGATCTAGGTTCAACATCTACGTCCATCCAGACAAAGACTTTTTCAGGTTCTGTTTTGTTTTTCCTCTCTGCCTCCTGGTTTCTCTCAGAGATGAAAAATGTCAAACTGACGGTTTATTTTTATTCTTATTCTCAGGCTGAACAAGTTTCTCCAGTACCTGACCGAGGCCGGCTTCAGGGTCAGTCGCACCCACTTCGACCCGACGGGGGTTCGGACCGACGCCACACTGGAGCAGTTTAAATCCATCCTCAGCAAGTACAGCGTCCCCACGTACACCAACGCCACGTCCACGCAGACCAGCGTGAGCACCGAGAATACCGCCTGAGAGACCCGGACGACTCGAACCATCTGTTCTTTTTATTTTTTCTGTTTCTGTCAAAAATCTGAAAAGTTCTGACTGCACTGAAATCTTCCAAACCCACAAACGGTTCTCTGAGTCGAACCAAAACCTTTTTTTTTTCTTCTGCAAACCAAACTGATCCTGCAGCAAACATGAGCCAAACTTACCTGCTGCTTTACTATTTATTTCAGAGTTTATCCTAAAAATACTCCTTATGAGCCTGTTTGATGTTTTCTAGCTGGTTTGTCTAAAAAAAACAGAATAAATGTTTCTGAAAACGTGTCTCTTTCTCAGGTGTTTTATCCTGTTTTTTTTATTTGACATTATTTTACCTTGTGTGCATATAGGATAAAAATAAAAGTACTTTAGGGGCTGAGTGCATGAAACAGAAACAACAGGACATGAAAAAAGAGGAAGAGAGAGAGAGAGGACAGAAATCTGAAGTCTGTGAAGTTTTAACCCTCTGGGACATTTTTAGTGACTTTTTAACTTTCATTTGTTGATTTTTTTTTTGCTGTTTTTTTTAGTTTTTTTTTTTTTTTCTTTCCAAATTTTAAAACGTGACCGCCCTTTATTAAATCAGGTTAATATACACTGTGTGACAAAAACACTAGACCTTCAGGTCCTTAGATGGAGAAAAAATGTTCATCTCCTGAAAGTGCTTCTAATCGAAGGACCTAGAAGTAACTTTTTTTAGAAATCAGACAATAAATCAAACATAATAAATTTAATTTTATTGTTAATTATAGACACATCATAGACCTTGGTTAAAAAAAAAAAACAAAGAAATATGGAAAATAACTACAAATTCCTTTTTCCCATTAAAAATAACAGTGACGTTATTAAGTCAAACTGGAATAAAAAGGGTTAAAACTCTGAAAATAAATTAATATCAAAAAGATCTGATCAGAAATGAAGTTGATCAAAAGATTTAAGCACAAATAAAAATTGTAAAGAAATATGAATGTATGATATTTTAGCACTTATAGGAGGTAGACATTTTTGTCCATGTTTCTCATAAACGTAACTTTAATAGAAATCAGACAATACATCAAACACAAATACATTAAAATGAATCTTGTTAATTATTGACATGTCATAGACCTTGATAAAAAAAAAAGGAAAATAACTACAAATTCACTTTTCCCCATTAAAAATAACAGTGACATTATTAAGTTAAACTGGAATAAAAAGGGTTAAAATTCTGAAAATGAATTGATATGTGATCGATATGATCATGAATAAAGTTGATTGAAAGATTTAAACAAAAAAATGTAAAAAAAAAAATCAATATAATAATATTTTTATCGCACTTTTAGGAGGTGGACATTTTTGTCCATCTAAGGACATAAACGTAACTTTATTTTAAGGACCCCTGAGTTTGAATAAAGAGTCAGATCTCGAGTTAAAGATCTGTCCTGTTCACAGAGAGTTGTTGAAGATCATCTCAGGTCTGTGAGGATGACTCAGATGTTTCTCTCTGTGGACAACATCTGAAGATGATCAGTGGACATGTCTCTGAGTCCTGTCCAGAGTTTTTTCCTCCTGTGAATCTGGTGGAGCTGAGGATGAAAATCTGAGCTGCTCCTTTTTTTTTTCTGTTTGAGCGTCACTGAAGAGGAGGAGGAGGAGGAGGAGGAGGAAGGCGTGTCCTCCTCCTCCTCCGCCTCCTCCTCCTCCTGCTGCAGATCGATGTGACAGCGTTAGTACCTGAGGACTGAACCTACCTGTGGATCCTCTCCGGGCGGCAGCAGCACCATGGGGATCTCCGCGTCCAGTCTGCTGGATGAGACCAAATCCAACTACATCAGAGGTAAAACCATCTTCATCATCTTCATCATCTTCACCCTGATCTCTCTCCGCGGTGAGGACGCGCCGCTCCGCGCCGCTCTGACCGCCTTTCATTCACTCTCTCCGGGCCGTTTCTGTTCATTTCATCGGAAACTTCCGCCTGTGTGTCGTGTCTCTGCCCACTGTGGAGCCCCACAGTCAGCCTCGGTGGGATTTTCAGGAGTGGATTTACCAAGTTAGAGACGCGCTTTTCTCTCCGCGCTCCGTGGAGACTCTGAATCAGTGAGTTTGAGAGTCAGTCTGTGTCTCAGTCCTGTCTGTGGAAGACTCAGAGCTGAGAGTTCCTCTGTCAACAAACCTGAGCTCCTCCACAGATCGAAATCTGCTCTGAGGAGCCTGTCAGTCCGGTTTTCTCTGGTCCTGGCTCAGAGATATTCGCCCCTGAGACTCAGATTCCCTCTTTTTAGGGCTCTGAGTTCTGAGCAGTTTTCAGGGGTTTCTGCTCAGTTATCGAGGGTCTGATCAGGTCACTCGAGTCTTTCCAGTCCTGCAGGGAGAGAAAAGTGAGACAGGAGAGAGTGCCAGGACCTGTTCGCCTCTTTTGTCTCTCTCTGGGTGTGTCCACGGGTGGATCTGTGCGGACAAAAGATCCTCCTGTTGTTGTTTTTCCAGCAGAGTGTGGAGGAGAACACACGAAGGGACAGGTGCACACTCCTACAGGTGTGCACGCAGACGGGGACGGTGGAAGAGAGAACAAATCTCACCAATACTGGAGCAGCTTCTGATTTACTGCTGCCTCTCTTTATCGTGTCGTTCTTCATGTTTGTACCGATAACAGATGATGTTAGGAGAGACTTGAAACTCGCCAAAGTTGACCACAAACTGAGTTTCAGTCACACTTCTGACAGGAAGAAGGCGTTTCTTTGAGATGATAGATTTCCACAGTTCTCAGTCCTGTTTGTTGATCTCAGGGGAGCGTGGAGGTGAACGAGTTAACCTTTAAATCAATATGGATGTCAGAAATCAAACAGATAAAGAGAGAGAGAGAAAAGGTCAAACACGATCAGAGCTTGTGAAGGATGGAGGAGAGGTCAGGAGGGTGTCCTCAGAGGTCCTGATGTTTGCAGACGATGTGGTTCTGTTGGCGTCTTGGACCTCCAGCGGGTTTGGTTCGGTTTGAGCAGGATGAGAGTCAGCGCCTCTGAGACTCCATGGACTGATCTCCACGTGTGGGGAGCGAGTTTTTGTCCCAGCTGAGGGGATTTTGTCGGGACTGACCCCTTTAAGAGGGTTCTGAGCATTATCTGTGGCTATAGAGTGGCGTTTTGGTTGAGGGCGTGTCTCTCTGTATTACTATCCTGCGGTCGTTACTAAAGTTGGTATAACTAGAGAAGAAAGCGGTCGACAACATTCATCTCTGGAGGCGGGGTCTGACTCGGTGTATTTGACCCTAAATTGATTTCACGCCAGAATATCCCTTTAAGGTGGTTTAGCGCCACATTCATCCAAACGGAGCAGACCCTGAGGGATTATATATATTCATGAATATCCCATGTGGTCTTTGAACGCCCCGGGATCCTAAAGGATCGGGTGGAAAATGGTCTGGGATTAGGGCTGCATGATATATCATTTGAGCGTCGTCATGGTGATGTGCGTGTGCGCGATAGTCACATGTCAGAGCCTGTGATGTCGAAGGCGAATGAACTCATCTAATTTCAAGGGTAGCTGACTGAGATACACTCCATGCAGAGATCCACCAATCACATTCGTTCTTTACTCAGTTGCTAATCCAGCCGTCAATCAAAATCAGAGAGGAGGAAACCACGCCCCTGAACATGGAGTGAGTCGCTGGCGCTGCCGGTGTTGTGCTGAGAAACGCTTGTCTGCTGAGAATTACTGAGAAAACCGCTGAAGATGAAGACTTGTTGATAAAAAGAAAAGGAAAGTCAGTTATCTGGAATTATTTCAGATATAAGAAGGATGTCGACCAAAACACGTGTTCTGTGTTCGTCTGTTTCCACGGTAACGTCCAGAACAATAAAAACTAAAAATATCTCTGAGACAGACAGAAGACAGTCTACTAACATTCACTAAGATCAGAGCAGGTTAACTGTCCTCAAGATTTCAGCAGAAACTCAGATTCAGGTCATCTGAGGATTAAAAAAAAATATTTTTAATATTTAATATTTAATATTTTTTAATATTATTATTTTTTAAAATATAAAAAATATTTTTTTTAATATTAAGAAATATATTTTTTAATATTGCAGGATTGAAAAAATTCCAATGTTAGTTTTTTTCCAATATCGTGCAGCTTTAACTGGGATGAGTGGGTGTGAATGGACGGATGATTTTAAAACATGATTAGAAAAGTTGTCGTATAAAAACTCATTAATAGTTCAGCAGACTTAGAGCAGGATGGATGGATGAGTGCGGAGTGAGCGGCACAGCGGCGGTCTGTTGTTTTAGATTTAAGAGTCTAAAACCACGGTCACTTCTGCAGTCAGAGGATCGCGGTTTTCATCAGCCCGACCTGTTCCTGCAGCGCCGTAATGAAACAGAAAGTTCCAGGCCTGCAGGATGGAGGCTGCTGCTGCTTCTTGGGTCACAGCGACAACAGCGGGGGTCAGAGTTCAGGAAATCCACGCCGTTGTAAACAAACAAAATAAAGGTGAAAAGTCAGAGCGAGCCGAGAGCACAAAGAGGGAAAACAGGAGATCTTAGTGTCAGCAAAGATGAATGTGGAAACACAAACGCCGCTGTTGTCAAGGTCCAACACTTGTGGCGTTGGCTCTGCTGTTGCCACGGCGACAGGAAAAAAGGGTGTCATATGTTAGAAATGAGGATGGAGGAGTGTGAACGAGTGTGTCTGACGCAAACAAAACCACGTCATCGACCTGCTGAGAGGTCTGAGAGTTAAAGGAGATTCTCGTCTTTAAAACCTGAGACCAGGTTTAACAAACTCAGAGTCTGAACGACGGATAAGTTCAGGTTAGTTAGTTCAGCCTGCAGCTGGGAAACAGGCTGTAACGGCTGCAACGTGACTCTAGGGGGCGAACAGTTGAGGTTCGGGACGGCGACACGTTTCAACACAGCAGTTCCAGGATCAGGTTTCTCATCGTGTGTCCTCAGCTCTTCTTCTGTAGATCTCAGTGAACCCAGCAGACCAGGTTCTGGTCAGGGTCTCCTTGGTCCTGTTTTTGCGGGACAGATCAGGACCGCATCAGTCCAGGACTCTTCTCCTACAGAGCCATGCTGTTGTCAGAACGTGGTTTGGGATCATCTGAAGGTCTTCCCTGAGAAAGTCTTTGTCTGGATGGACGCAGATGTTGATCCTAGACCTGGAGATGTTGTTTAAAACTAAGGATGCAGCATCTATGATTTCCAGTTCTACATTGAAAAGAGAGTTAGATTTTGATCCATCAGACCTCAGGACGGTTTCCTCGTCCCCTCAACTTGTCTTACCCGAGATCTCGAACGGCAGCGATTTTCGCCGTCCGCCAATTCCCACTGGATTCGTTTGTGAGGCGAATTTCATGGTGGATTACGAACAGTAGGAATCACGAACTCACAAGAACCCGCAGATTCACGTTCAATCACACAATAACGAGTTGTCTCTCTAAAGACAGACACATAGACATATAAGCAGTAGATTGTGTCCTTCCAGAGGAGGAAATCTACTTCTAGACTTCTAGAATCAGCATCTCCTCATCCATGGTGTCATCGGGGTGAAATGACGTCTAAAAACCTTTCACTTGTTCGTCTCCGCCCGAACAAATGAAAGGTTGTGTTTTATTTTGAAAAGAAGCCGGATGTTTTATTTTGTGTCTGTGCCCGACTTCCTTTCCAGCACGGGTTAATCTGTGCTGAATTTATCCGCCATGCTCCGGCGTCCAGAAAAAATAGAACTCTGGCGATCCTCAGAGGAACGGAAAGAAGTCGGTGTAAATTGACACGTTAACTTGAATGTTTACGATCAGCTACGATCGGAGGAGACGACCTTTTCGTAGCTGTTTGTAGATGTGTTGGGGGTTGGATAAGCTCAGAGGTCCAGGTCTCTCAGGTGTCTCTGGATCCTGTTTCTATCTGGTTCAGTTTGAATCTTTGAGTCCATGCGGTGATTTCCACTCCAGAGTCTGTCTGTCTGTGTTTAAAGCGGTGCTGTCTCTCTGAATGTCCTCCATTGACAGAAACGTCAGTTTAACCTCCTTCCTGTTTGACAGCTGAGTCACTCTTGACTGAGGTTTTATCAGCCGCCGCCTTCAGGGTCTTTAGAGGAACATTTACAGTCTTTAAACGGACTAAAAGAGGGCTCTGTTCCTGCTGCTTCTAAACCGGACTCTGTCTCTGTAAAGATCCTCTCTGTTGTTCGACACTAAAAATAAAATCCGAGTCTTTCAGAGACATGAACGAGAACTCTGAGAGGAGACAGACTCGGATGTTTCATCGAATAGAAACCTTCACCTCAAATATGTGAAGACGACAGGCCGGATTTAGAAAAGTGGAATTCCCCGTAAAAGAATAATTCTGTGTTTTTTAATTCTCCGTCTGAAATCAGCGCTCGGCCTCAGTCACGTCTGTTTTCATGTTTTCCTCGTCAGATTTTCCTGGCTGATGTTTGGCGTAGCAGAGGGCTAACTCAGAGCAGCAACACTGAGCATCTATTCCTCATGCTGGAAACATTTCCTCCCTCACTGAGTCTGTGTGTGCGTGTGTGTGTGTGTGTGTGTGCGGAGTGGAGGTTTCAGGGTGGGGTGGGTGTGTTTGGGAGAGTTTGTTGAATAATTTCTGGCAGGGTTCAGGGTTGGGTAGGTGCCTGGCTGATTCCTGCTCTATGATTCATGAGCTGTCAGCTCTGGTGCAGCTTTGGCGGAGGCCGATCTCTCGACACGCCGGGTTTCTCTCTCTCTCTTGTTCTGTTTGTGTTCTCCACCGTTTGATGAAGCAAAATGTCATTTTTCTTTTTATCTCTGACTCATTATCATCATCCACCATCATCTGCCAATGCAAACACAGTTCATCTGTAAACAGTTCAGTTTGTGCAAGAGGGCTGAGCGTGATATTTGACATTTAGAGCAGAATGGAGGCTCCAGGTTTGATGCTGTTGGATCTAATGAGGCTGAAGTTTGGGAGAACATATTTTCATGCATGTTTGCTCCTTATAATGTGAGTCATGGAGGGATGCAAATCTGTACAATTTACATGTTTTTTAATTTTTTATTTTTGCACATGGCCTATCCAAACTCCATTCAAAAAAATCAACAATTTAACGAGTCGTTTATCCTAAATTCCCTTAATTCGGCATCCGTTTGACTTCTTCATTGCGGTTAGATGATGTTGGAGTCAGTTACGTTTTTGCCAAGATGGAACAAAGTTTGTCAAAATCTCATAACCATAAAACCCAGAATAGAAGTCGCAGGTTTATTTGCTGTTCTCTGTAAATGTATTGCACCTAAAGGCAGACTGCTCCTCTCATCTTAAACTCTGATTTCTACAGTCCATGCAAAGTCAATGCAAAGAAGCCCATCTGCACTCGAAGATGCAAATCATGAAAACATGCAAAGTTGCATCATTCCTATATTTGTGAGTCATGTTTATGGCAGGGCACTGACTGGTGAAAGCTCATAAAGCGGTCAGACCAAACTCCATGTAAAAAAACCAACACTTTAAAAGCAGTAAGCTTGCTATTTTGCAGACGGACCTGGTGAATCATAACTGACACTTCTTTGTAAACCTACATCATGACTGATCGTTTCGGCTGACTAAAAGCTGCTGATTACAGCGCCCCTGGTGGACAAAGCAGCGCCTGTGATCTCTTAAACATTTCGTCCTGTGCATGTGTGAATCTCTGTCTGTTAAAAGTAAGTAGAAGAAATATCAACTGGTACGTACACGTGAATCTGTTTTAATCACAGTCTATTTCATATCCATTAAAAAACTCCTTATAGTAGCTTTAAGCGGGTGTTTCGTGTGACGTCGTTGCTAAAAACACATCTCTCTGCTTTGGCTTTAATCGACGGTCGATTATGAAAACTCAAACATCTTCAGTTGTTTTTGTCCGTTGTGTTTTTATTACGTTATTAGAGGTGCTTAAGTGTCATTCTAAGCTGTATTTGCTTTTCCATAGTGTGTCTTTTGGTCTTGTGAGGCGCTGCGGTTTATCTGTTTGTTCGTGTGCTCAAATAAACGCCGCCTCGACCTGACTCGAGAAGTTCAGGGAATCGATGATTGTTTCTCAAACTAATGAAGAAAAGGCCTCGCACAAACCTGCTTTTATTTTGATATTTTCTCCATCTTACATTCAGGTTGAGTCATTTCTGAGGCTTTTATTTTGAAGTATGCCTCTCCTGTTATAAAAACATGATCAAGTTTAAAACCGTCATTCGATCAGTGACCCTGACGTTGTTTTTGGACTCACAGTAAATCTTTGAGGGTCCATTTTTAAACGGTTACTACAGCTAGCTCACAGGCAACTTCTTCTTCTTCTTCTTCTTGTTCTTTGACTCTCTTCTTGCTGACGTTACCTGTCCAGGTTAATTCGGTCCTTAATGATGATCCATCCTCAGAGTTTGTGGAGGTCATATTTCGGCTGAAGCTGAGTTCGCCTTCCTCAAACACCACGTCCACCACGAGACGATGTTTGACTTTGGAAACCCGACAGAGTGGCGGCTCCTGTTTGTAGTCCACAGAAGATAAACAGAGGAGCAAACAGGGAGAGTCATCTGAGAAGGTTCTGTATTATTCATCAGTTCTCATTAGACCGCTTCCTGCCTCATAATGGTCCATCAGTGACTCATGCTAAGTCTTAAACTGATGGTGGTTTCTGATTGGTCAGGTCTGGATCAGGTCCAGATGGTGCTAATAGCTTTTAAACCTAATTCTTGAAGGTCCGAAATCAGGTGACCTTATTTTCAGACCTCTGCTGACTAACGATAATGTCCAAAGTAAATCAGCTCGTCTTATTGGACAGTTTTGTGCTGGTCGTTGATGGATTCGTGTCGCCAAAGTCAGCTGTGACGGCCTGTTGGTTCTTTCTGGTACCTTTCTCGTTTTTACTGTCCGTCTGTCTGAAACCACACAGAGAGTATCCAGCCTCTGCTGCTGAGCTGGTGTTTCAGTCGTATTTGTAACTGTTTCAGAAGATTTGGAAACACAAGATCAGTTTGGACACTTGAGAAATTTCCCACCATCGAGTCCGAGATGTTTCTCCCACGTATACTCGTCTGACGCGGCCGTGAACAGTTGTCTTTGTTTTCGCCGTGGCTCTTCACGCTGTGTCACTCTGCCTCCAGCTGCCATTACACCACCGCTCAGATATTCAGAGGAGCTGCGGGACCGTGAAACTTTCCCCCACTTTAACTCCACAAAGAGAGGAAACTGCTGCTGCTGCACAGCCTCTCCGCTGGAAACCCACCTGTTGTTTACCGGCTGAACAACACAATACAAACACGACTGAAAAGATCTGCGGCTGTGAAACCAGCAAACAGCAGCTGGGAAACAGATGGTTAATATCTTATACTGTGGTGTATCATGTCATATATGGGTTGTAATGATTGTGGCTCACTGTATCATATATCTAATCTAGGATTCTCACCATACTAAAACTTTAACTTGATATCAATACCCAAAAAAATACTCAATGCCATTTTTGATACTGCAGGGATAAAAAACGACAAATACTTTAAAAGGCATAAGAAATATTTTTATTAGCATGAAAAACAGAACGGCAGATAAATAATCAATTAAAAAATATATATTTAATTATCTCAAAATGAAAAATATAAAATGATTAAAAAAAAGACAATCACTTTTTCACTTCGAACCCAGGTTTCTCCACCGTCCTCACAGACACTCTGCAGCTACAGCTACAGTTTATTCCGATCAATCAATCTGATCTATCGAAAAGCAGCAGAAAAGTAGGCGTGGTTTCTCGGTTTAGTTGCAGGTCGACTTCTCTCTGCTTCAGTCTGCATCTTAAAGAAGAAAACACGTTTGAGTCACGTTAGCGAGCTAAAGACTGCTAGCCGCGGGCCCGTGGCTAATGGCTAATAACAAAACAAACAACATTCACTCAGTATAAAGCTAACAGTGGCTACCCTGGATGCGATATTTTTTTTTTGGAGGATGGTAGGGGAAAGCCCCGCCTCCTTCGCCTCTGATTGGCTAGAAAAGCTGGAAACGTCACCAAACGCTCAAGCCAAACACAGACTGTCGGCTCTGTACATCGAACAGAACGTTACCGCGCTTCTGAATCTCCGAGCCCTAACCCGACAGACGATGACGTTTCACAGCCATTAGGAATAACCAATCAGAGCCCAGCACTTCTAGCCAATCAGAGGCGAAGGAGGGCGGGACCTTCCCCTACAATTTTACAAAAATAAATTCACAACCCCGGACTACAGTGGAGCGCCAGCCACAGCTAATCACAAAACAACCAACATTCACTGAGTATAAAGGTAACCACGGCGACCGCTGATTAATGTCGACCACGACCCGACTAACATCATTAATCGGTTTCATACAGTACGGTAAAAGACGAACAGGAGCTTTACGAACCTGCCGGAAATCGTCATGAAGGCCCGGGTGTCGGTCCTTAAGGTGTTTTACTGAGTTAGTTGTGCTACTCGACTTTATCGCCCCCACTTTGAAACACTGACCAAACTTAGCAGCAATAAAACACGGGACAGGGAGCGGGGGCTGTCCTGATCGGGTCGGCTGCGCTGCTTGTGGAGTTCGCTCGGCAGGCGCTGTGGACACGCGCACCATAGTATCGATGCCATGGCGAATTAGTATCATATCCGGATATGGCGATAACTTTCAAAGTATCAATACTTTTGACAACCCTAATCTAATCGTATCGTTCAGTATTTGGTACAGGATGAGCGTCTGAAGGTTTGTATTTAAGTGTCACATCTTTAAAGAGGATCATCAGGACACCGGACACCGCGTCTGAACTGTTTTTGCTTGTAGTTTAGCAGCGTAAGGTCTTTCTGATAGAGTCTCCTCTTCCTGCTGATGACGGTTTTCCAGTCCCGAGTCTTAAAGTTCAGGTCTCCTCTCCACGCGGGTTATTTTGAGTACAAACATCAGCAGGGATCAAGAACTGGGTGTTCAGACCTCCTTCCTCCATCCAGGTATGATGGTATGTGAGAGTCAAACAGGCTCTGCTGCTCGTAAACGTCACTGACGGATGGATCAGTCAGAGACGTCGACGCCCGTGTGGAGCTGAGATGGAGAGAAAAGGGGGTTTCAGTGAAATCACATCAGGGCAGTAAAACCCGTCCGCTCTGAGGGGGATGTTTATCGACGTAACCTTTCCACCGACTGCAATGACCTCCTCCGTCTCTCCATGATATCCTCCACGCTAACGAGAGCGGAGACAAACATCCATTAGATCGCTGACCCCGCTGTAGCTCGCAGCTTCGTTTTAATGAGGAAGTTCAGCGGAAACCCGCTTCGGTTTGATGGTTCTGCGGACAGACTGAGTGCTCTGTAATGATTCATTAGCTCTGAAAGCCGAGCCGAGTTTTCATCTTTGGGTTTCTACCTGCTGATGAAGCCGTGAGCGCTGTCGTCTGATTGGTCACTTTGTTGATGGTTAATTCATAAAACTGATAAACCGGCTCGTCTTTTATCGGGTAAATTAGGCGTCATCGTCTGATGGATGGACTCAGGGCTGCAGAAGTGAGTGTGTGTGTGGCCAGTACACTCACATATTTGTGTCTCACACACACACACACACACACACACACACACACACACATACACACACACACGCACACACACACCGCCCCCCCACTCATTGTCTCAGTCAGACATTTTTCTGCCTTGCAGTAACTTGTTCAGTGTCTCGAGTATTTCCTGACTGACGACACACACACACACACACACACACACACACACAGGGAGACTTTTCCTTTGACCTCACGCTGAGACGAACCCGTGTGACCAGCAGCTAAAATGGCGCCTGAGAATATCAACAGTTACAGATTATTTCTGATTCGAGCTTCAAACCGTCAATCAAAGCGATCAGCAGTGATTGAAAGTGTGTAGTGGGGTCTGAATCTGTTGTGGTCAGTGTTTGTGGGGACTCTGTGTGTGTGTGTGTGACATGTGTGGACATGTCAGCGATCAACTCTCACACCTCAGATAACCGCAGGTTTAGTCTTTTGAACTCAGATGAACCCAGAAATTCCTCAGTCTTTGGAGGTTTTTGTGATTCTTCACCTGCCGGACACTCAGACACTCGGATCTTTGGAGGTGACGCTCGAAACACCGAGTTTCAGTGTCAGAGAAGAAAACAAAAAAAATCACGTATTTAAGAGTTTGACAGGTTTGAGTCTGAGAGAGGAACCTCACGAAAACCAGGGAAACAGATTCGATTTCATTAAAATACCAGTTTGGTTATTTTTTGCGAGTCAGCACAAATTACAAACTGAGATATTTCTGTTTGAGACGTTTTTAGGGACCTTTTCTCTCAATTATTGACATCAGCGTGTCCTCCTCCCCAACACTAGGGGGCGATATGGGTCTTTTCAGACGTCAGAAGTGTCTACAACTGCTGCTGGGCATTTTGGAGAAACAAGAAGATGGAGCATCGTACAGCGTTGTTTTTGTCCGACATGATGGACGCGCTACTTTTTCTAAAGATGAGACCAACGCTACTCCTCTACTCTGGGGGTTTGTTACGGGGTTACGGGGGCGTGGCCTCATACTCCGACTACGCTGGTTACATGGTAGAGAAAATCGAATTCCAATCTCATTATCTGAGAGTTCTCAAACTCTGATTATAGTCGGACTAAGGTGTTTACATGACCTTCAGTTGTCCGGTCTTAATCGGAATAAGGCGATAATTCGGTTTTCTTGAGTGTCATGGAAACGGACTGACTGTCAGGACACGGCTGTTTGTTTTGCAGTGTAAAACAAGACATCAGCACTGACTGTCACAACTCAGTACAACACAAAACGATGTGTTCGAATATGATATGAAACCAAAAGATGCAAAATAAAACTTTATGATATGATTTTAGTGAATCACTTTTATACCAAACAATATAATATAAAATGGTTGATTGTATTTGTTCCTAACTCAGATCGTTACTGTTTCACACTGATTATTTTCAAGGTGACACTGTGCGCTTACGTCACCGCGGTAGAAGGAGGAGTTAGCGGGTTTTGGTTTATTGGAGCAGGAAAAAATGAACGATGAGAGGGGCTTTTCTTCTGCAGAGCTCCAGCTACTTGTTAGCTGCGCTGCTCTGCGCACTCCTCTTCACGCTAGCTTGTAGCCTAACGTTGCCGGTGTAGCAGCAGAGGAAACAGGTAACATAAGAACTAATCAGCTCTGAGACGATAATGTCTTTGAGGACATGATGATAATTAACTGTCTTACGAGTATTGCAATCTGTTTATGCACACCCTCGTCCCACAATTGTCCTCTCTACTTCTCTAAGTCTGGCCATAGCAGGGCTCAGGGGGCGGAGCTTGGATTTGTGACATAGGAAATCTTACTGTGTCTGAACCTGCAGTTTTGGTCCGCCAGAGATTCACAGATTTGAATGAAAAATACTCAGAAAAGGAATTTCACGCTTATTTTTCTCATGATGTGTCCTGTAGCATCAGGAAAATGAAGATATGAACATGTAGAGAACAAGAAAACATGATTTTTATCGGAGCGGGTCTTTAAGTCTGTAGATCTGAGTTTTCTTAGTGCAGGTCTGAACACTGTTTCCAAAACAGACGTGTTAGTTTGTGTTTCTGCGTCACTCTGAAAAGAATCCGGTATGTTGAGCTGTATTTTGTGACTTTCCTCTCATGCGTGTGGGTGTTTCTGTATGTTTGTTTTCTCTGATGCGTTGCCCCACAGCAGCGTTGTGTACCAGCGGTTGTGGTCATGCGTGTCGATTGTGCAGAGGTGGTAAAGTGTGCAGATCTGGAGATTATTTGTAGATGACAGCTGAGACAGCAGCAGCACTCTTTCAGCATGAGGACATTTCCTGTGTGAAACAACACTTCTGCTTTCTGAGCCTGAAGATTTATGTTTTTATTTCTGTGGCAGGGTTACAGCTCCGTGATAAAACTCTGCACAAATCTGTCAAACCTGACGAGGAGGAGGAGGAGGAGGAGGAGGAGGTGCTGCTCTCTTTCTTACTCACAGTTTCACTAAAGAAGTGAAGAAGATGACGGTTCGAGCTGAAGCGCGCTCTCCTTGGCAGGAGTCTGAGGTCTTAAAAACTTGACGAACTCTGAGTTTATTTAACGCAGTCACTGATTTATCACCTGCTGCTGAAAGTGGACGAGCAGGTCTCTCCAGAGGAACAGGGGCCGACTGTGGAGCAGCAGCAGCAGCGCCGCTCTCAGTCATACCACACATACCAAACACTCACATACCAACATACAGTACATTTCAGTTAAAGAAAGGCCGAGACGTGTTCTCAGAGTTCGTCATCTTCGAGCTGACGAACTCTCGGGTAAAAACAGACACGGCGTTTCCTGTGAGAGTTTCTCTAAACCCAGAGATGAGACGACCTGACTGTTTTAGTCTGCAGACGTCTGTGGGTCGACATTTACTGATGTGTTATTCTACAAACCAAACTAGAACTTCAATTAAACACAAGTCGTCACAAAATAATCGTCCTCTGATTTTTGCGAAGATTAGTTCGGCTCCAAACGGACGTTTTTTCCTGGAGGAGTCTCGAACCCGGTTTTTATACGTTTGTTGACGGACTCATTTCCAAACCAAACAGTGAATCTAAGTGAACAAACAGCTTAAAAAAATAACTGTATTCAACATCACTGCACAGCTCTGCTCATGTAACATCAATCAGGTGAGCGGAGGCCGCGCTCTTAAAGATTTGAGTTCATCTGATGGAGATTATGTCATTAATCCGGTTAATTAGGTTATCATATACCGAGGAGGCTTAATAGTCCAAGTTTTTGTTGTTGTTTGTTTACGTGTGACCCCGAGCTGTAAACATCAGAGCGTATTTAGATCTTCGATGTCAGGAACGTGTTTTTAAAGCAGATGAAGCAAATTTCTATCATAGAGAAATAGAGAAGTGAGACTTTAATGAAACGCTGACTGTCTGCTTCCCTCGAACCCTGAGCATTATGTCATAGAGATGATGAGAGTGTCAACACGGCTCCACTTTGATGAAACCACATTATGAGTCTGTTTGCTGTGCGTTCGCTGGTGTGTTTGTGTGGCACACAGAGGCGAGGTCGCTCTATGAGACTTTTTCTACGTCTGATTGGTTTAACAGAACGTCCTTACGGTCTGTTTTCACCACTTTACACAATATCAGGGTTTAATGGAGTGTTTTTACGGCTCTAAGGGACGACTAATGAGAAACAGGCAGATGGTTCATTAAGAGAAAAGCTGATTGAAACAAACGGTCCCTGAACAGAGCGGTGATCGTGAACGAACCCTGACTCTTTAAAGTGTTTTTCATGTAAATATGAAATTATTCAGAAATAAAAGAGAGAGAGAGAGAGAGAGAGAGATTAATGTTACTGTGTACAGGAGGATTATGGCGCCTCCTGTGGACAGAACTGTGCCTACGCTTATGCCCACCGCCTCCTCCTCCCGCTCCGCTCCTTCAGTCCCTCTAACCCTCAATTTCCACCACATCCTGAACGTCTACGAAGAGGTCGTATCCGCCAATCGAAGCTAAAGGAACAGGTCAAAACACTCTTTTGGAAACGAAGATCTGTAAATCATAGATTCTGGATACGTCGGAATTCTGGGGTTAGACCATCATGACGTTCTTGTGATTCCTGGTCTGGTTTTCGGATCTGTTCAGGGTTCAGACTCTCCTCTGTAAGGGTTTTTAGAGACCTTGTCTTGACCCCTGACTCTGGTGGTTCTGATGTGGATTTTAGGACACAGCGTTGTCCTGGTTTGGGTCGAACCTGTCAGGACCCTGTTTTGTCGTCTCCTCTCCTTCAATGTGGCGCTCCTCTAGGTTCAGTTCTCGGGCTCTTCCTGTTCTCACCTCACCTCCTCCGCTGGTTTGATTTTATTTAAACTTATGCAGACGATACACAAGTCTACCGAACCCTAGTGGACCTGGACTCCTGAGTGTCAGTCACTAATCTGGACCTCCTTTTTTCTATCTGAGACTTTTCTCCAAGACTGAATCAGTCCTGTATTTTAACGGTTTCTGCTGTGACCCCTAAACTGTAGTTCAGGCTCAGGGTCCGACACGGGAACAGCAGACCAGACAGTCCTCTTTCCTGGGGGGTCAAATGACCGTTTTTATTGAACGAGGCTGTTCTGGGTCTCAGAAACAGAGTCTACCTCTGCAGGTCTACGTTTCTGAAGAAGGTCAGACCCTCAGAGTAAAAACCACGACCTTTAGTGGATCTTTAGTGGTTTTTATTTGAAGGAGTTCCAGCCGACATACATTAAAAACACGCTGCACAGTGACTCTTTAACTGCGGTTTCCTCTTGTCTGTTCACGGCAGTAAAAAGCTCATAAAGATGAGAAACAGGCTGATCCTGAAAGAAAACCTCTCCTGAATATTTCACACAGAAGAGGAGCTCCGATCGTCCCTCAGCGCTGATGAAAGCAGAATTAAAGCTCCATAAGAAGAAGAAGAAGAGGCGGTGATACACAGGTCTTCTTTGTGAGATGTTGTGGAGGTCGTCTGAAGGTGTGTCTGATATTCCTCCTCCTCTCTGTTTGCATAACCACCTCACCTGAGAAGGAAACACATTACACAAACAGCAGCTGCTGATATTTTGAATAAACAGCAGAGGAGAGCCGACGTCGAGGACAAATTCAAATTCTCTCTAAACAACGTGAACCGACATGAACTTTAGGAGGAAACATCGCTGAAGATCCTCCTCCGAGCTCCTCGGGTTTCACAGCAGAGACAGATTTCCTGAAACTGTCCTCTCAGGGAAACCTGCAGCTGCTCTGATCCTCCCCGAGTGACTGACTCACTTTGACCTGACCGAGAGCCGCTGCAGGTTACACCCCTGAACTCTCATCAGGTTACAGGAGAAGAGTCTGTTTTAAGGTTCCTTATAAAACCAGGAATCGACTTAATTAGCTTAAAAAGCTAGCTAGGGATGTATTGATCGAGTATTTGGTATTGGTATCGGTCCAGATTCTGAAGAAAATTCTAGATCGGGTATCGTGACAATGGGCCCGATGTATAAGGGCCGATCTACTCAGTCTAACTCTGTGGCATCCACAAGTAAACACGCTGAGCGGACGTCAACGTTGTTTTCAAAATGGAGCGAGTAAAAGGGTCGGCCATCTTGAACTTTATCACCTCAGCCTACGAACTCAACGACCACCTGCAATATCTGCGCAGGAAACGTTCAGAGCGACGACGGTAAAACTTCAAGTCACAACTAAAGATAATTCAGTGTATCGGACGATACTAAATTGTAGATATCGGTATCAGTATCGGAGGTGAAAAAAGCCGATCAGTGCGTCACTAATGCTCGGATTGTTATCAAACTGAAGACGACTCAGCAAAACTGTCCACCTAACTGACACAAAGAGGACGGAAACTGAGAGACGCTAACATCTCCGCTGAAAATAAACACTTATTCGACTCTGAGGAACCAATCAGTGATGGAATTCTCTAGATGCAGAACCTGCACTTCCCCGAGTGTCCACTAGAGGCTGTCTGCAGAAGCACCAGGAACCACATACACACAAAGCCAAAAATAAACAGTCTGGTTCGGGTTAGCTCGGGGCTCCCACGATGTTTCGTGATTTCGTAAAGATGTCTGAGCTGAAATCTGTTTGAGTACAGCTGTAAATGTGTCGATGTTTGTCGTGACGACGCTGACCTGAATTTTAGTCGCTGTCCGGGCGCGGGAGTGAGGTGTTTTTGATGCGCTTCTAGAACAATCCAAGGTTGTTGTTGAGTTATATTTCGCCATTTATTGATTCAATGAAAAACAAACAAAACTAGGGCCCCGTTGGGGCACTGGCGGGCCCGAGCCACGTTGCGCCGCCCCCAGTGCGACCGCCTCCCCCTCCCGATCGCGTCACACTCAAGGTCCAAAGATGGTGTGCGCACTTGTCTGTGGTCATTTCCCATTATAATGAATGGGAGGCGCAGTTTCTACCAAAACACTCGCTGCAGACAAACTACATGTCCTATTTGAAAAAAGTCTGGACCATGAGTGAGGGCACAAACACAGCTAGGATATATCCAAACGGCAAGTTGCTCCTCGTTACGGTGTTGCCGGGAGAGCGATGCGATTGAGCCATTGAGTGATGGGCAGGAAAAACTTGACTGTTTCTCCTGCCATGGGGGATGGGGGATGGGGGATTGGGGGGGGGGGGATGTGGATTCTTTTAAGAATGTGGATATTTGGGTCATCTTTGGCGCCCCCTAGAACGTAAACCGTGGGGTGCCGCGTCATGATTTTTAAAACTTTGACGGGCCAGGGGGTGTAGATTGGCCTGAGCAAATTTGGTGTCAGTGGGACGAAAGCCTTAGGAGGAGTTAGCCACATTCCAATGTGTGCTAATCGGCAAAAAATGCAAAATAGCCCTTTAACCGTACATTTTACAGATACGCGCGCATTGACTTTTTCGTAGATCTTATTGAGATACATGTGTGTGTCAAATTTTGTGTCAATATGACAAAGCATACAGGTATGACAGTCAACAATGTGTATTTTCACCTTATGGGACAAGAAAAAATGGACTTTTTTCTCCTGCCATGGGGGGGCGCTCTTTTGGGGAGTAAAAATTCCTTCACAAATGTGTTGATGGCTGGACATTGCATCATCCTAGAAAACTTGGAGGCCAGAGAGGACAAAAATAAAAAGTTATAAGACTTTTAAATATGTGGATTTTAGGGTTATCTTTGGCGCCCCCTAGAACCTAAACCGTGGGGTGCAGCGTCATGATTTGAATAACTTTTAATGGCCATGGGGTGTAGATTGGCCTGAGCAAATGTGGTGCCGGTGGAACGAAAGCCTTCGGAGGAGTTAGCGAAATTCCAATGTGTGCGGATCGGCAAAAAATGCGCAATAACCCTTTAACCGTACATTTGACAGATACGCCCGCACTGACTTTTTTGTAGATCTTATTGAGATACATGTGTGTGTCAATTTTTGTGTCATTTTGACAAAGCGTACAGGCGTCAGGTGAATTTTTCACCTTAGGGGGCGCTATGGAGCCATTTTGCATTGTATTGTTTGGGCGACTTCAGAATATCAAATTTTTCACCAGGCCCGGTCGTCCTGCCAAATTTCATGAGTTTTCGCCAGTGGGAAGTGGGCCATTTTCCAGTTCAAAGGGGAGGAAAAAGAAACTAGGGCCCCGGTGGGGCACTGTCGGGCCCGAGCCGCGTCGCGCCGCCCCCAGCGCGACCGCCTCCCCCTCCCGATCGCGTCACACTCAAGGTCCAAAGATGGTGTGCGCACTTGTCTGTGGTCATTTCCCATTATAATGAATGGGAGGCGCAGTTTCTACCAAAACGCTCGCTGCAGACAAACTACATGTCCTATTTGAAAAAAGTCTGGACCATGAGTGAGGGCACAAACACAGCTAGTATATATCCAAATGGCAAGTTGCTCCTCCTTTCGGTTTTGCAGAGAGAGCGATGCGTTTGAGCCATTGAGCGAGGGGCAGGAAAAACTTGACTTTTTCTCCTGCCATGGGGGGGCGCTCTTTTGGGGAGAAAAAATTCCTTCACAAATGTGTTGATGGCTGGACATTGCATCATCCTAGAAAACTTGGAGGCCAGTGAGGACAAAAATAAAAAGTTATAAGACTTTTAAAAATGTGGATATTTGGGTCCTCTTTGGCGCCCCCTAGAACGTAAACTGTGGGGTGCAGCGTCATGATTTGTACAACTTTGAATGGCCATGGGGTGTAGATTGACCTGAGCAAATTTGAAGCCGATGGGACAAAAGATTTAGGAGGAGTTAGCGAAATTCCAATGTGTACGGATCGGCAAAAAATGCGAAATAACCCTTTAACCGTACATTTGACAGATACGCCCGCACTGACTTTTTTGTAGATCTTATTGAGATACATGTGTGTGTCAAATTTTGTGTCATTTTGACAAAGCGTAAAGGCGTGACAGTCAACAATGTGTATTTTCGCCTTAGGAGACAAGAAAAAATGAACTTTTTTCTCCTGCCATGGGGGGGCGCTCTTTTGGCGAGTAAAAATTCCTTCACAAATGTGTTGATGGCTGGACATTGCATCATCCTAGAGAACTTGGAGGCCAGTGAGGACAAAAATAAAAAGTTATAAGACTTTTAAGACTGTGGATTTTTGGGTTATCTTTGGCGCCCCCTAGAACGTAAACCGTGGGGTGCAGCGTCATGATTTGTACAACTTTTAATGGCCATGGGGTGTAGATTGGCCTCAGCAAATGTGGTGCCTTTGGAACGAAAGCCTTCGGAGGAGTTAGCGAAATTCCAATGTGTGCGGATCGGCAAAAAATGCGAAATAGCCCTTTCACCGTACATTTGACAGATACGCCCGCATTGACTTTTTCGTAGATCTTATTGAGATACATGTGTGTGTCAATTTTTGTGTCAATATGACAAAGCGTAAAGGCGTGACAGTCAATAGTGTGAATTTTCGCCTTAGGAGACAAGAAAAAATGGACTTTTTTCTCCTGCCATGGGGGGCGCTCTTTTGGGGAGTAAAAATTCCTTCACAAATGTGTTGATGGCTGGACATTGCATCATCCTAGAAAACTTGGAGGCCAGTGAGGACAAAAATAAAAAGTTATACGACTTTTAAGAATGTGGATTTCTGGGTTATCTTTGGCGCCCCCTAGAACGTAAACCGTGGGATGCAGCGTCATGATTTGTACAACTTTTAATGGCCATGGGGTGTAGATTGGCCTGAGCAAATTTGGTGCCGGTGGAACGAAAGCCTTCGGAGGAGTTAGCGAAATTCCAATGTGTGCGGATCGGCAAAAAATGCGAAATAGCCCTTTAACCGTACATTTGACAGATACGCCCGCACTGACTTTTTTGTAGACCTTATTGAGATACACGTGTGTGTCAAATTTTGTGTCATTTTGACAAAGCGTACAGGCGTGACACTCAATCATGTGAATTTTTCACCTTAGGGGGCGCTATGGAGCCATTTTGCATTTGATTTTTTGGGCGACTTCAGAATATCGAATTTTTCACCAGGCCCGGTCGTCCTGCCAAATTTCATGACTTTTCACCAGTGGGAAGTGGGCCATTTTCCAGTTCAAAGGGGCAGAAAAATAATAAGAAGAAGAAGAAGAAAGAAGAATCCATCAGGAATAATAGGGCTCTCGCAGCTGCTTAGCAGCTACGCTCGGGCCCTAACTAGGGCCCCGTTGGGGCACTGGCGGGCCCGAGCCGTGTCGCACCCCCCCCCCCCCCCCCAACGCGCTGCCTCCCCGTCCCATCGCCCTCTCTGGTAACGCCCATCACTGCAAAGACCCTTTTCCTTCATCGACGTTTGCTGTTCTTCCTGCCAGTGCGTGTTGCTTTCACTTACACTTGCCACAGCCAGCCTCGTGAGTGCCTAGCCTATTGGATATCACTGTCACCTACACAGGACAGTCATACTTTGTTTTTTAATTTCACATTAATTTCCATATTGTATAAACGACTGGAAAAAACTTGAGCCCCTGCCCCTGTATTATCATGTGCACGTCCCTGTTCTAGCTCCAAGGTGAATCTTCAGTGCTCATGTTCTCCTCAGAAGCAGTCACCTCACTCCCCTCAGGTTACTGTACACATGCACCAACTGCCTGCTTCAGGTTTGGATGGAGCTTCATGGTTGTCTTTTGGAGAAATGACCAGTCAAGTTGTGTTTGAAATCTGATTTTTTTCAGGGGCAAAAGGAAGCCTCCGCATTCTTGTCAAATATGTAAATAGCATGTTTTTGCAGGTGCTAAAAAACAGACTCTGAGTGTGTGTGTGTGTGTGTGTGTGTGTGTGCGTGTGTGTGTGTGTGTGTCTGTGTGTGTGTGTGTGTGTGTATCCTGCAGTACTCTGAGAAGAATAATAAGCATATTTCTGAGGTGAATTTTGAAGATTCATCTGAGAGTTAGGTTTGATTCGATTCGATTGACGCTCCCCAGCGTTCAAGTCACATGACATATTTAACCGGATGTAGCTGCAAGACGGAGCCTCGTTAACTCTCCGTTTCAACTTATCTCAAAAGTGAGGACCTCAACCTATATACCAGTTTTTAAATTGTGTTGATAGGCCAAATAAAACCAGAGTTATGATAAATTATGTCCGCGATACTTTTTTTCTGCTTATTTTGATCACGTTCGGCGCTCGATCGTGCTGTATGAGACAGGAAAACATTGCATGCACACATTAGTGACAGGTCATACAGGCGGAAAAGGCTTGCCAAAAGAAAAAAAAAACACACCACAACATCTCTCCTATTGGTGGAAAACTTCACCACAACAACCAATCCAAAATTATATGGTGACTGATTGACAAGGGGCGGGCGCTTACGTTCTTCCTGCAACATGAGAAGGGAGGGAGGGACTCTCAGCAGGGATGCAGTCTGGGACACGTAGTTGCAAACCTAGCGACTTTGTTGTTAGATTCAATGACTTTTCAGACCCCCTAACGACTTTTTTAGAAAGAAAGGGACTTTTATCGACTTCTTCTGGAGTTTAGAGACTCTGACATGAAGCAGGCTTTCCTTACTGAGGAGTTAGCAACGCTGCTAAGGGTGCAGAGCCACACATGCGCTCCGAGCTCTGCATGGGAGACAGAAGCTGACAGAGCTGCAGCAGTTAGCAGGTTTCACCCTCAGAGACCACCAGGGGTTCATGTTGAGGCATTTTCAGTTTTTTTTTTTTTTGCCATAGACAGTCAGCACAATCTGCAGTTACACTAACAAAAATGCTGCAAAAAACAAAGAATTATGGAAAAATTACACATGGACTGACATAGAGGAGGATCTACACAAGTTTTTTACATCATGTTTTACATCATGCATCATTTACATCATGTTTTTTTGTAGTGGCATAAATAAAAAGTGACATTTGTGGGACTATACAGTGTTTTGTAAATAATTTTACAAAGAACGCCTGGGCCATTGCCTGCATTTTGATGTAAATAGAGGTAAATTACTATGTTCTTTGTTAAAAATTTGCATATGTTTTGAAGTTTACAATTTTTATTTGAAGTTTAAGTTTTAAAAACAGTTCATCACACATATTTGTGGTTTAATTTCACATTAATTTCCATATTGTATAAATGACTGGAAAAAACTTGAGCCCCTGCCCCTGTATAATCATGTGCACGTCCCTGTTCTAGCTCCAAGGTGAATCTTCACTGCTCATGTTCTCCTCAGAAATAGTCACCTCACTCTCCTCAGGTTACTGTACACATGCACCAACTATCTGCTTCAGGTTTGGATGGAGCTTCATGGTTGTCTTTTGGAGAAATGAACAGTCAAGTTGTGTTTGAAATCTGATTTTTTTCAGGGGCAAAAGGAAGCCTCTGCATTCTTGTCAAATATGTAAACAGCATGTTTTTGCAGGTGCTAAAAAACAGACTCTGAGTGTGTGTGTGTGTGTGTGTGTGTGTGTGTGTATGTGTGTGTATCCTGCAGTACTCTGTACTCCTGCAGTGGCCAAAAAGACTTTTAAGAATGTGGATTTTTGGGTCATCTTTGGCGCCCCCTAGAACTGCAGTACTCTGTACTCCTGCAGTGGCCAAAATGACTTTTAAGAATGTGGATTTTTGGGTCATCTTTGGCGCCCCCTAGAACGTAAACCGTGGGGTGCAGCGTCATGATTTTTACAACTTTGAATGGGCATGGGGTGTAGATTGGCCTGAGCAAATTTGGTATCGGTGGGACGAAAGCCTTAGGAGGAGATAGCCACATTCCAATGTGTGCGAATCAACCAAAAATGCGAAATAGCCCTTTAACCGTACATTTTGCAGACACGTGCGCATTGACTTTTTCGTAGATCTTATTGAGATACACGTGATTATCAAATTTTGTTTCAATATGACAAAGCGTACAGGCGTGACACTCAACAATGTGTATTTTCACCTTATAGGACAAGAAAAAATGGCCTTTTTTCTCCTGCCATGGGGGGCGCTCTTTTGGGGAGTAAAAATTCCTTCACAAATGTGTTGATGGCTGGACATTGCATCATCCTAGAAAACTTGGAGGCCAGTGAGGACAGAAATAAAAAGTTATAAGACTTGTAAGAATGTGGATTTTTGGGTTATCTTTGGCGCCCCCTACAACGTTAACCGTGGGGTGCAGCGTCATGATTTGTACAACTTTGAATGGCCATGGGGTGTAGATTGGCCTGAGCAAATTTGGTGCCGGTGGAACGAAAGCCTTCGGAGGAGTTAGCGAAATTCCAATGTGTGCGGATCGGCAAAAAATGCGAAATAGCCCTTTAAACGTACATTTGACAGATACGCCCGCACTGACTTTTTTGTAGATCTTATTGAGATACACGTGTGTGTCAAATTTTGTGTCATTTTGACAAAGCGTACAGGCGTGACACTCAATCATGTGAATTTTTCACCTTAGGGGGCGCTATGGAGCCATTTTGCATTTGATTGTTTGGGTGACTTCAGAATATCGAATTTTTCACCAGGCCCGGTCGTCCTGCCAAATTTCATGAGTTTTCACCAGTGGGAAGTGGGCCATTTTCCAGTTCAAAGGGGCAGAAAAATAATAATAAGAAGAAGAAGAACTAGGGCCCCGTTGGGGCACTGGCGGGCCCGAGCCGTGTCGCGCTGCCCCCCCCAACGTGCTGCCTTCCCGTCCCATTTGTGTCCTCTGGCCATCGCCCTCTCTGGTAACGCCCATCACTGCAAAGACCCTTTTCCTTCATCGGCGTTTGCTGTTCTTCCTGCCAGTGCGTGTTGCTTTCACTTACACTTGCCACAGCCAGCCTCGTGAGTGCCTAGCCTATTGGATATCACTGTCACCTACACAGGACAGTCATTACCTTTCTATTAATACTTTGTGTTTTAATTTCACATTAATTTCCATATTGTATAAACGACTGGAAAAAACTTGAGCCCCTGCCCCTGTATAATCATGTGCATGTCTCTGTTCTAGCTCCAAGGTGAATCTTCACTGCTCATGTTCTCCTCAGAAGCACTCACCTCACTCCCCTCAGGTTACTGTACACATGCACCAACTGCCTGCTTCAGGTTTGGATGGAGCTTCATGGTTGTCTTTTGGAGAAATGACCAGTCAAGTTGTGTTTGAAATTTGATTTTTTTCAGGGGCAAAAGGAGCCTCTGTATTCTTGTCAAATATGTAAATAGCATGTTTTTGCAGGTGCTAAAAACCAGACTCTGAGTGTGTGTGTGTGTGTGTGTGTGTGTGTGTGTGTCTGTGTGTGCGTTCAAGTCACATGACATATTTAACCGGATGTAGCTGCAAGACGGAGCCTCGTTGACTCTCCGTTTCAACTTATCTCAAAAGTGAGGACCTCAACCTATATACCAGTTTTTAAATTGTGTTGATAGGCCAAATAAAACCAGAGTTGTGATAAATTATGTCCGCGATACTTTTTTTCTGCTTATTTTGATCACGTTCGGCGCTCGATCGCGCTGTATGAGACAGGAAAACATAGCATGCAGACATTAGCGACAGGTCTTACAGGCGGAAAAGGCTTGCCAAAAGAAAAAAAAAAACACACCACAACATCTCTCCTATTGGTGGAAAACTTCACCACAACAACCAATCCAAAATTATATGGTGACTGATTGACAAGGGGCGGGCGCTTACGTTCTTCCTGCAACATGAGAAGGGAGGGAGGGACTCTCAGCAGGGATGCAGTCTGGGACACGTAGTTGCAAACCTAGCGACTTTGTTGTTAGATTCAATGACTTTTCAGACCCCCTAACGACTTTTTTTTAGAAAGAAAGTGACTTTTATCGACTTCTTCTGGAGTTTAGAGACTCTGACATGAAGCAGGCTTTCCTTACTGAGGAGTTAGCAACGCTGCTAAGGGTGCAGAGCCACACATGCGCTCAGAGCTCTGCATGGGAGACTGAAGCTGACAGAGCTGCAGCAGTTAGCAGGTTTCACCCTCAGAGACCACCAGGGGTTCATGTTGAGGCATTTTGAATTTTTTTTTTTTTTGTGCCATAGACACTGTCAGCACAATCTGCAGTTACACTAACAAAAATTCTGCAAAAAACAAAGAATTATGGAAAAATTACACATGGACTGACATAGAGGAGGATCTACACAAGTTTTTTACATCATGTTTTACATCATGCATCATTTACATCATGTTTTTTTGTAGTGGCATAAATAAAAAGTGACATTTGTGAGACTATACAGTGTTTTGTAAATAATTTTACAAAGAACGCCTGGGCCATTGCCTGCATTTTGATGTAAATAGAGGTAAATCACTATGTTTTTTGTTTAAAATTTGCATATGTTTTGAAGTTTACAATTTTTATTTGAAGTTTAAGTTTTAAAAACAGTTCATCACACATATTATGGTTTTCACAGTAAAAATGTTACTTTTTTCCACTCGGATTTTATGTTTTGTGTGTGGATTTGGGTCCATTGTGTAAATTCAGTATGTCAACATGATAAAATAACTGTAAATTCGCACAGGTGAGGTTGTGCTGAAAAAAATGATACCAGGCAAGGCACGTGATTGTCATATTTTGTGTCAATATGACAAAGCGTATAGGCGTGAATCTCAACAATATGTATTTTCACCTTAGGGGACAAGAAAAAATGGACTTTTTTCTCCTGCCATGGGGGGGCGCTCTTTTGGGGAGTAAAAATTCCTTCACAAATGTGTTGATGGCTGGACATTGCATCATCCTAGAAAACTTGGAGGCCAGTGAGGACAAAAATAAAAAGTTATAAGACTTTTAAATATGTGGATTTTAGGGTTATCTTTGGCGCCCCCTAGAACCTAAACCGCGGGGTGCAGCGTCATGATTTGAATAACTTTTAATGGCCATGGGGTGTAGATTGGCCTGAGCAAATGTGGTGCCGGTGGAACGAAAGCCTTAGGAGAAGTTAGCCACATTCCAATGTGTGCGGATCGGCAAAAAATGCGGAATAACCCTTTAACCGTACATTTGACAGATACGCGCGCATTGACTTTTTCGTAGATCTTATTGAGTTACATGTGTGTGTCAATTTTTGTGTCATTTTGACAAAGCGTATAGGCGTGACACTCAACAATGTGTATTTTCACCTTAGGGGACAAGAAAAAATGGACTTTTTTCTCCTGCCATGGGGGGGCGCTCTTTTGGGGAGTAAAAATTCCTTCACAAATGTGTTGATGGCTGGACATTGCATCATCCTAGAAAACTTGGAGGCCAGTGAGGACAAAAATAAAAAGTTATAAGACTTTTAAATATGTGGATTTTAGGGTTATCTTTGGCGCCCCCTAGAACCTAAACCTTGGGGTGCAGCGTCATGATTTTGATAACTTTTAATGGCCACGGGGTGTAGATTGGCCTGAGCAAATGTGGTGCCGGTGGAACGAAAGCCTTCGGAGGAGTTAGCGAAATTCCAATGTGTGCGGATCGGCAAAAAATGCGAAATAACCCTTTAACCGTAATTTTGACAGATACGGCCGCACTGACTTTTTTGTAGATCTTATTGAGATACATATGTGTGTCAATTTTTGTGTCAATATGACAAAGCGTACAGGCGTGACAGTCAACAGTGTGAATTTCCACCTTAGGGGGCGCTATGGAGCCATTTTGCATTTTATTGTTTGGGTGACTTCAGAATATCGAATTTTTCACCAGGCCCGGTCGTCCTGCCAAATTTCATGAGTTTTCGCCAGTGGGAAGTGGGCCATTTTCCAGTTCAAAGGGGAGGAAAAAGAAGAAAGAAAGAAAGAAAGAAAGTAAGAAACAAAGAAAAACCACTTGGGGAATAATAGGGCCTACGCCCGGCTGCTCTGCAGCTGGCTCGGGCCCTAAAAAGAAACAAAGAAAAACCACTTGGGGAATAATAGGGCTCTCGCAGCTGCTTAGCAGCTACACTCGGGCCCTAAAAAGGACGATACGTCCGACTTACGACGATGGTGATGAGGGTCAGAGACCGTGTGCTCTTCCTGTTCCCCAGATCACTGCTTCACCTGTGTCTCTTTTGTATCATTTACCTGAAGCGCCCCTTGTGGTGATTGTACGAGTAACAAAATAATGATAATAATAATAATAATTTAGATAAAATGGCTCATACAATGTTGTTGCTGGAGGTCAATTTGCTAGATAAATAGATTTGGGTGTCGTCTGCGTAAAAAGATACTAAAAGACTTACGCTGATGGCGTCACGGGGAAATGCAGGAAAAGTTTTATAAAAATTCTGGATTTCTTCCCCCTGAACGTCTGAAAACCCTGAAGGATGTTTACGGTGAATTTGTGCTTCAGTGTTTCGAGGAGAACTCCTGAAACCGATCGATGAAACCGAGCGTGTCTTTCAGAGAGAACCGGCTCAGAGGACCGAGGGCAGGATATCCACAGTGATCAGCTGATGAGTGACCTTGTCAGGGTCATAACCTCCTGAGATCTCCCCGTTGAGTTTGACGTTGAGTTTCCTCGGTCAAACACTTTCAGGAGTTTGTTTTCGTTATCGTCCCTGAAGACTCGGAGATTCGTCTCCTTCGCCGTATGTTTGTCGTTTTCCTCGCTCACTCCCAACATCAGCGCTCGTTGTATCCGTGGACCACGGCCTGTAAAACATCCTGCAGTTTCCCGCAGAGATAATGACAGAGCCTGAACCTGACATTATCAGAGAGACAAAGACTAAAAGCAGCTGCTGCACGCTCAGGCACGCTCATCCTCTCAGTTCAGGATGTGTCACCAACAATGAGCGAGAACACTTTGGGGATATGAAGCATTTAGCGCTGAGTAAACGCTCATTTGGTGGATCTTCTCCCTCCCTCTGTGTGATGTGGTTTAAGACTTTCTCCTCTGACGCTGACGAGGCGTTTTTATGGAAGCCCATTTCCGCCAGTCAAAAAAAAAAAAAAAAAGTCTAAATTATGAGATAAAAAGTCAAAATTATGAGATTAAAAAGTCGAAATTATGAGATTTTAAAGTCGAAATTATGAGATTTTAAAGTCATAATTATGAGATAAAAAGTCTAAATTATGAGATTAAAAAGTCGAAATTATGAGATTTTAAAGTCGAAATTATGAGATTTTAAAGTCATAATTATGAGATAAAAAGTCTAAATTATGAGATTAAAAAGTCTAAATTATGAGATTTTAAAGTCGAAATTATGAGATTTTAAAGTCATAATTATGAGATAAAAAGTCTAAATTATGAGATTAAAAAGTCGAAATTATGAGATTTTAAAGTCGAAATTATGAGATTTTAAAGTCATAATTATGAGATAAAAAGTCTAAATTATGAGATTAAAAAGTCTAAATTATGAGATTAAAAATCGAAATTATGTGATAGTAAGTGCGCATGTTTTATGGCGCCGTCTTCAAGGTCTCACTTCACCTCACCGGATGCACCATGCAAACAATACTCATCAGTAAATTAGGAAAGTATTATAGGTGTCTTTGATAGATATTAAATATTACTATTCATTTAATCAGCCCGTCCGTGCTGCTAAACAAATTACGTTATTTTGACAATATCTTTCAGCTGTCAGTGAATCATCGTTTTGAAGTAACGTTTATGCCACTAGATGGTGACACTGAGACAGGAACAGTGTCCGTACTTTCTACCTGTGAGTTGCATTATGTTACTTAGAGTCGGCTACAAATGTCTCCACAAAGGTCTTTGTTAAGAGTTGGTAAGTGTTATCAGAGCTAGTTTTACATGTAACACTGTGTTCTCCAGCATGTTGAAAAGTCATGCGAAAATTGTACACTGTGCACTCATAATTTCGACTTTAAAATCTCATAATTTCGACTTTTAAATCTCATAATTTTGACTTTTTATCTCATAATCATGACTTTTTAATCTCATAATCATGACTTTTTATCTCATAATTTCGACATTTTTTTTTTTTTTTGACTGGCGGAAATGGGCTTCCATACGTTTTTCACTCTTTGTTTTGAGTGTTTTTTTTTCCCTCTCTAAGAAACCGAATCCCTGAGCGTCTGGACTCAGATACGGTTTTTCTTTTGATGAAGCTCAGGAGCGACGGAGGAGGAGGAGGAGGGATCTGCAGAGACACTGGAGAGAAATAAAAGTCTGATCTTGAGACACACAGCAGCTTCTCTGAGCCGATTCCAGCGTCAGGTTCAGACTGAGATCATCTTCAGGAGGAGGACTTTGGCTCGTGGTGTCGGCACAGACGAGAACGAGGAAAACCGGCCCAGAGATGAGCTCAGGGTTTCCTTTTTAGAAATCTTATCAGCTCCTCTGCGCTGAAGTTTGGTGGTATGAAGTCATGTTTCTGAGACTGTTTGGTTTTTATCTTCTGAGAGCAAAGAGTGACGACGGTGGAAATTACAGAAACTCAACTGAAAACATGAATCTTCTGTGTTTCATGTTCAGATTTTTGTAGAGACGAAAGACGACAGCTAGTCCAGTTTTACAAACACCTGTGGACTCAGGTGGACTCGGCTTTATTCAGGATTCGACTCTCTCCCCTGTCCGGGTCTACATGAAGTTTCTCTGACTGAATCGTCTCCTAAAGCCACAAATTTTCTAAATAATTGATCAGCTTCGATTCTTCTGTGTGAAACACTCCCTGAATAATAATAACTCCAAACTAACACAAACACAGAAACAGTTTCTAAAGGTCTGCAGAAAATACCTCCTGGTTGATTTCTGGGATTTGTAAGAACTAAAGCTGAGAGGAGGAGGAGGAGGAGGAGGAGGAGGAGGAGGAGGAGGAGGTGTTTGTATCTCTGTGTCTGAAAAGCAAAGGGACAGATTCATGATGAGAGAGGTTGTCAGTAAGGTTACACGATATTGGAAAAAAACTAACATTGCAATTTTTTTCTTTCCTGCGAAAAATCGAGGAGTTTTCATCAGATGATCTGAATCTGAGTTTCTGCTGAAGTCTTGAGGACAGTTAACCTGCACTGATCTTCCCTCTTTAGTGAATGTTAGTAGACTGTCTTCTGTCTGTCTCAGAGATATTTTTAGTTTTTATTGTTCTGGACGTTACCATGGAAACAGATGAACACAGAACACGTGTTTTAGTCGACGTCATCCTTCTTAGAACTGAAATAGTTCCTGATAAGTGACTTTACTTTTCTTTTTACCAACAAATCTTCATTTTCTGTGGTTTTCTCTTGTTCGTTTCTCATTTTGCGATCGTTGTTGTTGTTACCGGTGTTGTGCTGAGAAACGTATGCCCGCCAAGAATTGCATCTACCTTGCGGAAATGCCCTTAAAGTCGAGTGGTCCACAGAAATGTACGATTTCAAACCCAAACAGGGATAAACAGTGATGAGTAACGTTTCTCTGCACAACACCGGCAGCGCAAGCGACTCACTCCATGTGCAGGGGCATGGTTTCCTCCTCTCTGATTTTGATTGACGGCTGTCAGGGTAGTCTGATTGGCAACTGAGTAAAGAACGAATGTGATTGGTGGATCGCTGCACAGCACATGCAGAGTCACATGCTGTGTATCTCAGTCAGTTACTCTTGAAATTAGACGAGTTCATTCGCCTCCGACATCACAGGCTCTGACGTGCGCAAACGTCCATCGCCATGACGATGCTCAAACGATATATCGTGCAGCCCTAGTTGTGGGGATCTTGATCGTTTAGTGAGCAAACATCTGGTGGGCTGAAACGTGAGCGTCTTTGTTTATCCTGAAATGGTTTTAAGTTTCTTATCTTCTGATTTTCGATCCTGGATGATATCGATATTATGATTTTTTTCAGTGTTTTTAAAAAGCTTTTATGTTTTCTCTTTTAGTTTTGTGAATATAAGTCTAACCCACTCTTACCTGACTTATCTTACATTAGTCCAGGTCCTGACGTATCTGTGCCAAAGTGAACCTTCTCTTCACACTGAACTTCTGGGTTCATGTTTCAGGTCGTACCTGTAACATCGTCGCTCTCTCTTATTGTCCGACTGAAACCTGAGCTGATGATTCAACACCCCTCCTCCGTGGTGATCATAAAACCAGACTGTGTGACTCTGTTTCCTCTCTGTGTGTCTCTGCAGGCCAGACCGAGGCCGAGCTGAAGGAGTTCAGTCCGTACTACAGGAAGCAGTTCTCGGTGGCCCGCTTCTCTCAGGTGGAAGATGATCTGGAGCAGCAGAAGGAGAAGATCACACAGCTGCTCAAACAACGGGTGAGGAGCTTCGGTCCTTAAAATGAGTAAAACGAAGCAGAGGTTTGGTCACAGCTCGGCAGGAGAACTGCACCGTCAGCAGATTTTACAGGTGTGATTAAGATCTGTAAGGTGATCCGGCTCTTTCGGGGCCAGAACGTGAAGCTGAAGGGATCAGTTTTTCCTCATAATCCAGAAGAGGAGTCGATGTGAGTGAAGAGGGTGATTTCCAAACGCTGGACGGATCATTTTCCTTCTTAACCGTTGAGTAACAGTCCTGGAGAAAGTCACTTCATTTTTCATAAATATTCCTTCAGCAGCGACGTTAGATCATCAGACAGAGTCGTTTTTAAAATTCAGCGAAAAATCTAAATAAAAGAAGTAAATTTTAACGTGACAGAGTTCGTGAACATCTCTGATATCAGCTCTGACTTTTTCACAATAAAGAAATGAACTTTTAGAAACTGTTCATCCTTTCATACGCTGTAGTTTTACATCAATGTTTAATACTTTAACTACCACACCTTCATCAGACATTATATTCACTCTGTTCAACACTTTTAATCAAAAATAGGGTTAAAAAATCTCTGGAATATCCCTTTAACTTTATTTTAATCTATATTAGTCACTTCAAAGAGAGGGTCCAGATTAATAAATCAAACCGTGCTCACGTTAATCCAGTGTTGCCAACTCCTCAGTCAGGAAAGTAGCTATTGGCTGTCCTAAAAGTCGCTTAATGGCGTCATCGTCCAATTTGCATAATTGGCGAATTGTAATGGACGCTGTAAGGGAGAGAAATAACGTCATGGGAGGGACCAAAAGTGAGAAAAAAACACCCCAAATATGTTTAGAACTACAAATGAACTTTATTTCAGCAAAAATGACCCAAACGAGACAATTTGGTGGAGAAACTGAGGTTTTTAAAAGTTTATTAAAAGTTTATTCAGGTTTTGTTCGGTTTTAAACGACCAGCGGCGGCTTTGCGCGACTCATTCGTAGTAGTCTGGATGTGGAGGAGTTTTGTAACGCATGAGGACTGAGCCGCCTGTGAGACGGGGGAGAGGCTCACGGCAGCACACGCTGCTCGTTAAGAAGAGTAGGCGATGCGTGCTTTAACGTCAGAGTCTCCAATGACGCCACAAAAAGCCGCTAGATTTGTCGCTAGTCGCTTTTTTTGAAAATTAGTCGCCAGAGGGATCTGGAAACCTGCAAAACATCGCAACAAAATCGCTAAGTTGGCAACACTGCGCTACTGTGTGTTCATGAAGTGTGTGTGTGTGTTGACCAGGACTCTCCTGAAGTGGGCGCTGTTCTGTATGAAGACCTCCTCCTCTTCTTTGATGAAACCAGGAAGTGGAGAGAGAGGTACGTGGTCGTGCGAGCGAACTACTGCCTGGAGTGTCACGACAGCCTGGAGGTGAGCGCTACGCTAACGTCGGGACTTTTAGGTGAAATATTTTAACATCCGTGAATTTTCAGTTTCTTCTTTTTTTTTTGTTTTTTGTCGTCGTCCTTCAGAATTTCGTCAAAGGTGTTCCTCCGCGGCAGACGCTGCTGCCTACAGGGGGCGCTGTCCTGACCACAGAGGAGAAGTACATGGCCATGGTGGATAAATGCTTCCCTGACGACACCAGTGAGTAACAGGAAACAGTCAAAGTAAACCTAAAATTTCCCAGAGTTCCCAGCGTGAATGTGAAAGGAGTCATTTTTCACACATGCTCTTTTTTCAGTGAAATTTTGGAAAATGTCAGGATTATGTGACGCGTAAAAGAGCTCATGTAAATTCAGGAAACTACACCATGAGGGAGTGGGCGGACTGATGAGGTTTGGTGGTGTTGTAAAGTGACTTCCTCTGTTTCCTTCGACTGTGAGGGAAAACTCTGGAAAATGTCAGGAGCACGCTGTCCTGAAATCTTCTCGTATCAACTTTGGAGAGAGCATCAGGGCTGGGTACCATTTCAGTTTGATCAGTTCTGGTTCTGAATCCTTCGTTCCAGTTCAAGGATCTATGAAGAGAAAAAAAAAAACATTTCAGGAGCAAAAAAAAACCTGACTTTATCGTTCTTTTTCCTTCATTCATCAAACCAGAAAAATCTGAACTAAACAAACGCTTCACCGCCACAGCAGGTCGAGCTACTAAAACTTTGTGAGGACTGCAGAGATCTCGCTGAAGCTTAGTCCTGAGATGTAGGGCTGGGCGACAAACTGAAAATTTACGACAATAACCAATGTCATTTCGTCCACATCGGTATATTTGGTGTCAAATAAATCAATAAATCAAAGTTGTTGTTGGATGTGTGTAGGTAGGCTATGGTCTCATGTCCCTTTAAGACGCTGTCCTACATCAGAGACGTGACTCCACCCCATCCAGTCTGTAACAAAGAGGGAAAGACAGGTGAGGAGATGGAGGACGGAGAGAAAGTTGGAGCAGCTGAAGTAGACAAAGTTAATGTGGGAGGGGGTGAGCAGCTTGTGGAGTAGTTATCGTCCATTTATCGTTATCGAGGTAAACTGATCAATATATTGTGATATTGATTTGAGGCCATATCGACCAGCCCTAGCCTGGGAGTGTTACGTCTGATCACGGAGGGGAGGCGGTCCAGTGAAACCCAGATTTAACAGGAACACCTGAAACAGCTGGAGGGAGACCCAAACACAGGACTAGACTAGAGGGGTATCTAAACGGGGTCCAGAAGACTTAAAAACCAGAGACTGGGACCACAAACTCGTCAGGACAAAGTTGAAATTTAAAATAAATCCACTGAGAAGCAGAACCATTTCTGTTTTGTAGAACCAGCCCAGCGCCCCCTGCTGGTCAGTAAAAATGCAGTTACAGGATGATTTCAGTATCAGACGTTCGGTCTCCTGATAAGACAGTGACCTCTGAAGACGGTCGACCTTTTACATAACTCGCTCTCTGGCTGTTTGCACACAAACATGAACTCATGAAGGAGCGATTATATAAACGATTTAAAAATGTCTATGGTACTCAGATCGACCTGCAGCAGGTACACCTTTACACACTCCTACACACACATTCATGTCTTTGATATCATCTGGGTACAATCACTTTTATTGGTCAGATGGGGACTCTGTGTCTGATCGATCCAAAAACAAAACAACAAAACTGGTCCTTTTATTATCTTTATGAATGAACCTGCAGAATAAATAACATGATCCTGTGATTCTCCATCTTTGGTTTCATTTATGTTTTACGGAGAATAAAGAAGCTCCTAAACTCGGCCTCCTGAGTCGTTTATTTCGACCTTTATTGGTGTTCAAACCTTCGTGAATCTTTAATCTCAGAGGAGGGAAACTTTGAGAGTTCCTCACTGTGATTATGAAGAGTAATCCCACCCCCACAGGTGTTTCATGAAGCTAAAAGCAGCTCAGGTGGGAGTTTTTGTCACAAACACAGAAGACTTCGTTATTATTCACTTTCCCCACAAACGATAAAAGTTAAAAAAAAAACCTGAGAATCATCCAGAAAAGAAACGTGAACTTTACTGTCGATGTTAAAATCAGACGCTCAGGTTCTGGTTCTGATTCTGTTTCTGTGTTTCAGATGTGAAGGAGGACTTCGCCCCCCCTCTGTCCGGGATGCCGGGTCAGTTCCCGGTCTACCTGCGTCTCCCTTACAGGAGAGACTCGTACTTCTGCTTCAAACAGCAGGCCAAACAGACGGCCTTCCTCTCCATCCTGTCAGACTGCATCAGACACCAGAACCAAGGTAGGACCCAGATCCAGCAGACCTGAACACAGCAGCGGGTTTGTAGATCTGAAATAACCACCTGGACTCTGACAGAAACATTTGGAGCATCAGGACCCCAAAAACCAGGACCCCAAATTCTGTCAAATTCAGTCTAGAGACCCTAATTTTGTCTTAAATCAGGGTCACTGGATCCACAAAGAGGTCTGAGCCGGTCTGAGCCGGTCTCAGTGAAGGTCCAGTCTGCCTCATATGGACGGTCAGACTCCTCCACGGCTGAGTCTCAGACTTTAACGTCTCCCGGGGGCGAGTGTTTTGATGCTCAGAGAAAATACTTTAGTCTGTGCAGCATCAGTTGGACCCCTTTAGTCAGTTTCCATGGTAACAGCCTCACCACACCAGAGAGGACGTTTAATCGTGTTAGAGCAGAGCGGAGATCTCCTTCAGCTCATGATCTGTGAAGACTCGATCCACGTTATTCCTGACTGATCTGGGTGTTTTACCGGCGTGTCTGTGTGTCTCAGACTTCCTGAAGAAGAAGACGTGTGAGGTGCAGGCGTTCCTCAAAGCCATCCAGCTCTACAGACAGGACAGAGGACAGTTCGAGGCCTGGGACATGCTGATAGGAAGTGATGTCAGGGTACGTCTCTCTCTCCTACCTCGAGTTTCGTTGCTTTTCTTTAGCTTCCCTTTTTTTTTGTTTTACTGGAGAGAAAATGTCCAAAGAGTTATTTCTGACTTCTGCAGAAACATCATCATCTTATTCCTGAATCTGAGGCTGAGCCGTTCTTCTGCTGATATCAGCAAAGTCCTCTCAGAGTCGGAAATGTTGAAATGATTTTAATTTCTCTGCGTCTTTAAATAAATCTGAGACTTCCTCTTTCTCTTCGTTTCACTCTTTTCTTCTTTCTTTTCTTCTGAGATGAAAGTTTGAATATTTGCGGGAAGGGTGTTTGTCTGAAAGAGTCCCCTCATGTTTGCATCCTCTCACTCAGGTCGTTTACATGTACAGATTAATCGACTAAACTCATAATTCGTCTTTTTCTCTGAATCAGACTTCTCTCCTCGTCCTCGTTTACATGCAGCTGAGAAAATCGAATTATTGACGTGAACGTGTCCTCCTCCCCAACACTAGGGGGCGATATGGGTCTTTTCAGACGTCAGAAGTGTCTACAACTGCTGCTGGGCATTTTGGAGAAACAAGAAGATGGAGCATCGTACAGCGTTGTTTTTGTCCGATATGATGGACGCGCTAGTTTTTCTAAAGATGAGACCAACGCTACTCCTCTACTCTGGGGGTTTTGTTACGGGGTTACGGGGGCGTGGCTTCATACTCCGACTACGCTGGTTACATGGTAGAGAAAATCGAATTCCGATCTCATTATCTGGGTGTCTTAATCAGAGTTCTCAAACTCCGATTATAGTCGGACTAAAGTGTTTACATGACCTTCAGTTGTCCGGTCTTGATCGGAAAAAGGCGATAATTCGGTTTTCTCAAGTGTCATGGAAACAGACTGAATGATTTCTAATTCTATGTTGAAAGGACAACTTGAAACGTTTTGCCTTGTCTCAACTAAGTCCAGTTGTGCTTTTCATGCGTAGATTCCCACTCCAGAGTCATGTGACTAACCTGTTGGACATAGTTGGTTTGAAATCATCTAAAAACCATAAAAATCTGTTTTATTTCCGATAATTTTAACCCTTAAATGTCTTTTAAACTTCATCCCTCAGAGTTCAGAGTTCTCAAACACCAATTATAGTCGGACTAAAGTGTTTACATGACCTTCAGTTGTCCGGTCTTAATCGGAATAAGGCGATAAT